TGCATTTCCCCACTTTTTTCTCGACTTTCCACCCAGCACACGCACAACTTTCACTGATTGTTTAGACTGCCAGCGCGTCGCCTCTAACTATGCAACAAATTGTTGATGCAGATGGTAAAAGAGGTGGGATGCCGCCCACATTTCCTCACTTTTTTGGCACTTGACTTGACAGTTCACCCCGGCATTTCCCCCTTTCACCTTCTGCAGCTTACTTGTGTTTTAGTTTTCCAACGAGGGCTGCAGATCGTGGGGAAAACCCCTGAGAGCTGCGCCCAAGAAGTGGGCGGTTGGGTTGGGCGATTGTTTGTGCGGAGAGCAACCGCCAAAACCGAAAGCCGTTAACTCTAAGCATCTGTGTTGGTGTTGACAATGTTTTAAGTGCTTGTGTGGCAGCTTCCCTCGATTTTTGCTTCATTAAATTTTCCCTTTTCACCAAGATTTACTAGAGACTCGCTCGGTCTATCCAACGCTTAGGTTTTCCACTTTCTGCGCCTTGTCTGCGCTTATTTACGCACACATAAATTTCCGCCATGATACCGGAAAACTTTGCTCATCATTCACATTCGCCTATTTTTTCCCCATTCTCAGCTATTCAAGGAGTTCTTTTCAATGTTATTTCCGTCATTTTGAACTTTGTTACTTTTTTTTTGGAAGTGGCTGGGAAGATTTTCGTCTAGACGGTAAAATGGCTAAGCTGGGCAAATACCAAAAAGATGATGATTAAATTTCTAGTTGGAAATAAAAAGTATTGAAGGCGATATTTTAAAAGTTAACTCATTGTAGAATCTTTAGATTTAAATAAACATTTTTCTCTCCAAAGCAAATAATTATTATTATTATCAAGTCTGAAAGTATAGTTTTAATTTTTGTGAGCATCCATTAATTAGGTCTATTTTATTTAAGTGTAGTTTCTATATAATGCACATGAACCAGTGTGTTTGTAAAATACAGATTTTCTGTTATCGCTGTTGGGCAGAGAATGTGGCTTATGAAATTTGTGGCTGCATAAATCTAAACCTTTCTTTTGTGTCTTTACTATCTGATGTTTGCACAGATTTTAAAGGACGTACAACGAAACACAGACGCCAGGATTAAAACCGTGTGGGCGGTCTTTGTTTGGAGCAAAATGTAATTAGTGTATAAAAAATAATGGATCTGGATAAACCATGCGTTGTATTTACATATAAATTTTGATGACCCATAAATATTCTCATATTCCCTTAAAAGCATAAGATAGACAAAATTATAGCTCCCCGGTGGTTTCATAAGGGGAAAGTAAACATTTCCACTAGCTCGCATTTCTCCATTAGAAGGCCACCCCTGAAGAGCAAATTGATATTCGTATCTCACCACCCTCCCAAAAAAAAAAAGAAAGGAAAAACAAATTTATATTTTCCTCTTTGGTGCTGCATTATTGGAAAAAGTTCTGACGTTGCGGAAACTACCCCGAAATATGAAATCCGAAACAAGAAAGAGAATCACCTCAACAAATTTTGATTAATGCATTTTAATAATAATTGTGCCCCACCCTTTCCCTCTTCTCTTTCATCTCCCAGCTGCCAATTCCCAATTTGTTTCGCATTTGCACTTTGATGGCTTCGTTTTATGAGTCTTGGAGTGTAACAATGATTTGCAATACGCTCCAGAATCCAAAGTGAACAATAAGGGAGTGCAACTGCTGAAATTTCTACAGATTTCTGGCAGAAAAGTTTTTCAATCATGACACGAGATGGAATCGGGTAGATTCTAGGACTAAAAAGAAACGATTTCGGCACTTTTAAACGCTTGGCAGCATATTTTCTTTTGATCCTGGCCTCCATTTCCCTCATCATTAATTGTTCCACTGTTGCAAAAGTTTTTGGCTTTTTCTTTACCAACAATTACATTCTTTTCCATGCGTAAGTTTAAAGTAATTTAACTTCTGACAAAATTTTCCCTTTCACCGAAACAAGTACGAAAAAAATAAGTGCACCAACTTTTCATAGACTTTCCTCATTGTTTTTTTTTTTGTGCTTAAGCGCTTTAAAATTGCAGGCAAACTGTAAAAATTTCAAAAGTTTGGTGAAGCGTGAATTGATTTTTCAAGTAATAGTTGCTGGATAAAAAGTGCAAAAAATTATTATTATGAAAATTAACTTTTTAAGAGGACAGAGTGAATGCTTTCACCTTTTTTTCAACGGAATTTGTAAAAGTAGGCTAAAAACTTTCAGCTTGAAAAACTGTAAAAATTAATTAAACTCATAGCAAGTTCTTGGAAAGCTTTATTTTTCTTAGAGCTCAAACAAATTGTTTTGCACTCGCTTTTAGACTACTTGGCGCGCTTTTAAGGCGAAACTTATCATCGCGTCTCCTCGGAAAACCCCTTGAAACCCCATTAGCTATTGTACGAGTCGAGTTCGCAGAACGAACTGAATTCCCATGGGCGGCAATTGAAGTTGAGAAAACATCAGAGCAAAAAGCCCACTCAGACTCAAGTGCCGAGTTGGGGAGTCGAGTGGGTACCTCAGATCTGGGAATGCGTTATGCCAAATAAATAGGGGGACCTATGACCTGCATTGACACGTGCCAGCCAGCCCGCTCCGCATTGTGTATTTATGATTATTGTTATTGCGACGGTACATGTGTGTATGCAGGAAAAATTTATTCGCCACCCCGAGCTCCTCCTCCACCTCCAACTCAGCTGAATTCCCCCGCATTTTGCGCACCTGATGTTGTTTTTCCTGCTGTCGAAGTCAATTTGTGTCACGGCTCCTCGAAGGCGGCTACGGAAATAGTTTAAGTCGGAGGTAGGGAAAAGTCAGGCAAATATTGCAAACAGTGGAACAAAGTCATAAAAAATATACTCTATATAAATATAATTAGAAATTTATTGGATAACTAAATCTCTGTGATTTGTATAAAAATAACTTTTCTTAAATTTACCTTCAAAAACTTATTAAAAGTTATATGAGTAACATTTGTTTCTTTCAAGTTATTTCTGAGTGGAAAATTCTCCCTTGTGCAACTACGAGAGCATAAGCCAGAATGCATTTTAACTTCATCAGAGCTTTCATAACTCCCAGCAAGGTTCAAGGAATTTCAATAGAAAACAGAGATACCATTTTTCTTGCGGAAATTATTTGGTGAATTTCTCGACTGGCATTTGAGTTATTTATTTAGCACTCTTCCGTTTTTTGCTGTTTTCATTTTCACACATAAATGCGGATACAGCTCTAGCTTTTGCCTGCCATTTCATTCTGACTTAAAGGTGCAATAATGGCTCACATCTGCTCTGATTCCTCTGGGAAATTTCCACCAGTCATGTGGGCGATCTTTGAGGTATGCAGCATTTCTCAAATATTTTCCCCATATTGCGAAGCTCTCCTTCGTGGTACAGCCAAGGGGTATACATTGCATTCCTTTGGAGCGCGTTTAATGAAAGCAAACTGCAAGGGAGTGCGATGCGAAACCAATTACTAGGCAACGAATCCAAGCCAACAACAAAAAAACTCAGGAGCTCCAGAACGAGCCGGGTCTAAACCTAATTTCAATCAATTTGGCCTAACAAGCGACAGATTGCCAACCTAACGAATCAATTTGATTTCCCAAAGAGACAAAAGAACTCGACGTCGACGAACGGCAAACGGCAACAAATTTCGCATTTCATTACAAAACTAAAAGGCGACGTCCGGAAGATGCGGGCACCAAAGGGTTAAGGGCTAAGGGGAGCGGCCAAATCGATTCCAGCTGGAGATCCCGATTTCGGGGAACTAAAGCTGCAGTGGCAAGTGGCATCATTACTCAAGCAAATGGGACCATCATCAGTCGTTGGCCGGCGAAGTTCCGACCAGACAACAAGTGCAATCAATTTTCGACAAAGGGCAATGCATTGCGAATGCAGCTGCAAACGCCATCGCCATCGCAATCCCCTCTCATCTTACCACCCACAGTGCCTTAAGCCCTTCGCTCATCTGCATGCAACTGCCTCGTGCCACAAATGCTGATGTCGGCAATTGAAATGCAAAAATATTTGGAAATTGCTCCGATTGCATTTGGAGCCCAGTGCCTCGCTATCGGCTTTATTCGAGCAACAGAAGCAGACGGCTTGATGGAGCCGTAAATGAAATCCGAGTGCGGTTAATGAGCCTCTGCTGGGTTTCGCAAGAGGAAAACCCCAAGCTGAGCCAGTTCAGTGCACAATACTCCATTAGGGATTTTTCGCCCTTTTCTTCATCCCAAGTGTTGCATATTTGGATTGCAGGTTTTGAATCGAACCATTTGACGAATGAATTCCGTAATCACAAATATCAGCATTTCAATCTCTTATTGCCAAAACTAATTACTGAATTGCGCGATCACTAAATTCATGTTTTTTAATCTTCTTAATAATATATTGAAGGGTCTTCATCAAGAAAATCAATTCAAAAATCGAAAACAAAAATTTTCAGATTGTTTATATCATTTAGAAAAGTCGGGCTTTTAGCCATTTTTAGGATGTTTGGATGTTTACGCTTTAGTGTACCAAGGGTGAAAAGGGATGCAGCACTGATCATTAAATTCATGATTTCTGATCTGAAAATAGAAAAATATTTTTATGTACAAGTCTAAGTAATGCTCCAAAAAGTTTCTTTACATAACCATATAATATTCTCAACATATGTTAATCTTCCTCAAAAGGTCGTTGCAATAATTCCTTCTTTTTCGCCCCATTTTCATTCCAAACGGCGACCGAAAAAAAGGCGACAGATCTCGTCCTTCTTTGCCCTCCTTGAAAAGCCAATAAATTTCATTTGCTGTGCCCCGGCTGTTTACCAAAGGACGTGCAGGCCTACCCATGACTGAGAATGACCAAGGCAACCTCCTTTTTCGGATTTCTCTTTTTTATTAAACAGACAGCTCTCGTCGCCAACTGGCCCGCAAAGTAAACGGCGGCCTTTTATTTGGCCTTGTGCTTGGACAAATAAGGAATACGCTTTAAAAATAAAACTCTTTTCGGAATCGGTGCAGCAGCCTCGAAAGTGATTCGTCAAATTCCGCACTGCCATATATTTCGGGTGAACATTTTTGTACGAAAAAAAAAATAGGGAGGCAGAGATTCGGATGTCGTTTGTTTGCCCGACGGCCAGCTGAGCTGGCTCTTGTGTTTTGTTCAACAACTTTTCGAGAGAAGTGGCCTCTCGATGGCCATCCGTCCAGATTGATGCGTCTTTCATAGGTCAGCAGTTTGCGAATCTGATTTAAAGGCCCCGACTAAGAGTTTAATCCGACTTTGATCCATTAACAGCTGCAATGAATGGCAGTGGCTGCGATTGACAATTTATTTGGAATATTAATTTTTGCCCATGCAAAGTTCGCTCTTCCGATGGATTGCAATGAGATTCGATCAGTGAGTGGCATCAATTAAAATAAAACACATTTGCCACTGGGTTCTGCTACTGCCGTGCAGTCGGTGTCATTAATATTCCGCACTCACGCTTTGCCGCATAATTTAATGCCAATGTGATTTTTATATTTTCAATTAATTTCGAACAATAAATTGCGGTAAGCGGGAAGCATGCGGGCATACCTATGAAAGTTCAGTCATTTAAGAAGGGTTTTGCATGCGATTGAATCGTTAATCATGAGAGTGGTAAATCAATAAACGTGTACAGGTAAATTAAGTTTTGTATGCAGTGGTTGTCAAAGTTTAAGCCTGCAGAGAAAAAACAAAATTTTAATTATTGATTGCTGTCACCATTCAATCTTATATTCTTTTAGAAGATTTTTCAGGATATCCATGTTAAAACCAATTAATAGGGTAAATGTATTCCTGATCCCCTTTGAAACCCAAAACTGTCTCGTCACTTCCAATCAAATCTCCTGCCATCTCCATTAAGACATTTCTAGTTTGAGGCTATGGTCGAAAATCCCACAAAGGGTAAGTGTCTTGCCGTTTTCATGGCATTCCAACCCCCGTAAGATACAGATTTGCGAAAAGATATGTACTGCTCCCCCAATTGCCATCAGAACCGAGAAATCGCAAGGGGAAGTCCCGGGCAGGAATTTACAACAGCTGATCTCCTGCTATATTAAATTTATTCTATGTGCTACCCTCTCAGCCAGGTTTGGTTTTGTGTCTAACATTTAGCTTCCCTCGGGGGACAGTTTCGCCAATCCAAGGGTTGGCCAGCCCACCTGATTGGAAGTGCAAAAAAAATACGGAAAAAATGCTGGGGAAAAGCAAGTTAGTCACAATATCTCCCATGGAAACAATTATGTACTTTGGTACCCATAAGATTTCCGGCCAAGGGTAGATTTTCCTCGGTCAGCCCTCGGGAAAATCGTTGTGGAAAGCTGGCATATGCAGGACGTGGGAGTGTTTTCGACTTCCTGTTTATCCATCCAAAAGTGTATCCCGGGGCTACTACCAATTTCAATCTTAATGCATGGAGATCATGATGAAGTTTGACCTATGAACACAATGTTTTCCTTCTTATTTTTGTTTGCCAAACGGAGAAAAGGCAAACACAAAACCATAAATATGCAATGTAAAGTGCGTGGGGCCAAGTGAGCACAACTTCGGTCTGACCCGCAATTGTTTGTCGCAATTGTCGCCATTTTCTATAAATATTTTAACAAAAGCCAGGCAAGGAAAGCTTACATTCAGAGGAGCGGGCAACCGGGAAAAAACATGTTCGTTTTTATGGCATCGTTGTGCTGATGAGGGAAACAAAAGCCAGCCAGGTACCCAGTGTACGTATGCAAATATCAGCGTTGGTTACCAAACGATTGGACAAACAGCTCGACATGGGTTTCCATGTAAGATGACGGTCGAGAGTGCTCCATAAACCAACATAGGGAGTTTTGGGGATCAGCGGTAAATCAAATGGAGCCCTAGCGAAAAATTCACTTTTTTAAACAATGTCGAAAAGTGCTGAGTTTATGGATAGGTTGACTATATCAATACGTTTGTATTTGTTAAATTTTAAAATTTTATTTGCATGTACTCCAAGTGGAACATAATTTGACTTTATTGAAGTTTCCTGTTTCATCATTTAATTGACGTTTAAGCCAATGATGCATACAATGCAAACACGCAACGCTTTTGAGCCGCAATATTTTAAACTGCTATATTTTTCAGTGGATGATGTTTGAGCTTTATGAAAGGGGTGTCCTGCCTCTCCAGACAGCCTCCTTTCGCTGCTTTTGACATCTTTCACAGCTCCTGTGTGACAGTTTACTGCCTTCGTAGTTTTAACCTGAACCCATGGGCTTGGGGCACCGTTCCCCTTGCACCTGTCATCACATTTAACACTGTGTAATATTTTCCACCACGCAGACGAGGGAATCGCACATCGCCAACATCCGACTTCCTTGCTCCGCCCACTTAATGGAAAATCCAAACTGCATTTCCTCCTTGGCGCAAGGACGATGGGCTGTTGGGTGGTTGCGATGTTGGGTGGCTGATGTGTGGTTGTGTGTAAACTAAATTAATTAGCAGCTAATGAAACGGCGCACATATTTATACAGGGCTGCTTCCTGTCTGGCTGTCACCAGGTGCAGGACCTCTTCCTGTTCCTGTTCCCATTCCATCGCTGCCCCCAGGCCGCCACTTGCGACGGTAAAAAATTAACCATTTTCATTGGCAATTGAGCACAGCGAGCGTTTTTCTATATGCAGTAAGAAAAATTCGGGCTGCCATTTTACATGCCATCCAATTTAGGGTATTACAAAAAAAAATATAAAACTCTATGGCTAATCTGCACGTTCTAAATATTTGATCGATGATATACGATTTTAATTGATGGAAAATTTCAAAACATTTTTTGCATGTTTCTCTAATTAACAACCACATTCTATACGCGCTGCTGGCAATGGCTAAGCCAAAGTCCCTTATTCCTGCACGTTCTTTTTTTTAGCCATCCTCGAACAGCCATTTATCTGGAGTCCCCCGAGGTGGCCTGCACCCCGAGTTGATTAATTAAATTGTTGACAATTTTAAAAGCTGCCATGGAGAGGGCATTATTCACAGCTTAACATATCCTTCCTTGTCTGCATCCTGCTTTATCCTTCCATTCCTCACCCACAATTTGTTGCTATATGTGTTAGCCATGGTTTTATTGTCTTTTTGTGTCATCGTTTGTTATGTTGTCGACAAATGCACTAGAAAATTAGCTGTTTTGCAGTCGAGAGAGCACATGTTGGCTTAAGTGAACGGTGATTTTCTAGAGTAGCAGAAATAAAAGTTATGTGTTACATTTATGAATAAAAACTTCCATACGAAAAGTGTATTTTACATTTGCATTAATTTGTACAGAGCATTTGTACGTATGATATTGCTACTGAAAACTTTATATCCTGAAGGTCCTTACACTCCCTTTTATCACTTTAGCTGGATCGAGGAGGAGAAGGTTGAGTTGCATAAGTCAATTTTAATTGAAACCGCAACAAAACAATTAAAACTAAACCAATAGCCAGACCTACAGACACTTTTATGTTTATTTTGTTTTATTTATTTATTTTTTTTTTGCAAAAATATTGTAACCCGTGGGACTGCGTGTGTGTGTGCGTGTGTGTGGGCGAGGTATTAACTTAACTTTTCCACCCAACTCAATTAAAATGTTGGACAAAATTGCATATGCACAGGAGCAGGCGGCTAGTAAACAAATCTAAGAGTGTATGTGTGTGTGTGTGCTGCATAAATTAATAAACTTGATAGTGGGCGCGTGGGGAGGAGGGGGCGTGGCACCACTCGTCGGGCATAAAAACTAAACGAGCTTTGAGCGCTGGGCGACACGTACGCCGAGAGTAGCAGCAATTAAAATTTTAGTAGTTGCCCAGCCGTGCCGAAGGGGGGTTAAGAGTGGGGGTAAGGGTTAACGATGGAGGGTGTGTGTGTGTCTGCTGCTGTCGGCACATATGCCTCTCCTATCATCCTGTGCCATTCAACTGCTCGAATTTTACGACAAACTCAGGCAAACATTTTCGGGGGGAGAAGAACTAAAAAACGTGTTCCCACTTTCATCAATTTTGGAGTTTGGAGATTTCAGTGCTTAAAAAAATAAAAATAAAATATACGAAATGTATATATTTCCAGTAAATAAGTACATCATTTACCTCGTTTTCCATTTGTTTTCTTGATATTCACTCACCTTGTTTAACCTTAAACAGGAAATAGTAATATAAAAATCTCCCAGCGAAATTGAAAACCAGAACACCTTGACATAGAATAAGGGCATGGAAGAAGGAAGCGGAAAGAGAAAGCCTCTTCCGCTGTTGCAAAATCGACAGCGACATCCTGCTGTGGGCATAAATAAATTGTGTTGCATACTTTTCAGCGTTTACCTGAGGTTCCAAACTTTATGATGGTGTTGGCACAGCCCTTAATGATGCATGCTTGAATAAGGCAGAATGTGTGTGTGTGTGTGATGGTAGTTCCATGGCAATATGCCTACAATTAAGCATCAGTCAGGTGAAAGTCTTGGGCCACAAACTTATTCACACTTGATAGGCCGCACTATTCCCAACCGAAGCAAAACAGACAGGATTCCAAGTTGCAACCGAGGGAATGCATCGTGTTCACCTTTCAAATTGGTTGAATTCCTGTGGCAAGCCAGAACAATGTTGCCCAACTTCATGGCCCAGTAGTTGCCATAACTAATTCTGTCAACGCTTCTGCAAAACTAATTGTCATCGCAATAGCAGAAACATTTCGACCCACAGTGGGCTTTTGTGCAGTCCTTAAATTGCAATTTGCCAAAGAATTTAGCACAATGAAATTCAATTAACAACAAAGTCCACACGCACACACAACACAGAGCTGCGGCAAAATCCCCATTTATGTTTATTCTCCCTGCCATCGTTGTACTTATGTGCAGATGGGGAAAGAGGATCAGGTCTATTCTGCATAAATATCTAAAATAATGAATGCCCATTTTAATTATACTCACCCTTCTGTTTTAGGACAACACTTGTGTGTGTGTATAGTTAGCATCTAAACAAGGGACATAGTACAGGGAATGATTTTAAATTATGGTTTTAAAAGATTAGGCAATTGAAGCATCAAAAAGCTTGAATGCTATTATTATTGCATATATTATACATAACCAATATTATTTTTGTTTGTTCCCCTCCTTTAATGTGGAAACTCATACAATTGCTTGCAATACAAATTATCTATGTGGAAAACTAACGATCGATTTCGCCGAATACGATATCCAGTGATCCAATTATGGCCACCACATCGGCCAGAAAGTGTCCAGGTGCTATTTTGGCCATGAGGGCGAGGTGGATATAGGATGATGGACGAATCTTGCAGCGATAAGGACGCGTTGAACCATCGGAAATTAGATACACTCCGAATTCCCCTTTGGGAGCTTCCACGGCGGTATAAGTTGCTCCGGGAGGAACATAGAAGCCCTGCGAGAAATGCTTGAAGTGGTGGATCAGATCCTCCATGCCCTGCTTCATCTTGCGACGTGGAGGAGGACATATCTTCAGGTCGTCCACCTTGATCTCACCCGGTGGCATGCAATCGATGCACTGCTTGATGATATTCACCGACTGGCGCATCTCCTGCATTCGCACCAAGTAGCGATCGTAGCAATCGCCATTCGCGCCCACCGCCACATCGAATTCCATCTCGTCGTAGGCATCGTAGGGCTGCTGCTTGCGCAGATCCCACTTGATGCCAGTGGCCCTCAGAACGGGTCCAGTGCATCCGTAATTCAGGGCATCGTGAGCGGATATCGTGCCAATGCCAATGTTACGCATTCGCCAGATGCGATTATCGGTGACGACGTCCTCGACTTCATCCAAGCGATCGCCGAACTGGTTGATAAACTGGTATAGATCATCGAGGAAGCCCAGGGGTATATCCGACGCCACGCCCCCCGGCCGGATGTAGGCGGCATGCAGACGAGCTCCCGAAGCCCGTTCCGAAAATTCGTAGAGCTTCTCGCGCTCCTCGAACAACCAGAAAAGCGGAGTTATGGCTCCGCAATCCAAAACCGACGAAGCGATCGCCATTGTGTGATTCGTGAGCCTCATTATCTCCGAGAACATGGTCCTTATGAACTTGGCCCTGCGAGGAACCTCCACATTCAGCAACTTTTCCACTGCCAAAGCGTAGGCCAATTCGTTGGCCATGCAGGAAACATAATCCAATCGATCGAAGTATGGCAATGCCTGCGTATATGTCTTGTATTCGATCAGCTTCTCGGTTCCTCGATGGAGTAATCCAATGTGGGGATCGGCATTCAGCACCGTTTCATTATCCAGCTCGAGGATCATGCGTAGTACTCCATGGGCCGCCGGATGGGCGGGTCCAAAGTTGATGAACTTGGTCCGAAAATTGCGATGTGGCGGAACTATTTTTCCCGTGAAATTCGGACGGCGTTTCCACTCGTCGCCGGCGGGATAAAATACCACATTTTCCTGTTTTATCAAGTATTCCGGATCCGGATACCAGAAATGGGAATCACGGGGTTCGTAAGGAGGTCCCCGAGGGTATATTTCATCCCAACTGGGATCGCACTCCGGCTTAGCTCTCGGCTCTTCGGGGCACTCACACTCTTTAGACGATTTCACAAATTAAACTTAAGTGTTAAGGAAGAAATAATGACTTACCATCTTTGTGAGAGGAAAACATGCGATGGTAGAAAAGCTTTCCGAATTTTGGATTCTTAAAGCTGGTCTTCAAGCCCTCCACGCTCAGATATTTCTCACTAAAGCGATTTTTGTACGCCTGAAAACGACGAATTTCGTTGGGAGTGAAGAGCTTGTCGGCCAGCTTACGAATTCCTTGTAGTCCGCCAGACATTGTTATTGGTTTTGTAAATAAATAACAAGTTTTATTTATGTAAGTTGTTGGAAAAATTAAAAATCTAAGCTGCGATTCTGATTTTTCTCGGATTTTTTATTCAGAGACTGCTGCCTAAAACAAATGAAATAATATTCTAGAATAGCTAGGTTAAATACAAACTTACTCTAATCCATAAACCTATATTTTTTTTACAGATCTTCGAGGATCACTACCACTTCGCACATCACAAGGTCTCGAAGCGGTCGCTCTCCCCCGCCACGCATCACCAAACTCGCCTCGATGACGACGACCGGGTTCATTGGGCGAAGCAGCAGAGGGCCAAGTCGCGATCCAAGAGGGACTTCATCAGGATGCGACCCTCGAGGACCTCCTCGCGAGCCATGTCGATGGTGGACGCCATGCCCTTCGACGACTCCAAATGGCCGCAGATGTGGTATCTGGTAAGTGATTCTTTTTCATTAAATCACCAAAACCCTTTTATAATAAGATAAATGTTTTATGTAATTTAAAATATTTAATATTACATTTTTAAAGTTGTAATTTTAATGGCAAAGATCTACTTCTTATTCAATCTATACCTCCTTTTCATATCCTCTTTTGTTACTAAGTAAGAGTAACTTTCTTAGTGAGATAATTGCGTTGAGTTTTTTTTTTTGTTTCCTCCTTAATAACACATTATTTCCTTCAGAACCGCGGTGGTGGCCTGGACATGAACGTGATACCCGCCTGGAAGATGGGCATAACGGGCAAGGGCGTGGTGGTGACCATCCTGGACGATGGCCTGGAGTCCGATCACCCGGACATTGAGGAAAACTACGTAAGTGGGAGTAAACTTACCACAAGAGAACCCATCATAACCCATCAAATATATATCCCAAATTCAGGACCCCAAGGCCTCGTACGACGTGAACAGCCACGACGACGACCCGATGCCGCACTACGACATGCAGGACTCGAACCGCCATGGAACACGTTGTGCCGGCGAGGTGGCGGCCACGGCGAACAACTCCTTCTGCGCGGTGGGCATCGCCTATGGGGCGAGTGTGGGCGGGGTGCGGATGCTGGATGGAGATGTCACGGATGCGGTGGAGGCGCGATCGCTGTCGCTGAACCCGCAGTACATCGACATATACAGCGCCTCCTGGGGACCCGACGACGATGGCAAGACGGTCGACGGACCCGGGGAGCTGGCGTCGCGTGCCTTCATCGAGGGAACGACCAAGGGACGCGGCGGCAAGGGGAGCATCTTCATCTGGGCGTCGGGAAATGGGGGGCGGGAGCAGGACAACTGCAACTGCGACGGGTACACGAACTCCATCTGGACGCTGTCCATCTCCAGCGCCACGGAGGAGGGCCACGTGCCCTGGTACTCGGAGAAGTGCAGCTCCACACTGGCCACCACCTACAGCAGCGGCGGGCAGGGCGAGAAGCAGGTGGTCACCACGGACCTGCACCACTCGTGCACTGTCTCCCACACGGGCACCTCGGCGTCGGCCCCGCTCGCCGCTGGCATCGCCGCATTGGTGCTGCAGTCCAACCAGAATCTCACCTGGCGCGACCTGCAGCACATCGTGGTGCGCACCGCCAAGCCGGCGAACCTCAAGGATCCCAGCTGGTCCCGCAACGGGGTCGGCCGGCGGGTGAGCCACTCCTTCGGCTACGGATTGATGGACGCCGCCGAGATGGTGCGCGTGGCCCGCAAGTGGAAGTCGGTGCCGGAGCAGCAGCGCTGCGAGATCAACGCTCCCCACGTGGACAAGTAGGATGATTTAAGGTTCTCTTCTTGGATTTTTATATTTACTTAATTTATAATTCCAACAGGGTCATTCCTCCTCGCACTCACATCACTCTCATGCTGTCCGTGAATCACTGCTCTTCTGTCAATTATCTGGAGCATGTCCAGGCCAAGATTACGCTGACTTCGCAGAGACGCGGAGACATTCAGATCTACTTGCGATCACCTGCCAACACCAGTGTTACGCTGCTCACTCCTAGGTAAATTACTCAATTATTAAGGCAGGCTTTCCCTAATTAAATGTTATTTAATCCATTAGGATCCACGACAATTCCCGCTCCGGCTTCAACCAGTGGCCCTTCATGTCCGTTCACACCTGGGGAGAATCGCCGCGGGGCAACTGGCTGCTGGAGATCCACAACGAGGGTCGCTACATGGGTAAGTCTAGCGTAGCTACTATGTCACCAAAAAAGAAAGAACACTGTGCCGTCAGATCGATGCTTTAAACCTGTACCGTTCTACATGCTGCGCTTTTGTGGATCTCACCCACCTAACACCCCATCATTAACCACTCGAAAAACCCACTAAAAATAACAAACCCACCGGTGTGCAGGCCATGCTCTGCTCAGGGAATGGTCGCTGATCTTCTACGGCACCACTCAGAGCATCGAGCCCAACGATCCGATCTCGGTGCCGAAGCCCAGTGCCTCGGAGGCCACCACCCCGAACAGCAGCAGCACCGCCAGCAATCTGCACCAGGCCTACTCGCCCCAGTATCCCCGCATTCCGCCCAACAACTTCGGCAGCTCTCCCTCCGCCGGCGGCTCCAAGTTGCCGCTCGGCAAGGTGCCGCCGCCCAACAAGTCCAGCTTTGTGACCAACAATCCGCTGCTGAATCCCGCTCCACCCAAGCAGGGATACCAACAGATTTCGGCCACCTACGGCGTGATTTTGGGCAAGGCTAATGGGAAGGCCAATAACAATAACAGCAAGGAGAAGACCAATAACAAGGGAAACAAGGCTAATAGCGGTAATAAGGGCAAATCCGGCGGATCAGGTGGCAATCGCAAGGAGCCGACCACCCAGAGCAGCATCACCCAGGCAACCACCAACAAGAACAAGTACTACCGCATTTCCCAGCAACAGCAAAAGAACAACAAGCAGGACAGGAATGGCGTGCAAACCCAAAGGCCAAAAGCGAATTCCGGCGAGAAATCCTATGAAGAGAAAAGCCGCAAGGTGGTGGGCGAGATCGGGACAACCACTGGCAATGTATCCAATAAGGCTGCCAAGCAGGTGAAGGATGGCACCACCTCGAATTCGAATTCAAGAATACCCAAGCTGTTCGAGAGATACGAAAAGATTCAGGCCATTTTCCCGGAACTGGAACCCTATGAGAACACCTCGCCCAAGGGAAAACCCAAACAGGCCAAGCAGGGCAAGCAATTCGAGGTGGAGCTGTTTAGGCCAACTACCGGGGGAAACAGTCGCCAGGGGAACACGAAGAAGTCGCCCTCGGTGCCACCGCCATCGCAAACGATGCCCTCCCTCGCCATTTTGCCCATTCTTCCCGCCGGCGGAAGTAGCTTTCTGCCCGATCAGAAGATCCTCAAGAAGCAACAGCTTCTGATGGCCGCCGCTGGAGTCATGGCTCCCGCCCAAGTGGAGGTGGAAATGGAGGAGATTCAGGCCACGCCTGATTACGAGGAGCCGCGGGACCAGCGAAAGGAGGTCAACCGACCAAATGGTAGCCATTCAATTTTCGGATTTTCACCATTTGCATTTGGTTTTCCTCTCAGAGTCTTTTTTAATTCCCATCAATTTGCATTATGACACTTTTAATTTCAGAATGAATTCAATATCAATATTTAAATTAAATAAACCTTTTTTCGGTTCTATTCAGCTCATTTTAATTATTGTATTTGCCAAAAAACACACATCTAAAACCAAATTAAGTACCATTCGAGAGTCATGTATTTCTGTGTAAAATAATTTGAGTGCTCACTTCAACCCGCTAATTCAATTTATTTTTGTTCAAATAGTTCCCCAGGCTTTAAAAAATTTAATCAATTTGTGAGTAGTGTTTTCACCGACTGTCATAACCATGGTGGCATTCCCGTCAAAGTGCTTTTTATTGCGCTTTTGTATTTTACGATTTTTAGCGTTGCTGCCGCCAATGAAAGTTTGACAACCACTGAGTGGCACTTTCTTGTTGCTTTCATCAATCAGAGAGCAACTTTAAAATGCTTTTTCGCTGTGTTGGATATTGCTCTGGTTGTCAGCACGACAATTTTTCATTTTTTATCCTTTTTATTCCCCCTTCCCCTCCCCCAATACTGTCGAAAGTTGCGATTAGCTTTCGGCACTTGATCCACGCCATATATATAGAGTAGTTTAGTACGAATATCGCTCATATGGCAGATTTATTGGCCCTTCACTTGGCTTGTTTGCCCGCCTGCAATCTGCAATATATCATACATTTTATAACATTTTGCGTTTGCTGTGTTTGTTCCGTTGATTTTGTATAGATGTTTCCGATTTTATTTGGATTATTGGCCTTTGGCTAGTCAGCAATAACTAAATGCATTCGGTTTCTCTGCTCTGCGTTGCAGCACAAATCACACAATGGGACATGATATTCTATGGCACCGCCACCCCCGCTCAGCCCGATGACGTGGCCAATCCGGGCCAGTCGGGCCAGCTGAATCTGTATGGCAACGACATGGCCCACAATGACATCGAGTACGACTCCACTGGCCAGTGGAGGAACATGCAGCAGGTAAGTCCAGTTCCCAATTTTCTTTGGTAATCCCCACAAGCGTGAGTAGCCATTAGTCACTCAGCTTGGAAGCGTTTATTCATATCTACTGCGTACAGTGATTGTTAAAAAACTGGAAGACAGATGAAAATTAACAACCAGAACTAAGCCTAGAGACATTGGTTTTTGTACCTACTATAATTAATATTTAAATTTAAATGAAAAGAGGAATCAAATTCATAGTTTATTTTATATATCAAAAACCATGTAGATAATATGTATTGTATTTATTTAAATTCCTTATTAACATTTTTTAATATATATAGCTTTGTTTAGGACACAATCTTATAAACCTGTGCAGACCAGACGTTTCACTTTTCCTAAAGGCCATTAGGCTGCGCAAAATGCATTCACTCACATTTTCATCCGCCCCGTTGGCCTCGTGCTTTGTTTATTTTCTGGTTTGCAGTGCGCGGAGATAAGTAGTGATCAGAACGAAATCGTGGCGCAGCGCTGCGTGCTTGCATGTGGCTAGCTTGATTAGACCGTCAGTCAGTCAGTCCGTCAGTGAGGCGTCGGACAGGCGCAGTGCCTTACAAACTGTGCAGCCTTGCAGGACTGCTGTCCTTTGGCAGGTAGTTCGCACGTTCCCTTCGCCCCCGAGTTGCAGTTCCAGTTGCTTGCCAGTTTTATTTGCCAGCATGCCTTTGGTTGTTAATGTACGGTTTACCCCCAACACGCGCCAATGCACAGGCCCCAAAGTATGCAAAGCACTCGCCCAATAGCGCTCATAAATTTGCAAATACTTAGGCATACACTGTCAGCAGTTATCTGGTTGGGCCTGTTCCCCCTCCCCCCTCTGTTGCCAAACGCCAGCATCTTAATTCCTCTTTTGGCAGCCGTTTTAACCCCGGTTTTTGGCAGTCGGCCAAGGTAACGCTTTTGTTAGGGGCCCAGAGAAAAGCTATAGACTGTAGTAATTACAAAAACTATTTATTTGGAAACTCTTTGGTATAAAGATCTTTTGAAAAATACTTTAAAAATGTCACTCAATTAAAAAATATATAGCACATAGTTTGAGTAAAGAATATAGAATTCACTAAAATATTAAAATAGTTTTACAAACAATTATTGATTCAAAATCTTATTCTCATTATTTTTTCTCTGTGCTCGGAATCAGCATTTTTCTAAACTTTGCCTACGTTTGGCGAGTTCATGGAAGCATGGGCTTTATTCAAGTGCACTTTTGCCCTGGGCAGGCAGCAATTTTTAACCTTTTGGCACCTATTGTGCTTTAAAAGCGCTGCTTTTTTCCGCCACTGGCAGGGCAAAAAGGGATGTGCGGTAATAAAGGCGAGTGCAGTGACCTTAGTTTTTACATCTCGCCGCTTGGCCTGGCTGCAAAAACTTTTTGCATAACAAACACTTTTCCAGGGCCCCCTGGATCCTCCGCCTTTCCTTCGCTACTAACACGCGACGTCATTGCATGTGAACTTAGATAGACTTGGACAGACATTTTGGAAAGGGTTAGCTATAAATAAGGCCAGACAGAGCCACATACATAAGTGCTTAAAATGCCAGACAGAGCGGCAACATGCAATGAACTACAACTACTGGAATCAGACGAGGCAAAACTTTTCAGCCACTTCTCACTTGCCAAAAAGCAACGAAAAGACGGTCCTTCGACTTTAAAGGGAAAAGAGGCTTGAAGGAGAATCTTCAGCTTCAGTATATATATTTTTTTGTATTTTCATTTTCTTAACTTTAACATTTGCCTAGCTCTCCTCTTGGGGGTCAAAAAAGTTGAAAAGCAGTTCGTTGATGAATTTTTTTTTGGGAATTCCATCACTTTTGTTCTGGAGAACATCTTTTTAGCTCTGAGAACATAGTTTTACCCTTTAGAGCGTTAATCAGTTATTATCTTTGTCTACTTTCTAAAACTATTTATTTTTTTAACAGTTTATCCCTGTCACAAATATCTTCCTGTTTTATCCAACATTATCCTTCTGCATTTCAGGTGGGCGAGGTGGGCATGAACCGAGATCACAGCAACACCGCCGCGTGCCTTAAGTGGAGCGATCGCAAGTGCTTAGGTTTGTCCTTACTCTTTTTTACGATCATGCAAGTCTTCTTTCTAAACTTTAAACATGCCAACGACAACAACAACAAGAACAAGAACATTATCAAATGCATTAGATAATTTAGCAACAAATGAAAGACGAAATTGGCAACAGAAAAGAAACAAAATTGAACTGTGTAAAGAACGAGAAGTCCGAAGATAAGAAGCAAACAAAGATTTCCATTAAAACTTTGGTAACAACAGGATGAAGAAAAGAATAAAATGCAACAAAAACGAGTAAATTAGTGTAGGCGAGAGAAGGAAGAATTACTGCAAGTCCAAAAAAATATACATACTAAAATTTTTGTAGTTAAATTTAAATGTAAGCCTAGTTTTACACACCGACACAAGCAACACAAACACACACACACACACACACACACGTATTTAAAGGCGTGGCAGGGCAAAAACAAAGGTTGTTCTTTATTGGGTATCCTTTTTTTGTCAAGGAATGGGACGCACAAAGCAAATTTTTGTATTACTTTAGTCGAAATGCAATTATACACATCTATATACAAACGTATCCTAAAATATATATTATACACATTATGTTTAATAGTTTAGTTGAAATTTATTTGTACAAATCGTTTTTGATTGTTTTCGTTTAGACTGTTTGTGTTTGTTTTTAGCCTGTTTAGTTTGATTTGTTTTTCTACGTTTTTTTCGAATGCCTCTCCCCACATACACAGGAAAAAATGATTATCACTTTTGTATCAATTTTTAACATCAAATAACTCTTCATTTTCGTCCTTTTACCTGTTACTTTTTACTTTAATTGTTCAAATTTTAAATATATTTTCCTGTGTAGCGTTCTGTATGTATATATGTGTACATGTAAACTAAATGCATTATTTCAGATATTGCCAAGCCAGCCAAGTAGTCGCGCCACAGTTTGAAAAGCACTGTACGCAAGCTTTTGCTTTTCACTTATTTTGCCTCTAGTTTGAGTCCCCTTCCCAAATCTTTGATTTTGTATAAGGTAAATAAATAGCGTTTAATGCCATGCAGCCAAACAAAAAGAACGTTCAACAAACACAACAACCACTGCAGTTTAGAGTTCATAGTAAAAGACTGTTTCTTAAAATTAAAACTAAATCTTGAACGGGAAAATTAAATGGGTCAATGGAAAAAGAAAAAAAAAACAGATGAGAAATAGAAAAACCAAAACTAAGTATAAAGGAAGGTTTTAGTCTTAAGGCGCCAAGCAAAGCAAACCATTTTGTATCAAAAAACAAACGAAAACAAAATCCAGAAAAAGGCATAAAAATAAACGTGAACAAGTAAATAATAATATAAGGTGTAGGGATAAAGTGTAGCGTAATAAACGGAAAGTAGGCGACAAGCACTAAACACTTAAATCGTAATTATATTTAACAATTTATACAAAAGTTCCTGCAGTTTCCAACAAAGTTGCAACGTGAATCTTAAACACGCAATTATTACCAATTTACACTAAATTGCCGATTAATTTTGTCCTCAACGCAAACACACACACAAAACATATCTTTGTTACAAGTTTGTTGCTTACCTAAATCTATAATATTAAAAACAAATCAAAAAGCAAATTGAGTGCAATAATTATTATTAATTCTCTACTTATCAGCTGCTTAAAATTTATTGAGATATTTTTTTTCGACCGACAAACAAAAACATATCATTTAAACAATTTTCGTTTTGGAACTCGGTACAAACTATTAGTTTACTTAAACAAATTTTATCGAAATTTACTTATCTCCTGTTGTGATTTATTCGTCTATTTTGATTTTGACTTAAGTAAAATGTTTCCAAAATGCATTTTCATTATATGAATAATCATATCGTAACTGCACAATAAACAATACAAATATTAATGTTAATTTAATAAACGAGTTAATATCGAAGTAACGGAAAGGAGAGGAAGTATCTTTTGTTGTTGTTGTAATAAGCAGACACGCACACTCACACAGTACATACACACATATTAGCCAACGCATAAAATATAAACAAACTAAAGCTAGCATATTTCTCTCTGCATTGACAAACAATCGAAAATAGTTGAATTAACCCCCGATCCCCCAGTAAACATATACTATACGCACTAGCAGCGAACAAACAGAAAATATAACTCGAGCCAATGCCTAAACACTTACAAGTATTTACCAAAACTTCGGCAGCTACCAAGATAAATTATGTTGAACAAATTTCCAAGTAGTTTTTGTTAAGAACACAACAAAATTTTGCTCCGTTTCCACGTATTCTGCTGTTCCTCAGCGCACACGCAATTTCGGTACTTATTTATCTTTGAGAACCAGAATACACAGGAAAATAAGTCTAAAGCGTAATTACTCGATCAAGTAATTAGAGAAAAAGCCAAATTAATATTTAAGCTTATACTAAATGAACCATTCGAAAGAGAAAAACAAAACAAAAAAAAAAACAAAAACTGGTACTAGGGCCTGGGGTAGAAATTAGCAATTAAACTTATTATCTTTAAAGCCACAAAATTGTAAAAAAAAAACATCGGAACAAAATGCTTGCAATTAATGAAAAGGAAACAAAATGAAATTAAACTTTTTTAAATGTAAAGAAAACAAAACAGAAATTATTCACTGGAATTAGTGAAACAACCTCGTAGGTATGATGAAAATTGAAATTGAAAATGCTGCAATTCGAAACTCAATACAATTTTTTATGTATGTTTGTGTATATATCTATCTATATAATATCTGTATGAGTAATAAATAAATGCATTGAAACCGTAAAATACCAAACGTTGTTGAACCAATTTATTTCCAACAAACAATTCAAAGCAGCAAGCGAATCATGCTCAAAAAAATTAAGATTTATAGCAAGAAAGAAGATTGCCCTCCGCCGTATTTTACCATACTTTCTCCGACTGCAGTTCAGAGTTCACAAATTCCCATTGAGGTTTTGAGATTGCAGACAAGGTGAGTGTGGTTTCATCCCAAATATTGTTTTGTTCTCCTTTTTGGTTTAAACGGAAAGTTTAATTTCCCCACACTGATGTGTGACATTAACCACTTTCTAATTTGCTTTCTTCGTTACGTTAACTTTTAAACACAATAAACACCTACATTCTCATGTCCGTAGTGGTTTTTTGGTGGAGGTACAGTGAACACTCCTATGCTGCCATCTTCAATTGCACACTGACTTTTATGATTTATATTTGCGTTCTTATTTTTTGAGCATGTTTTTTCCGACTGAGCTTGCTTTGAACATTTTGTTGTTAATAGATGTGTTTAAGATTCGAAGTAAATACATTATCCTTAAAAAGTTGTTTATAAATTATTTTAAATTAAAATGTAAAATTTTAATTTTATTTTCAAAATAATCTTTTTTTTCTTAATACATATTTGAGTTATTTTTTTAAATTCAGTAAAATATTTTGTTTCCTTGAACCTTTTCTTACACGCAGAAAACATAGCTCACTCTGATTTTGATTTATGTTTTACTAAGACTTCATATCATCTTTCTAACCGACTAACTTCCAAACTTTCTTCTTTCACTAAAACTTTCACCGAGGTAAATTGCTTTTTGGCTCTTTAGAACCTATATATATATATATATATTAATACATTTTTTTCTAACCCTCCTCAGAGTGCGATGAGTCTGCTTATATGTATGAGGATCTGTGCTATAATGTCTGCCCGCTGCACACTTATCCGTTTGACAAACTGGCAGCGGATGAGGAAGAGCTGGGGGATGAAGCCAGTCCTGCTCCTGTGAATCCCTACAGCAGCCCCACCACCGATCCTCCCGCGTCGATGTCCAACAGCATAGATGACAAGCAGGATCCTCTGCAGGCGGAGGATCGCCGACGACGTCGTCGGAGTCAAACCTCTGGTATTCCACTCACCCCGCTGGTGGAGACTCCCACTCGAATCTGTGCCGGCTGTGACCGGAGCTGCCTGGCCTGTCATGGACCCCTGGCCTCCCAGTGCAGCACCTGTGCGCCGGGCAGTCAACTCCGGAAGATCCTGAACGAGACCTTCTGCTACGCCTACGTGGTTCGCAGCACGGGAATGGCCACTGTGGTGGACATGTCCGAGGAGGGAGATCGGAAGACCGAGCAATACATGACTGGCACCACCGTGCTCCTTTTGATATCAGTGATTCTCACCCTGATGGGCGTGGCAGTTGCCGGAGGCATTGTGTACCATCGGAGGGCAACTGCCCGATCCAACGAACTCTACTCCAGGGTTTCTTTGATGGTCGGCGATGAAAGTGATTCCGACAACGAAGACGAACTATTCAGGGCCCATTTCCTAGGAAAAACAAAAGATGTCATCGAGTACCGTGATGAACCATCCAGCGAAATAGCCTCCAGCCTCCAGAAAAACACCAGCCATTTGGTTCCCTAGATAATCGGGATTAATTACTAGTTACTTCATGCATTTAGCCACCCTCATAACCACCAGAAATATTATACAAATCCTCAGCCAAGGAAAATCACATTTTCGGTTAATAAACTCTGCTACATTCGACGGCATTATAGCTCCTTTATTTCAAGCCAAAATAGATTAAAAGTATTAAAAATATAAAAAAAACGAAGCGACAATCAAAACTAATTTTATATATTTATGCCTGAATAAAATTATTATGAAATACAAGTTGTGACACTGACTAAATGGTAGGGTGAGTCACAGTGGAATCAAAAAACAAATATTTACAACTTGTTGAGAATCACATAAGTAATCGATACACCGATTCAGCACTCGAGAAAATCTTGAAAAAGTTGATATAAAGATAAGGAAGTGTTGAAGTTATAATTTGATATTTCAGGGCTGTTCCAAAATCCGTCCTTGACTTTCAGAGGACCCTTAGTAGGTGAACTGCAATCTCGGCGTTAAAAGCAATCAATTAGCTAATGGAAAATATAAACCCAGTTGGGCCTCGCATGGTGGCACGGCTTATCGGTCGGGTTATCACGGGGCTGTCTAAAGTGTTCTCCCCAGGTGAGAAATGTGTTGACAACACGCTCAAGAGTTTTATTTGTATAATATGCTGACCAGAGCTCTTTAGAATCGCCTCGATTTCCTTATCGCGGCTATATTAGGAACATCAAATGGCCCCTGCACGTTAGTCGTGTTCGGCGAAACGGACCAAAATGAGGTTTATTGTACTACCACTGCTGCTGGCATCCTGCTGCCTCTGGGAGGCGGTTCAATCCTGCGCCAGCATCGAGCAGCGCTACAAGTTCAAAAACAGCAACATCTACGTGCGTCTGCGGCGAGGCGACAAGTTGCAGTATGAGGTGATGAAGGGCGAGAAGACCCTGCAGACGGTCACCTTCGACAACTTCGAGAGCAGCGCCAACCTGGTGGAGACCACCAGTGGAAGCTACCAGCTCACCGACGGCACCTCCACCATCGAGTTTACCCTGGTTCAGAATGGAGTGGTTTCCGGCACTGGCAGCGAGATTACCCATGTGAAAGTCTCCCGGGATCAGGTGCCGCAGGGCAGCCAACCCAGGGATTGTTTCCCCCTGAACACCGGTTCCACCCATTGGTTCAGTGGCCCCGAGCAGAAGCAGCACTACTGGCCCGTCGAGAGGCAGAGGCACAGCAACTACTCGTATCTGCCCAAGGAACTGGACAACTTTGGAGTGGGCGAGCGCTATTGGCTGAATGGCAATGGAGTCTTCCTGTACGTGGAGGGCAACACTCCGCTGTTTATCGATCAGAACACAGCCGACTACCCAGATCAGTTGTGCTTGAGTGCCACCAGTGCCCTGCCCTACGATCCCCGTGTGACCTCCGCCAAGTTCGTGTACCACATCGCCGTGGCCAAGGACGCCAAGGCGGCTCACAAGTACGCGGTGAAGAAGTTCCACGGACAACCCACCGGTTTCCCCGACGAGCGAATGGTCATGCACCCCGTGTGGTCCACCTGGGCTCTCTACAAAGCTGAAGTGACCGACGAGGTGGTGAGGGACTTTGCCCAGCAGATCCTGGACAATGGCTTCAACAACAGCCAGCTGGAGATCGACGACGACTGGGAGGATTGCTATGGAGCCATGACCTTCAGGAAGAACAAGTTCCCCGACAGCAAAAAACTGACTGACGATCTCAAGGCCTTGGGTTTCCGTGTGACCCTGTGGATTCATCCTTTCATCAACAACAATTGCACAGCCATCTACGAGGAGGCCAAGTCCCTGGGCTACTTGGTGCTGGATCACGAGGGAAGCTCCGATACGCAGTGGTGGAACAGTCAGCCCAAGGATGCTGCCATCCTGGACTTCACCAAAACCGAGGTTCAGACGTGGTTCTCCACGCGTTTGAAGCGCCTGCAGGATGAGGATGGCATCGATAGCTTCAAGTTCGACGCTGGCGAGACCAGTTGGCTGCCCAGCGATCCAGTGCTCCAGCCCAGCACTTCCATGGTGACTCCTCTTCAGGCAGTTGGAGATTATGTGCGCACTGTGGCCGCTTTTGGAGACATGGTGGAGGTGCGATCGGCCCAGAACACCCAGGATCAGCCCATCTTCGTGCGCATCGTCGACAAGGATTCGGAGTGGGGCTGGAACAATGGCCTTATCACACTGATCACCTCGATGCTGCAAATGAACCTCAATGGGTATCCTTTCGTCCTGCCCGACATGATCGGTGGTAATGGCTACTATGAGAAGCCTCCCACCAAGGAACTTTTCCTCCGCTGGCTGCAGGCCAATGTCTTCATGCCCGCCCTGCAGTTCTCCTTCGTGCCGTGGAATTTCGATGAGGAGGCCATCGAGATTAGCAAGAACTTCACCGCCATGCATGCCACCTACACGCCGTATATCATGAAGCTTTTCAAACGGGCCGTGGATACTGGAGAGCCAGTGAACGCTCCCCTCTGGTGGATCTCCCCCACTGATGAAGTGGCTCAATCTATTTATGATGGTGCGTAGAAATCTCTATGGTATTTTACTTATATTATAACTAAAAAATTTGATTTGATTCCCCGCAGAATTCCTTCTGGGCGATGACATCATCGCTGCTCCCATCGTGGTTGAGGGGGCCACCAAGCGTGATATTTACTTGCCGGAGGGCGAGTGGAAGGATGGCAATAGCGATCTAACATACACCGGACCCACCTGGGTGATGGACTACGCCGCTCCCCTGAACACCCTGCCCTTCTTTGTGCGGGTGGGATTCGTTCTGGAGTAGAGTGAAAATTAAACGCTTAGTTTAGGCTTTTAGGCATTTATATTTTTCTTAAAAAAACGAACAAAAATCAATAACGTAAACATGATATAAAACTGGCACAGCAAATTTGGTAAAATCCGGGGAATAATCTTATCTGGGTCATTTCCCTAACTCAAGTTGGCCGGTGGTTGTTATTTGTTCGGTGGTAAAAAGTCTCCCGATCCAGTCTGCGAACTATAGGAATAACTTTGTGACAGGCCGTTCTGCCGGAACTTTCCGTACTCCCGCTCGAATTCAATGGCGTCTTTGGTCAGTATCTGTCTCAGGTCAATGGGTCTGCAATAAAAACAAGTTCACTGATTTGCAAAAAGAAGTAACCAATAGAATACATACTCGACTTTAAGGCTGTTGTGTTCCCTCTCCAGATTTCTTTCGTAAGCAGCCAACTTAAGAGCATGCACTCGCCTTGCACTTCTTCGCCAGCGCTTTTTGTAGTACTCCCTTTCGCGAGCCACATTCAGAAATCGTAAGTTCTGGGACTTCAGCTCGCCGAGAACCTGCTTGAGATCTCCTTCCTCGGTTCCCTGAGCCTTGAGAGCTCCGATCTGCTGCTCCATGGCCGCAATGCGAACCTTTAGTTCCGTTTTTTCGGTACACAGTTGTAGGTTCTCCTGGCGCAGCTCCACGCTTCTGTCTTCGAAGAGCCTTACCTGCTCTTCCATCTCGGATTTTAAAAGCGATATGTGTTCCTCCAACTCTCTAAACTTGGCCTCATAGTCAATGTCGGACACACTTGTTCTTTTACTGATAAAAGTCTCATCAAGATCAGCCTCCACCTTGTTTAGTTTATGTGTTCTGGCCTCTTGGGATTCAATTTCTTCCAACTGTTTCTTGTAGTGCAACTCCTTTCTTAATAATTCTTGCTCAAAGATTTCGATTTGTTGCCTCCGCCAGGATTTGATCTTCTGACCCACAGAATCGTTATTTAACGTCGGATCTACACCGAAATCTTCCTCCGTGGCAGTTAAGTTCATGTATTCGTTTTGGGGTCTAATTTTCTTTACGGAACTTTTGGAAGATCTTCTCTGGGTCGTTTTGCATTCCTCATGACTGTCAACCACAGGCTTAGATTTCTTCTTCACAACTTTTTTGGTATGAATATGAACAACTTCCTCGGGTGGTTCTTCGTTTTCCACGTTGTCAGTTACAACAGATGTCTTTTTTCTGGTTATCTTCTTTTTTACTGGCTTGACAAATTCTTCCTGAAGTGTTTCGCAATCTTCATCAACTGGAGATTTCATTATTTTCTTTTTTCTAACGATTTTTGCATCGCTCTGTTGAGTGCCTGGTTTGCTGATTTCCACAGATTTTGAATTGTCTTCTGACGTAGATATAAATTCTTGCGAGCTGGCAACTTCAACTTGAATTAATTGTATTTCTGCTTTCGAAGCCGTCTTCTTTCTTTTTATCCGTGAATCCCGATTATCGGCTCCGGAAGAGATACTTTCTGTGGATTTCTTATTACCTCCATGCGAACAAATAGACTCCTCGGAGGTCCTTAATTCAGTTGATGAAATCTTCTTCTTTTTCTTAACACATTCATCTTTAGATCGAGCCACGGGTTTTAAATTCTCCTCCGACAAAGAGTTATTTTCTTCGCTAGACCTGAACCTAATCTGATTTTCCTGCTCCTCATCATAAGGAGACCTTTTCTTTTTCTTTAAGCGATCTTTGGAATGAGCAAAAGTGACTCGCTGTTCTGTTTCCAAATACATCATTTCAGCTGATCCTAAATTTATCTCCGACAATGAGATATATTCCTCGGAACAGCCGAATTCCGCTTGGTGCAACTGATTCTCGCTTGGCACAGCCTTCTTTAATTTTTTTGTCAAGCTTGAAGACTGGGAACGAGAAGTTCCCTCCACATAAGAATCTTCATAATCGATAGTCTTAGCCTTGACTGTTCCCAGTTTCTTTTTGGGCTTTGGAGGCTTTGCCAAGCCGAGCGCCAACTGATCCTCGTAAAGGACCTCGTCGAGCTCGGCACGGCATGTCTCCTGGAGAAACTTTTCGGTTTCGCCCAAGGCTTGACTTTGCACCTTGTTGACCTCCACCCAACGTGCTCGAAGGGCTAGATCGCTTTTCGATGCTCCTGAATTTCTAGTTTCTTGAGTACTTGTGGAAATTTCTTCAAAGTCCTCCATTTCTTTTGGTTTTCGCGATTTTGGTTTTGTTTTTAACTTGCTTTGCACATCCAGAATACTTAAGTCAGTTTCAGTTTCTAAATCTGAACCCCTGCTATCTGAAGCTTTAAAACTTTTTGGAGATTTTGGTTTCTTGCATAATTTTTCTCTGGATGAAACAAGTCCATACCGGAGATCTTCTTCGCTCTGTTCATAGCTGTCTTCTATAAAAACTATGTTATCTGTTTGTTTGTTATTTATAGTTTTGCTTCTTAAAATATCTTCGTTAAGTGCTGTTTTAGAAACCCTTTTTACATTGGTTTTGCTCACTTTCTTTTCGGAAATCGTTGGCTTTGAAGGTTGGGCTTCGGTGAAACTTTGATCGCCTAAAACATCTTGGTTTACTTTAGTGGTTTTTATTATTTTGCTTTCCCTTCTTCTTGGAGAAGATTCACTAAGGCCTGCCTTAAACCTTTGCCTTCTCAAGGTTTCCAGTTCAGCTTGCTTCGCTAATTTCATTTCCTCCAACTCAAAAAGTTGCAAAGACGTGTGTTCTTCAATGCTATTATCCATATAAGGGGTCATGTTCTCAAGAGATTTGATTTTTGTTGGGGAAGATTCCCTCATCATTTCTTTGGATCCCTGCGATTTGATCTTGTGTTTCTTGAGCAATCCTGTATTGTTCTCTAAATCCGAAAATTCTTTGACTGAAGTTTTAAGTTTTTTATCATCCTCAATTTGTTCTTCTAATATCTGTTTAATTTTGTTGATAACGCAAGGACCAACCATTTCCGTTTCCGACCCATCTGATAGCTCTACTTTCTTAGTTTTCGATGGCTGCAACTCCACACTCTCGTTTAAATTCAGATCTTTACGGACCACTAACGCTGAGTAGGTCTTCCCCAAAAACTGCTCGTCTTCGCTTTCCAGAATGTCCTGCTCATCCTGCAACCTAGTGAATTTCCTCCGCCTATTTTGAGCGTTACGCAGATCAGCTGGATCGGAATCGTGTCCATCTGCTCGGGCCGATCCTACAGATCCGTAGGATCCCTCTGAAGCCGACAGCTCGGCACCCACATTTAAGCTGCAGACGGATGCAGTGCGGTGCGATACTGAGGTGACTTCCGGGTCCATGCGATCCTTAGGCAGCTCCCTGATAACCCCGCTTGCAACCGTAGGCGGTCGTTCAGGTTGCTCCTGTTCCTGTTTCGAGAAGATCGTTTTCACATCCACACTGAAAGAGTACTCCATGAGGGGAGGTTTGGGTTCCCTGGCGCTGTCTGCCCTGCCTAATCGGTTAAAGGAAAACGATCCGTTGTAGGTGTACTTTTTATTATCCGAGAAGTAGTCGTCCGGCGGAAGAAGGTTGGCAAAGTCCATGCGGTAAGTGGCTGCACAAAACTTACAATTAAATCTTATTAATTATGAACTATATTAAATATTTACCTATCGCGGTTCCACTCATGTACATATTGATGGGAAGATAGAAAATACGCTGAAAGTAGAGCCGCATGCTGCGCAAGGAAGTTTTGAAGCGCAGTCCCAGGACATCATTCAGGGCATAGGAGTCGGACTCGTTCAACTTCAGTTCTATGTTGGTCACGTTGCCTACAAAATCAAATACCAGGATCACCGAGCCGGGGCTTTTGTCCTGCACGAGTGACTTGACCAGCCGGGTCACGTTCTTCAGCTGCTTCAGCTGAAGCACCACCTCGATGATGTCGCAGTCGACAAGAGGATCATTGCCCACCTGCAGCAGGCCCAATTGCACCAACGACTGTACGTACACGTTGGCCTGGGAAAAAAGACTTGTAATCTGCACTTAGGTTTATTGAAATCCAGTAATTCACCTGCGACTGGAGCATGCTGGCAGTTATCGAATGTCCAGGTGACTGCATCGGTGGAGTGGGTGCCGATTTCTGCTTACAAAAACAATTTAAGTATAAATGTTAGACTATTATAAAAAACGAGAAAAGAAGCTGTATAGCTTTCTTTTCGCCTGGTACTTCAAAATGCGTTTAACCCAAAAATTTTATCATAAAAATTAATAAATGTCCATAAAATGTCCATAAATAAAAAAAAGCGGCCAACAAAAAAAATTATGCAGTTGGTTAAAGAATTAAAATATAAACTTTTAGATGTATGCCATCAAAATCCGACTAAAATTGGAAAAGTCATGGACTTAGAACTAGTGAAATTTGGTCAATTTTCAGCAAACCCATTTTTTGGACATTTGCAAACCCCTGCAAGGGAATACAACAAGAACATACTTCTGTGAACTGCATGAGGTGATCAAAGTCCTTGGTGTGCAGAATGGACTTCTTGATGATGGCCAGCATGAGCAGGACCTCCGGCTTGTGGGATCGAAACTCGCTGCTGATGCAGATGAGCTTGTGCCAGAACATCTTCAGATGGGTTGCGTTCTGGCTGCCAGTGGAACTAATAACCGGAAGTCCTCGCACGGGCAAAAGGAGACTGCCAACAGTCTTTCGCTCTCCTCCACCAGTTCGGCAGGCATAAAATGTGATTTTAACGGGTCGATGGTCAGTCTTGATCCGCTTGATCCCGGCCAGGTCGCACTCCCAAATGCAGTTGCTGTTGAAGATAATGGTCTCCGCTGACTGAGTGCCCTCCACCTCAAAGTCCACAGTGTTCAGTGCGGCATTCATCACTATCTGTTCTCGTTCGCTGCCATCGCGAGCCACGAAGTTGATTGCTGCTTAAGGAACAGTTCGTATTATGAAGTATTATATTTTATATTTTTATAAAAGCCAACCTTCGACCACATGGAGCAGTACACAGTAGACCTGGTCAGATTCCTTGCCACTTCCACTGGCGCTTCCTCTGTCGCTGGTCGTCGTCGAGCGGGATGCCTTGTATCGCTTTACCATTTTTCGTGTACGTGGATTGGACGTTGGATAATAATTTAATTTCTCTAATATTAGGAGCTCTGAAGTGTTGGACTTTTCAAACTAAATTTTAAAGGGGGCCTTCGCGAGTTTGTGCATCTGATTTCCGTCTCGATCCTCCGTTTCTGTCGTTACCTCTGGTTGTCCGTAGTTTTGTATGTGGCAGTTCACTTTGAAGGGACAAGCCAATGCCACTTGGATTGGTTGTCAAGGAGACAACGGGCGAATACTATCGGTTGTGGACAGCAGGTGGCATTATCGCAGGATAGGTGAAACCACCCCTAGAAACCCGGAAAACCTTGGTCAAGGAAGGGTGGAACCTGTAGAGCTTCTTTATGGATGTGTTTTTACTTTTCAAGTTGAAAATAACTGCCTTTTCAATTGGTTTTTGTTTTATTTACAAAAAGAGAACACCGATTTTATTTTATTTTCAAACCTTTCATTTATTAAAATATTTATTTAAAATCTTATACGTTAAATTGCCGTTGACCCTAAAAAATAGCGGGTAAGTAAAGAAAACTCAGCTTTAAAGTTTGGGAAGTCCTTTTATTCCCCACTCTTATATAGAGAACTGCTCCAGAACCGTTCGTCTTGGGGGCTCCGCCGATTCCTGGCCCTCCTCGTAGTGGCTCTGCTGCATGCGGTGGTTCTTCAGCGCGGTGCCCTGGATAAAACGCTCTCCGCAGACGCCGCATTGGTAGGGCCGCTCGCCAGTGTGCCGGCGGATGTGGAGGGTCAGGTCGTTGGACTGCGTGAAGCTCTTCTCGCAGTAGGTGCACTTGTACGGCCGCTCTCCGCTGTGGATGCGCATGTGCTGCTGCAGTTTGTACGAGCGGGCGAATCCCTTCTGGCAAACAGTGCACACATGCGGACGTTCGCCAGTGTGCGTCCTTCGGTGGCACTGGAGGTCGGAGGATCGCGGGAAGGCCATCGTGCAGTATTCACACTTGAAAGGCTTTTCGCCGGTATGACGCCGCATGTGGATGATCAGGTTGGAAGAGGAGCTGACCGCCTTGCCGCAGAATGCGCACAGGAATCGCTTTGGTTCCTTGGGCGATGTCGGTCGATTAGAGGCCTTCACTAAACTAGGACCCTTGCCATCCGGTCCGTGGAACTTCTTTGCGTGCGCCGTAAGCCGATCCTTTCGGTTGTACTTCTTGGGGCAAAGTCCACACTGGAACACCTGGCTCTCTGCTTTCGGTTCGTCCCCAGACGCCTCCTTGGATTCATCCAGCTCATGATCCTCTGACTTTTCATGCTGCAACTGCATGTGCTGCAGCAGATTGGACTCCCACATGAACTTGTAGCCACAACGAGTGCAGGTGAACTGCTTCTCCCGATTCTCGCACTGCGTTTTCTTATGATGAGCAATTATGTCTGGGCAAACGCTTTTGAAGATGCACTTATCACAACCGTCGGGAATCTTCTCCATCCGGTGCATGGCCTGCTGGTGCTGTTGCAGCTCGAACTTCCGCGTGCACCTCAGTTGGCACATACCGCAAGTATAGGAAGCAGGAGCACCGGGTGGCTTAATAGCACCGCCATCGTCAGTCTCCGAATCATTCAGCTCCATCTCGTAGCCCATCTGGTTGGTAATAGAGTAGTTCTGATTTGAGGTGAACTCGTGGTGGCTTCCTGCTGGCATGGTTTCCAGATGCAGACGCAGAGCGGCGATGGTGGAAAAGCTTACGCTGCACACGCGACACTCCACCTTCTTTTGGCCACCAGGATTGCCGTAGGACTCCAGAATGGCCTCGGCATAGGGCAATTGGCCGGCAGTTATCCCATGGCGAACGATATGCTGTACAAGATTGGCCCAGCGATAGAAGCGACGAGCACACCAACGACATCGGTAGATGTTCGACTCCTGGCCGTGCATGAGGGTGTGGCGTGTGAGATCCTTCTGCATCTTGAAGCTGCGATGACACTCGCCGCACTGAAGATCGCCATGTGCCGGAGGGGATTCATCGGGGATTGAGATTTCGGTTTGCTGATGGGACAGGTTCATGTGAAGCTTCAGGTTCTCCCGCCAGCGGAAGCGCAGAGGACACTTGCGGCACTGGAAAACTTTCTGCGGATTGTGGCATAGGGTTCTGCAGTGATGCTCCAACAGAGATTCGCTGACAAACCTAGCCTGGCATTGGGAACAAACAAGGAACGCCTCCTCCCACTTGTGCTCCTCCAGTTGGTGAGCAAACAGTTGATGTTTTCTTTCCACCACCGAGGTACATAGATTGCAGGCATAGGTTTTGGCTGAGAAGTCCGCCTCCTGCTCGGATTCAGAATCAGTTTCGCTGCTGTCGAGATTTAGCTCCATGCCAGCCTCGTTGGTAATGGAAATAAATCGATCCAAATCCCTTTCCATTTCCACATCAGCCATAATCCTCCCGGCAAGTTCATCTCTGTTCAAGGAAGTTGCAAGTTCTGGGTAAAAGGCTCTTGAGGCACTGGGAATATCTCTCTCTTCGGAAAAGTTCAATCCGTATTGATGTGAACTCAGGTGGGTGCGCAGATCACTGATCCTTGAGTGCCGGGAAAGGCAGATCATGCATTGAATCACCTTGCAACCATGGGGCCGACTAAGTCTTGACAGAGTTATTTCTAGAACATTATTGGCAGTTGTACCCCGCTCATTTAGGTGATCTGGCTCTCCAGCATGAACTTTTAGGTGGGACTTTAGGCCATCCTTTCGGTGGAACTTACGATGGCAATGCGGACAGTCGAACTGTGCCGCTGATTGAGGTTGGTGCAATCGCATGTGACGGGTGAGATCTTTATGCCAGATGAATACCTAAAATAAAATGAAAAATAAAGATTGCTTCAAAAAATATTGATAGTATTTTAGACATCTCTCACCTTCTCGCATTCGTCACACTGCAGCTTTGCGGACGAAGAACTGAGCATGCCGCTCAGCTGATCTGCATCTTTCCTTTCTTCATGGTATGTCTTCAGATGCTGCTCAAAGTTGATCTGCCAAACGAATCGGAGATTGCAACTCTGACAGTGAAACCGTGAGTGTTTCTTGGCACACATGCGTCTTCGGTGTTGTTCAAGAAGTGCCTTGCTCACGAAACCAGAAGCGCAGTCCTCACATGAACATGGCAGCTCAGTTGCTTCAGAATGGAAGCTCTTTTGGTGCTGCAGCAGGCTCGTTAATGTGTTCGCTACAGCTCCACACAACAGACAGGTGTGCGTGGGTTTCTCCTCTTCGGCCTGCTCCGTTTCCGAATCAAATAGATCCAGCTCTTGACCGCTTCCCGTACAGGCGTTGTAGTAGCGATCAAAGTCCTGGACCTCAAAGTCTTCAGCTATACGAGCAGCCAGATCCGAGGGAGAGCACGTCAAACCATCCGGATAAAACGACTGGAAGAATGAGGAATCGTACTTTGAACTAATCCCATTTAAATCATGCTGGTGGGTGGTGAGATGAATGCGAAGTTGCGCCAAACTGGGAAGCGTGGCATCACATAGCGAGCAAGATATCTGCTTGGTCATAGACTCTTTTTCTCTCGAATTGGAGCACGCGTGCCTCTGCAGGTTTTCCGGCCACATAAACTTTCCAGGACATTTAGGGCAGTGATATCGCCTCGCTTTGTTGTGGCAATGGGTGCTTAGATGTTGGTTGTACAGAGTTGAACAGAGGAAGCCTATTTTACAGGAACTACACCGCTGCCAGGGAAGCGTTGAAGGCGATTCTGAGTGATTCTCTAGGGTGTGCCTCACTAAGCGATGTTTGCGGGTGAAGGAGAGGTTGCATACGAAGCAGTGATATTTCGCCTCTGTGCTGTCACATTCTGCATCGGAATCACTGACTCCCACTTCATAGCCGTGGAAATTCACAACGCTGGCAAACTTTTCCGTGTTTCCTTCGGCGATATCAGCGCAGATCTGTTGCTTGACGATTTCCAAATCGCAAGGCAAATCAGGAAAGTGCTCTCTGACCACATCACTATCGTTTCTTAAGTGGACTAGGGTCTTCACATCCGCATGACCTCTTAGATGAAATCTAAGCTCCTCCAGTCGCTGGCAATGTAATCCGCACAACTTGCACTCGATTCTCTTCATTCTACCGGAGCTGTACAGACGCTCGGCAAATCGCCATTCGTTTCCCATTTGTAAAGCCTTCCATTTGGACTCTCGTTTTTCGTGACAGCGGATGTGGAACATGTACTTGTCTTTGCGCAGGAATCCTTTTCCACAAGTATCGCACACGTATGAGGCCTTCTCGAAGTGAATTCTGGCGTGACGCTGCATGTCGCGGAACCATGAGAAGGTTTTGCCACACACTCCGCATTCATGGCGGCCATCATTGGTCATCGTTAGGTTTTTGGCCGGTCCCGGTGGACGTCCTCTTCGGCGTTTGACTGGCGATGGTTCTGTTGGTTTAACACTGCGGAAATAAACTTTAGATTTAGCTTTCTTTACTCAGCTCTTTAGCTTACTCCTCATTTTCACTCTCCACAGGCTGCTTGACTTTCCGAGAACTACGCCGTAAATGATAGGGCTTCTTATCCACTGGTTCCCTGTAAAGAAGTAGGATATACTTTAAGATTGCACAAAATGTGAAGCACACCTACTCATCAGATTCTGCTGCATCAACGAATTCCTCCTCGCTGGCGCTTTCTGGCTGCCATTTAAGCTCCAAAGCCGCCAATCCTGTGGAACCTATGTCCACCTCTGACTTGCCATCATCCTCAAGGTCTACCTCTGTCTTAATGTTCTGCTCCTGAGGAATATCGATGGGTATTTCATCCAAACACTCCCTCAGGCGAACCAGCAGCTCCTTATTGACTTTTCTGGCCTGCTCTACAAAGGCGTGGGCATTCTCCAATCTCGTCCAGCAATCGGTGCACAATTGCTGTGGAAGATTGTCATCCAAGCTCTCTCGCTGGAGCTATACAATGGGGTTATAGCTTGGTTTATCTAACTTGTAATATATCTCGTTTAAAACACGTACATTAATTTGCGTAAGTTCCTGGAGCACATCGTAGAAACTTTTGGAGGCGTCTTTTTCCAGGCAAGTGGATAAGGGCAGTAAACGTCCATCTTGCTGAGCACAGGTTCGACAGATATTCGTTGGAAGCATTTTTCGCCTATCAACTTAACCTACGCATAATTTTAAGCCCGAAAAGTTAAGAAAAACTGGGGTAAACAAGAAAAAACTTTTGAAGAACAAACGAATGCAACAAGAGCCCTTTTGCAGTATGACCGTTGCGCTCGCACAGCTGTTTACTCCCAGAACACCGTGTTTTGCAACACTTTAAAATCAGCTGTTGCGTATCAGACACTTCCCAATTGGAATATTTATAAAATTTTAAACAAAATAAATGTGTTAAAACATGACCCGCACTTGCAGAATCTGTGGCGGCGACAACGGTCGCTACTGGATTGAGACGCCTGTCGAGAAATATGCAGAGAAGACCTTCGGACAGCTGCTGCTCGAGCTGACCAGAATAGAGGTGGGTCAATTGTCCTTTTGTCGTCCAATTGCCGCCCGCATTGATACTAATTCACTTTAAATGACTTTAAAAGGTAGCGATGGCGCAGGCGGAGAAGTTTCCCCAGTGGCTGTGCTCCGCGTGTGCCGAGAAACTGGAGAGCACCTACGACTTTGTGCTGCAGGCGCGGCAGACGCACGAACTCTGGCTGCAAAAACTTGGCGACTTTGCGGGCGGCGATGAGGAGGTCTCTGGGGCCTTAGAGTGCCTCCGCGAGACACCCATCCACCTGTTTGAAATAGAAGGCGTGACCATAAAGACCGAGGAACTGGCTTCCTCGCACCGAGTGGCCAAGGCCGATCCTCTGGTGCGGACACGCTTTGTTAAGCGCAGCATAGTCCACTTCAGCGACTCGGATGACGACCAGGACGATGTACCACTGCGACAGCGCAAGAATACTTCTTCCCTCTCCGCCTCTGAACCAGCGAAAGAGAATGTTTGCGAGCTGTGCAACAAAGCATTCAGATATGTCACCAATCTGTATCGGCACAAGCAGCGGGATCATGGCATTGCCGGGAAAAACGGAGAGGAGTAAGTTTATGCTCTTTAGCAATAAGATCATCGGTTTAATGTTGTATTTATTCCGACTAGCTATGATGATAACTACTACAAGTGCGACCAGTGCGAGAAGACCTACAAGTACGTGATGGCGCTGGTTAAGCACAAACACAACGAGCATGGCGCCAGTCTACTGCCCACTAAGATGTCCAGAAGAAAGTTACCCGGAAGGCCCTCGGCGTTGCCCGAGGAGGCCAACCCTTCTAGTCCAGCTTCCACCTCCTGCACCTCCATACACCGAAGCAGGACTAACAATGACTCTCTGGTTCACAGCATCATCAAAGCAGTGGAGTAAGAATAATTTCCTAATTTATTATGCGGGTTGCCAAACTTGTTTCATCTACTCAATAGTTAACGGGCTGCTCCGGAAATCTTTTGTATCGCAAAAAGCGACTATAATTGCATTATACCTAAATTTCCCTATACCCGCATAATCTTCTGCATAAAATCAATCGCCTAATAAACAATATTTTCCCCAGGCTTTCGGATGAGGACGGCACCAGCAGCGTGGACAACTACTACAAGTGTGATCAGTGCAGCAAAACCTACAAGTATATTGTGAGCTTAATCAAGCACAAGCACAAGGAGCACTCCGACAAACAGTCTGATAAGCAATCGGAGTCGGACGATGATCAGCCACTGCCCTCCACTTCCGCCGCGGCACTTCCCTCAGCCGCCAAGCCCTCGAGGATCAACCGTCGGGTCGAGGGTTTCGACCACCATCGATGCGAACCGAATGGTGCCAAGGAAATCAAGTGTATGATCTGCTTGCGAAGGTTCACCAAACTGCGTGAACTTAGGGACCATCTGCAGGATCATCCCACTGACTTCGATTTCGAGGCGCACGGCGAGCCCATCGAGCGCATTGCAGAGGGATTTTTCAAAACAGCCGTGGAATCCACGTCGGAGGGTTTGAAGAGGCGAATTTTTCGAGATCTCAGAATGGGCGTTTATGGACGCTACTATTCAATTACGAATCAAGCTCGCTACGAGATGTCCCTGGACAGTTCGGATACGGACAGTGAAGGCGATGGAAATGCGGACGTTGTCATCCGTCGAAGCTACTCCTGCGAACTCTGCGATTCCCCAGAGGCCAGGTGGCCCCGAAAGTACCTACTGCACCAGCACCACCGGATGGAGCATAGCTGGACAGATGCTCCTCACGTCTGCCAGCGCTGCGACTCGAGGTTCCTCAGTGCCCAGCTGCTAGAACACCACACCAGCCAACTGTGCCAAAACACTCTGAAGCGCTTCATGTGCGACAAGTGTCCTCAGCGTTTCTTTTGGCGCCGGAACCTGCGCGCCCATCTCGTCGAGCACAAGAGCAAGGTGAGGAGCTGTACAAATCAGAGGATAATAAGAAGCTGTCGTTTAGAAACGACAAACCACAAGCCATAAGACTATTTTTACTTTCTATGTTCTCATTTTATTTTTACGCATTCAAATCAGACAATATAAATTACCTTTTGTTCAAAGAAATCTCTAAAACCAAAGACCACAGTTTTATGCTTTTAATTTTGGTTATACAAGTTCTCAAAGACTTTTTAAAAAGGGGCAAAACGTTTTAAAATTTAAAATTCTCAATAAAATCTCTGTCTTGTTCTTATCTCTTTCAGCAAGAGACTTACCCATGCGATCAGTGCTCCCGGAGTTTCCAAGACAAGAGCGCCGTGACCAAGCACAAGCTGATGATGCACCGGGATAGCAACATGCAGCTCCTTCCCTGCCGCTGGTGCACCCGCACCTTCTACCGCCCAGCCTTGTTATACAAGCACGTGCAACGACATGGATTTACTGGCCAGGATCTGCCACTGGCTGAAACCCTGTTGGCGGATGCTTCTAAACCGGCGGGTCCAAAAAGCATTCAGTGCAAGATGTGTGATATCCAGTTTATTAGCGTGGCGGACTTGCGACGGCACATTTCAATGCAGGGCCACAGTAACGAGCCGTCGGCCTACATGATTAGCACTGCCACTGGTTTTGAGCTTCTGCTGGACGATACGGACGACAGTGATGAGGAAGGTAGCGGTCGGTCGTACACCTGCGATCTGTGTGATATGAACTTCCGGCGCCGACGGGAGATGAGTGAACACCAGTACTCGCTTCACAGCTTCGACAAGTTGCCTCACTCCTGCGAGCACTGCATTTTCAAGACGGTGGATAAAGTACGAAAGAATTTTAAAATGTAAATATGAATTTAGTTAACAATAACTTACTTTTAGTTCATGCTGGCTCAGCACCTGCGCACTCAGTGTCTGAACAGCGAGAAGAAGTTTGTCTGCGCTCGCTGTGGCTACAAGTTCATGTGGGAGGAGAATCTGGCCCAGCACCTGGCCACCCAGCATCCCAAGCAACCCGCCGTTCCTGAGCAGCAACCTTCGGTGAGGAGAAAGCGACGGTTCCGCTATCAGTGTCCCCACTGCTGGCGTTCCTTCGTCGTTCAACCCAGCCTGGAGAAGCACATCCGGGATATGCATGTGGCGAAAAAGAACCCAGGAAAGAAGTATCTCTGCTCTCTCTGCGGCCTGGAGTCGCTTACGCCAAATAAGCTGAACATCCACATGCGACGCCACATGGGCGAGAAGCCCTTCAAATGCGATCTCTGCGACATGCGCTTCACGGTCCACTACGAGCTGAAGGTCCACCGAAGGAAGCACACCGGCGAGCGGCCCTACCAATGCACCTTCTGCTCCAAGGACTTTGCTCGACCGGATAAACTCCGGCGACACGTTTTCATGCACAACGTTAAGTCGTGAAGCAATGATTTTAAGACTAACTGATGGTTAAAACCAGTCGCGTAATTCTTTATTATTAAGCAAAATGTGCATTCAGTAGATCTCCATGGAAAAACTAAATAATATAAGCTTCAAATTGCTCTTAATGGATCTTTATAAAGAGTTTAAGATATTAAATTGAAAAGAATTCTTAACTCTTTGAGTATTTCTAACTCTCTTCGGAATGCAGTATTTCTCTTAAAAGTTGGCCCAATGCAAAACAATGTATGACGTCATGGCATTTAAGAGAGAAATTTAACAAGATTTTTATCGGCAAAGTATTTTGTGGGCCAGTAACTATTTGCAGGTCGTTTGTATCAGACATTAGCGCATCTAAACAAAGTTTGCATTATGACGGACCAAACATCTCCAAAATGGGTCAATAAAGAGCTGTTCCATGGCTTGTTGCAGCAGAACAATAACAATTTCAAGGCAATACTAGAATTTGTTCCCACATCTGCGATTAATAAGGGGGAGAATTATTTGACGATCGTGCTACGTATACAAATTGAAATTCAGCTAAAAGGTGAGTAGAAACAATGAACGCATCTTTATCAAATAACTCAAGATAAGATTCAGATGATAGCACGGAAGAAGTCAGCTACATCCTCAAGATTCCTTTGGTTCCGGAAGATCAGGAAAACGATTTCCACGATATGTTCAAATCCGAGCTGGACATGTATGATCGTTTGATTCCCGAACTGGAAGACATTTATGGCAAAAACACATCAATCTCACCGAAATTTAAGCCTCAGCACATGAAGTTTCCAGAAGAGCCGGTTAAAAGCGACTACATTTTGTTGGAGGATCTGCGAAAAAGGGGATACAGAAATGCTGATCGAACACAGGGATTGGAGCTGTTCGAAATGGAGGCAGTGCTCAAGAAGTTGGCCCAGTGGCATGCAGTCTCTGCAAAAAGAGTCACTGAATTGGGGGAATATGAGCAAGGCATTCGGGAAAGTTACTTCACAACCGAACACCAAAAGTTGCTGGATGAATTTAACATCAATTTCTGTGTGCCCTTCCTGGAGTGCATGCAGACATATAATCTGGATCCAGGACAGATGGTCTTAATAGTGAGTTTTCGTATTTAATTGCGAAAAAAATAAAAATTATAATTTTTTGCAGAGCAACTACACATCGAATTTAACAGATCTGAATATAGAGTTTGGCAAAAACGATCCTTTGGCGTTGAACGTGCTTAACCATGGTGATTTTTGGTGCAACAACTTTATGTTTAAATACAAAGATGATACTGAGATAGAAGATGTTTGCTTTGTCGATTTCCAGCTGCCCAAATATGGTAAAAAGAAGATAGCACCAAAAGAAAATAATGGTTTTAATGCTATTTTTAGGAACACCGGCACAGGATCTGATGTGTCTGCTAATGACATCCCCTAAGTTTTCTATCAAGCTGGAAAAGTTTGATTATTTCATAGAGTATTATCACCAGCAGCTCGTGGAACACCTCGAACTGCTCAGCTACAATAGGAATGCACCCACACTGGCTCAGTTCCACACCCATCTGCACAAATACAGTCTCTGGGGTGAGACTGAACTTTCTAACTATTATCTTTCTGAGTTTTTTAGGGGGTTTTATATACAATCCTATCGTAATTGCAGCTTTTATTTGCGCTCAACGTATGCTGCCTGTAGTGCTGCTTCCGCCAGATGTTGACTCAAATATTGGGAATGTAATGGGAAACTCGGAGGAGGCGATGGCATTCAAGCGCAAGATGTTTCTCCTGCCGGCTTACGTGCATCAGATAAAAGTCATATTGCCGTGGCTCATTAATCGCGGTTACATAAGGTGAAATATATAAAACAGGTTCCAGCAAAGCTCAGAGTATTAATTTAAATAATCAATTAAAGTATTTTAATCACTATATATTTTTGTAAAAAAAATGTAATGCAATTAATGTGTATTAGTTTAATAAAGGAAAATAGATGCGAAAAGTTTGAAAACAGTTTAAATGTTATCTTAGAATTGCAATTTAATTTAATTAAAATTAAACTACTCAGTTGGAGGATTTACACCTTGTGGGAATCAAAACAAGAGCGTACACTCTTTCTGCTTACAAAATAAGCTTTTAAGAGAAGATCAAGCACAAGTTGCGGAGTTTGACGAAATAGAAAAAGCGTTCTGCTACTATAAAACTTCAAAATTTCCCCTTTGTCGTTCAAAACAATTCCGTCAAACAAGGCGTATACGTGATCTGATTTTTTGTAAAATACTTATCCCAACTATTTACGATGACAAGTAACCAAGTACCCGACTGGGTGACTCAGGAACTTTTTGAGGATGTCCTTAAATCGAATGTCGAGGGATACTCGAAAATCAGAAGTTTTAGGGCGGGAAGTGGAACTGCGCCAGGAAAAACATACATGAATGTTATGCTTAGAGTTCATATGGAAGTGGAGATTCAAGGTGAGTTCTATCTCTCGTCGGCAGAACTGTTCCTGATATCAACTGTCTGTCCTTCAGATGGCACAACCAAACAGATATCTTACATGGTTAAGTTGCCACATCAATCGAAGGTCTACGAGGAACTAATGAAGCACACCGATCTGTTCGGAACCGAGCGCACAATGTTCAAAGAGGTGGTTCCCGAAATGGAGGCTCTTTACAAGGCGGCGGGCTTGGATGTCACCTTCGGTGCCAAAAGCTACGATCTGAAGAATGCCAAGACAAAGTACCTAGCGATGGAGGATCTATGCACCAAGGGGTTCAAGATCGCCAATCGTCTCGAAGGACTCGATCAGGAGCACACTGAGAGAGCTCTTCGAAAGTTGGCCCAATGGCATGCTGCAAGCGCTGTGCGAATATCCACTAAGGGACACTATCCAGAAACCCTGCTGAAAGGATTTTACATGGAGGAAAACAGGCCAATTATGCTTCAAGTGACGGACAGCAATAGTCAGCTATTCCTCAAATGCTGTAAAACCTACGATAGTAACGAGGCATACATCGACAAAATCGTAAGTTTTAACATAAGTTAAAAGCCATTTTATATCTCCTATTAATTCCTACCATTTAGAAAGCCCTAAGACCTGTGTTAATAGATGAGATGTTTAAGTTAGCCCAAATCGATACAACGGACTTTAATGTGATAAACCACGGCGACTTCTGGACGGATAACATTATGTTCCAGTACGATGATTCCGGAAAAATCAAGGAGGTTTATTTGGTCGACTTTCAGGTCGTGCAATACGGATCTGTGGCTCAGGACTTGTACTCCTTACTAATATCTTCCACGAAACTGGAAGATAAACTGAGCAAATTCGACCACTACATAAAGGTGTACCATGATAGTTTGGTAGAGCACCTGAAAATCCTGAATTACCCCAAGCCAATACCAAGCCTGCGTGAAATGCATCAAACGATGTTCAAATACGGACTTTGGGGTACGTATATCTTAGAATCGTTTTGTAATTATTATTATTTTTTTTTTACTTGTTTTTTAGGTTACAATATAGCCACTGGTCTAATGTGTGCCGTATTAGCAGATCCAAAAGAGGGTGTCGGTTTTGAGGAATTCGAAAGCGAATCCGATGAGGGATTGGACTTGCATATGCAAATGTACAACAATGCACGCTACCGAAAACACATCCAGGCGATTCTGCCCTGGCTGCTTCATCGGGGCGCTCTGGATATGAGTTAGTGATATACTATCCATTAAGGTCCGTGACTTCCTGGTACAAGATGCAAAAGTATTTCGTGAACATACAGCTTTCACCTTTCGTAAAAAGGTGAACAAAAATTTATTAAAAAAAAACAAATATGAAACCTATTAAATCGTTTCTAATGTACAACCACACATTCCGTGACTAATTTAGTACATAATTCAATGTTTAATGTTGTCAAAGCTTCGGTACGCCACTAATTTTCTATCAATGGTTTATTTAAAAAAATTGGTTCATAAAAGAGGAAAAAAATAAGGTCATCTTTCCCAAGCCATTTTTAATCTACATTATTATTAATATAAATAATTACACATTCATTATAATAATGGAATCACAATTACTTGTTTAAAGAATATAAATTTTTTATTTGGTCAGGAGTGTCAGAAATAAATTGGGGGGTTTACACCTTGATGTAAAAAAAGAGCGTATGCTCTTTTTCGGCTAACAAAAAGCTAACAAAGCTTTTAAGAGAAGATCGAGTGAAAGTTGCCGAGTATTATGAAATAGAAAAAAGCTCTGTGCCATTATAAAGATATCTAATGCTTCCCTCTCGTCAGTCTAAACAACACCGACAAACGAGGCGTATACGTATTCTATTTGTTTCTAAAATATTAAATTTTTATTATCTGCAATGGCGGCTAGCAAAGTTCCCGAGTGGTTCAGTGAGGAACTCTTTGAAGATGTTCTAAAATCGAGTGTGGAGGGATATACGAAAGTCAGAAGTTTTAAGGCGGAAAGTGGAACCGCGGCTGGAGACAACTACGCAACAATTATGCTTAGAGTTCGTATCGAAGTGGAGCTGCAAAGTAAGTTCGGGGTTCGTTGTGCTACGAGCTTTATAGATCTTATAATCTTGACTTTCAGATGGCACCACCAAACAGGTGTCTTACATGGTTAAGCTGCCCCATCAGCTGGAAATCTACGACGAAATGATGAAGCATACTGACTTCTTCGCAAGCGAGAGCGCAATGTACAAGGATGTGGTTCCCGAAATGGAGGATCTTTACAAGGCGGCGGGTTTGAATGTCACCTTCGGAGCCAAAAGCTACGATCTGAAGAATGCCAAGACAAAGTACGTAGCGTTAGAGGATCTATGCAGCAAGGGGTTCAAGAACGCCGACCGCCTAGAGGGACTCGATCAGGAGCACACAGAGAGAGTTCTTCGAAAGTTGGCCCAGTGGCATGCTGCAACTGCCGTGCGAATATCCACAAAGGGACAATATCCGGAAATCCTGCTGAAAGGGTTTTTCAAGGAGGAAAACAAGCCAATGATGCACCAAATGATGAACGGCATGGGTCAGATATTCCTAAAGTGCTGCCACACCTACGAGGGTAACAAGGATTACATCGACAAAATCGTAAGTTGTAACCATAAGTTAAATGCTTATTTATATTACCTATCAAATTCTATAAACTAGGTAGCTCTAAAGCCTGTAGTGATCGATGAGATGTTTAAACTGGGCGAAGTGGATCCAAACGACTTCAACGTGCTAAACCACGGCGATTGCTGGGCGAATAACATTATGTTCCAGTACGATGAATCTGGAAAAATCAAGGAGGTGTATATGGTCGACTATCAGGTCACAAAGTACGGAAGTGTTGCCCAGGACTTGCTGTACTTTCTGATATCCTCCACCAAGTTGGAAGATAAGTTGAGCAAATTCGACTACTATATTAAGGTGTACCATGACAGTCTGGTGGAACACCTGAAGATCCTGAAATACTCAAAGAAAATTCCAAGCCTGCGTGAAATGCATCAAGTGATGTTCAAGTACGGACTCTTTGGTGCGTACCTCCATAACATTTTTTAATTGTTGACTTTATTTAATATTTTTAATTGATTTTTAGCATACTCTGTAGCCACCGGTGTCATGGCGGCCGTATTAGTAGATCCCACGGAAAGTGCCAGTTTTGAGAACTTTGTAGGTGACTCCGCCGAAGGAGTGGACTTCCAAATGCAAATGTACAACAATGCCCGCTACCGAAAACACATCCAGGTGATTCTGCCCTGGCTGCTTAATCGTGGTGCCCTGGACATAAATTAGGACTACATGATCATTTAATCAGATCAAAATTCAGCGTCGACATTCCGGCACAAGATAATAAAAAATACCAGGGACATTGGCTTTGGCTATGAGTAAAGTATTATTTAAGTATTTAAAAAAAAATAAAATAGATAAATAATAAAATTACTACAAATTTGAAACATGTCAAATAATTATTGTGGAGAGATTCTTAAAAGAGCATATACAATACCATATTTGGTCAACAGTTTACACATTTTAATCTTTGAGGTTGTCAAAGCTTTGTCAAAAGACAAACTTTCTCTCAAAATATTTTTGTATGAAAATTGTTTCATAGAAGAAACAAAAATAGGGTCATTGTTCCGAAACCTATTTCAAAGCCATATTTTTTTTATTATTGATGATAACAACTACATTGTAATCTTAGAACAACAAAAACTTTTTGAGAACGAATTAAATTAAGTGAAAATAGAAAAGCTTGCGGGGAAAGCTCTTATTCTGCGAAATTTGTCGTAAAAGCTTCTCTCCACTGATATAAAACTATTGATCCTCTCCGCTTGGCCTCATTCAACAAACTCCTGTCCAACTAGGCGGATACTTGTTCTACGTTTAACTAAAGGAAAAATAACGATTGTCTGAAATGGCCTCTAGTCAAATTCCCGATTGGGTTACTGCAGACCTGTTCGAGGATTTGCTCAAGGCGAATGTCGAAGGATACTCAAAAGTGAAGAATTTTAAGGCAGTCATTGGATCTGCGGCGGGTGAAAATTATGCCACGGTTATGCTGCGAGTTAAAGTCGAGGTGGAACTGAAGGGTAAGTTGGCTTGGTTTGGTTGGCTTTGTAAAAATCTTCTATACCCTATACTAAATTAGACGGAAAATCGAAACCCGTGTCTTTTATGGTCAAACTGCCCCACCACCTGGAGGCACTCCAGGAGATGACCAAAAGGAACCACTTCTTTGAAATTGAGCGCACCATGTACAACGAGGTTGTCCCCGAGATGGAGGCGATCTACAAAGCAGCGGGTGTGGACATTACATTCGGTGCCAAGAGCTACGATCTAAAGAATGCCAAGAGCGACTATGTGGCGCTGGAGGACCTGGGAGTCAAGGGATTCAAGAACGCCAACCGCCTTGAAGGACTCGAACAAACGCACACGGAAAGGGTCCTTCGAAAGCTGGCCCAGTGGCATGCGGCATCCGCAGTGCGAGTGGCCACCAAGGGTCTATACCCTGATATCCTTCTGCAGGGATTCTTCAAGGATGACAACCGCCCCATGATGACGGAAACGATGAAGGGAATGGGTGCCAGATTCCACAAAAGCTGTCTTACCTACGAAGGACACGAGCTTTTTATTGACAACGTTGTAAGTACCAAGTTGTTGACATATCTAATCAATCCTCTAATATCTCTTTATATTACTAGAAAGCATTACAATCCGTATTTATCGATAAAATGTTTGAAATCGGCAAGCCCGATCCAAATGAGTTTAATGTGTTGAACCATGGCGACCTCTGGTCGAATAATATTATGTTTCAGTACGATGCTTTTGGAAAGATCAAGGAGGTTTATTTGGTCGACTACCAGATCCCCAAATATGGCACAGTGGCCCAGGACCTGCTGTACTTCCTAATTTCTTCCACAAAGCTGGAGGATAAGATTGCAAAGTTCGATTATTATATCAAGGTTTACCATGACAACCTGGTTGAACACCTGAAGATTCTGAACTACAAAAAACCAATTCCCAGCCTTCGTGATATTCACTTCGCCCTGTTGAAGTATGGATTTTATGGTAAGAATTTGGAAAGGCCTTGAAGCTAGAAATGTGTATTTAATTTATATGTTTCATGCAATTTGCAACAGGTTACGCAGTTGCCTCTGGTGTGATGGCCGGCGTTCTTCTGGATCCCACGGAGGCAGCTAGTTTCGAGAAATTCGTTGGTGAGACCGAAGCGGATGTCGACTTTCAGATGCAGCTGTACAACACTCCTCGTTTCCGCAAACACATTTCTGTGGTCATGCCATGGCTTCTAAATCGCGGCTCCTTGGAGATCTAGGAAGTGGTTGGGATACTAAGGTGACTAACCCACCGACTATGTCCTGAAAAAAGATAGCCATATTTGGAAAATAATATATGTTGGAATTTAAAACGTATTGAAATTGTGTCTAACACCCCGTTGCCTAATTTGTAGTCAGGGATACACCTGAGTCATTAAAGAAAATAAAAGAAGATGGCTTTAATTTATAAGGTGTAGGCGTGTACCATATATGGGCATAAACAAAATGGCATAGCAAAACAAAACGAAAGACGACAATAAAAACCATCTGAGAGTTATCTATATATTTTCCCTTCGTAACAAAAAAAAGCTCAGCGAAACCGGACAAAAAAACCTATGAGAGAGAGAGAGAGAGTTATAAAACCTATCCCATATAAGGTCACAAGCGAAAACGTTAGCAAAACAAACTGAAAACAAAAACTCCAATAGATTATCTTTAGTTGATTTCTCTTTGTAAGTTAATTATTTTGACATGACAAAAAATATGATTAGCCAATTAGTTTATGTTTATTATGAATTTCATAAGAATATTGCAGTCTGAAAAATCGAATTGCAATTTTAAGGTAGTGTACAATTAGTATGGATTTTTGGGAACAAAAATAAATTGTGAACAGAAATAAGAAAGTAATACAATTTTAATTTATTTAAATTGTCTCAGTTAGACATTTGCTTAAAAATGCCTCCGCAAACCAAGGACGAACTGATTTCTGATAAGAAAGTAGAGAATTCCGAGTGAGAACATCATCGACTAAAAAACATAATCTTAAAGAAATCAAGTCAATATGACCAAAGACAACGGAGTAATTCTTTTTTTTTCAATCTCTCGTACGGGAACTATCCGATATAGTCGCCCGATCTGGCCCGATCTCTCAACAGATTTGTTGTATAAAAATTGGTTCATAGAAGGACAAAAATAGGGTCATTGTTCCGGAACCCATTTCACAGCCACCTTAATTTTAATGTTAATAATTACACAGACATTGTAATATTAGAACACCAAAAACTAGCTTGAGAGCAAATTACTTTAAGTGCAATTAGAAAAGCTTGTGGAGAAAGATTAAAAAAGCCCCTCTATTCTACGAAATTAGTTGCGAAAGCTTCTCGCTACTGATATAAAACTATTGATCCTCTCCGCTTGGCCTCAGTCAGCAAACTCTAGTCCAACTAGGCGTATACTTGTTCTACGTTCAACTTGAAGACAAATAACGATTATCTAAAATGGCCACTGGTAAAATTCCCGATTGGGTAACTGCAGACTTGTTCGAGGATTTGCTCAAGGCAAATGTAGAAGGATTCTCGAAAGTGAAGAATTTTAAGGCGGACAGTGGATCTGCGGCGGGTGAAAACTATGCCACGATTATGCTGCGAGTTAACATCGAAGTGGAATTGAAGGGTGAGTTGGTTTGGGGTTGAAGTCCGATAAAAATCTACAACACCCCCCGAATAGATGGAAAATCGAAATCCGTGTCTTTTATGGTCAAACTGCCCCACCAACTGGAGGTTTTCCAGGAGATGATGAAGAAGACCAACATCTTTGATATCGAGCGCACCATGTACAACGAGGTTGTCCCCGAGATGGAGGCGATCTACAAAGCAGCGGGTGTGGACATCACATTCGGTGCCAAGAGCTACGATCTGAAGAATGCCAAGAGCGACTATGTGGCGCTGGAGGATCTGGGAGTGAAGGGATTCAAGAACGCCAACCGCCTCGATGGACTCGATCAGACGCACACGGAAAGGGTCCTGCGAAAGCTGGCCCAGTGGCATGCGGCATCCGCAGTGCGAGTGGCCACCAAGGGTCTATACCCTGATATCCTTCTGCAGGGATTGTTCAAGGAGGAAAACCGTCCCATGATGACTGAAATGATGAAGGGAATGGGTGCCAGATTCCTTAAAAGCTGCGTTACCTACGAAGGACATGAGCTTTTTATTGACACGGTTGTAAGTATTAAATACTTTAAATATCTTATCGGTCTCTAATATCTCTTTATATTACTAGAAAGCATTGCAACCCGTTTTTATCGATAAAATGTTCGAAATCGCCAAGGTCGATCCAAATGAGTTTAATGTGCTGAACCATGGCGACTCCTGGTCGAATAATATTATGTTTCAGTACGATGCTTTTGGAAAGATCAAGGAGGTCTATCTGGTCGACTACCAAATGCCCAAATATGGCACAGTGGCCCAGGACCTGCTGTACTTCCTGATTTCTTCCACAAAGCTGGAGGACAAGATCACAAAGTTCGATTACTTTATTAAGGTTTACCATGAGAACCTGGTTGAACATCTTAAGATTCTGAATTATACAAAAACCATTCCCAGCCTTCGTGATATTCACTTGGCCTTGTTCAAGTATGGATTTTTCGGTAAGAATTTGTAGAGGCCTTGAAGCTAGAAATTTCTATTAAATTTGTCGGTTTTCTGCCATTTCCATTAGGTTATTCTGTGGCCACTGGTGTGATGGCCGCCGTTCTTCTGGATCCCACGGAGAATGCAAGTTTCGAGAACTTTATTGGTGAAACCGAAGCCGGAGAAGACTTCCAGTTGCAGCTGTACAACAGTCCTCGTTTCCGCAAACACATTTCCGTGGTCATGCCCTGGCTTCTTAATCGCGGCTCCTTGGAGATCTAGGAATTTAAACAAAATAATTTGGTTTTTACACAAGAAACAGTTCAAATTGAATCAGAAATAAGTGCAACCCCCTGATAGTGTTATCTGTATCTGTGTGCGATAGTGGACACGAGTATTAATAAACGTAAAACTTCGAACGATAAACGAGTTCAATCAGATTGCCAAACTCACCATGAATTGTATTTTGGGCGCCAAGTGGTTGTGATACTAAGGTGACTAACACACCGATTATGTCTTTAAGTAAGATTGCCATATTTGGAAGTTATTTTATGCTTCAACTCAAGACAAAGTTATTTGATATACGAGACGGTTCGTATGCTTGTATTGAAATTGCGTCCAATACCCCTCCGTCTAATTTGTAGTCCAAGATACACCTGCTGCATTGAAGAAGAGAGATGATGGCTTGAATTTTTAATAGAAAGGTGTAGGAGTATACCATATATGGACATAAACAAACTGGCTAAGCAAAACAAAAATAAAGACGACAACAAAAAACATCTGAGAATTATCTAAGTTCTCTTTTCGTTGATTTTGGCAAACAAAAAAAAAAGTTAAGCGAAACTCGACAACAAAAAAACCTACGATAAGCAGAGAGAGAGAGAGAGCTATAAAACCTATCCCAAATAAGGTCACAGGCAAAACACGAAAAGGCTAGCAAAACAAAACCGAAAACAAAAAGCTCCAACAGCTTATCTTTATTATATTTCTCATCGTAACTAGATTATGGCGTTCAAATACGATAAGAAAATGAATTTATGATTATTATGTATTCGATAACAGTATTGCAGTCTAAAAATTGCATTGCCATTTTAAGGTAATGTAAAAGTAGTATGCCTTTTGGGAACAAAAACAAACTGTGAACAAAAATAAGAAAGAAATTCAATGCTAAGTATTTCATGTATATGCAAATGTATATATTTATATATATATAGAGTATATATATAAAGAGTCAAGCTTGCATCTATATAGTTCGTCAGTTATTTCATAACCATTTTTTCTAGAAAACTGTGCTTACAATAAAATTGGTTTAGGCAAACTAGATTTACAGTCTCCCTGGCTAAAGGTCGGAAAATGTGCATAGTCATTTTTAGTTGTTTGGGCTTAGGGATAATAGCAGTGATTGTGGGGATCGAGATAATTTTTATCTCCCCTATCACACCGAGCGTAACTGAACGTATTTAAATCATGGAGATTGAATTAAAAGGCCTCAGTTAGTTGAACCCAGACTTGTTGATTGTTTCAAAATGCCTCCGCAAACTAAGGACGAAGAAATTTCCCAAAGGGAAGTCGAAATTCCTGACTGGGTGAAGCCGGAAGCATTCCAGGATCTGCTCAAAAGCGAGGTCAAGGATTACAAGGAAACAAAAGCCTTGAGAGCAAAAGCAGGAGTCGCTGCTGGTGAAAATTATGCAACCATAATGCTGAGATTGGAATTGGATGTGGAGACAAAAGGTTTGCAATTGTTTTTTTTTTCATTCATAAAATCAGATAGGTAATGAAAAATTAAACAACTCTTTCAGACAATTCACAAGTCACTAAGGCATTCATGCTTAAAACACCTTACCAATCAGAAGCCTATCGGAAACTCCTTGAGAAGACGGATATCTTTGATGTAGAGCGTGGAATGTATCTGGAAGTTGTCCCGGAATTGGAACAGCTATATCGCGATGTGGGTCTGGAGGTGAAGTTCGGGGCAGAGGCCTACGAGATCAAGGCCAGCAATTACTATGTCCTTTTGGAGGACCTGAAACCCCGAGGCTTCAAAAACGTAGATCGCCTTAAAGGCTTGGATCAGGCCCATGCCGAAAATGTCCTGATAAAGCTCGCCCAATGGCACGCGGCATCTGCAGTTCGTGTGGATCTCAAAGGACCTTACGATGAGAAGTATAGACATGGTTTCTTCAAATCCGAAGAAATCATAGATGCTTTCTGCAATAGAAGTGCCAAAAATTTGCTGAAATATATTGATCAGTACAAAGGACATGAGGCATACCTAAAGGATTTGGTGAGTACAATTTTGTTTTAGCTTAGATTTTAAATAAACAATGATTATTCTTTATCCATTTATCACAGGAAATTATCTCAGAAAAGTTAACTGAAGCAGTCCACGATTTAAAGGAGCCCAAATTGGACGAGTTTAATGCCCTGAACCACGGTGATGGTTGGTCCAACAACATTATGTTCCAGTACAACGACAGGAACGAGATATCAGATACTTATTTCGTTGACCTCCAAATTCCCAAATGGGGGTCAGTGGCCCAGGATTTGTACTACTTCCTAATTTCGTCCACTGCCTTGGACATCAAAGCAACGAAATTTGATTACTTTATTTGGTTCTACCACTCACACTTGGTTAAATACCTGAAACTTCTTAATTCCTCAAAGCCATTGCCTACATTAAGGAGCCTTCGAGAAACCCTTAACAAATACAGTGGATGGGGTAAGTGATAGTTTTATAGCAAATCTATAATCTTATATTTATATCTATTTTTACTTTGCAGCCTTCAGCTGCTCTGTGGCCGTAATGGGATTCGTTTTGCTGGACCCAAGGGACGATGCTGATTTTGATAAGATCGTGAAAGAAGACTCCAACTTTACCAAATCCATTTTCACCAACCCCAGATACATAAAGCATATGGAAGTCCTATTGCCATGGCTTCAAAAAATCGGGGCCCTTGAGTAAAGTTCTAAAATTGTACAAACTATTTTATAACATTTCCCAGTTATGCATTCACGTCCTCATCTAAAAGCTATGTAAATAAATTTTAATTGTTGGATCTAAAAGCTTACATAATAGTAGTTATTACTTGATTGAAAACATCGTTGTCATGATGATAATCTAGACGCTAGACGCACCCATTGAGTAGGAACGTAATAATCTGCTTCGTCACTTGTGCACAAATGAATTTAAAACACTTTGCCTATTATACGGTAAGAGATAAGGTTTATCGTTCCCAGCGTAGTTTTTCTCGCTTGAGTACTTAAAAGATGCGCCGAGCAATCAAAGCTTCCAGTAAGTGAACTGAAGCCTACGAGATATTTTCAAAATGCCGCCTCAGACAAAAGATGAAGATGTTGATCAAAGGAATGTCACGATCCCCGACTGGGTGAAGCCGGAAGTGTTCGAAAATCTGCTCAAGAAAAACATCAAGGATTATAAAGAAACGAAGTCGATGAGGGCTAAAGCAGGAGTCCCTGCTGGGGAGAACTATGCCACCATAATGCTGAGAGTCGAGCTTGATGTGGTGAAAAAGGTTTGTAATGGATTTTACTTCTAATTTTCCGATGGTTCACACTCGACTTTATCCCGCAGATAAATCCCAAACGACAACGGCCTTCATGCTGAAAACTCCCCATCAATCTGAGCAATATCGCAAAATTCTTGAGGAAACAAATATGTTCGATGTGGAGCGTGGCATGTACTTGGAAGTGGTTCCCGAACTGGAGCAGCTGTACCGGGATGTGGGTGTGGTGGTGAAGTTCGGGGCAGAGGCCTACGAAATAGAAGCCAGCGATTACTACGTCCTGCTGGAGGACCTCCGCCCACGTGGCTTTAAGAACATCAATCGCTTGGAGGGCATGGATCAGCTCCACACCGAAAGTGTCCTGAAGAAATTCGCCCAGTGGCATGCGGCTTCTGCTGTCCGGGTTGCCACAAAAGGTCCTTACGAGGAGAAGTTCACGAAGGGATTTTTGAGTAACAACGAAATCGTGGATGCGTTCTGCAATCGCAGTGTTAAGGTTTTCCTGGATCACGTCAATTTGGTCCGAGGTCATGAAAGTTATCTGAAGGATTTGGTAGGTACACTTATCTTGCGATATCTTTATATCAGTATCTTATCTCTTATCTTACCACCTACAGCGAATTGCTTCCGAAAAGGTACTGGAGAGTGTGGAAGATCTGAATACCCCAAAACCTGATGAGTTCCTTGTCCTGAACCACGGAGATGGCTGGGCAAACAACATAATGTTTCAGTACAATGAGAAGAACGAGATACAGAACACCTATTTCGTCGATCTGCAATTGCCCAAGTGGGGATCAGTGGCCCAGGACTTGTACTACTTCCTGCTCTCCTCGACAAGTCTGGATATAAAAACATCTAAGTTCGACTACTTCATTTGGTATTACCACTCCGAACTGGTTAAGCACCTCAAGCTGCTGAATTACTCCAAGACGGTGCCCACATTGAGGAGTATTCGCAGTACTCTTAACCAATATGGAGGATGGGGTAGGTTGTTCTTCATATTTAATTATAATTTAATATAATTTATTTCTTATTTCAGCATTCATCTGCGCCTCCACTATAATGGCGTACGTTCTGCTGGATCCAGAAGACGGCAATGATATTGAAAAGGTCCTTGTTGATGGTGACGGAAGCTTTAAGAAATCGCTTTACTTAAATCCCAGGTTCCAAGAGCACATGGAAGTTCTTTTGCCATGGCTTCAACAACGTGGGGCCATGGAATAATATTTAATATTGCATCATCCATCGTTGTTATCAACAAGGAAATCGATTCTCAAGAAGCTTGTGGCATATATACATATGTGCTTGCCGTTAACAAATAAAACTTTTCTAGTTCTTAAAGATAGAGGCCCAAGTGCTTACACTGTCTTGAATGTCTGAACAAATAACGTGCTTTATAACGAAAACTAAATAAAAAATGCATTTTATTTTAAATAACAATTTGTTGCTTTCCCAACGCTGTGGGGAATAATTTCACCGCTAATGATGCATATGTATTTCATTTCTGTGGAACCCAAACAAGTTGTCAGGTATAGAATACCCCAACATCTGATTTTGTTTGGGTCTATATGTACGTATTATGTATCTATAACTTAGAACAAGTTGTTTTGGGAGCTCTCTTTGGCCGGCACTCTCTGTTATTCTCGTCGCAAGCTTTTAAAGCTCTCTGATCGGCTTTGTTTCAAACAAAGAGATAAAGAAAAAAGTTAGTTTGAAAATTTGTATGCTGACCCCGGCAGCCGGCAAATAAACTTTCAGTTTGCTTACGATGTCGGACGAAACAGGAACGGTTGCGCTGCCCAAATGGCTGAAGGCAGATCTTTTTGAAAAACTGCTGAAGGAACGATTTGGCAGTAATTATGCCGGAATCAAGAGCTTCAAGCCGGTGGCTGGTCTAACGCCAGGGGAAAATTACTCCACCATCATGCTACGCCTCCACTTCGAAGTCGAACTGAACGGTGAGTGTGAGTCATTGCCATGGCCAAATAAAGTAAAGTTAAGACCATATTGCGTCATCAGATCACACCATCGAAAACGTAAGCTTTATGCTGAAGACGCCACACGATTTCGAGATGTATCGCGAGATCCTGAAGAAGGTCAACATGTTTGTGGTGGAAAGGGGCGTTTTCCTGCAGGTGATTCCCGAGTTGGAAAAGATGTATCAGGATGCAGGTCTGGAGGTGAAGTTTGGGGCCAAGGCCTATGAAATCGAGGCACCCGATGAGTATGTCCTGCTGCAGGACCTCAAACCTTTTGGTTTCAAGAACGTCGATCGCCTGGAGGGTTTGAATATGGCCCACACCAAAAGCGTTCTGAAAAAGTTGGCCCAGTTTCATGCGGCATCGGCCAACAGGATCCTCGTCAAGGGTCCGTACACCCAGAACTTCTTGCAACCAACTTATGCCGACAGCATGAAGGAGAATATCGAACAGGTGGCAGAGACTCTGGGCAAATACCTCCTGAAGTGCTTGCCACTCTACGAGGGATTTGAAGAGTACAGCGAGGCGGTGGTAAGTTATATAGTGACCCTAATTATTAGAGGAACTTTACTGAATCACTATGACTTGCAATATCCTCGTAGCACAAAATCCACCCAAAGTTTGTGGACCTGATGTATGACATGCACACGCCCAAACCGGAGGACTTTAATGCCCTGAATCACGGAGATTGCTGGACCAACAACATAATGTTTAGGTACGAAGGGGAGTCCCCCGAACCCGCCGAAACCTATTTGGTGGACTTCCAAATGCCGAAAGTGTGCAGCGTGGCCCACGATCTGATCTACTTCCTTCTGGGATCGACGCAATTCGACATTCAATTGAGTCAGTTCGATTACTTTATCAAGTTCTACCACGATCAGCTGGTGGAGCACTTGAGGTTGATAAGGTACCCCGAGGAAAAAATCCCCTCACTGCGGTTTCTGCACACTCAGCTGTTGAAATATGGTCGTGTTGGTAGGTGAAAAGCTCTCTCTAAAAAGCTTTGATAACGGTGATTTTCATTCAATCGCAGGATATCACACTGTTCTGATGCTCTGCCCCCCTGTGCTGCTCGATCGAACCGATGATGCAAATCTGACCGATTTTGTGACGGAGTCGGACAATGGCGATGGTCTCAAGATGGCCATGTACTCCAATGCCCGCTACAAGAAGCACGTCAGCGCCATTCTGACCTGGCTAAACAACCGAGGAGCTCTTCAGATTTAACTTGAAAATTTATACAACTTTTTCCCTTAATTGCTTTACTAATTTGACTAATTCATACGGATATTAACTTTTGTTTAATGAACTTTAATGAACTTTAATGCACTTTAATGATTTTATTAATAAAATATTCCATGACATCGCACAAAAAAGTAAATATTGAATTATGTTATTCAATATCAAGGGTATAGAAATTATGGGCTAATTGGTAGTATGCTCATAAATATTACGAACATAATTCAACTATAGAGAAAGACGAAATCCTACAATATGGTCAATCTCCTTTGTTGGACAAATCAATTAAACAAATAGATAACGAGCCAGATACTGACCAATAACAAGCAATCGAAAAGCTTATGTCCATATTAGGTGGGAATACTAAATTGTCTAATAATAACAAATTAAGTGCGGGGACTCCTGTTCCCGAATTAAAGGTAAACCTTGTTAGGTGGCGGGTTGTCTATCTGAATATCTACCCGTCACATGTCACGCCCGCGAACAGCAATTAATGAGGAATCACGAAATAATTAGAGCGAATGGCGAGAGCAAAGAGGAACACGGGTGCCCGCCCGATAAAGAAGTCGAATCAGGAGTGGAAACAAGAAACAGTTTCGTTATCAATCAAACAATTGACGGCGTTTGGCCCCATACCATACTCATATATCACACGCCTCTCGCTCCCACTCGCACCCGCACTATGGCGCACCTGCTCTCGCCACCGGCAATCGGCACTCTTTCGCCGGTTTTGGCGAACTGAATTACAAAATAAACTTCAATCGAATGCACGCGATAAGGAATTTCCTTCGCCCATAGCCAAATCGGGGCAATAGCGCTGCTCCCGGGAATCGCGCTCCGTATTTCCCACTCGACAGTCGCCCGTGTTGCAGTCGATCTATCAGCGCGATTCCCGCTCCGTTTGCCAATTAAGGTAAAAGGTTTGCTGGTGACACATTTCCCGATTCTTCGGAACCAATCTCATGGTTTGACCATCAGCTATCAGATGGACTGAGTGCTATAAAAACGGTGTTAGAATCGGAGCAAGATCTAGTATATCAACTAGTATTGTGGTATTGCAAACGTGAAATTAAAGTGAAAACATTTAGTGGCTAAGTTCGCGAGTCCCAATAAAAACATTCTAAACTGGTAGGATTCCTCGATCCTATGTCGTAATACACAGCAGGTGTTTTACTGACTGACATGTGACCTGATTTATGATTCAGGTTCATTAAATAGTAATAATTCTGATAATTGCCTAATCAACGAAAGCCCCATAAAAGTTCGGGAATTACCGATATTGAGCACAATTTATTGATTCAGGTATTCGCAACTATATTGGGGATGATTCGCATGTATTTATCTTTTTTTATGATGAGTATTAATAAAAGCTGGCAGTCCACACGGACTACTTACTTACACCTATTCGGTTTAGGTACTCAAGAAAACACTTGAAAGTGCACTAGAATTTCTATTCACAACCCTAATTCAAAGAAATAATACCACTGCCCTACAGACCTACAGATTAGTGTTCAGATAACCATTTTGTTTTTTTGCAGCAACTCAAAAACCCATTGGAAATTCATTCGATTTGATGATCCTTGAGTTGTAGAGAATTATTTTACTGCAGCAATAAGAATACTGGAACGTTATGGTAATAATTCCCCGATCCAATAGACCCCCTGTTAAAGATACATACGTTGATGGCCTCAAATGATGCAATTTCTTAAAATATTCAAATGCTTTTATGGTTTGGGATTGGCCAAGAGCAAAGAAAGTAATATATTTTTAAACAGGCGCGCCCTCGATAGGAGGCACACAAGCGCCACCTATGACTGAAAATGCTCTAATAACCGTTATGTATACGACCTGTTAGCCATGTTAACATTTGAGTATGAGTCTTTGATTCGTTCTTATCAGCTTGACGTTGGTGTTGACCAAACATTTTAAACTTATGCAAATAAATCGCTTTTTAATGGGCAGATTCATCATGACTGAGGCCACCAATGGACACAGCGAGGCACCTGCCGACAACTCGCCAAAATGGCTGCCCAATATCACGCTGGAAAAGGCGGTTCAGGCCCAAATCGGGGACTTTGAGAAGATCGTTTCGGTTACCCCCCAAAAAGGCAGCAGCGAGGGCGAAAACTACTCTTCCCTCTTTCTAAGACTGCTTGTGGAAGTAGAGCTGCTGGGTAAATAAAAAAATTTATTTTCATTTTTAACTTAAGCTAATAACTATCGATCGCAGATCACAGCACAAAGACCACCACCTTCGTTCTGAAGGCGCAGCACGACAATGAGGTGATGGCCGCCATTCTCGCCAGATTGAAGCTCTTCCACAAGGAGGAACTTATGTACCACTCCATTTTGCCCAAGTTCGAGCAACTCTACGCAGATGCCGGCAAACCCATTCAGTTTGCTCCTCGAGCCTTTAAGGTGGACCGCGACCTTGGGGTGGACTACATCCTACTGGAGGATCTGCACCGCAAGAACTTCAAGAACGAAAACCGCCTGACCGGTCTGGATCTGGAGCACATGCATAAGGTCCTGGAGAAGCTGGCCGCCTTCCATGCGGCATCCGCTTGCTATGTGGAGCACCACGGACTCTTCGGGGAGGAGTTCACTGTAGGCGTTTTCAGCGAGGCCAATCGCCAGCTCCTGCAGGAGTTCAATGCCTCTGGTGCCTTTTTGGCCCAGCTCAAGAAGTGGAAGAACGCCCAGAAAATATACGAGAAGTTGGTGAGTAGTTTGGCCATTATTTAATGATGTGCAAATATAGAGATATAGAGTATATATGTATATATATTTATAATCTTATTTCCCAGGCTGATAGCGATGACTACTTGGTGGATCGTCTGCTCCAGGATCAGCAATACAATGCCAGGGAATTCAACGTTCTAAACCACGGAGACTGTTGGGCCAATAACATAATGTTCCAACACGATGCATTTGGAACTATCAAGGAGACTTTATTTGTGGACTTTCAAGTGGGAAAGTACGGAAGTCCGGTAGGGCAGATAAATCTTATTGCATTTCATAAGTACCTACTAAAACTTTTCATTTGTTATCTTTTAGGCCAATGATCTGTACTATTTGATCTTATCTTCGGCTGCTCCCGAGCTGAAAACCGCCAAGTTCGATTACCTTATTCGGTACTACTTTGATAATCTTATTGAGAATCTGAAGCTGCTGCAATATCATCGACCACTGCCCAAGTTGAAGAACCTGCACGCAGCTCTCTTCCGCAACGGATTGGCTGGTGAGTTATCCTCTATATAGTTTATAATACCAATTATTAAAAACTATTTTTTCGATAGCCTATATGGTGGTGTCCAAGGTGCTGCCCGTCGTCATGTTGGACAAGACAAACAATGCCAATCTGGAGAGCTACATGAGCGACGAGTCCAAAATGAAGGCCGCCATGTTCACCAACCCGAAATATGTGCAGGTGATGACGGAGGTGCTTCCATGGTTGGATAATCGCGGCCTGCTCGACTGGAAGTGATTACCCATAAATTACGTGTGCTAATAATGGATGCGTACTATAATAATGGCTATTTAATTGCATCACTTACAAGTTGCGTTGGTAAATAAAGAACGAAAACATTCAAAAACATGATTGTTGACTAAATATTAATTTAGAGATAATTTAACTATGGAAGCAAATATTTTTTATTATATTTATTTTAACACTTTACACACTTGCCTTTCGAAATTTTAATCAACAGTTATACTCCATTACTTTCAAAACAAAATTCAGGGGTATAAATTTTAAAATTATTATAAAGTCGATAATATTCAAGCAATGAAAGTTCCGAAAATTCCCGAATGGATATCCACTCTTTCTCTTAACCAGGCTGTGCAGTCAACTGTGGACGGCGAAGTCCAGATCCTGTCGGTCGCTCCAAGCGTCCATCTCATCCAGTTCCGGAACTGTACTATCCTCATTCCAATCAAGGTGAAGGTTCGGCTGGGGAATTGGACGGTCAAGAAGTTATCCTTTCTGCTGAAGGCTCAACATGGCAACGATTTCCAGGCAAGAGTGATGAACCAATTGAAAATGTTCCTGCGGGAGCAACAGGTTTACCACAACATCTTGCCAAAGTTCGAGCAACTCTATTCGGAGGTGGGCAAGAATATATCCTTCGGCCCGAGGGCCTTTAAGCTGGACCACAACATCGGTGTTCAGTACATCCTGCTGGAGGATCTCAAGGCTCTGGGATACAAGAATGTGGAACGGCAAGGTGGCTTCAATATTAAGTGCCTAAAGCAAGTGCTACAGAAGCTGGCTCAATTTCATGCCGCTTCGGTTGTTTATGTGGAAAAACACGGGGAGTTCCCCAAACTTCTGGCCAACGGAGTCTACACGAAGTCCAACCGATCGGTTCTGAACGAACTGAACGATCCGGATCCCTTCCTTTCGCAACTGCGACGACTGCGCATTGGCGACCATTTCCACAAGCGGTTTGTGGAAAAGGAACAGGACCTCGTCGATAGAATCCTGGAAATGCATGCCATCGACCCAGAAAAATTCAACGTCCTAAATCACTGCGATTGCTGGGTTAACAACGTTATGTTTAAGTTTGACGACGAGGATCAAGTGGAGGACACCGCACTGCTCGATTTTCAGCTGGTCAAGTACGGATCTCCGGTAGGTTGTCCCCAAAAATGTTATTATAAAAACAGGAATGCCGCCGTTAATTGTGGTACAATAATAATTTAGATATCTTCGATCGAGCATTGTAACCTTTTGTGCAGCTTTATTGCTGAAATCATGATAGCCTTTGTTTTGTGTTATTTTCTGAACAAAGAGTGCTAAATGAAATGTTACCTATTTTTAATCGACTTTTAGGCCAATGATCTATACTACACCATTCTGTCGTCAGCCGAGAAGGACATTAAGTTGACCCAGTTCGACAGTATGGTACAATATTACTTCTACCACTTGCTGGATAGCCTCAAAGTTCTTAATTGTCAAAGGCCGTTGCCTCAACTCCAGGATATTCGAGATGCCCTCAACAGGAACGGACTGGCTGGTAAATAAATATAGTTCTGTCTACCGAGTGAAATTTAACAAGTACTATATATTGATTTTTAGCCTATGTAGTGGTAACACGAGTTCTACCAATTGCCATGATGAATCAGTTTGAGGACGAGGTTAACGAACGATACGCCTCCAAAATGAAGTGCGCCATGTTCACCAGTAGAAAATATATTCAGGCGATGAAAGATATCCTGCCCTGGATGGAAGAGCGGTGCCTACTTAATTAGTGGTAAAATGATTTCAGGCCAATTTGTTTCGATAAGTTGCTTAAATCTAATGAATGAACAAGTTTTTTCAGGGACAAGGCCTTTATTGTGTTCTAGCCAAATACTTAATAAACTTCATTACCCCAATCTTATCAATTTTGTTTGAATTGATTCGCTATTAAACAGCCAGTCATGTTCATATGCTCTTTTTAAACAGTATTTCGTATGTTCTGCTCCGGTTTGCATTTGCCATTGATAAGGACATAATCGCACACGACGTACAAACTATAATTGAACCCCAATCTAAATTGATAATATTTATTATTGGGCCACCACGACCACAGGCAAGTGCTCGTGGCACACTTCCTCAACTGGACGAGCCTCAATTATTCCGATGTGGGATGACGCGGCTGGTTCAATTAACATTTCTCGGTCGAACACTATATTGTAGTTGCCCTATAGCAACAATGAAAAGCACTGTGCGGAATTTTAATTAGTTTGTTGGACAACAATTGTGTGCTTCTACGTAAACATGAGTACTAAAAATTTGTATTAATAGATCATGCATATGTATAAAGTTACCATTGAGGGTTAGTCCATTAAAAATATTTATGTAAATGATTATTGATAGATAGTGGCGCTTCAAAGCCAAACACAGTTGATAAAAAATATTCAACTCTCCGATAAGTACATACTTTATAGTCCTCTTCTTTTTTTTTGCTAATAATCGTTACCCTTTCATTCAACTCCTTCAAATGCTATTTAATCGGGAGCAATGTTGACTTCACTTTAGTATCACGTTGAACCTTCGAGTAAACAAACCGTACTGCCTTCTGCAATTTTGAATTAAGAGGTCAGTGAATTATATCCATCACAGTGAATATTTGTGTGCATTATGTTATTTAAAACAACTGGCTGTAATTCTATGTCCATCAATTTATTAATTACAATTACAGTGAAGTCATGCCGCCCAAGCCAATCAATCCCAATGAACACTTGGCCATTCCCGAGTGGATAAATGAGGATTACTTTCGACCCATTCTCGAAAAAGATGTGGATAACTTTGATAAAATTGTGAATTTTAATCGCGTTGCCGCAACGGCGCCTGGAGAGAACTACACCTCCATTATGGTCCGGGTTCTTATAGATCTGTTGTTCAAAGGTAAAAATTGTTTGCCACCCTAACTGAAATTTTATACTAACCTACAATAACCCTAGATGGCAGTCCAGGTCAAATATCTTATATTCTTAAAACGGTATTGGATATGAGTAAAGGAGGCGCCTTGATCAATCAAATGGGAATGTTCCCCAAGGAGAGGGAGATGTACCGAGACATTATTTCCCAATTTGCGAGACTCTACAAGGAGGCTGGACTAGATATTGAACTGGCTCCCAAGTGTGTTCACACCGAGGAAACTCCAGAAAGAATTACTCTTGTCTTCGAGGATCTTAGTAGGCAAAACTTCCGGAATTTCGACCGATTAAAAGGTTTTGATTTGCCACACATTCGATGTGTGCTCCGTAAATTGGCCGAACTTCATGCCGCCTCCGCTGTTTATCGCGAGTTGTGTGGACCTTATGATGAGAAATTCTACAAGTCCTTGTTTATAAAGGAAAATGAGAAGGTTTTTACTAAAATTAAGGAGACGCGAGATCCTGGATATCTGAAAGCAATGCGTGAATGGGGCATTCAAGATATTGAGAAATACATCAACAAGTTTCCCTCTCCCTCAAAGTTTTTTGAAGAGGGTCTTAAAATCAATCAAGTGGACGAAAGTGACTTCAATGTGCTGAACCACGGCGACTCCTGGTCTAATAACATAATGTTTAATTATAAGGAGAATGGGGAAATTGACAAAACCATTTTCGTAGACCTGCAGCTCTGCAAGTGGGGCTCTCCGGCGCAGGATCTTCTATACATGATCATCACATCTGCTTCGCTGGATATTAAGGTTAAGGAGTTTGATCTATTCATACAGATTTATCACGAACGTTTGGTGGAGTGCCTAAAACTACTTAATTATACGAAAAGAATCCCTACTCTGAGGGACATGCACATTATGATTATCAAATTCGGCTCTTGGGGTGAGTAAACTTTTGTTACTTTACTTTTGTTTAATAAAATCCTATTTTTTCCCCACAGCTTTCTTCACAGCCACTGGAGTACTAGTGGCTACTTTGATGCCATCGGATAAGGATTCCAATATGGATAATATGATGACACCCGGCCCAGAATCGGATGCGATCCGCTACAAGACCTTTATCAATCCATATTATGTGAAGGCCATGCAGCAAATGCTTCCCTTCCTCGACAAAAAGGGTCTCCTAGACTTTGATTAGTTTATAAGTATTAAATACATATAAACAACTTCAAAAAGTAATTAACTTGTATTTTTGTACGTTCAAATGTATCTGAAAATCAAAGTTATTCCTGATTATATAACAATCAGATAGGTAACAAATTATAACCCCTAGAATGCCTAAAATAACCTACACACATTTTTACAAATCGGTACGCATTGGATAATTATAAGGTGATTTGTTTTACGGCTCAGATATTCAGAGATAAGGGAGCCGATTACATGGTTCTATTGTTGCCTTTGTTCTACGTAGTATCGACAGTATGTGTCCGCTTAAACACAAACCAGTTTCACTATCAGTTCGTCCAAAACTCATAGACACAATCACACAAACATCTACGCTTTTCGCGGGGTCTATTAGTATAAAAGTATGGGAACCGCACGGAGAACTCAGTATTTGTTTGTCGTTAGAAATCGTCGGACACAGCCGCAGTGTTTTCTCCGAGCGGGAATTTAAATTCAAATTAGAAATCCCCAAAGTCGGTCAGTAATAAATATCAATTGTGGCAAATTTGATAGGCTCTTTGGACACGAACATTTAACGGGAAAATTTACGTTGCTTGCTAGACATTTTATGGATATAATTCACTTTCCTCATAAATGCAATCTGGTTTATAAAAACAAATGAACTAAATGAACTCAGACTTTTTAAACAAGTGATTTTCTAGTGAATCGCTTTAATTATTATAAAGGTTTACCTACTTTTGAGTTTAAAGACAACAACACCTACAAGTTAAAGATATTAAACCCCTAATCTGTTATTTTAACCAAGGGGAAAACTAATGAAAGAAAGTTTTTGCATAATAAAAAAATCGACTTTGATCACTAATACACATCTGTTAACTATTGAGATTTTCACGTAACATATTGCTTTCTCTTTCGATAACCGACTAATTACAATGAATGTGAAATTCAATGAAATTGTTTAATTGCTTTGATCTTGAACCATTGATCATTTCCGCCGAGTGTAAATTAATTGATCTTCCGATTGCAGCAACGAATCCAGAATGTCGCCGAACAGCAAATCGGAAAAACCAGTCAATCCCAATGAGCACCTTCACATTCCAAAGTGGGTGAACGAGGATTATTTCCTGCCAATCATTGAAAAAGATGTGGAAAACTTCGATAAGATTGTGAACTTTACGCCAGTTGCGGCTACAGCACCTGGCGAAAATTATACTTCGATAATGATTCGGGTGATTGTGGATATACTGCTTAAAGGTTGGTATACTAAGAAAATACTTTGGATAGGAAATATATAATTTAGTATTTATTTTGGTTTACATTTCTTAAGATGGCAGTGAACAGAGGATCTCGTACATTTTGAAAACCATGTTGGAGGCTGACAGTGGTGCGGATGTGGTCGATGGCATGGGACTCTTCCCCAAGGAGAGAAAGATGTACGAGGTGCACATCCCGCAGTTTGTGAAGCTCTACAAGGAGGCGGGTCTGGAGATTGAGTTGGCACCCAAGTGCCTCCATGTGCAGGCCACTGCTGAATTGATCACCCTGGTTTTCGAGGATCTCAGCCGGCAGCAATTCAAGAATTTCGATCGGCTGAAGGGCTTCGATCTGCCGCACATGCGCAGTGTGCTGCGGAAACTGGCGGAACTCCATGCGGCATCCGCGGTTGCCAGGGAAATCAATGGACCCTACGATCCGCTCTACTCCATGTCGATGTACAACGAGCAGAGTCGGCAGCTTTTCCAGAGCCTCGGCGAGATGCGAGAGGTGCAGTTCCTCAAGGCAATGCGGAATTGGGGACTCGAGGATACCGAAAGGTATATCGCCAAGTTGTGGAACCCCATGGAGGTGTTCGAAGAAGCCCTGCAAATCAATCAGGTTGATGAGAGCGAGTTCAATGTGCTGAATCACGGGGACTGCTGGTCCAACAACATCATGTTTAACTACAAGGACAATGGCGAGATCAATAGAACATTATTTGTAGACCTGCAGATCGGCAAGTGGGGCACTCCGGCCCAGGACCTTTGGTACCTGATCACCACATCAGCTTCGTTGGATATCAAGGTCAAGGAGTTCGATCACTTCATCCAGATCTACCATGAACGATTGGCGGAGTGCCTGACACTCCTGAAATACTCGAAACCTATTCCCTCCCTGAGGGATTTGCATATAATGATGCTGAAGTACGGATTCTGGGGTGAGTCCAATTTTGTTATAATATTTTGATAGGATTTTCCAGCTTTCTTTTCTTGTAGGACCACTGACAGCTTTGGGTGTGATGGTGGCCACACTCATGCCCACCGACAAGGATGCCAACATGAAAATGATGATGGCCCCAGGACCCGAGGCAGATGCCCTGCGCTACAGGACCTTCATCAATCCCTACTACTCCAATGCCATGAAACTGCTATTGCCGTTTTTCGAAAACAAGGGACTCTTGAAATCGTAATAGGATTAATCCCCTTACCCACTTACAGTGTAGCCAAATTTTTGTGATATCATATATCATAGGAACGTGCAATAAATAAGAATTTGTATTTATTTCAAATATTGCAAAATTTCATATGCTAACTTGAACTTCGAACAGCAACCAGTCGGCCGTTAGTGATAGAAAAAAAAATCATCATGACATGACAAAAAATGGCAACGCGTGGGGTTTTTAATTGAGCTGAAAGAGAAATCGATTGCGTCGAATAGTTTTTACTATAGAGTAAATTTATCAAATCTGTCTACAATACTGTGGGCGTCAAACTCAGAAACTATTGACATATGTGTGTGTCAATACCAATTCATGGTTGTTAATTTATGTTATCACTTCGATGTTATCAATAAATTAGCGTAAATAGGCTTTCACAAAGTGATAACTAATAATAAGCGTAGTTTCTCATTCTAAGAATGCTTAAACCACACTTATTTTCCACACTTCGCAGAATTCGTAATTTGTTTATATCAATTAACCGCACGTTTAATCGGTTGGAAACATTCCATAAAATAGGTGCACTCCCTACAGATGGCATTGAGAAAAAATATTGCCGAGTGACTGCGTCATAATGGGGTTTTAATTTGCCGCGGCAATCAGTCTACATATATAATTAGGAACACGCAAATAATTCTCATTCATGGGGCGTCCAATTGAGAGACTATGGAGAGACAGAAATTAGCGATTCAAGAGATAAACATTTAGATTGTTTGTTTTCGAAATCATTTGTTGACATGCCTCAACAAGTGTTGTTCTCAAAACGTGTTTTACATTAAAGCTACATTTTGTATACGCTTTTACAATTTAAACAATTTTTTTAAATGAATATAATTTATTGGCAACATTTAAAGGTCATTTTTATTAATCCTGTAGTAAGCCCAACTTGTCCAAGCGGGCCAGCAATATTTTTACGTCTTTTATGTAACCTTTAGAATAGGAGCACTTTCTACGTTTTTCTTCATTTTGAAGCAGATCGCCAAAGTCGACAGACTTGTCTCTTAAGGCCCACATCAAAGGTAGAAACGTGCTTATAACGAAGAGCTCTGAAATATTCAAATAACATACTAGATCATTTTCGACAACTAATAAACTAAAGCTAAAAACTCACCGAAATACTTGAGCTGATGAAGGCGCTTCCAAAGACCCGATTGGGTTGGCATTTCTCCTTTATAGCCGATCTTCTTCAGAACATCTTCCAAAACCGAAAAGTAGTAGTTTATAAGGTCATCCCAGTTTTTCCATCGATGGTCTGGCTCCATCAGCATATATATCGAGTAAACAAGATCCAGTCCCAACGGAAAAACACTGCTGATTTGAAAGTCGAGCAGCATGCAGTCCTTAAATGTTCCTGGATCCTGGTACTTGAACATAATATTGCGAAGATGTAGGTCTCCATGGCAAAGGACCCGGTATGGGTCTACTTCTGTGTTGTTCCGGTGCTCCTTCCACTCCGCTATGAGTCGCTCCAGAAAGTCTTCCTTGATGCTTTCGAAATAGGATTTGTACTTATTCAGCTCTGGCTCTTCACCCATAAGTTCCACGAAAAACTCCATTCCGGTTTTCATAAAGGGCTCCTTTAGGACATGTGGCATTTCAAACAGTCCGTGGGTGTAGGGCTCCAGGAATTCGGGGTTCTTAAAAAAATCTATTTAAAATTGTCTTAAATTATTAGTTAAGATTTTAACTTACCTCATTGAGTACTTTTAAGCTGGCTGCATGCCACTTGGCCAATTTGAAATAGACGCGGTGTATCTCATCAAGAGTGGCATCGCGATCCCTCAACACAATGTAGTTCATCTCCACGAGATCCTCAAAAATCAGGACCTGATGCGGTTCCAAGCTGTGGTATATGCAATCCACGTACAGTTTTGTGCTATCGCCGGCCTGGCGAAGAATCCTCTCGAATTCCGGGAGCACCTTTGTGTACATCCCCACCTCCGTTTCGAAAATGGGCGATCCTCCGATCAACTCCTTCTTGTGACCCTCCTCCTCGGGCATCGTTTTGATGATCAGCGACTTTTGGAACTCACCCTTTTGGTTGGAGTACCTCACTTTTGCCCGGAACATGATGCTGGCATAGTGATCACCCTTTGCGCTCGCCGGAGAGAAGGTCAAATCGGTTACCTCGGTTACTGGTTCCCCATCGTGGGATCCCATGACATGGGCTATGAATTCAGAATTCAGCCACTCTGGTGGAACCAATTCGTCATCGTTGAACTGGCTGTTGTTGGCACTCCCGGACATTTTGTTTACGAACTTCTTTTTCGACTTTCAGAAGAGAGAGTACTAAACAAAACCCGATTTCACTGGGTCTTAAATCGACGTTCAGAGAGCATTTCGTTTTAGAATGCAATTATATGTGCTTTGAGTAAGCTTTTCTTTAGATAATAGAGAGCTTTTTATTTTGCTTGGAATTTTTTAACATAGTCTCTCTTCAGTTAGACCCCGCAAAAAGCACCGAAAAAAAGAGAATTTTATAGAAGCTATCGCTTATCATAACAACAATCAAAATTACTTTACCTAGTACATAGGAAATGATGCCTCCATAAAAACAGAACATATACTGTTTAATAGCATATAAGAAATCACGCGCAAAACATTTAAATAAATCGTTGGTTTATTTCCGCAGATACACAAAAAAAGTTTAACAACAAAGAGAGATCTATTATTTTCTATTTATATTGCCTACTCTGGGTTGGTAATACAAATTTACTCTTACAGATCCTCGAAATAACCTGATCTTTCGAATCGGGCGAGCATTATTTCGGTTTCTTTAATAAACTCTTTTAGTTTTTGGCCAGTTTCTCCGTTGTTGTCAGTATCTTCAGAAACGGTTCCAAGATTAAGACCCATTGACATTGGCAAATAGGTGCTCAAAAATAGAAACTCTGCAATTAAATTGTTTATTTAAGGAACATAAAGTTATCAGATTTCATCTTACCGTAATCCCTTAGTCTTTTCATTTCCGCCCAGAACGAAAGAGGTGTTGGCATTTCTCCTTCAAATCCAATCTTTGTTAGGGTTTCCAGGAGGACTGAGAAATAGTAATTCAGTAACGTTTCCAACTCCCCTGTTCGCAGCTCTGAACCCATCAACATATAGATGGAATACATCAGGTCCACGGCCAGAGGAGCAACATAGCACCCCTGATAGTCCACCAGAAGACAGTCCTCGAGGCATTTTGTTTGCTTATTGTGTTTGAACATCACATTTCGGGTGTGGTAATCCCCGTGGCAGAGAACATAGTAACCTGGCTGGGAATTATTCTGGTACTCATTTATAGTACTACGCAGTCTGTCTATAAAGGAAAGTCCTAGCTTCTTAAAGTGTGGCTGGTATTTTTTCAGTTCAGGAACACGGCCTAAAAACTCCGTAAAGGGAACCATTCCTGAACTCATATAGGGAATGTCGACAAGACATATTCCGTCCTTGAACTCTTTTAGGAACTCGGGACGCTAATTTAGGGAAAACGGAATTACCTTTGTGAAAATTAATTAATATTGGTTTATCCCCAATTACCTCATTAATAATCTTCATGCTGACCGCGTGGATCTTTGCCAACTTTAAGTAGGCACTTCGAATCTCCTCGTGAGTAAGCTTTCGATCGCGAACCATTGCATAACCCATATCCGCCAGGTCTTCAAAAATTATCACCTGATGTGGCTCGAGGCTGTCGTATATGCAATCCGCATAAAGTTTAGATGCATCACCCTTTTCTCGAAGAATTCTCTCGAACTCTGGCAGGACTTTAGTGTACATGCCTATCTCAGTTTTAAACAGATTAGAGCCGGCAAAGATTTCCGATACCGTTTTGATGATTAGCGACTTGGAGAAGGTTCCTCTCTGGTTGGAATACTCCACCCTGGCTCGATACATTGTACTCGCATAGTTATCTCCCTTCGCAGTCGCTGGGGAGAAAGTCAAGTCGATAACCTTGGTCACGGGTTCCTTCTCATAGGATCCCAGAACACTCGCCATAAACCCTGAGTTCAGCCAGTCAGGTGGCGCCAATGCGTCATCGTTTAACTGAATCTTATCGGTGTTCCCCGACATTCTCTTTACCAACTTCTACGTCGACTAACCCAAGAGAACTAAATGAAAAAGCTTGATTTCAGTGTCAAATAAATAGAGTTCGGAGAGCGCCGATTCCTAAATGAGTTTTTACCACATGATAAAAGAGCTTTTCGTTTTTTCCTACACGCAAAAATAAAGTCTCTCTTAATTCAGAGCGAGAAGCAAGAGAAAGATTTATTTATTCATGCGTGAGTTTCCCGTATTTAGCAGAAAGAACGAACGTATCTGAACAATAATAATTTTGAAGTTACTTTTACAGGTCCTCAAAATATCCCGATCTCTCAAATCTTTCCAACATTTCTTTGGTTTCTTCAAAAACTTCCTTCAGTTGATAGCACTTTTTACGGGATTCGTCGTTGTGCAGCATTTCTCCTATATCCATGCCATGGGTTCTCAGACCCACTGAGATTGGCAAGAAGGTGCTCAGCAAAAGAAACTCTGGAAATCAAATATTTATTTTAAGATCTTGCAACTTTAAAAAATAATCTACTTACCGTAATATCTATGCCGTTTCATTTCGGACCAAAACATAAGAGGCGTTGGCATTTCTCCTTTGTAGCCAATTTTTCGGAGAGTCTCCAGCAAGATGGAAAAGTAGTATTTAAACAAGGACTCTAATTCCTGGCTTCGCTGCTCTGGTCCCATCAACATATAGATGGAATACATCAGATCAACGGCCATTGGAACCACATTGCAGCCCTGATAATCCACTAGCATACAGTCCTCAAAGCATCCCGTTTCCTTATTGTGCTTGAACATCATATTTCGGGAGTGAAAGTCGCCATGGCACAGTACGTAGTACCCTGGCTGCGGATTGTTTCGATACTCTTGCATCACCTCCTGAATTCGATTCTTAAAGTGCAGCTTAATTTTTTCAAAATGCGGCTGGTATTTTTTCAACTCAGGAGTGCTTCCCAAAAGTTCTATAAAGGGATCCATTCCGGCGTTTATCAAAGGGCTGTCCATTAAACCGGGCATATCACACATTCCGTATTTAAACTCCTGCAGGTATTCTGGTCGCTAAATAAGAAGAATAAAATATATCACATGTTACTATTACATTTGTACCTAAACTTACCTCTTTTATTGTTTTCATGCTTATGGCATGGATCTTAGCCAGCTTGGAGTAGGCACTACAAATCTCCTCCTGCATAAGCCAACGATTTCGCACCACTGCATATCCCATTTCCACAAGATCCTCAAAGATGATCACCTGTCGCGGCTGCAGACTGTGGTAGATGCAGTCCACGTGCAGCTTGGTTGTGTCATTTACTTCCCGGAGGATCCGCTCCCACTCTGGCAGTACTTTGCTGTACATCCCGATCTCAGTGATGAACAGTGGGGAATCTGTAAACATGTCCTTCTTCGCACCCTCCTCCTCGGGCATTGTTTTTATGATCAGAGACTTGGCGAAGTTTCCCTTCGGGGTTCGATACTCTACCTTGGCGCGAAACATAATGCTGGCATAGTGATCTCCTTTAGCACTTGCCGGGGTGAAGGCCAAATTGGTAACCTCTAGGTCAGAAACCTTTTCGTAACTACTTAGAACTTCTGTTATGAACTGCACATTCAGCCATTCCGGCGGGCTTAGCTCGTCGTCATTGTAATGCTCCTCTGCCATGTTGTCGCGAGTGAGGTTCTCTTTCCAATAATATTTTGTATTCGATGGCGGCCAAATATAAATAAAACCATAAAAGCTTTTCGTGTAATAGTTTGACAGTTTTGCGAAATTATTATCAGTTCGATTTCGGCTCTTAAGATAGCGAACAGCCGAAAACCCAATGGAAACTAATATTGTTTTTGTTTGGGCCAGAAAGCTTTTGAAAGTCCCCAATAAAACAAATATTGTTTGCTTGTTTAGACTTTCAGTTTTAAATGAGGTGAATATAAGAAACAGTCATGCTGACGAACGATAAAACAACAAATCAACTATCTGTTGGTTGGAAAGCTTTTAAAAATATTTCAGTTCCCGAAAAACAGCTCTCTAAACTTCGTTATATCAGTTGAAAGACACACTGGCGGTAGGCAACACCACAGATACGGAATGGCGACTTCAACTGAATCAATTGTCAATACTAACGAGCACTTGGAGATTAGTTCTCGTTATAGAATTGCTTCGATATGAAGTGTTGCTCTCTGGCTGGTCACGGGTTCCTTCTCATAGTATCCCAGAACGCTCACTATAAGCCCTGAGTTCAGCCAGTCAGGTGGTGCTAATGCGTCATCGTTCAACTGAATCTTAGCGGTATTCTCCGATATTCTGTTTACAAACTTCTACCTCGACTAACACAAAAGAACTAAATGAAAAAGCTTGATTTCAGTGTAAAATAATTAGAATTCGGAGAGCGCTAACTGTGTCGATTTCCAAATGAGTTCTTACCATATGATAAAAGAGCATTTCGTTTCTTCGCACACGCAAATACAAAGTCTCTCTTAATTCAGAGCGAGAAGCAAGAGAAAGATTTATTTATTCATGCGTGAGTTTCCCGTATTTAGCAGAAAGAACGAACGTATCTGAACAATAATAATTTTGAAGTTACTTTTACAGGTCCTCAAAATATCCCGATCTCTCAAATCTTTCCAACATTTCTTTGGTTTCTTCAAAAACTTCCTTCAGTTGATAGCACTTTTTACGGGATTCGTCGTTGTGCAGCATTTCTCCTATATCCATGCCATGGGTTCTCAGACCCACTGAGATTGGCAAGAAGGTGCTCAGCAAAAGAAACTCTGGAAATCAAATATTTATTTTAAGATCTTGCAACTTTAAAAAATAATCTACTTACCGTAATATCTATGCCGTTTCATTTCGGACCAAAACATAAGAGGCGTTGGCATTTCTCCTTTGTAGCCAATTTTTCGGAGGGTCTCCAGCAAGACGGAAAAGTAGTATTTAAACAAGGACTCTAATTCCTGGCTTCGCTGCTCTGGTCCCATCAACATATAGATGGAATACATCAGATCAACGGCCATTGGAACCACATTGCAGCCCTGATAATCCACTAGCATACAGTCCTCAAAGCATCCCGTTTCCTTATTGTGCTTGAACATCATATTTCGGGAGTGAAAGTCGCCATGGCACAGTACGTAGTACCCTGGCTGCGGATTGTTTCGATACTCTTGCATCACCTCCTGAATTCGATTCTTAAAGTGCAGCTTAATTTTTTCAAAATGCGGCTGGTATTTTTTCAATTCAGGAGTGCTTCCCAAAAGTTCTATAAAGGGATCCATTCCGGCGTTTATCAAAGGGCTGTCCATTAAACCGGGCATTTCACACATTCCGTATTTAAACTCCTGCAGGTATTCTGGTCGCTAAATAAGAAGAATAAAATATATTACATGTTACTATTACATTTGTACCTAAACTTACCTCATTTATTGTTTTCATGCTTATGGCATGGATCTTAGCCAGCTTGGAGTAGGCACTACAAATCTCCTCCTGCATAAGCCAACGATTTCGCACCACTGCATATCCCATTTCCACAAGATCCTCAAAGATGATCACCTGTCGCGGCTGCAGACTGTGGTAGATGCAGTCCACGTGCAGCTTGGTTGTGTCATTTACTTCCCGGAGGATCCGCTCCCACTCTGGCAGTACTTTGCTGTACATCCCGATCTCAGTGATGAACATTGGGGAATCTGTAAACATGTCCTTCTTCGCACCCTCCTCCTCGGGCATTGTTTTTATGATCAGAGACTTGGCGAAGTTTCCCTTCGGGGTTCGATACTCCACCTTGGCGCGAAACATAATGCTGGCATAGTGATCTCCTTTAGCACTTGCCGGGGTAAAGGACAAATTGGTAACCTCGAGTTCATTGACCTTTTCGTAGCCACTTAGAACTTCGGTTATGAACTGAACATTCAGCCATTCCGGCGGGCTTAGCTCGTCGTCATTGTAATGCTCCTCTGCCATGTTGTCGCGAGTGAGGTTCTCTTTCCAATAATATTTTGTATTCGATGTGGCGTCAATATAAGTAAAACCATGAACGCTTTTCGTGTAACAGTTTGCGGGTTTTGCGAAATTATTATCAGTTCGATTTCGGCTCTTAAGATACCGATCAGCAGAAAACCCAATGGAAACTGTTATTGTTTTTGTTTGGACGCCAAAGCTCTTGGAAACCCCTAAAATACAAAATTTGTTTGTTAACTTTTCATAAAGCTTTGCCATCTATCATGACTTTTATTTTTAAATGGGGTAATTATATGAAATAGTCACGCTGACAAACGATCAAACAACAATTCAAAAAAAGCTTTAAACTATCAGTTGGATGAAAGCTTTTCATTTGGCCTTAAACGGCACTCTGAACTTCGTTATATCAGTTAAAAGATACAGTGACTGTAGTCAACACCACAGATACGGAATGGCGACCTCAACGGCATCAATTGTCAATCCCAACGAGCATTTGGAGATTCCCCAGTGGATAAACCAGGAATATTTCCAGCCGATATTACAGAAAGACGAGCCTGACTATGAAAAGATTCTGAGCTTCAAACCGGTTGCAGCTATTCCTCCAGGCGAGAATTTCACATCCATAATGTTGCGGATTCACTTTGATCTACAGATGAAGGGTGAGGCAATACATGACTTCACAGAAAAAAGAAGAAATACGAGATGATCCATTGATGCGCACGTTTTTAGAAATTTAAAATTGTGATTTCATATTAAATTTTTGGTTTTTATCTCTACAGATGGAAACACCAAACACAAGACCTACGTTTTCAAGACAATGCTGGCGGAGGAGCGGGGTGGCAAGGAGATCCGTGAGGCAGGCATTTTCGACAAGGAGCTCATGATGTACCAAAGTTTTCTCCCCGCTTTCGAGGAACTCTACCGATCGGCTGGAGAGGAAATTCAGCTGGCTCCCAAATGCCTGCACACTGACCAGCGGGAGAACGGAATCCACTTCGTGTTCGAGGATCTGGGGGTGAAGAAATTCCAAAACGTAGATCGTATTCAGGGTCTAGATATTGTGCACATGAAGAGATCACTCCAAAAACTTGCGGAGTTCCATGCGGCGGCCGCAGTTTATGCCGAGCGAAAAGGATCTTACCCCGTCGAGTTCGAGGATGGATTCATTGGCAAGGACAACCTGAAAATGCAAGAAGAAGGATTTTTGGTAAAGGCCAGATCGTACCACAAGTCCATGGCTGGTTGGGGCCTGGAAGAACCTGAAAAATATATAAACAGCTTTGTAAGTCAGCTACTTCTAACTTGATATTGGTTCAGTACCTCATTACATTCTTTTTAATTAGCCAACGGTACAGCAGTTTTTGAAAATGTGTGAAAAAAATCTAGGAACGGATCCATTGGCCTTCAATACGCTTACGCATGGTGACTTTTGGTCTAGTAATCTAATGTGCAACTATCTACCAAACGGCGAAATCAACGAGGTCATCATGGTGGACTTTCAGCTGTGCAAATGGGGCAGTCCTGCCCAGGATCTGCTCTTCTTTATCACCCTTTCAGCGGCCAGTGATATCAAGCTCAAGGAGTTCGACAATTTCGTCCGAATTTATTGGGAGCGGTTGGTGGAATGCCTTAAGGTGCTAAAATATCAGAAACCCCTGCCAAAGCTGCGCGATCTGCAGACTTCCCTGTACCAGGACACAAATACTGTCTATGGTGAGTTTGTAGATTTCTTTTTTTATATTTCTTCAATTAATTTTATTATTTATACATTTTTCTTTGAACATCCTTTAGCTTTTATTGCCGTCTTTAATCATCTGCCTGTGATCCAGTTTCCTTCCGATAAGGAATCCAACTTGCATTCCCTTTTGCGAGACGATGAAGAAGGCGACAGATTTCGGATGCGAATCTTCACGAATTCCACTTTTTGCCGTCTCATGAAGGACATTTATCCATTCTTCTACAACCGAGGAATCTTTAACTTTAGTGATTACGAATAAGAAAGATGTGTAGAAAAGAATTCAATTAAATAATATTTGGATATATAAAACTTTTGTTTTTTAATAACCCATTCATTTTCTTAAGTTCCCGTTTACTGACGTACTAAAAAAACCGTATAATAACGATGACAGTCTACAATAGATACTAAAACAATAGATTTTCTACTGCAAACAATCTTACACAAGCAACTATAATGATTTGGCGAAAAAATGGGTTATAAGTATATGAAGATAATAGGCATGCTTATGACGTACTTGTGTTTTACTATCTAGGTGGTGAAGACAAGTACATTATCTTAATTTCCAATAAATATTTTCATCAAAATAGGGAAGTACTCAAAACAAACCTTTGATTATTTCGCTGATTCGTATCAACAAAGCTTGATAGCGTATCGCAAACAAAACAGATTACTTAATGTTGAAAAGGCTCCAGCGTAATAAACGAATCGTTTCTCAATTGATTGTCAAGGCTAGTAAACTAAAAAAAATAGATCAAAAGCCGATATGCTCAATACACTTTAAATCAAAATATAATGATATACTTGCAATTATGTAAGACCAACGAACGAAGCTTATCTTTTCTTATCATCAGATTACTGGAGAGTGGGCGTATAAAATCATTTTTGCAACCAAGTAATAGGAACTAAGGATGAGGCAATAAAAATGATTGAATATAATTATCAAGCTCCGCTTGATAAGATTGACTTGATAGTTTAAATAATCAAAAAAACAAACGCACAGCTTTTTATAATGTTACCCCACATAATGAAATAGGTTGTAGATAAGAGAGCTCTACAAAATGCCTATTAAAGCTTCGTTAAAAATGTATACAAATTCAGTTCCAAACTAGCAGGTGCCGGAAGAGGTTGTGTTTGCCGATCCGCAGAATGACCGACGAAATAGTGAACCCCAACGAGAATCTGATCATTCCCGATTGGATCAATGAGAAGTACTTCGAAAGTGTCCTGGCCAAGGACGAGCCGGATCATGCAAAAGTATTACAATTCAACGTAGTGGCTGCCATTCCACCTGGCGAAAATTTCACATCGACTATGTTGAGGGCCTACATCAAAATGGAAATGAAAGGTGAGCTTGCGATAAGCGATTGGTAACTGGTTTTTCTTTAAATATTATGAATGAAACTTAAAAATTCACTTACATTTTCAGATAAAAGCGTCAAAACAAAGACATACATCTTCAAAACGATGCTTCCCCAGGAACGAGGTGGTAACGACATCGCCGAATTCGGACTCTTTCCCAAGGAGGCCACGATGTACGAAACCTACATTCCTGCCTTTGAAGCTCTCTACAAGGATGTCGGGTGGGACATCCAACTGGCGCCCAAGTGCCTGCTAACTGAGGAGCGAGAGGGAGATATCCACTTCATATTCGAGGATCTCTGCGTGAAGCGCTTCAAGAACATGGATCGCACCAAAGGACTGGACATGGAGCACATGACGAGGTGTCTGCACAAGTTGGCCGAGTACCATGCGGCCAGTGCGGTTTACGAGGAGCTCCATGGTCCCTATCCCAGCGATTTCAAAGAGGGATTCGTTAGGCGCGATGTGAAAAAGTTCCACATAGATGGGTTCAAACTGAAGGAGAAGGCCTACAAGAAGGCCATTCTTTCGTGGGGCATTAAGGACGCAGAGAAATACGTTGAGGCTTTTGTAAGTTTCAAACAATTTAAAAAGATAGTAGCACTTAATAAATATTAAACTTATTTTCCATCAGCCCACTGCCGATCAATATTGGGCTCAATGCCTAAGCGCTTTGGAGCTGGATCCTTCAGAGTTCCATGTACTCAACCACGGCGACTTTTGGTCCAGCAACCTGATGAGCAGCTACTTGCCTGACGGCAGTCTCGACCAGCTCATCCTGATCGACTTCCAGTTAACCACGTGGGGCAGTCCGGCCATCGACCTGCTCTTCTTCCTCGTACTCTCCCCCACTAAGGAATCGCGAATCAAGGAGTTCGAGAACTTCATAAGGATTTACTGGGAGCGCCTGGTTGAATGCCTGAAGGCCTTGAAATTTAAGAAACCCTTGCCGAAACTGCGCGATCTTCAAAACTCTATCAACAAGAAGCACCATTCGTTTTACGGTAATTTTTGGCCACAATAATTGTCAGCATTCTCTAACAAAACTTTCCCTTTAGCTTTCTTTGCAATTCTGAATCACCTGCCGATAATTTTGTTTCCCACCGACAAAGACAGCAATCTGCACAACATGACCGCCGAGACAGAGGAAGGCGAGAACCTCAGACTCCGTTTACTTTCTAATCCTGCTTTTGTGGAAGTCATGAGGGAACTATACCCCTTCTTGTATAACCGCGGAATTTTGAACTTTGAGGACTATGATGTCTGATATTATTAACTGATAATAAAACGTAGTTAAATATTACGAAATCAAGTTTATCTTGGAGTGCCGAATAAGTGTGTGTCTTATCAGCAAGACTTTGGCTCCAGTCAAGTTGACGGTTATCTGTGATAGATATGGTTGTAGAATCTAGATTTTATTACAAACTCAAGCTGTTTTAACCAGCGTTTCCGAAAGCTGAAAGATAATTATCTACGCAGATCTTATCTTTACTTGCTGATCTCAACATAATGATTTCCAGTTCAGTTGAAATCATGTCGCCCTCCGAGAAGATCGAGAACCCCAACGAGAGTCTCGTCATACCAAAATGGTTGACCAAGTCGAAGTTTCAGTCCTTACTCACAAAAGATGAGCCTGATTATAACACAATTATTAAGTTTACTGCAGTAGCCGCAGTGCCGCCAGGTGGTAATTTCGCATCGGTTTTGGTGCGAGTGTACTTGGACTTGAAAATGAATGGTAAGATAATTCTCTTTTTATATATCAATAGGAGCATTATGTAGGCCAATATCTTCCAGATGAAACTCGTAAGAGAAAGTCTTATGTGGTTAAGACCACTCTGGATTCAGATAAAGGCGGCAAAGCGGTCAATGAGATGCGCTATTTTCACAAGGAGCAGCAGATGTATTCCACTTTCTTGCCAGAATTTGAGAAAATCTATCGCGAGGCGGGACATCCTGTTCAGCTGGTGCCGAAATGCCTGGAAATTGGAGAGATGGAGGGAAACCTCTATTTCATATTCGAAGATCTTGCCCCTAAAGATTATGTGAGTGCAGATCGAACTAAAGGATTGAATATGGATCAGATGCGACTGTCTCTCCGAAAACTGGCTGAACTCCATGCGGCGAGTGTGATTTACAAGGATCGTCATGGACCGTATCCCATTGACTTCGCTCACGGCTTCGCCAAGAAGGACAATATCCAACTCAGTGTGGGAAGATTCGAATCCAAGGCACCGGAGTACAAGGAAGCCATGAAAACATGGGGCATCGATGAGAGTTATCTTAAAAACTTTGTAAGGATTCTAGTTAATACAACTAACAGATACAGTTCACAAATTTAATTACAGCCCACTGCAGAGCAATATGGCAAACTCTGCCGGGAATCCCTCCATGTCGATCCCCAGGATTTTAATGTCCTTACGCATGGCGACTTTTCGGCGTGCAACATTCTGTTCAAGTATGCCGAAAATGGTTCCCTAAGTGAGGCACTTCTGCTGGACTTTCAGCTCTGCAAATGGGGAAGTCCTGCCCAGGATCTGCTAATGATAATAACCATTTCCGTGGCGAAGGATTTGCGGCTCAGGGAGTTCGACAACTTTGTGAGAATCTATTGGACATATCTAATCGAATGCTTGCGAGTGCTTAAGTACGAGAAACCCCTTCCTCAACTGAGGCAACTGCAATCTGCCATCTTCAAGAAAAACAACACACTCTATGGTAGCTGTTTATAAATGTATCTTTTATCTTTAACTTACATTTCATTCCTTCAGCTTTCTTTGCGGCGTTCAATCACTTGCCGGTTCATTTGCTGCCCATTTGCAAGGAGAGCAACTTGCACACCATGAACTCGCAGGACGAAATTGGCAGGAGGTTCCGAATGCGGGCTTACACTTATCCTGTTTTTGTGGAAATCATTAGAGAACTCTATCCCTTCTTCTGCAACCGCGGCCTCTTCAACTTCGAAGACTTTGAGTGATCGCAAGTTCATTCATCTTCCACTGCAGCTTGCAGTTGACTCGTTAAATAAATTGTGCGAATATTGATTCTGGTTTTATCAAGTTTCCCATGGCGAATGTCGGGGCTGCATAATTGAAACCGGGAGGCCTTGGAATAGTTTTCCAGCTAGTCTTTCAGTTAGTGCGTTTGTAAATCGGGAAAATACTTTTATGAATTCAGCTATATTTGAGGTTAAACTGAGATTTATTTTAAGATTTTTTAATTCAAACTGTTCAGCAAAAACACATATATTTGTTATACTAAAAAACTGTTTATCTGCTTATCACGTACTACCGTATCTACATCAAGAAGCTGATAAAAGCCGCAATGCGATACCATGGAAAATAATCTCTACTTTAGGAGATATAAGTATCTAAAAATTTCAATATTATCGTATTAAATATTTAAAAATTAAGTCACAAAATAACGCTAAATAATAAAAATATACTGAAATTATAGAGTATAAAAAAGGTTAGGCTGGTTTGTTTTGGCGTCTGGCCAAAATGAGGTATGTATACAATTTGATAGTAGCCCACTTGAGCGACAAGTGGGAGCGCGGGAGCTTTTTCTACCCCTCCCGGAGCTATAATGCCTGTCTGGTAATCAGATATTCCCATCACAACACTGCTGATAATTCCGGCGCCGGCGAATGCACTGCTTGACCATTCCGGGGGTACGGGAAAAGCTCTGCCAATTATCACCCACCTTGTGCGTCTCCGGGGAGAGTCTTTGGGCCAAGAGGCCCCCAAACGCTCTGTTGACGAACCAGTTAGACGGGCAGTTGGCATTGCTTTTCGGGGCGTTGATAAGTGCGCACCTCACCCACAGTCGACTCAACGGAACGAAAATAACATCGCGGGCCGCAAAACAAGAAAACATTCTCGATAAGGAAAGGCGAGGCGAAACAGTTGCGCCGCACACTTCGGACCGGGAACAACGCTCCACCGATTCGATCGCGGAGACCCCTTTCAAAATGCCCGATAACAGCAACAAGTTCTGCACCTCCAACAAGGTCCGCATTCCGACATGGATTAATGAGGCCTACTTCAAGCGGCTGCTCAAAAAGGAGTTCCGCGAGTTCCGACGGATCCTAAACCTCTCGATCATTCCGGCCACTCCGCCCGGAGAAACCTACACATCGCTGCTGATGCGCATCGTTATAGACATCGAGATGAAAGGTGAGGGCCTAGATTTTATTTGACCATATATTACTGGTACCTGACGTCATATTTTTACACAGCCTTAAGTAATAGCTTTACTAATTTAATAAAAATGCATACCTAACTGTGCATCACTTGTACGCTATGCATACTTATTATATTTTAAACAACGCAACCAGCAGTGAATTTAATTACTAACCAATAAAACTATTTTTGTTGCAAAGCTCAATTTAGCTTATCAAGTATACGCACTGTTATCTCCAATCAATTTAAAAAGAACAAAAATTACCTTATCTTTTCACAGATGGATTCTCTCAACAAAAGACGTACATTGTGAAGACCATGTTGGACGATGCCCAGGGAAATGGTGGCTTCGTGAACACCCTGAACATTTTTCCCAAGGAGAAGATGATGTACGATACGATCATTCCTCAGTTCGAACAGCTTTACGAGAAGGCCGGGCTCAGTGTGAAGTTCGCACCCAAGTGCCATTGGTCGGAAGAGATTAACGGAAGGATCTGCCTGGTGCAGGAGGATCTGCAAACGAAAAAGTTTCGAAATATCAACCGCCTCAAGGGATTCGACATGGCTCAAATGCAGCGCATCCTGGAGAAGTTGGCCGAGTTCCATGCGGCGAGTGCCGTTTGGCGCCAAAGGAATGGTCCCTTCCCAGATGATTTCCAGCGCATATACCTTCCCGCCAACTACAATCGATCCAAATCGTATCAGGCCAGGGTCCAGAGCTATAAGATGGCCATGGCCAGTTGGGGTCTGCAGGATCACGAGCAGTACGTGAATCGCGTTGTTAGTAGAAACATTAACAGGGGATTTCAAAACCTTAAACATATATTTATCTTTCAAGCCAACTGCTGATCAATTTGTGCAATCCTACGCCCGCTGTTTTAACAATAACCCGCAGGAATTCAAAGTCCTCAATCACGGCGATTTTTGGTCCAGCAACATAATGCTGAGCTCCACTCACTCCGGTGAAATCAACCAGATACGTTTTGTGGACTTCCAGCTGTGTAAATGGGGCAGTCCGGCCCAGGATTTGTGGGGACTTATCATTGGTTCGGCCAGACATTCGATCAGGATTCCGCACTTCGACTGCTTCATCAGGATATACCACACTCACTTGGTTCGCTGTTTAAAAATCCTTAACTACAGCGAGAAAATGCCAATGCTGAAGGAGCTTCATATGAAAATGATCAAGTATGGATTTTGGGGTGAGTTTTGGATAAGATATTTTAAGGAACTTTTCTATAATGAAACCATTTTCCTTCAGGTTACTTTACCGCCTTCACCCATTTGGTGTTCATACTGCTGCCGGTGGACACGGAGGCCAGTTTGGTGAAGCTTACTCAACCAGGAGAGGAAGGAGATCGATTCCGGGCGAAAGTCTACACAAATCCCCTTTACGTGCGGGCTGCACTGAGTATATTCCCCTTCCTCTACAGGCGTGGCATTCTTGACTTTTGAAGCAACACTTGCCAACTAATACCAATCCCTATCCATATTTACTGTATCTCATCCGGCCGACTTTAACTTTTTACAAGTTGCATTTAAATATTTTATGCAAATAGCAGAGTAACTAACCATGCAAACTTTGATACACTTAATAATAAACTAACTTTCTACAATGAAAAACCTAATTTATTCATTTATCTTTTGTTTAACTCGTAGACTGAAAGGGTATACTGTATCATCACTCCCCTCATCGGTATCTACCAATCCCCCAAAGATTTGTTATCATATCTACATCCCCGGCCAAAGAGACCTAGGTATTAACTTCAACACAAACAAAAAGATAGATAAAGAAAACTCAAATTCCCCTTTATATTTGGGAAAGTAATTATTTAGAGCTATTTTTGACTCTATTGTTGTTAATTGATTTATCAAATATATCAAACTCTTGGCAAGTCATGGAAACAGGTGCCTCGTTTCAGATCACGTTTTATTTATCAATGCGGAATACAGTTATAGATCGATAAAGAGAACCTGAAGGTTTTATAGTTTTTATTGGTCTTAGAAATTTAAAACATAATTTTTTTAAATAATTTCAAGTTAACGAAACTTTAAACTAATGACGTGTTTTTTTTACATTAAGGTGAAGTCGGCCAAATAATGTTTATATGTATTTCGAAAAAGAAAGCACACCTCATAAGTTGTTATCAGTAAATAATGTCCACAGCACTCGATCCACATTTATCAAAAAAGATTCAGTGCCATATGTTTGTTGGTTTCCACATATACTATATATATAATATGCATATATACTCAAATCAGCTGATAAGCCAAAGCTAAAAACAGAGAGAGCTTTCCGTAAGCTCTATCTTTCTCCCACCCGTCACATGTTTTGTCCCACATTTCGGAGTCGATAGCCCTCGCCGCAAGTTGCTGCCCAACTGCTCCGGTTTTCTCACTCCACTCGGTCAGGTGACTTGAAAAAATAAAAATAAAGTACAATGGGAACCGGCAGCAAGAACTACCAGGCTCCTGAATGGCTCACCGCCGACTTCCTGCAGGATGTGTTGAAGGAGCACTTCAAGGAGGAGCAGCTGGTGGTCAGCGAGCTGATTGTGAAGAGTGCCCAAGTGGGTGACCAGGCGGCGGGATTCGCCAGCGAAATGCACCGGGCCAGCTGCAATCTCCAAAGAGGCTCTGCTCCGAAAAGCAAGTTCTCGGTTATTGTAAAGGACCATCCCAAAGGACAGACGGGTGCAGTCGCCCAGAGGAGCAAGCTCTTCAAACGCGAGATCCTGGCCTACAAGGAGGTGCTTCCACGTATCCAGTCTCTGCTCCAATCCATCGGAGATCAGACAAAAATCGCCCCCGCTTGCTACTACACCACGGAATCGCCGGAACCTTTCCTGATCCTCGAGGACATGCAGCAGTCCGGCTTCGAGAACTTCGAACGGGGTCGCCTGCTAAATCTGGACTACGTACTGCCCACCATCGAAAAGATAGCCAAACTGCACGCCTGCAGTGCCATCATCGCCCAGGATAGTCCTGAAGTTTTGGAATTCTTCAACGAGGCTCCTATTTCCCGGAACCCGGATCGTCGCGATTTCCTCACCTTTTTCCCGGTAAACATCCGCTGCGTGGCCGAGGAGGTGGCCCACTGGAAGGGCTACGAGGAGATCACCGAGAAGATGTTCAAGCTGGCCGAGAATGTGTTGCAGAGAGCACTCACCATGTTCGAGAATACTGGCAAGGAGTTCCGCGTCTTCAACCTCACCGATCTGTGGATCAACAATCTGCTGTTTCATATCAACAACGAGACAAAGGAGCCGGACGATGTGGTCACGGTAAGACATACAAATTTCTTTGTAAATCACATTACTATATCTCAAATTTGAACCTCCAGTTAGACTACCAGTTGGCCTATGTGGGATCCCCGACCATTGATCTCAACTACTTCCTGTACGGCTCCTTGAATGAGAATGTGCGAAAGGTTCACTTTAAGTATATTGTTAGGGAATACCAGAGGGTGCTTCAGCAGACCCTGGAAAAACTAAACTTCCAAGGACACATTCCCTCCCTCAAGGAGATCCACATCGAGTTGATCAACACCAGTCTAATGGGTGAGTTAGCCCTTTCTCAAGAAAAAGTATTTTCTTACCATAAACTCTTTCTCTTTTAGGAGTCATTGGCGCTACTTGCTTAACTCCCCTGATTTTCCGCGAGGGAGCAGGCTTCGAAAATCTCGAGGATCTTAACTCGCGAACGGAAAGCGGCGATCGATTCCGCCGGGAGAATGTAGAAAACCCCAAGTACCTAGCTTTTCTACAGCGAACCATCAAAGAGTTTGAGCTCTCCGGATTCTTGGATATTTAGAAAAGACAGAGTGCAAATTGATCAAAAGTATTCGGGCTTCCATATAGTGTAAGCATTGTTAGTTTCAGACACAATATTCCATGAGTATTTTTTACACCCAAATAAAGTAGCAAACGTTGTTATATATTTTCCGAAAAGCCCTGAGGTTTTATTTAGCCCTATGAAAAAATATTAATTTTGTATGAAAATTATCGAATTATCATAATTTTCCAAGCCCAACTCAACGGCAATAAATGGGTTGCGTTTTCTCTGAATATACAACTAGTCAATAAACAATGTGAACAGGTTCTACTTGGCTCTGTTGGGTCCCCACTCTATTTAAATGTTTTTCAAAAGAGCTTTAAAAAAGTTCCAAGCTTCCCGTTAACAAGTTTTCGGTGATAATTTTAATTGCCTTTTGATCAGTGGTATTAAAAAAACTTTCAAACTAATGGAATATATAGTAATTGTTTTCATTTTGTTTGTTTGGTAACCATGGCAAAAGGCTTATCTCTCAGAGATAATTCCTTGATCTAAGTACGTGTTTTATTTAATCATTAAATACTACTGAATGTTATCATCCAATTAGACATAAAAAATTCCTGCTTTGAAGTTGATTAAGTTCATAGATCTTTAAAATATCCCACTTCTTCGTATTTTCGAAGAAGGTTTTTTATATCTTCAAGGTAAATATCAAAGAAATAGACTTTCTTTCTTATTTCTGGCTCCAAAATAATGTCGTTCATTTTTATCCTGTTTGCCTTAACGGCCAATATCATAGGCATAAAAGTGGACATAAGGAAAAAGTCTGTAAAAAAGTATAAGTGTTAGTATTGTCTAATAGAAAAGTATTTTCAGCACTTACCATAGTACTTGTGGCGGTGAATTTCCTTCCAGAGACCAGCTTGCGTGGGCATTGGGCCCTTGTAGCCCACCTTCTTCAAAGTTTCCTCCAAAACGGAAAAATAATAATTTATAGCATCTTTACCTAGATCCCATCGCTGTTCAGGTTCCATCAACATATACACAGAGTATATCAGATCGATGGTAATGGGACTTAGATTGCAAATTTGAAAGTCCACGAACATAACTTCGCCGTTGTCCTTGAACATCATATTTCGCAGATGGAAGTCGCCGTGACACATCACGTAGTATCCATCAGATTTGTAGTTTTTCCGGTATTCCTGCATTACATCACTCATTCGTTGCAAGTAATCGTTCTTTATTTTCTCAAAGTAAGGCTTGTACTTAGTGAGCTCGGGGGTTTTTTCTAGCATGTCCAGGAAATTTCCCATACCAGACGTGACCATGGGATCAGTCATTAGGTTAGGCATCTCGGTCAAGCCATATTGAAACTCCTTCAGGAAATCGGTTTGCTCATTCATCACCTTCATGCTAACTGCGTGCCATTTGGCTAGCTTAGTAAACACAGCTTTTGTTTCCTCCGGTTTAACTGGCCTGTTTCGGATGACTGAGTATCCCTGCGGCACGAGATCCTCGAATATCAACACTTGTCGAGGCTCCAAGCTGTGGTAGATGCAGGGCACATATAGCCTAGTATCATCTCCGGCCTCCCGGAGAATCCTCTCGAACTCGGGCAGAGCCTTGGTGTAGGCTAGAATTTCCGTGGAGAACAAATGGGACTCTGCCAGCATTTCCTTTTTATGTCCTTCCTGCTCTGGCATCGTCTTGATGATCAGGGGCTTTGAGAATTTTCCATTCGAGGTGGTATACTCGGCGGTAGTTCGGAACATAACACTGGCATAGTGATCTCCCTGTGCACTGGCGGGTGTAATTTTCAGATCAGCTACTTTCACTTTGCACTTTTCGTATTTTCTCAGAACCTCTCCAATAAATTGCGCATTCAGCCACGACGGCGCCTCCAACTCGTCAGCATTGAATTGTTCCGTATCTGCGCTATCTGGCATTTTTTCGCGGGGCCTATCAATAATCAACTAGTCGAAATACTTTGTAAACCGGTAATACTTAACTCTGTTGGGTCTCAGCTCAATTTAAACGTTTTCCGAGGGAGCTTTGAAAAACTTTTTGAAGCTTTTTCTATGCAAGTTTTCGACTTGGTGCGAAACTCTTATCTTATCACAAGAAAAGCTGTTCAACAGGATAAATACCTTTGATCACTTTTAATTCAAAACTAAACTCTGATAACTAATCAAAAAAATCAATCACAATATATTATTAAATAATTTTTTGTTAACTACTAGGCAAAGAAAAAAACTAAAACACATCAAAAATTATTAAATTAATTTAAATTATTCTTATAACTATTATTAGAATAATTTTTCTTAGTAACTGTAAAGCTTAAAAATTTATTTATTTATAAAATATGACCAAAGTTTAAACACTATAAGCTTCAACGTTTCAGAAAGTTTAAACTAAAACAGCTTTTATTAAAAAACTGCACGTCATTTTGACAAGTCATGCTGATATTGAGCAATATTGTTGATCAAAATTTCATTTGTCATTTCACTCGAAATAATCATTTCTTTAAAACGAAGCTATATTGAAAAAAATACATTTTTAAGCTTTACATTTAATAAGAAAAAATAGTTAAACACTTATATTTTTCTCTGAAGGTCATTCCGCAATCAAGTGCTATTGAACTTCACCTTGTAACGCCCACTTAGAACTAGTTTATGATTGGTACTTCAATTAAAATGGGGGAGATATGACTGCATTTTGCACAAACATTTCATTTATTTAGCAGTACAGTATCAATTTTATTGTTTACTATTAGAATTTTTAAATTTCCTTATTACAGATCCTCGAAGTATCCCAGTTTCTCGAAATTGTCCAAAAGCTTAGTAACATCTTTTAAGTAGTTTTCCTGATAGTAGGTCTTCTTCCTAGCTTCCGTATTTTGAATAACTTCATGCATTAATGCAGTGTTTGATTTAATGCCCATCATCATTGGTAACAATGTGCTTATCAAAAAGAAATCTAAAAGGAAATGAAATAAGATGAAAAAGATCCAAGATTGTAGCTGTAAGCATATCCTCACCAAAGTATTTATTGCGGCGTATTTGCTCCCACAATCCTATTTCGGTGGGCAATTCCCCCTTGTATCGAATGTTTTTAAGAGTGGAGAGCAAAACCGAGAAGTAGTAGTTGATCAGTTCCTTTCCCATTTCGCAACGCTGTTCCGACTCCATCAACATGTAGATTGAATAAGTAAGGTCCACAGTAATGGGGCAAAGATTACAGAACTGGAAGTCCACCAGCATGAGGTCATCGTAGGTTCCTGGCTTCTTTTTATTATTCCTGAACAGCATATTACGTAGATGGAAATCGCCATGGCACAGGACGTATTGTCGATCATTCCGCCGATATTTGTGATATTCGTGCATCTCAACTTTCAGTCGCTGCATGTAACTATCTTTTATTTTTTCAAAATGCTGCTTATATTTCCGGAGTTCAGGGACTTGGTCAAGCATTTCAATAAAAGTGGTCATACCATTAGTTATAAAGGGATCAGTGTGGATAGTCGGCATTTCGAAGAGGCCATACTTAAACTCTTTAAGAAAATCGGGTTGCTGGTGGAGGAGTTTGTAATTTAGGGATACTACTTAGGATCTTAGAAACGAAAAGCTGATTAAGCTTACCTCATTGATGAATTTCATACTGACTGCATGCCACTTGGCCAACTTGTAGAAGGCCAATTTCAGATCCTCCACTGTGGGAGGACCGTCCCGGATGACAGTGTATCCCTGAGGCACAAGATCCTCGAATATCATCACTTGCCGGGGCTTCAGACTGTGGTAAAGGCAGGGTACGAAGAGCTTGGTATTATCCCCTGCTTCCTGTAGAATCCTCTCGAATTCGGGCAAGACTTTGCAGTACATTCCGATTTCCGTTGCGAAAAGATGCGATCCACTCAGCATGTCCTTTTTGTGACCATCCTCCTCTGGCATCGTTTTGATGATCAGTGACTTGGAAAACGTTCCCTTCTTAGTTGAGTAATCCACTTTGGTCCGGAACATAATGCTGGCGTAGTGATCTCCCTGCGCAGTTGCAGGAGTGATCTGCAGATCGGTTACTTTAAGATCCGGAGCGTTCTCGTAGGTGCTCAGAATTCCTTCGATAAACACTTTATTTAGCCAAGTTGGAGGCTGAAGCTCGTCGGCATTAAATTCGGTGTTAGACTTTTCCATTTTGTAAGAGCTAAAAAATTTAATCAGCACTGGTAGAACCTTTCCGTTGAGAGTATAAAAAACTGATGCGAAAGGTATATGGCACAACAAGCCATTTAAATAAGAAAGGGAGAACTTTGACAAAGCTTTTGAGGATCCTATCAGTTCTTAAATATTATGATCTGTGCTTTTAATTAAGTAAAGTATTTTCTTATCTAATCTTGATTTTTAAAACAACAATAGTTGAGGACCGTTGTCCTTATTATCGGTTTGAATCAAGTAATCACATTTTGTTTATATTTAAATGTATATTTGTGGTTTTCATTTTCATTTCCATTTAGACGAGTTTGTTTAACAACAATTTAGCCATTCTCTAAGTATATTGCATAAACTCATTATCATTATCATTTCCAAAGGCAACGATTCCTTTATTACGGAAATACATAACAGATACATATATGATTACATTAAATTACAAAAATTTTGGCCTAATTACTTTTAATGCCTTTTTTAATTTTAGACCCTTAAAGTACCCCAATTTCTCGAATTTCGGCAACATCTTGGTAACATCTTTCACATATGTATCCATAAAATAATTTTTCAATTCAGATCGTGATGCTGATCAAGAATATATATACTTTATAAGGTCTGAGGTGTCTCCTTCAGTTCGTTGCAAACTTCAGACTGAAATTATAATACCCTCTTGCTCTGCAAGAGTACAATGAATAGAAAAATCGTCATAGTTTCGATGTTGTTTAGCCCTTATGCATTTTGATCGACATATTTGATGTCTGCAAGGGTATATAAGCTTCGGCCTGCTTGTTTGAAATTTAAAAAAAAAACTAATACGAATTTGTTTTAAGGGATGTGTTGGTTTCGGAAGTTAAAATAATGTTGGTTAAGAGTTAACGCCTAAAAGTAACCAACATTAAACTCTTAAAGCTATGTGAATATTACCAGAATTTACGTATGTGATAAGATGGCAGCCATACACACATCACAAAAATTATGAAATACCCGGGAGTGCTGGTTTCTGCAACTCCTGATAGTATGCCTTTACCTATTTATAGGCATTTGAAAAGGTTCTTAGCCATTAGGCTTGCTGAAGCTACCTTCCTTTCTTGTTCTCTGAAAATTCGTCCGCAATCCTTCACCTTTTAACGCCCACTTGGAACTACATAGTTTATGATTGGTACTTCATTCAAAATACGGTAGATAGGACAGTACATTGCACGAACATTTCATTTATTTATCAGTGCAGTATCAATTTTATAGTTTACTATTACTATTTTTAAATTTCCTATTTTGGGGCATCACAGATCTTCGAAGTATCCCAGTTTCTCGAAATTGGCCAAAAGCTTAGTAACATCTTTTACATAGGGCTCCTGCAAATAGGTGTTGTTCCTTACTTCATGATCCTGGACAGCTTCATGCAATAATACAGTGTTTGATCTAACGCTCAGCATCATTGGTAACAATGAGCTTATCAAAAAGAAATCTAAAAGGAAATAAAATAAGCTGAAAATGATATAAAATTATAGCTTTAATATTTTCCTTACTGAAGTATTTATTGTGGCGCATTTGCTCCCATAATCCTATTTCAGTGGGCAATTCCCCCTTGTATCGAATGTTTTTAAGAGTGGAGAGCAAAACCGAGAAGTAGTAGTTGATCAGTCCCTTTCCCATTTCGCAACGCTGTTCCGACTCCATCAACATGTAGATCGAATAAGTAAGGTCCACAGTAATGGGGCAAAGATTGCTGAACTGAAAGTCCACCAGCATGGTGTCATCGTAGGTTCCTGGCTTTGTTTTATTACTCCTAAATAACATATTCCGCAGATGGAAATCGCCGTGGCCCAGGACATATTGTCTATCATTCTGCCGATATTTGTGATATACGCGCATCTCATCTTTCAGTCGCTGCATGTAACTATCTTTTATTTTTTCAAAATGCTGCTTATATTTCCGGAGCTCAGGGACTTGGTCAAGCATTTCAATAAAACTGTCCATACTATTAGTTATAAAGGGATCAGTTTGTTCAGGGGGCATTTCGAAGGGGCCATACTTGAACTCTTTAAGAAAATCGGGTTGCTGGTGGAGGGGTTTTAATTTAGATACACCATTGACAGAAGAAACTGATTGGGCTTACCTCATTGATCACTTTCATACTGACTGCATGCCATTTGGCCAACTTGTAGAAGGCTAATTTTAGATCCTCCACTGTGGGAGGAGCACCACGGATGACAGTGTATCCCTGTGGTACTAGATCCTCCAATATTATCACTTGCCGCGGCGTCAGACTGTGGTAAAGGCAGGGAACGAAGAGCTTGGTATTATCCCCTGCTTTCCGTAGAATCCTCTCGAATTCGGGCAAAACTTTGCAGTACATTCCGATTTCCGTATCGAACACACGCGATCCACTCAGCATGTCCTTTTTGTGACCATCCTCCTCTGGCATAATTTTGACGATCAGAGACTTGGAAAACGTTCCCTTCTTAGTTGAGTAATCCGCTTTGGTCCGGAACATAATGCTGGCATAGTGATCTCCCTGCGCAGTTGCAGGAGTGATCTGCAGATCGGTTACTTTAAGATCTGGTGCATTCTCGTAGGTGCTCAGAATTCCTTCGATAAACACTTTATTTATTTATCCAAGTTGGAGGCTGAAGCTCGTCGGCATTAAACTCTGTGTTAGACTTTTCCATTTTGTAAGAGCTTATAAGTTTTAACAACACGGGTAGAACCTTTCCGTTGAGAGGTTAACAAACTTATGCGAAAAGTCTATCGTAGACCGGTTGCTTTAAATAGAACTCGGGAAACTTTGACGAAGCTTTTGGGGTAAACTAAAGCGTTTTTCCTATCTTATCTTGAACACCAACGTTATGCTTATTATCAGATTGAATGAGGAAAATATAAAAAAAATTGTGTAAATGCTCTTTGTTTATATTTAATATTGTTTTGTATTTACACCGAATAATAGATGTGTTCTCGGAGACGATCTCAGTTGAAGTGTCTTTTATTATATATTATATATAAGCTTACAATCCAAACTATGTATCTATTCATTGGTGTGACCGTTCTGTATCAAAAATATATTCTTATGTACATATTTTATTTTTTGAACTTAAGTGGAACGAATATCCAATAAATATGTATGTATACATACCATATACCATATACCATATACCATTTACCATATACCATATGGTATGTATACATACCATATTTGTGGCTATCTTTTCAAAATATTTTTTTGAATACGCTACTATCAAGCATAAACTTATTATTGTAACAAATGAACTTAAATAAGAAACACTTTTGCAAATTTGCTTTTATTGCGTTTTAAAACTATAGACCCTTAAAGTATCCCAATTTCTCGAATTTCGGCAACATATTGGTAACATCTTTCACATAAGTATCCATAAAGTAGGTCTTTTGACGAGTTTCCGGGTTTTCGATCAGATCATTCATTTTAAAACTATTTGACTTGACGGCCAAAATCAGTGGAAGGAATGTGCTAATCAGAAAAAAATCTGAAACAGATTTAAAAAACATGCAAATCAAATTTTTTTTGGCTACTTCCGTTTTAGTAAACTTACCATAATACTTGTTCCGATGAACTTGCTCCCAGAGTTTAGCTTGGGTGGGCATGTCCCCCTTGTACCCAATTCTCTTGAGAGTGGCGACCAAAACCGTGAAATAGTAGTTGATCAGGTCCTTTCCCATTTCACGGCGCTGCTCCGGCTCCATCAACATATAGATCGAATAAGTTAGATCGACGGCAATGGGGCAAAGGTTGCTCAATTGGAAATCCACCAACATGGTGTCTTCGTGGGCTCCCGTCTCCTTGTTGAACTTGAACATCATGTTGCGAAGGTGAAAGTCGCCATGGCAGAGGACATAGTACCCATCACTCCGCCGACTTTTCTGATACTCCTGCATTGCAACTTGCAGGCGCTGCAGGAAGCAATCTTTAATCTTTTCAAAATGAGTCTTGTACTTCTTGAGCTCGGGTAATTTGTCCAGCATTTCGATAAAGCTGTCCATGCCAGTTGTAATGAACGGATCGTTTTGCATAGTGGGTATATCAAAAAGGCCATATTGAAACTCCTCCAGAAAGGCTGGTTTCTGGTGTAGCAGAATGTTAAATGGAAGTTAAAATTGTATATTATTCAACCTACCTCTTTCAATAGCTTCATGCTGACTGCGTGCCATTTGGCCAGCTTAGAGAAGGCTGTTTTGAGTTCCTCCTGAGAGACAGGACGATTACGAATGACGGAGTATCCGTGTGGCACCAGATCCTCGAATATCATCACCTTGCGAGGCTCCAGGCTGTGGTAGATGCAGGGCACAAAAAGCTTAGTATTATCCCCTGCTTCGCGGAGAATCCTCTCGAATTCCGGAAGTACATGACAGTACATCCCGATCTCGGTTTCAAACAGGTGCGATTCCCTCAGCATGTCCTTCTTGTGACCCTCCTGTTCCGGCATCGTCTTTATGATTAGGGACTTGGAGAACTTTCCCTGCGAGGTGGTGTACTCTGCTGTGGTGCGGAACATAACACTGGCATAGTGATCTCCCTGGCAACTTGCGGGTGTTATCTTCAGATCGATCATCTTTAGTTCCGGGGCCTCTTCGTACGCGCTCAGAATCTCTCCGATAAACTGGGGATTCAGCCAAGTCGGGGCCTCCAGCTCGTCGTCATTGAATTGTTCCGCGTCTGTCTTGTCAGTCATTTTGTTTACTATTGCACAATTCAACCGATAAGTGCCACGACTATTCTGAGTGCAGTTCTACGTGATTATGGAAAACCCGATCACGGGCTTGGCCCATTTTAAGCAAAATGCTCGAGCTTTCAAAATGATTCGCTCAAGCTTTTTGTGATCACCAACACCCACTGTTCTAGTGACCAATAATGAGATATAAATAATAGGGTTGGGCGAACACTTATGATTATCTAATAGACCCTCAACACTCAAGTTCCGGCAGCAGATTCATCAAATATCTAACCATAAACAGTTAAGGCAATGTCTCATTTAAATATACATTGGTTATGGGGACTTGCAATAACTAAACATGAAAATAAAATACTTGCTAACATTCATTTACAGCAGTTACTTGAGCAAAAATAGCTGATACCAAATCTAAGTTTTTTAATCAATAGTAACACTCAAAGTATCTTTCCGATTATTAAACTTTTCTACCTACTGCCGGTATCCCAATAAAATTGATAAGATCACTTACAGAATGAACGATCGACTTGAGTGATGACATAATACTTTAAGGTAAAAAAAATGTTCCTCTAAAATTGTTGGTAATAGTGTATTAAATAACATGTATTTGAATAAAAGTTTAGCTACGTATAATGAATATGTATACTGTTCGGTTATTCTTTACAAATGTGATTACATTATCTAACCTAAAAATAGTTCGTCTAATATATCTCTAAGTACATATAATTTGGACTATATAACACAGGTGTAAGATAATAGGATTTTTGAATCTATCTCACTGATCTGCATCGAGCAAACCCTCTGCATCGAAGGTGGGCAATAGTTCCCGCAAAATCCTTTGTGAAATTGGATTTCTATAGCAGGCGTTCTTGAAGTTAATGGCCCGCTGGTTACTTTCCATCAGGGCATTAAAATCGGCATCGGCGGTCTCCACATTTCGTTGAATCGGAAACACGGAGATGGATGTGTGAGCAGCTGGATATTGTTATGGAAATTCAAAATTAGACACCTTACAAACATCTTGAATTGCATTTCAACTCACCGTAGAACTTCTTCTCGTGCAACTGCTGGTGGAACTGGTGCAAGCTGGGAACTGGAGCCTGGTACTGCAACTTCCTTAGAGTGTCTGAGAAAATGCCGAAGTAGTAGGCAATCAGCTGCTCCTGATGGTTCTGATGGAGGTCGAACTCCAGCGAGGTGTTCATGAAGTAGAAGAGATCGAGGGCCGGCGATCCCCACGCCGTGTATTGAAAGTCAATGATGATGACATCCAATGGCTCCCCGGTTTCCTTATCGTACTTGACCAGCACATTGTTGGTCCACAGATCTCCGTGAGCCAGGACATTAATGTGGCCCGGGCTGATGTCGAAGATGCGTTTTCCCAGCTCCATGTAGATGGGCACCAGGGCGTCCATCTTCTCGGCGTACTTCTCGTATCCTGGCCACTGAGCCACTCGACGGGATGCCGCCTGGAACATGCCCACGAATGCTGGTGCGTAATTCTCGGTGTATCGGTTGAAGAAACCTCGATCGTAGCCCTCCAGACTGTGACTCTCACGCTCGTTCAAAACCGCGGAGGTGGCATGCATCTTGGCCAGTTTCCGGAGCACAATACGAGCCAGTTTGAGATCCAAGCCGACCAAACGGTCTGGCATCACAAAGCCACGGGCATTCAGGTCCTCGAAGATCAGTGCAGAGTTACCAATGTCCACTGCCATGGTTTCGGCGAAGATCTGCTCGCCATCTCCGATCTCGAGGAGGAGCGCCTTCTGCTTGGGCAGGACCTGCTCGTAGATAATCATCTCGCGGTTGAAGATGTCGTAGGGCTCCATGGCGTTCTGGGCGAACTCATTGCCCTCGAAGGTGGACTTCACGATGTAGTGACCCAGCTGGGAACTACCATCTCCCCGGGTGAACTGAGCCTTCACTCGGGTGAGGACTCCGCCGTAGTTTTCACCCTTGCCCAGAGCAGGATTCACCTTGACCCAGTCGATCCTGATCCTCGGGTCCTTGTAGTACTTTTGCAGGGCATCCACCAGGTAGCTCTCCGTTAGCCATTCAGGAGCATCCAGGAAAACCGAACTGGCAGCCGGGGGAGGCCTGGGAGCTGTGAGCTTGGGAATGGCCTCGATGGCACCGATCAGATCAGAAACGGACATATTGAAAGTGATCTTTAGCTGAGAGACTCCTGAATGAAATTGTGCCGAAAACCCAGAGCCCTGCCGCTTTTATGGCGAAATTTTGGGATGCTGTAAACTGTTCCCAGCCCGCAGATATGAAACCGTATATCCGAGGGCCTCTCCCGTCACAATTGCGATTAATATAACCATAAAATCGCAGATTTCGTAGCTGTGAATTTAAATGTGGGTACGGGCGTACAGATTACACTTTTTATTGGACGGAGCCCATTCGGCATGCCTCCAGTCGACAGTTAAGATTCGGGCCCCACCTCTCCACTGTGGCTACTGCCCAATTGTTTGAGTTTGTCGAAGGCAAGCCAGTTAATCTTTATAGCACTTGCTGTGGGCTTAGGGCTGCGCAAGTGTGTTCTCAGCAATTATCCCAGGCTCACACATGTTAAACGGTTCCCAGCTAAATCATCCCAAATGCGAGTGATTTGTCAAAATGCTAACGTCAGACGCTGGGAAAAATCTTAGGGATATACGAAATATATACCACTTTAAAGTGAAAAGCAACCATTGATAACCTCATTTGCAAAGTTCATAAGAAATGGTTTGTAAGCCAAAATGTGTAGTCGGCTTAAGCGATATATTTTATTTGTAAAATATAAGAAACACTGCTTACTGCTACTTTTTTCATACTTGCCTTCCGTATTTTTAACAACACCTAAAATATTTCAAACAATTTTTTAGCCTAGAATGATTTCGTATACTGGTCTTCAATTAATAAAGTACACATCACTAAACAAGTTTAATTAGCTTTAACTAAATTGCTTTAATCATCATAGCTATATAGCTTTCTAAACTTTGTCGGCTTTTGCTGATAAACCATGTTTACCTTGTCTAGGTAAATATGAGTATTTAAACTATTTTCTCAATGGTTTACAGCTTGCAAACTTCGCACTAAGTTTAGATCTTTCAGCACCCAAATGTATGATTTTTGCAATTAACGCTACGTCAGAACTTGAAACATAGGAAACAATTTTGTTTAAACAAAATATGCTAATATGAAGGATTGAGTTATTTCTTTTAATACATTTTAAAATTTTAAAAAATTTTAATTCTTTTTTCTTTATTTATATACTTTACACATTATCTCTATAACACTGTTAATAAATATTTTGTAAGAAAAATCCTTCGGCAAGCAAAGATCAAATAAATTGTAATAGCTTAATACGTCTGGTTAAATATTGAAACAGTTACTAAGAGAGTCTGGCTAAACAACTACGTGGCACCATATATAGTACTCCCTGACACAATGCAATTCTGGAGCTCTACGATAAAGAATCATCTTGATACAAAGTGCCATCCCATCAAAGCGGTTTACGTAAGACAATGAAAGAGGTCGATGGGAAAATTATGATTGTGGGTGGGTAGCCACGTGAAAAGACGGCCTCAAAAATTAAAACGGAATACGAAAATGAGCACAAATCCTACGACTGCCGATTCACAGCACTTTAATGGGGCCAAACATCAAGTTAATTGGGATTCCTCCGGATTTCGGGTATCTTTATTGAGGGAATCTGTCGGCGTCTGTACATAAATCCAAAGATATAATATCTGCAAGGCAGTGTTGAGCAATGGCACGATTCTTGGCACACGATACGCATAATCGAGACCTGTTGCCAAACGGGGATAATCCCAAGACAAACACTGCAAATTATAGATGCCAGTGTTTACCCGGACATAAAAACCTAGAACGTCAACCTCAGAAGGAGCGATATGTAAATAAAACTGCAGATAGTAGCCTGTAGTAAAAAGCACTTGGAGAATCTTTTTAATGAATTGGAAAGTAAAACTAATGCCACCATCTACGATTATATGAAATAGAACTACAAACAGTAACTAAGTGAGATTATATTCAATACCTATGTCTGGTTTATTGTCCGTTTTAATTTGTTCTTGCAAGCGGTTTCAAAACCCCTAAATTTTTTTCCTTGTGAGTTATTTTTTCGAGTGGAATACAAGCTGACATACAAAGCATGCCTCTAATTGCGCTTTGACAAATGTACACCATTTAAAGGTAGTATAAAAGCAGTCGACTTAACGTCGCTGATCTGCATTCACTGTGAAAAATAAGTTCAACTAGACAAGATGGCAGCGGCACCCGAGTGGCTAACCCACGAATATATCGAGCACGCCCTTCGATCCCACTACAAAGACAATGGATTGGCCATCACCCAGCTGCAGATAAACCCCGCCTTGGGACCCGGAGAAAACTACGGCGGAGTGCTGACCCGTGCTCGAGTGGAGTTTACCCTTTCGAACCAGGAGAAGAAGCTGCAGAACCTGATTGTAAAGACGGAGATCGACGACGACGAGTTGACCCAGGAACTGATGGCTCCCTACGACATCTACAATCGGGAAATGACAATCTACGAGGAAGTGCTGCCAAAGATAAATGAGCTGCTCAACGAAATCGGAGATAGCGAAAGGATCTTTCCCACTGCCATTTATGTGGATCGCGAGCGAATGGCTATAATCTTTGAGGATCTCTCCGTGGCTGGTTACGTAATGGCGGATCGAGTGCGTCGCCTTAACGAGGAGCACACCCACCTCATTCTCCGGAAGCTGGCCAAATTTCATGCGGCTTCTGCGGTCTTAAATGAGCGGCAAAAAGGCAGTTTGGAAACCTTCGATCGAGGCTTCTTCAATCGCTATACAAATGCCTACAAAGGCTACTTTGTGGGTGGCCTTTTGGCCGCCGCCAGGTGGATGAGCCAGGTGCCCAAGTTGGCCCACTACTCGGAGAAACTGTTCGCCTTGGCGCCGCACTACATGGACATTGGTCGGGAGTGCTTTGCCCCAACTCCGGGCCAAGTGAATGTCCTGGCTCATGGAGACGTGTGGACCAACAATGTGATGTTCAAGTACGATCCGCAAACAGGACGACCAGTGGACGTGCTGCTCATTGACTTCCAGTACTCCTTCTGGGGTTCTCCCTGCATAGATCTGCACCACCTCTTCAACACCTCCCTGAAGGAGCCGCTGCGACGAGATCAGCAATGTGGACTCTTCAAGTTTTACCACAACATTTTCAGCGAAACCCTACAAAAACTCGACTACCGTCAGAATCCCATTCCCAGTTTGCACCAGTTCAAATTGGAGGTGGAGCAGAAGCGCTTCTTCGGTAAGTTATCTCACTAAAAATAGCTACATTATTTAACTGATAGTTGTTATTTTTATAGCTATGCACTCGACAGTCGTCGTTCAACCTGTGATGATCAGCCAGGATCCCACGGATGCCTGTTTTAATGCCTTGATGAACGATGATGAGCGCGGTATTCGTTTCAAGAACCGATTGTATAACAATCCCATCGTTCAACAAAACCTGCACTCCCTCGTTCCTTTCTTCGATAGAAAAGGCTTACTGGAAGTCAATCAAACCTGTTAAAGATATTTTAAGATGTACTTGTGGAGCTCCCACGCTTAAGATGTAAATAATTTTTAGTTCTAATGAAAAATAAATAATACTATTTCTAGAAGCAATTTTTAATAATTGATGTTATTTATTAAATATATTTTTCACTGATTATAAAAAAGATGTTATTTTTTTAGTTGCACAATCTAAAATAAGTTTTTCTAACGCCTTATGGGGGTTTGGAGAGCTTAAATAAAATAAGTTAGGTGGTACCGCCTAAAAGTTAACAACATTAAATGCTTAAAACCAGTCTAACGTTATCAGATTGTGCGGATGCGATAAGATGGCAGACATATATATGTACATCTCAAAAATTCTAAAGTGCCAGGAGTGCTGGTTTCTGCAACTCCTCAAAGTATGCAATGCTAAACTGTTATCGTGTTATCTCCTTTACCAATTTACCAATTTAGAGGCTCTTGAAAAGGTTCTTAGTCGTTCAACTTCTGGCTCTTTCTTTTACGACAATCTTGTGAAATAACAGCAAAAACTAGTTACTATGCGTTCCACCCGCAAACAAAGAGCGCATCTGAAAGTCTGAAATTACCCCCAACAAGCGAAACCCACTCAGCAGTATTCACGTTTTTGTGCGCTTAACTATGCAAATGTTCGGATGGATTTATGGGCTGGGAAGCAGATTAATTTGACGAGGGAACGAGAGCAATCTATGAACGCCACGTCAGCAAGTTTTGTCGCGATTTACGACGGGCGCACTTACATAATATATAGACGCGTGCACCGATCTGCGAAATGTGCGCCGTTATCACACCCGTCCGAGTGCCGCGATCTGAGCTCTGCCTTTATCTAGTCAGCTTTAGATACTCGCGGATCTCCAGCGGGGAGATTCTATGGACGGCAGTCTACGTAATTGTCTGAGTCGGGTTGCTTTACGGCTACCATAATGTGGGATCTGACGCCTTTGAGATTGTGCCTCCGGTCAGCCTATAAATGGGGCCTCCAACGGGAGACTGTCATCCAGAACTCAGGTTGAGCATCATCATGGTGGAACAGGGAAAAGAGAACGCTACCGACTTTCATCCGGCGCCAGTTTGGCTGGACGAAGCCTACCTGGAGCGTCTGCTGAGGGATCTGAAAAAGGATCCCGGACTGAAGATCACCGATCTGGTGATCAAACCCGCCACTGCCAAGGGTGATAATTATGCCAGTGTGATGACGCGTGTGAAGATTTTGTTCTTGAAAAGCGGCGCCAAGAATCCCGACACTGAGTTCTATATTGTGAAGACCACGTACGAGAACGATGCCTTCGCCTCGGCTATATTTTCCGAGTACCAGGTTAGCTCCACGGAGATGCGAATGTACGAGAAGATCCTGCCGCAGTTGAGTTCGTTGATCGAAAAGACCCGCCAGCCGGAAAAACTGTTTGCCAAGACCTTGCATGTTGACTACGAACACGAGGCCATCATCTTCGAGGATCTGGCCGTTTTGAACTATACTCTGGCCGATCGACTCGTTGGCTTTGACCTCGAACACACTCGTTTGGCACTGAGGAAACTGGCCAAAATGCACGCCACCGCAGCGGTTCTCAACGAACGTCAGCCGGGAGTCCTGACCAAATTCGATCATGGCATCTTCAATCGTCACACCCAAGGCTTTGCGCCCTTCTTTGTGAACACGGTGGGCGTGGCATCGGAATTTGCCAGAGAATGCCCCGAGTTAGGTGAGCAATATGCCAAGAAGTTGAAGGACCTGCAGGAGCGAGTGATGGAGTACTCCACGAGGGTCTACGATCCGCTGCCGGGCGAGTTCAACACCTTGGTGCACGGCGATTACTGGGTGAACAATGTGATGCTGCGATACGGAGAGAACAAGGAACCCCTCGACATGACCCTGATCGACTTCCAGTTCTGCAGCTGGTCCTCGCCGGCAGTGGATCTGCACTACTTCTTCAACACCTCGGTTCAGAGCTCCATTCGGTTTGAGCAGCAGGACGAACTGATTCAGTATTACCACTCGGTGCTCGTGGAAACGCTCAAGGATCTCAACTTTGCTGGCTACACTCCCACCTTGAGGCAGTTCATTCTGCAGCTGGAGAAGGGAAGATTCTTTGGTAAGCACACCGAATTCTCTTTGTTAATAAAATCCCTAATTTACATATACAATTTTTTATTTTCAGCTGTCACAGTTGCGCTGGTCTGCCAGGCCATATTGACCAACGATCAGACCGCCGATGCCGACTTCCATGCCTTAATGAAGGATGACGAACGAGGACGTAACTTCCGGAAATTGTTGTACACAAACAAGAGACTTCAAGCTAATCTCAAACATGAGCTGCCACGCTTCGATCGGAGCGGTCTTCTCGATGTAATCGACTGAACAAGAACCACACATTAATTGGTTGTCTTCTTAATTAATTTTTACTATGTATTAAAATAAACTAAAACTAAGCGATATATAAAAACATAATAAACATTGGCTTCCAAGTCAGATTTTGTACTCGTGAGCACTATCTCAAATGCTAAACGTGCCTTTAAAGTACCAAGATAAACAGAATCAACAGTGCGTATGAGTGATGTATTTGCAACTAAAAATAAACTAAGTTTCCTTCCTTTTAAAGTTTTTTACAGCCGTAACTCGTAAAGTAACTTTATTTGAAAAGTAATAAAAAACAATTATATCAACTGATATATATATCCTAGATTATTTTTTTTTAAATATTTCTTATTCACTTACATTGCTTTATAGCGCCAGACATCTGCGTTTTATCTTTTTGCGCATCTGTTTTTTTTTTTCTATTTCACAATGCTTGTAAGTCTTATCAGCTGAGATTTTTATTTTGGTTTGCACTTCTATTTTGTGAAGTGCCTAACACAATCTCCAACCTCAAGTAGATCCTTTTGTTATCAGTCGAGAACAGCGTCTCTCGAACTAAAAGGTCAGTTATGGCCGAAATAATTGCCGCTATCTACTGATAGTCGTAGGCTATAAAGCACAAAACACGATAGCTATTTTTCCGAGAAATATGTAAGTATGTAATAAGCAAAAACAACGGAGCTGGTTATGTACGCACTAGAACTAAACTCTTTATTTACTTAAAATATTCACACTCGCATCACATATCGTCTAGCAATCCGAACTGGTCAAGGAACGGCAGGGTGATACTCAGCTTCTTTTTGATGGCTTCCGACTCATAGACGGAGTCCTTAAACCTCATACCGCTTTCGGAACTGGAGAGGATCTGCTCGAGGGAGGCATCCTCCTTTCCTTCGTACTGCATGACGGGTTCGAAGACCAGGGAGCAGAAAACAGCTGTTGATTTATGGAAATATTAATACAATTAAAGAGGCTAATGAAGAGATATACCCACAATAGAAAGCTCTCGAGCGGAACTGCAGTTGGAATTCAAATAAACTGGGAATCCGACCCGAATACTTGAGCTTCTTGAGGGCCTCCACCAGTTTATAGTAATAGAACTGTACCAATTCCGCCTGATGTTCCAGTCGGAGATTGTCCTGCAAAGAGGTGGCGAAGAAATAGTGCAGATCGATGGCCGGGGAGTTCCAAACGCTGAACTGAAAATCGATAAAAATGGCATTGGTGGGATGATCCTTGGCGTCATTCTGGAACATAAAGTTGGTGGTCCAAAGATCTCCGTGCGCCAAAGTCAGGAAATCTCCGGAATTGCTGAGCATCGTCCTTTCGCCATAATCCATTATACGTTCGACAAGTCGATCGATCTTGTGCTTGAATCGCGGACCCAATTCCCGATCCGAGCTGAGAGATCGGGAAAGGGCCTCCAGAAGATTGGTCATGATCTTTCCATAAGCTCGGGTGTGATTGTTGAAGAATCCACGATCGTAGTTCTCCGCAAAGATTCCCGGCTGACGCTCGGCGAGAACGGAAGCCGCTGCATGAAAGCTGGCCAACTTTTCCAGGACCAGATGAGTGTGCTCCAGATCCAGTTTCTTCCGGCGGCAGGCCACCTTGTAGTTGTCCAGTGACATGTCCTCAAAAATGATGGAATCCCGTTTACGATCCACATTCATGGTGGCTGCAAAGAGTTTTCTTGGGTCTTTGAGCTCCTTCTTGACCATGTCCGCCAGTTGGGGCAGGATGTGCTCGTATATATCCATCTCTCGGGTGTAGACTCCGTAGTGTATGAGCACATCTCCAGCGGGATCTTTGTCAGCGAATGTGGTCTTGACCAGGAAGGTAGTGGCCTGCTTGTCCTTCGATTCCTTCGTGAAGTACTCCACATTGATTCTAGTCATCACACTACCATAGTTTCCTCCATTGGCAATGGCTGGGCTTGTGACCAGTTTCTCGAGTTTTAAAGAACTGTTTTTAAAGTAGGTTCTCAGCTTTTCCTGCACATAATCCGAGGTGAGCCAAGCTGGCGGTGGGTGAACTTTGTGGGTTGATTTCTCAGGCATGATCCTAACTGTAACGCAGTGCCCTTGTTTCTGATACTTTTCGCAGAGAAGCCCACTGTTTTTATAGCAAACCATAGTATATACGATAAGTATAGTGCAGGTACATAGTGGCGTCTAGCTTTGTCATGGGCAAACAACACTTGAGCTGTTTTCGAGTCTAGCCGAATGCGCTCGTTTATTGCAATGCACATTTATTTGATTATTCTAGAGGCATCTAAACTTTCAGATAATCTAAATTCGAATCAGATATACACACCATTTCACCATAGAAGTGGTGAAATAAGAATGGCGCCACTTTGGATTTAGTTGATTACTATATAAACACATATACACTTTTATAAAATCGGCTTTGTTAATTGAAAAAATAATTCATTTAATTGGTTGCGGCAAACACTTTTTCTTATAGGTTTTTGTTAATTTTAAAGTCAATATGATTAAGCAATCATGAAACTATTCAATGGAACGAGTCACTTTTATACTATTTTCGCACAACTACGGGTAAACTTGACGCCTCTCTCCCAGATAAAAAAAATTATTTGAGTATACACCAATTAGAGTTTATAACAGGCACATATATTTGTGTTTTTTTACTCTAACAATGAAAATATATCTTTAATAAAAACAAACAAATTAAGTAACAAAATGTATTTCACATAATGTCTAACAATCCCAATTCGTCAAGAAACGGTAAGGTAAGACGCATCTTCCTTCTGGTTTCTGCATTCTGATAAAGATCGTTCTTGAACCGCATTGCGCTCTCTGAAGAAGATATTATCTGTTCCATTGAAGCCTCCTCCTTGCCATTGTATGCCTGCGAGGGTTCAAAACACAGTGATGCAAAGGCAGCTGAAAATGAAATCTCAAATAAAGTCAAAATGATCAGACAAACAATATTTTTTCCACCCACCATAGAAGGCTCTGCTCCGGAACTGCTGGTGGAATGCAAATAAGCTAGGAACGTGTCCGGAATATTTAACTCTTTTTAAAGCATCCCTCAGTTTATAGTAGTAAAACTGAACCAATTCGGGCTGGTGTTTTAAGCGAATGTGTTCCTGCAAAGTATTCGAAAAGAAATAGTGTAAATCGATGGCTGGAGAAGTCCACATGCTGAATTGGAAGTCGATAAATATGGCGTTGGTGGGATGATTTTCTGAATCGTACTGGAACATAACATTTGTGGTCCAAAGGTCACCATGAGCCAGGGTCAAAAAATCGCCGGGAACAATAGATGTTGCTTTCTCGCCGTAATCCATTACGTTCTCAACCAATCGATCGATCTTCGCCTGGTAACGCTCCTTCAGATCCGGATCGAGCTCTAGTGAACGGGACAAGGCCTGCAGAAGATTTTTCATAATGGGCTCATATCCCCTGGTGTGTTGGTTAAAAAATCCGCGATCGAAGTTCTTCGCAAAGATGTCCGGATGTCGTTCTGCTAATGCTGCTCCGGCTGCATGAAAATTGGCTAATTTTTCTAGGACCAGATGGGTGTGCGCCATATCCAACTTCTTTAGTCGATCCGCCACTTTATAGTGCTCCAGCGAAAGATCCTCAAAGATGATTGAGTTTTGACTGCGATCCACATTCACGGTACCCGCAAACAATTTCCTGGAGTCGCCAAGTTCACTCCTCACCAGATTCGCCAGCTTGGGCAATATCTGCTCATACATATCCATTTCCCTGGTGTAGACCCCATAGTCCAAGAGCACTTCTGCAGCAGGATCCTTGTCGGAAAATGTTGTTTTTACCAGGAACCTTGTCGATTCCTTGGCTTTTGAGCTATTCGTAGTATATTCCACGTTAATGCGGGTCATAACACTGGCGTAGTTTTCCCCATTGCCAAGAGCGGGTTTTATTTCCAGGTTTAGCAGTATAAGACACTTATTCTCGAAGTAAGAACGTAGCTTTTCCTCGACGTAATCCCGAGTGAGCCAAGTAGGTGCCAAGTAGGTAGTATTGTTTTTTTCCTTAGACATGATATGATCCGTAGCGCAAGCCCTCAGTTACTGACTTTTTCACAACTGCTTCGTGCTTTTATAGCCGCTCGATTGCCAATGACAACTATTTCATATTCTAGTCTTATCACTCTATCCAGCGGCATACACACAAAAAAATTGCAGGGGTGTCTGAAAATACCACCTGGTTACGCTCCTGTCTCTATCTCCTTATCTTTCTTATCTCTTAACTATTAATCATTTAGTTCACATAACAATCGATGAGAAAGTTTTTTTTTAAATTATTAGTTTATTCATATTACACATTTTTATTGCATAAATTTTACATTTCGTCTAGCAGTCCAAATTGATCGAGGAACGGCAATATCCGGTGTAATTTCTTTTGGTTTTCCTCTGTCTGGATCACTGCGTCACTTATCCGTAATCCTCTCTCATCGTCGGACAAAAAATTTTCAATTGACGGATCTTCGTTGCCATCGTAAACCATAACAGGCTCGAATATCAGTGATGAAAACACAGCTGATAATAAATTGCAACAGTTATAAAAGTTAAGGTTTTGGCAATCAGAAATACTCACCATAAAAAGCCTTGGCTCGAAATTGTTGTTGGAAATCAAACAAACTAGGCACCTTGCCCAAATAGTTCACCTTTCTCAGAGCCTCCACAAGCTTGTAGTAGTAAAATTGGACCAGTTCCGTCTGATGCTCCAGTCTAAGGTTTTCGTGTATTGAAGTCGAGAAGAAATAGTGCAAATCGATGGCTGGAGAGTTCCAAACGCTAAACTGGAAGTCGATGAAAATGGCGTTTATGGGATGACCTTCGTCATCGTACTTAAACATCACATTTGTGGTCCAAATATCTCCATGAGCCAGGGTCACAAAATCGCCGGGATTAACTGACGTCGACCGCTCACCATAGTCCATTATATTTTCGATTAGATGATTGACCTTTTTTTGGTACTGCTCTTTTAGATCCTCATTTAACTCCAATGTACGATAAAGGGACTTCAAAATATTTTTCATGATTGGTTCGTAGCCGCGAACATGTTTGTTAAAAAATCCACGATCATAGTTTTTATCAAAGATTCCAGGCTTTCGCTCTGCTAAAGCTGCTCCGGCTGCATGAAAATCCGCCAGTTTTTCCAGGACTAGATGAGTATGCTCCAGATCCAGTTTCTTTAGCCTACAGGCAACTTTGTAATTTTCCAGCGACAGATCCTCAAAGAGAATGGAGTCCCGTTCACGATTCACATTCACAGTAGCAGCAAATAATTTCCGGGTATCCTGGATCTCCTTTCGCAGAATGTCCGCCAATTGTGGCAGGATCTGTTCGTACATGTCAATTTCTCTTGTGTAGATTCCGTAGTTGATAAGCAAATGAGCTGCGGGATCCTTATCGGCGAAGGTCGTTTTCAGCAGGAACGTTGCCGGCTGCTTATCCTTTGAGTCCTTTGTGGTGTACTCCACATTAATGCGGGTCATCACACTGGCTCCATTTGCAGTCGCCGGCTTTACCTCCAGTTTCACCAGACTTAGGCTGTCATTATTGAAGTAGGTTCTTAGCTTTTTCTCTACGTATTCCTCAGTCAGCCACGCGGTCGTTTCCTCAGGCATTATGTTCAAATTCTGCTGAATATTGTCGGAGGTGCAACGCTTTTATAGAACGGCGGGAGGTACATGCTTATTTATCTCGTCAAGTCAAGAATTGGAGAGTGAAAAATCAGGGGCGGACGCAGAAAAAAATTTTGGGTGGGGTCCGATCAAAATTTTTTTTTTTGTTTATATGGTTAAAATACCGTGTGGTGTAAGGGGGTTTTGAAAAAGTCTAAGATTTTGGAGGGGGGTCCGGACCCCCCCGGAAGGTACACTCTAATCTATGTCGTCAACTCGTAAGCTCCTCAATTGCCAGCAATTGAAAAGATTTCCAGAGCAAATGCGAGAGAATTTATCAAAAAGTACTTCGTTAGAACGACTAGACATAGAAGAGCGACAAATAATTAAATAGAGTTTAAACTAAATGAAGCTGTTCAGTTATCAAGGCATAGTAAAAAAAAACGTTTAATTTTTCATGTGACTTTTTTATGCCTTTTATTTTTTACCTTCTCCTCCTTACCACTATTTTACTTAACTCAAATACTCAAAAATACTTACCGAGTGATTACACTTGATAAATAAGGTAAGCTGTAAATTTTATTAAGTGATAAAATCCTCTCTTTTCATACTTTTGAGAACTTGGAATAGTAGATCTAGAGATTAAGGTAGATGCGAGATAGCCAGCCTTCAGATTATATCATTTTATACGCTTGCAGAAAGAAAGGGTATTATAATTTCAGTCAGAAGTTTGAAACGCAGTGAAGAAGACACCTCAGACCCCATAAAGTATATATACTTGATCAGCATCACGATCTGAATCGAAATACGTCTGTCTGTCTGTCCTCCTGTCTGTTTCTATGTAAACTAGTCTATCAATTTTAAAGTTTTTTTTGCTGCAACTTTCCCAAAAGTTGTGTAGTTATTGCACGCAGTATATATGTCGGAACGGGCCGGATCGGCCGACTATATCGGATAGCTCCCATACGAGAGAGTGAAATAAAAAATTCTTACGCCGTTGTTTTTGATCAGATCGACTTGATTTCTTCCAGATGTCGTTTTGTAACTACTAGGTATTAAATTTCAGATTAAATTTTATCAAAATCGGATAACTCTATCATATAGCTGCCATAGGAAAGACCGAAATATATATATATAAATAATAGAAAAAAAATATAACGTCGTTGTTTTTAATCCGTCAAGCATGATTTTCAAAATATGGAGCTTTTTTATAACCCTTGAATCGAGAAAAAAAATTTCATTAAAATCCGACAACGTTATCATATAGCTGCCATAGGAAAGATAGAAAAATCTATATAGAAATAACCGAGATAAAATTTTAACTTCGTTGTTTTTTATCAGACAAGCACGATTTTTGGAATATAGAGTTTTCTTGCCACTCTTGAATAACAAATTAAATTTTATAAAAATCGGACAACTATATCACATAGCTGCCATATGAACAATAGTCGAAAATATGGAAAATTAATAGAAAAATCGTCATAGCTTCGATGTTCTTTGGCCTTTATGTATTTGATGACTGCAAGGGTATATAAGCTTCGGCTTGCCGAAGCTAGCTTCTTTTCTTGTTATTGCATATTTTCACATTTCGTCTAGCAGTCCAAATTGATCGAGGAACGGTAATATCCGGTGTAATTTCTTTTGGCTTTCTTCTGTCTGGATTACTGCGTCCCTTATCCGTAATCCTTCCTCATCGTCGGACAAAAAACTTTCAATTGACGGCTCTTCCTTGCCATTGTAAACCATAGTAGGCTCGAATATCAGTGATGAAAACACAGCTGAGAAAGAATTGCAACAGTTATTAAAGTTAAGGTTTTGAAAAGAAAAACTTACCATAAAAAGCCTTGGCTCGAAATTGTTGTTGGAAATCAAACAAACTAGGCACCTTGCCCAAATGTTTCACCTTTTTCAGAGCCTCCACAAGCTTGTAGTAGTAAAATTGGACCAGTTCCGTCTGATGCTCCAGTCTAAGGTTTTCGTGTATTGAAGTCGAGAAGAAATAGTGCAAATCGATGGCTGGAGAGTTCCAAACACTAAACTGGAAGTCTATGAAAATGGCGTTTATGGGATGACCTTCGTCATCGTACTTAAACATCACATTTGTGGTCCAAATATCTCCATGAGCCAGGGTCACAAAATCGCCGGGATTAACTGACGTCGACCGCTCACCATAGTCCATTATATTTTCGATAAGATGACTGATCTTCTTTTGGTATCGCTCTTTTAGATCCTGATTTAATTCCAAGGTACGGTATAAGGACTTCAAAATATTTTTCATGATTGGTTCGTAGCCGCGAACATGTTTGTTAAAAAATCCACGATCGTAGTTTTTATCAAAGATTCCAGGCTTCCGCTCTGCTAAAGCTGCTCCGGCTGCATGAAAATCTGCCAGTTTTCCCAGCACTAAATGAGTATGCTCCAGATCCAGTTTCTTTAGCCTACAGGCCACTTTGTAATTTTCCAGCGACAAATCCTCAAAAAGAATTGAGTCCCGTTCACGATCCACGTTCACAGTAGCAGCAAATAATTTCCGGGTATCCTGGATCTCCTTCCGCACAATATCCGCCAATTGTGGCAGGATCTGTTCGTACATATCTATTTCTCTTGTGTAGATTCCGTAGTTGATAAGCAAATGAGCTGCGGGATCCTTATCGGCGAAGGTCGTTTTCAGCAGAAACGTTGCCGGCTTCTTATCCTTTGAGTCCTTTGTGATGTACTCCACATTGATACGGTTCATCACACTGGCGTAGTTTTCTCCATTTGCTGTCGCCGGCTTTACCTCCAGTTTCACAAGGTTGAGGCTGTCGTTGTTGAAGTAGATTCTTAGTTTTTTCTCTACGTATTCCTCAGTTAGCCACGCGGGCTTTTTACAGCTTGTTTCCTCAGCCATTATATTCAAATTCTGCTGAATTTCGTCAGAGGTGCAACGCTTTTATAGAACGGCGGGAGGTACATGCTAATCTATCTCGTCCAGTCGTAAGCTCCTTAATTGCCAGCAATTGAAAAGATTTCAAGAGCAAACGCGAGAGCATTTATCAAAAAGAACTTAGTACCGACTAGACATAGAAGAGCGTCAAATAATAAACTAGAGTTTACACTAAATTAAGCTGTTCAGTTATCAAGACATGGTAAAAATAACTTTTAATTTTTCACGTGACTCTTTTATGCCTTTTATTTTTCACGTGATTATTTTTAGGCATAAAAATCCTCTCTTGACACACTTTAGAGAACTTGGAATAGAATATCTAGAGATTGAGGTAGATGCGAGATAGCCAGCCTTCAGATTATATCTTTTTATTTTGTTTGCTATGACAAAGTCTTTACATTTCATCAAGCAATCCCCATTGCTCTAGATAGGGAAGTGTGAGGTGTAGCTTCTTCCTAACGCACTCCTGCTGGAAAACATCGTCCTTGAGCCGCATCCCACTCTCGCCCTCGGAAATAATTTGTCCCAGGGAAGCCATCTCCTTGCCATTGTACAGCATCAAGGGCTCGAACATCAAGGAAGCAAAAACAGCTGCCAAATAAGATCGATTAGAATGAAAACCAAAGTGGATGAAACATTTTACCCACCATAGAAAGCTCTGGCCCGGAACTGCAGTTGAAAATCGAACAAACTGGGAATGTGGCCAGAGTAGTTCACTTTTTTTAAAGCATCCTTAAGTTTGTAGTAATAAAACTGTACCAGCTCAGGTTGATTTTGCAGTCGCAGTTCGTCGTGTATGGAGGTGGAGAAGAAATAGTGCAGATCGATGGCCGGGGAGTTCCAAACGCTGAACTGAAAGTCGATAAAGACGGCATTGGTGGGATGTCCTTTGTCATCGTACTGAAACATAACATTGGTGGTCCAAAGATCTCCGTGGGTCAGGGTCAAAAAGTCCCCGGGATGGTTAGTGGTCGATCGCTCTCCATAGACCATTACTTGATCTACAAGGCGGTTTATCTTCGCCTGATACTTCTGACGCAACTCCTGATCCAGGTTAAGCGAACGGGACAGAGCCTTAAGCAGATTCGTCATTACCGGTTGATAGCCTCGAGTATGTCTATTGTAAAATCCTCGGTCATAATTAACCGTGAAGATCCCCGGTTCCCTCTCGGCCAGAACTGCTCCGGCTGCATGAAAGCTTGCCAACTTCTCCAAAACCAGGTGGGAGTGCTCCAGATCCAGTTTCTTTAGCCTGCAGGCCACTTTATAATGCTCCAGCGAAAGGTCCTCGAAGATAATCGAATTCGTTTCCTTATTTACGTTTAAGGAGCCTGCAAAAAGCCTTCGTGAATCCTGGATCTCCTTCTTCACCAGATCAGCCATCTTGGGCAAAATCCGCTGGTACATGTCCATTTCCCGGGAGTAAACCCCGTAATTGACCAGCACATGAAAGGCCGGATCCTTCTCAGCAAACGTGGTTTTCATTAGGAAGCTGGTGGCCAGTTTTTTCTTAGATCCCTGCGTAGTGTACTCCACATTGATGCGGGTCATAACGCTGGCGTAGTTTTCTCCATTCGGGACAGCGGGACTAATTTCCCATTTTTCCAGCCTCAAGGATTCGTCTTTGAGGTAGGTGCTTAGCTTCTGTTGGACATAGTCTTTGCTGAGCCATGAAGGTACAGGATGGGGATTTTCCTCCGGCATTGTGTGTTCGAAACTGAAGCTTGAGGTGTTTACTAGTAATTGTATTTCGTCAGAGAAGGAATGCTTTTATAGAGCAGCTGGGTGTTCATGGTAAATATGATAGCTAGTACCTAAGGTGTCGTGCGTTGACTTGCTTTGTCATTGTCAATTGGATAATTTTGTCAAGATTCACCTCTCTCCGACTAACATGAATGCCCTGTTACACAAAAAACATCTACCTTACGACATTTATAAATTGGTTTCTAAACTTAGCAAGCGCAATAAACAATTATATTGATATTCCCTGATTTCAAATTTTAAAAAACATTGCCTACAATTGATTTTCTTATTTAATAGTGTCTTTAGTTTTCTCTAAGCTTTCTAGTGGAAGATTAATAAATGTGTCCTTATAAAAATATATGAAAATTAATATACCGGAAAGGAATTTAAACAACTTGACTGACCTATTACAGACCTACTAAACATCATCATCCCATTTTTAATAGGTAGTATTTATTTCAAACATTTTGCTGACTCATGGAAGAGTTGTCTATCACAATGCACCGCACGCCGGAATAATGGCGAAATCTGTGTAGCAAGGGATTACACTAGATAAAGAGATTTAGGCTTTTATTACAGGCAAGCGTAACTGAGCTGTGTAGTTGGGGATGAGTGCAGAAAACAATTAAATCTAAAATAGCCAAAAAACAGTCGAAACATTTTAAATAAAAGATGTAAGCCTTTCACTTTAGTTTAACCCTTTTTATTTTAAATATACATATCACTACAAGGAATAAAAAATATCAAAAAAAAATATCTAGAAGTCCCAGCCGGCATATTCCTTAACCACATCCTTGTTCTCCTTGCGATGACGGTGCACAGCACTAGCCTCCCCCTTGGCCACACACTTCTTGCGCTGCTCCCGCTTTTCCTTGATGTCCATGTTTCGGCGTATCCGGTCTGTGATCACGGACGGAGCTATTGTGCTGGTTGTTGTGGAGAAAGAGCGCTGACTTCTCGCGTCATTTAGCATTTGTTCAACCATTTTCAGGCGATACATGCGCGAGTTCGGATCCAAGCCGACGAGTTCGGGCACTTCGTCGGTATCCAGATCGTTGGAGCTGATGGACTTTGCATCTTCTGCTGCAGTATGTTCAGCTAAATCACCCAATTTTTCCGGAATATCCTTAGGAATTTCAACCGGAAGGGAAACGTCCAACTTCTCGGGCAGTGTCTGATCGGGAACTTCTGGACCTACATTCAGATGTCCTAGATATTGTGTACACGATTCAATGTAGCGACGCACAGCTTCATCTGTCTTTTGAGTTGGCTTAGCCTCGCTATATAACACCTCATTATCCACCTGTCGTCTGCACTCGTCAATCTCAACCGCTGCCGCAGTAACCAAGGTGGGAGGCTCCTCCTCCTCAACATCGTCACCCTCTTCGTCCTCATCATCCTGTTCCACCATGCCGTACTCTTGGAGCAGATCCTGTTCCATCTCTTTGGTGAAGCCATAACCTGTGCAATGTACCTCCGCATCCAGATCATCCTCTCGCACAAGATCGCTAAACTTGGGGTAGTCTTCGCTTTCGTAACCAAATTTGCGACGAAACATTTCCCGCACGCAGTTTACGTCACGTTCGAAGAAGCTGGAAAGAATTGAGTAAGCAAAAATACTTGCATAATATTTAAAAAGGCTTACAATTGAGCATTCTCATGCGAGGTGGACATCATCTGTGGAAAATCAATCAATATGGGCTTGCCGGCGTCCGTCACCATCAAATTAAACTCGTTAAAATCGCCATGGATTACTCCAGAATTTCCCAGGCGGACAATTAGATTCATGAGGTCATCGTAAACCTGTGGGGCATCCAGCAGCTCATGAACTTGGGTCCTGGAAATATTGAGATTATGAAAAAAAAAATAGTAAGCAAGTAAATAATCATCTTACATGGGCCAGCCTTTGACAAGATCCATGAGAACACAGTGACGATTAAAATCAATGGGTTTGGGCACAGGAAATCCACGATCGTACAGGGCAGACATGTACGCAAACTCGCGGGTGGCCGAGATGCGGGATAGGTACAACCAGGAGGCTTTGTGACGACGACCATGGTAATCTCTCTTAGCTTTTACGTTCCTGAAACAAGTGCGACCCAATCTATGCAGTTTCAGACAAATGGCAGTGCCTTCCTCATCGGCCACCACATAAATGTTGGACTCTTTGCCAATGCCGATTTGATTACCAAACGAACTAACTGATCCCCGCAAAGTAAGGGATTTAAGAGCCAAGTAATCGTAGCCCGTGTTGGTCAAGCGATAGCCGTCGTCTGTAGGGAACATTGGATTAATAATATTAAAATTTACAACCCAAAAGTTGTACATACACTTTTTGCCTCGCTCATATGCCAGCAGTTTATGCTTGCAAAGTTCCTTAAGCAACTTGTGGACTCCACCCGATTTCAGGTTCGCAATGGCTGCTGCCAAGGGTCCGGGGACAAGTTCGTGGTTCTTCATGCCCATCTCGATGGCGGTGAGAACGCGAAAGTCCTCCTTGGTGAGATAGCGCAGCACTGTCACGTTTAATTTACCCATTTTCGATTTTTTTTTTTTGGCAGTCTAACAGCGCATTTATCAATGTTTTCCTTTCACACGTGCAGGCATTTAGAGATGGGAGCAGGTCGATAATCTGCGCATCGTTTAGACTTGTGTCATTAGTCCCCCTAATATTTTATTTGCAATTGATAAAAAACCAGTCGCTCAGGCACATCAATTCAAAAATAATAAATAATTAAACTTCTTACGACCCTAAGATGCAAAAATACATATGTCGTATTTGCCTGGTGAATAATAAAAAAAATTATTAATATTTTTAATGCAACAGGTGACTCCATTGCGCAGAGTCAAACGGCTATTAAGTTTGGATCATCTACACAGAACAATTTGCGTGTCCTGATAGAAGGATGCACAAAACGCATTTGAAATATTAGAAACATACGCAGTGAGTCACCAAAGGTACTGCTTCACAACTGGTTAAAAAAATTCTCTAAACTAAAAGAAAAAACTAAATTTTTTTTAAATTTTAATTGCTCCTGTTACCCAAAAAACTTTGAAACCAAAGCAGTCATAAAAATTAAAGTTCCGATAGTATTTTCCGAAATGTAACTAGTGGATTTCTCATGACCCGCTACGGTCATACTGCCCTGCACATCGTCATCAGAAAGGGACAAAAACCGGAGAAATGGCTGGCGAGGATCTGATTGCCCGTTTCCAGGGGCTCGGCATGAGCGAGCAGAAGGCGAAAGAGACACTGAAGAATGCCAACGTGACAAAGAACCTTCAATTGGCATTGGCAGCGGCGGGGACTGCTGCCTTGTCCGACGGTACCGGTATGTTGATCTACCACATGGCCACCAAGCTAAAGCCACAAGTTGCGGAGCAGCTTCCTCTCTTGGTGCGCTATATAGTGGAGCGCAAGCTTGACAACACGCAGCGCGTTGACGCCGCCTTGGAGTACTTGCTTAAGTGCGGCCAGAGCCTAAAGGCCAACATAGATGTCAAGGAGCTAGAGAAGGAGTGCGGCGTGGGAGTGGTGGTCACTCCGGAGCAGATCGAGCGCACTGTCCAGGACAAGATTAGGGCCAGCTACAAGGAAGCCTTGCTGGAGCAGCGCTACCACTTCAACTCCTTCAAAATCCTGCAGGATGTTCGTGGCGATCTTAAGTGGGCGGATGCCAAGTCCGTTAAGGCGGCCATTGATGTGGAGATCTTCGATCTACTTGGTCCCAAGACTGAAGCTGATTTAAAGCCTCCCACAAAGCAGAGCGAAAAGCCAAAGGCAGCGAAACCCAAACCGGAAGCAGCTCCTTCAGCTCAAGCCGCTGAAGAAGCTTCCGATGGAGCCACCACCATTGCCGAACTCATGAAGACCAAAGTACACTTCCATGCCCCTGGCGAGAACTTCAAGGCTGATGGGTATGTGGTCACTGAGCACACAGAGCGGCTGCTGAAGGAACACCTTACAAGGACTGGCGGCAAGGTGCATACTCGGTTTCCACCGGAACCAAATGGCATTCTGCACATCGGTCATGCCAAGGCCATTAACATAAATTTTGGATACGCGGCTGCCCATGATGGAGTCTGTTATCTGCGCTATGACGACACCAATCCCGAAAAGGAGGAGGAAAAGTTCTTTTTGGCCATTAAGGAGATGGTGGAGTGGCTGGGCTACAAACCATACAAGATCACTTACTCCTCGGACAACTTCCAGCAACTATACGAGTGGGCTGTGATCCTAATCAACAAGGGATTGGCCTACGTGTGTCACCAAAAGGCGGAGGAACTGAAGGGTTTCAACCCAAAACCCAGTCCCTGGAGGGAGCGTCCCATCGAGGAGTCACTGAGGCTCTTCGAGGACATGAAACGCGGCAAGATCGACGAGGGAGCGGCCACGCTCCGCATGAAGGTTACCCTTGAGGAAGGCAAGATGGACCCGGTCGCGTATCGCATCAAGTTTATTGCCCATCACCGCACGGGATCCGACTGGTGCATCTATCCCACTTACGATTATACACATTGTCTGTGCGACTCACTTGAGGACATCACCCACTCGCTGTGCACTAAGGAGTTTCAGTCGAGGCGTTCCTCTTACTACTGGCTGTGCAACGCCCTCGGCATATACTGCCCGGTGCAGTGGGAGTACGGTAGATTGAACATGAACTACGCCCTCGTTTCGAAGCGCAAGATTGCCAAGCTGATCACGGAGCAGATTGTCCACGATTGGGACGATCCCAGGCTGTTTACTCTTACGGCCCTGAGGAGAAGGGGCTTCCCCGCAGAGGCAATCAACAACTTCTGCGCCCAGATGGGCGTGACTGGAGCCCAGATTGCAGTGGATCCCGCCATGCTGGAGGCGTCCGTGCGGGATGTACTCAACATAACAGCTCCGCGTCGTTTAGTTGTCCTGGAACCTCTTAAAGTGACTATAAAGAATTTTCCGCATGCAGCACCCCTGCAGCTAGAGGTGCCCGACTTCCCGCAAAACCCACAGCAGGGATCGCACAAAATCACCCTGGATAAGGTGATCTACATTGAGCAGGGGGACTTCAAGTTGGAACCAGAAAAGGGCTACCGACGCTTGGCGCCCAAGCAATCCGTAGGTCTCCGACACGCAGGTCTAGTCATCAGCGTGGATGAGATCATAAAAGATCCGGCGACGGGAGAGGTTGTGGAACTTATCTGCACAAGTCAATCTGCCGAGCAGGCTGAGAAGCCCAAGGCTTTTGTCCAGTGGGTTTCCCAGCCGATTCAATTAGAGGTGCGCCTCTACGAGCAGCTTTTCAAGCACAAGAACCCCGAGGATCCTAACGAAGTGCCCGGCGGTTTCCTGAGCGACATCAGCGAGCAATCCATATCGGTGGTGGTTGCATTTGCGGACAAGGCTCTAAGCCAAGCCAAGGTCTTCGATAAGTTCCAGTTCGAGCGGATCGGCTTCTTCTCTGTAGATCCAGACACCACCGCGGAACACATAGTGTTTAACCGCACCGTGGGCCTAAAGGAAGATGCAGGCAAGAAGTGATAATCACGCAGGAAGTCAAGGACCCATTAGGACAAGAAATAAAATTCGAACCACATTAAAAATCGATTTATAAATTCAACTTATTTTTTTCCCTCAACCATGATGATGTGGTAGCCAAACTTGGTCTTAATAGGGGGATCTGTATACACGGGATTGTTGACGGTGGAAATGGGCAGGGCGAATGCGGCGTCTTGGAAAGGACCCACCATCGCTCCGCGGATTTGCCAACCAAGATCGCCGCCCTGTCGTGCCTTGTCCTCGCTGTAGGCAGCCGCCACCTCTGGGAACTTCTGCCCAGCTTTCAGCTTTTCCATAGCCTCGGAGATTTTGCCCTGCTTTTCACACAGGATATGGCGCACCTTCACGGCGTTGCCTCCCTTTTTCTCTTTGCCGGCAGCTATTAACAGGTGAAAAACAAGTATTCAAATGTTGAATTTTAAGCGTTAAAAAGATTTACTCACACTTGTCCTCGGCGGCGGGCTTTTTGCCACCCTTAGCGGCATCCTTGCCGCCCTTTGCGTCCTTTTTCGGTGGCATTTTCTTATATTTCTTAAATTTCAAGTTTCAACCAAACAAACAACAACAAAAATGTTGACTGGGGCTGCCACATGGGGTTAGTGATGCTCCATTAAATTTAACTTTTTTTTTTAAATTTAATCTTGTCTTCCCAAAGCTTTACTATAGCTGGTCGATATTTTTCAAAAAATATTTAGTTAAATAATAAGATAAAAAATATGATTAATTAAAAAAAGTTTTTTAATCGGTATATCGAAATTGGGCAGCCCTAGTTAGATTCGATGTTTTGACTTACGGTCACACCTCGCTGCACTTTCTAATCAGAAAGTTTACCTGAGCAGATAATAAAATAATAGATTAAAGAATCCAGGCATTTGAAAATATGGAACTGAGCTGGGAGATAGTACTTGTCGTGGGCATTGCGGTGCTGGTTCACATTCTAGTATACCTTTTCGTCATGGGTAAGCGGCCAAGGAGCATAGTGGGACGTCATGTGGTGGTCACCGGCGGCTCCAAGGGGATCGGATTGGGTCTTGCGGTAGAGTGCGCCATGAAAGGCGCCAATGTGACGGTGATAGCGCGCGACGAGAAAATGCTAAGTGAGTAATTTTCCGAAGACATGCCCAACCCTAAAATTTCTTATCTACATATGTATGCCTGTACATTTTCAATGCGCTTTTTCCAGGCGGAGCTGTGGCTCTCATGGAAGTGATTCGCCAGAGACCGGATCAAAAGTTCCAGTACAGGAGTCTGGACATTGGCGGCGACTATGAGCAGGTGGCCCGAGTGTTGGGTGAGATAGAGGAGAGTTTCGGTCCCATATACACGCTAATAAACTGCGCCGGCATGGCCATTTGCGGAGTGTTTGAGGAGGTACCCGTCCAGGACGTGCACAAGCTGATGAACGTAAATTTCTTCGGCACCTATAATTGTACGCGCTATGTCCTACCCAAGATGAAAAAGGCGGGCGAGGGCATCATTGTTATCACAGCCTCGCAGGCGGCGATGTTTGGCATCTATGGCTATGGACCTTATTCGTCGACCAAGTATGCCTTAAGAGCAATGGCCGAAACGATAGCCATGGAGTCACGAGAGCACGGCGTCAGCGTAACATTGGCATTGCCCTGCGATACAAATACTCCTGGATTTGAGGAGGAGGAGAAAACGAAGCCAAGGGAGACCAAAATAATTTCAGGTGGCGGAGGCCTAATTGAACCAGAGGTCATGGCTAAGGCCATTCTTAAGGATGCATTGGTAAGTCCAAATAAGACCGAGTCATTGGCATATCTATGTTAATATTTTCTTCTAACTTACAGAAGGGAAACTTTACCTCTACAGTGGGAGCGGAAAGCTGGTTGATCACCACTTTGGGTGGAGCTTTACTTCCTTGGGATGGCTTCTTCACCAATCTGCTGCACGCTATCGTTTTAGGACCACTGCGAATGGTTAGCTATGGACTGCACAAGTATTTTAATAGTGTCATTCGAAAATGCGCTCGAGAAGAAAAAACCCAAGGCTGAATCCGAGGTGGAGACCAAGTAGATGAGACACTTCCTTGCTGTTCTCTTTAGAATTCTGAGTGCCTAGTACATAAAGTCCACTTTTTAAGTATTTAATATTTTTACATTTACCAGTAATTTTTAGATGTCTACTTTAAAGTTGTTATTCTCGTCGCACTGTAAAGTCGTTAATTAGAGTGGGCTTGAAATGTTGGTGTCTGCATCCTTTTAATAAAAAATGGATTTATTAATTCAAGCTATTTTTAAACTATGCGATTGTCCACAAATTTTAATACAAATTTAATGGAAAATCTAAATTGTTTGATTGACCGAACTCCTTGCGTAATTCCGCATGCAAAGTTGAAATGTATTAACAACTGTTTTCCTACAGCGATTAGATACCCAACGATAAGACCCACACCTTTTTAATTAGGTCAAATTTCAACAATAACGTTTTTGGTTTTTTGTGTCTTTCTTTATTCATAAGACGCACCCAGTGTAAACTTCCTATAGTTTCAGTTTTCATTCCGCCTTTTTAACATTTTGTATAGTTAACGCTAACAAAAAGTGTATAATTGTAATGCAAAATATATATATGTTTTTATATATATTTAGTCATACATTGTTTTAGCATCTAAGCATGATAATCAAAAATATTTTTTGTCGAATACAGTAATTCTACTTTTTGGATAAAAATTCATTAAATTATTGTTAGGATTAGGAAAGTAATTAAATTAGAGCTGGTCTGCTGTGTTTCGGTATCGTTGGGGATTCACAATAGCTGGAAAGCGTTGTAAATAAATATAAATTTAAACAAGCATTTATATTAAACAATAAACAAGGTATTTGCACAAGACGCCGTACGACAACTCAACAGTGAAATGAAAATGCTACACAAACCGAAAAGGAAAATCATAATATAAGCTTGGTTCTGGTTGATGTTATGCTTCTGAATCCCGATCCGGGCTGCTTTTGGTAGCTTTCTCTAATAGTCCTCAATGGCAATGATCTGCGGTGGTTTGATGGACGATGCTGTTGATCCTCCCACTGTTGGCGACCCCAAATCCTTGGTCGCTTCGCTGTCGCTGGTTGTTGATGGTGGCACTGTAGCTGCAGAAGGGAGGCTCGAAGGGTTGCCCGCTCTCCGCTGCCGGCGCCCGAAGGTCCGACGTCTGTGCGGCTAATTGTCACTTTGAATTGCCCGCCACTGAACCGGGTCCGGCTCCCGCCAGGTCGTTGACCCTCTGGTAGCGCGGCTTGTTGCGCGTAAAGGGCAAATACTTGTACTTGATCATATGCTTGATTTGGCGCTTCATCGTGATGCAGAACAGCGTGATAAAGTACATGACCAGGATGGGCCAAAACACTGGCACGTTGAAGAAGTCGAAGAATGTGCAAATAAGTCCAATAAGCGTACTCTTTGCCACCGAGAGCCAAAATTTAAACTCCGGCAGGCGGCGGATGAATGGGCGAAACTCCTCGTTGCTGCGCGTCGGCAGATTGGGACCCTCGTCCTCGTCGTCCTGCGAATAGGGATCGAACTCTGGGTCGATTTTTGGCGTCAGAAAGGCGATGAATAAGTTTAGGTGGTAGATGCCCAGTGCATAGCACACGATGTACCAGCCCTGGTAGATGAAGATGCGCAGCACGAAGAGCAGGAGCAGAAAACCGGCGAATACCCAGCGCATCCGCGTGTGCGGTGTGCTCCGGTCCAAGGTGGATTGGTAAGTCTGTACGGATAAAATGTAAAGATTAGCCGGGTAGCCTGGTCGGGGTGGATAGATCTCGTACCTGTGAGAGGCGCTGGAAAAACTTCTTAACGCCGCCGCCGCCGGCAGCACTGCTGTCCTCGTTCATCATGGTTATCGTTAGGCTCTCATTAATCTCCGGCCCTCGACTTTAGATTTTTCTTTTTTTGTTGACTTTGACGCGGTCGCCGTGTCCGCTGCACACGTGTATCGATTCGGCGGTTGGGTTCTTTTTGGGGGCAGGGTCAGTCGGAAAGGGGCTAACAAAACACAAAACAGGCCAACTTGCAAACGAGGAGTGCTACAATCGCTAATTATTCTCTAATTCATATTCTACACCGCCCGACGTCGCCTTCGCCTTCTTCTTCTTCTTCCTCCTTGTTGCAGGGCTCTTGCGACTGTCAGTGTGTTGAGATTTCTACTTGCAGAGCCTGCTAGCCGATGCTTCAGGACTTCTGGGATCAATTCTGCAACTTAGTATGTTTCTATGCGGTAACTAATTTAATTACACTAGAGATTTGTCGGCAATTTATTGTTCTTTTTCACACAGAGTTCACCACGTCATTATGCTCTCTCAGTGGCAGGGCTGTCAAACTATCGGATAGGTATGGAACAATCGCCTGTCATCAACTATCGGTTGGGGAAAGAAAATGAAACAACTTTGCTTAAAGTAAATAATTAATACATTATTATATAATTTACAAAATGTATTAATTTAAACAGCCACAGTTGTTGTTTCAGACAAACTTTTTGCAAAGTCTCCCCTCTAATGTATCGAAAACATATATCGTATTTATTAAAAAATTTCTTTTTTAAAACTATATGACAAATAACTTAAAGAAAAAAAGATTTCAAAACTTTTCCCGCCAATATAAAACATCTAATCTTTATCAAAGTTTTATTATTATGAAAACTGTGAATTTTCAACAATTTTCGATACTTTTTTGACAGACTATCTTATAAACTCAGTTGTAAGCATGCTACATAAATTAAGTTCCAGTTTCCTTATGAGCTGTCCTGCTTCTCCGTCGTGTCGTCGTTCTCCTCGTCCTCATGATCGCTCTCCAAGGCTTTTGCGCGTTCTATGCAGGAGTTGACCTTCTCAAGGAACTTTTGGGCTGTTTCCTCCTTGCCAAACCGACAGGCCAGACGTTCCAGCACGCCCTCAGTAGCCACCTTGCCTTCCGCGTCGACGGCGTAGTTGTACCCGGCCCACAAAAAGCTCTTCTTCTGTTCGTTCATGTAGTCCATCTGCAGGGAGCCGGAGATTTTCATGTTAAGCACCAGCTTGTGGATCTGCTCCTGCCGCATGACCAATCGGAATGTCTGCAGCTCCGGGTGCTCCAGCACCTTTATCTCGCCCACGCCTTTTTAATTAAATGTTAAATAATATTCTCACTTAAATGCAGTTTTGCCATTAACTTACCTCTCTCTTTCCACTGTTTGGTGTCCGGGTCGTATCGATATAGCTTCGCCCGCTCGCCATATAGCTTAGTCTCGTTTTCCTCTCCCGTAGTTACCACAACCTCATCCGGCAGCTCCACAATGGGATCGTAATGTGGATCGTAGGCGTCATCGTTCGCGCCGTCTTCATCATCATCGCCACCTTCTCCCGCACCAGATTCGTTTTTGCCGGTCTGTGGCGAAGACTGGAAGTTCTTGAAGGCGTTTTGGTGCGTCAGATTGTAAAAGCCGCCGCCGCTACCGCTGGACTTGTTAAATCCCGGGCTACTATTGCTTGTATTGCCCACTAAATCAGCAAAAGTGCTACCGACAAAATTGGTAAACGTGTTCGCCACCGGTTGAGCTGGTTCTGTTTCCTTCTTGTCCTTGGTTTCTTCTACGGAACTTGTGGTTTTGTTTGCGTCTGCTTCCTTTCCTGGGGCTGCCTGCTTGGCTATATCAACGAATGAGATGGCCGATTCCTTTTGTCCAAAAAGTGGCGCACCAGTAGCCGCACCACTGCCGAACACAAAGCTTCCGGTTGATGCTCCTCCGAAAACGTTGGAGGTACCACCGAAAACGGATTTTGTTGCATCCTGACTTGCTGGTGCCTGAGGCTCGACTTTGAGACTTCTTAAAGCGTTGGAACCAGCGAAAATAGTTGGCGTTCCACCAAAGATGGACTTCGGTGCGTCTTTGCTATCTGATGACTGCAACTCAACATTGGAGGCTCCGAAAGGATTTGCGCTTCCCAGCCCGGATCCGCTGAATCCACCAAATATGGATTTGGGTGCCTCTGCTGCTGCTGGCTGGGACTCGACTTTGGCGCCACCGAAAATTGACTTGGCTGAATCATCATTCTGATTTTGGTTTGACAAGCCGCTACCAAAAATAGACCCCAGAACGTTGCCTTGGTTTCCGCTGGAGATTGATTTCTGCAAATTAGCCAATGGTGAAGCAGTTTGTCCGGACTGTGACTTATCTGAAGCAGAAGTGAAAAATATTTGGTTAAGGTTATCTCACAAAAGGAAGGTAGATTTAAACTTACCCGTGCCACCGAATAGGAATGCCGAGCTGGGTGGTTTGCTTCCGTCCGACACGGAGAAATTACCTAAGCTGGTTATGGAGTTATTGGCTGTACCCAGCGAACTGGCTTTGAATATCGAAGTGCCAGAGGTTTGGAAATTGATTGGAGCAACAGAAGTTGGAGGGATGACAGTGGGCTGCGGAAGAGTCAGGATGGGGAGAGTCATTGGTAGAGGTGGGTTAACATCATTCGCGGAGGGGCTTGAAGATGATGTTTTGCCAAAATCGAACTGGTCCGGATCGCAGCCTCTGCAGTTGGCCCCGTCTACATGGTCCTGGAGAAGATTATCTGACGAACTCTTCGTCTCGGCTACCGCCGATGTGGTACCAGTAATAGTGGATGTGGCCGAAGAGTCCGTGCCATCTTCTATAGCTGTAGCCGTGCCATCCACTGCACTTTTGACAGCATTCATAAACTGTTGGGCTACTTCCTGGTTCTTGAAGCGAAGAGTAAACCGATCCAAAACACTCTCTCCCTCGCTGAAGTCGTGAACGGCAAACATCCACGCCGATTCGTTCTTCGGCTTGTACAACACACTCGAGTTGAGCACATGATTAAGACAGATCTTGAACACCTGCTCTCGCCGCATAACTACGCGCAGATTCTTGGTCTGTCTATGTCGTAGAATCTTAACATCGCCCAAACCACGCTCTTTCCATTCGCCCTCAGAAAGGCGATACAGCTTGGCCTTGTGCACGTAAAGCAGTTCCTCGTCCTCCTCGCCTGTTTTTACATCAACCTAAAAAAAAATCGAATTGTGTTTTAAATATGATTTTATTTGGTAGTGATTATCTTACCTTTTCGGGCAATGGGATCACCGGTGCAAAGTAAGCGTTGTTCTCCTCCTCCTCGTGGTGATCGCTATCTTCACCTTCGTTAGTCCCCGGACTCTTTGGCTGCTGTTGAGCGGGTTTTGGCATGGAGAAGGTAAAGCTGCTAGAACCAATCGCGGCAAGCGGTGCTGCAGATCCCGGTACAACTGGAGGAGCAAAGTTGAAGGTGGCGGAGCCGAACACCTGGCTGCTCTTGGTGCCTACATCGGTAGCCGAATCCTTGTTGCTAACCGAGGACGCAGGTGCTCCAAAACCAAAGGTAAACTTGGTGGTGGCGGGTAGGGAAAGTCCCGTTCCAAGTGAGTTATCTTTCTTTGGCACAGTATCATCCTTTGGTGATTCACAGGCGCTGCAGTAAAGCGACTCTCCGGGGTTGTTTACGTAGCAAGCGGAGCACGACCAGCTGCCTACCTTGGGCTTGAATGCGTCCCCAAACCCAGAAGTTTTGGAAGGCTTTTCGAATCCAACAGCTTGGATCGAAGAAGCTGCGGCAGGAGCTGAAGCCGAGGCGGTCACAGCTGCAACCACGGGCTTCTCTTTGATCTCTTCCTTGGGTTGTGAAACTCCTGAGAAACTAAATGTGGTGGTTGGTAGTGCCGCTGGCTGATATCCGAAAGAGAACTTGTTAGAGGAGCTGGTGGTAAGGTTCAGGGCATTGCTTTGGTCCAAGCCTGATTGCTTGGGTGGCACAGTGGCATCTTTAGGCTCCTGGCAGGCCAAGCAGTAGAGCTGGTCCTGGCCATTGCTGGTGTAGCAGGCTGTGCAGTTCCAGCTGCCAGCCTTGGGCTTAAAGGCATCCCCAAAGCCCTTGGTTGGCTTTTCTTTCGCCTTATCCTTTTCTTCGCCGATAGTTGGGACGTCGTCCTGATTTTTTGGTTCCTTTTCCATACTCTGTTGAGCCTTTTGCACCACAGTAAGAAAGTCTTTGCAGATCTCGGGCGTCTTAAAACGTACGGCCAGCAAGGCAGTCTCCAATTCCTCATCCGAGTAATCCTGACACGCCCAAGTGACGGCCGCCTTGATGTTCAGTGATTCCGTGAATTTGGTTTCGGGAGAAAGTCGCTGATTGCAGCACAACTTGTGAACCTGCTCGCGCCGCATCAGCAGCCGCACTTGGTTGGGATCGGAGCGATTGCGAAGGACCTTCATGTTTCCTAGGCCGCGTTCCTTCCACTCATTGGACTCCTTGTCCCAACGCATGAGCTTGGCCCGGTGCTCGAAGAGGACTTCCTCGTTTTCCTCTCCGGTGACCACTTCCACCAGGTCCGGCAGGGCGATTACCGGCGCGAACTGAGCTGTGGGCACGTAGTCCTCCTCTGCGTCCGAGGGCACGGATTTGTTTAGTTGTGATTGCTGTTGCGTCTGATTTTGCAATGTGTTTTCCTTGATCAATGCTGTGGTAAAGAGCGTGCTGTTATTGCTGCCGCTGCCCACAACAGAAACGCCTCCGAAGGAGAGATTTCCAAAGGGAGAGGCTGTGGTTCCTGTGCCAAATCCTGGTGTGGTGCCATTTCCGGAGAAGCTAAAGTTGGCAAACGGCGCGGCAGCTGAAGGCGCAGATGTTGTAGGAGCAGCACCAACCGATGATAATCCTCCAAAAAGTGACTTGGCCACCGCAGCCACCGGAGCCGCCGGAGTAGGATCAGACTTGAAGGGTTTCATCTGCTCCTGAGGCTTGCTTAACAGCGAACTTGGGGCCGGCGTGCTAGTCACAAAGCTCTTTGGTAGACTGGTCTTCGGAACCTCCTCTGGTTTCACCGTCGTTTTTTCCGTAGGTTTCACCTTTTCAGACTTTGCCGCCTCGCTTGCATTTGTAAAGGCAACCCTAAACTCCTCGGCAATTTCCGCGGTCTTAAAGCGCACCAAAAATTTCTCAAGCGTGACCTGCTCATCCGCAAAGTCATTGGCTGCCCAAACGAACGATTTCTTCTCCTTGTCCTGACTGGCAGTAGCTATGTTCATATCCGCAGAGATTTTATGATTGGCGCACACCTTATGCGTCTGATCGCGCCGCATTAAAACACGCGAGACGCCAGTGGTTTTGTCGCACAGAATCTTTATCAAGCCGATGCCACGCTCCTTCCACTCCTTGTCGACAAATCGAAAGAGTTTAGATCGGTTGCTAAACTTGACCTCCTCGTCCTCCTCACCGGTCCGCACTTCAACTTCGTCGGGCAGTGGAATGATGGCTTGGAAATCAGGCCGAGCATCGTAATCGTCCGCTGAGTGGTCAACTGTCGCACTTTTATTTAGTTCACTAGCTCCGCTTTGGTTCAGCTCCTCGGCCTCCCGTTCCTGCTCCTTCTGTTTATCAGCTGCAGCTTTAGCGACTTGGGACTTGAAAGAGAAGGGACTGTCTGAAGAGTTTGTGCCGAAATTAAAGCTGAAAGGTCCCGCTGCTGCAACCGGTGGCGGTGCCTGTTGTTCCGGAGCCGGCACCAAACTTGGCTTGATATGCTGTGCCGGAATTGTCACACTTAGAGTTGGCTGAACACTGGCACTCGTTGGCTTCGGCAACGGATCGGAGCTGGTAATGACGACATTAGCAGGCGGTTCCTTTTCCACCGGTTGGTTGTTCAGCGCCCGGTTGAACAATGCTGGAACACTAGGGGCTGGCGCAGAAGAAGCCACTTGGGGTATCTGAATTGGAGGGGGACCAGCAGCTGACAGAGCAGCTCCAACCAGTGGGCCAGGGGCAGCCACAGGAGCTGGAGGAGCAGCAGCAACACCAGAAGGAACTGGAGCTGACGGAACACCTAAGGGCTTGCCCTGCGGCATCTGAATGGGTGAAGTACCGAAACCGGGCGTGGGTGTATTGAAGAAACTTGATCCCACTCCTGCTGTGGGTAGTGCAGCCGCTGTCTTTTGCTCCAGAATATTTAAAGGAGCCGGCACCGGAGCTGTCTGAGGTGGAGGCGGTATCAGACTTGGAGGCGGCTGGGTGAAGTTGCCCAAGGCGTCGATGTATGGTGCTACCGAAGGCCCTGTCGGCGGAGGAAACATGCTGGGCAATCCGAAATTGGGATTACGAGGACCTAGGGAAGGTAAAGCATTACAAAAATATCTATGTTAAATTGAAAAATAAGTCTTACCAAACATATTGGGGGTTGGAATCGATCCAGGAGCTGGCGGAGTTCGCAAGAATTGGGCCTGAGCTTGTGCAGCGTAGTAGTTGTACATCTGGTTTTGGTTGAACATGGGACTGCCATAGGCTCCCGGCAAAAAGCGATCTTGTGCGCCTGCGGGCGTGTTTGGTACTCCATTGAAGAAGGCAGGATTGGTTCCACCATATGGATTTGGCACCACCTGATGTACTGCCGCTTGCTGTTGTTGTTGTTGTTGCTGCTGCTGCTGGTGTTCCGCAAGGGTATCCTCGATGATGAAGAAGTCGTCCAAACCCAAAGCTGTTGCAGGATCCACGTCCTGGGTCGGTGTGTCTCGACTGCTGATCTTGATCTTCTTGAGCAGTTCCTCCAACCCAGTGAACTTATCGGTGAGGTTTTTGATTTCCTGACGCATGGCTTCCATTCCCGAGCTCACATCGTCCTTAAGCACGCAGAGCGACTTGCTGATCTGCTTGACAGTTTGTTCCAACTCCTGACTCGGCTGGGCCACAACAATTGGAGTCACTGGAACAGATTCCAACTGGCGGCGTGATCGGTTAGCTAAAATGAAGTCGTCCTCTGCATCCTCGTAGGTAGAGGAATTATTGTGCGCATCGGGACTGGCATAGATTTCATCGATGCTACTGCGATTCTGCTGGCTTCGACGCAGTTCCCGCTGAATAATCGAGCTGAGTGGGTGGACAACGTCATTCCGGAGCAACTGCTGCGTCTGCTGCAGGCACTCCTGTCTCCGCTCTGAGAAACGAGCGCGTGACACACGCGGCGTCTTTACGGAATCCTCAAGTAGACGGTACGCCTCCGCTTGCATATAAGAGGCCATGGGCAAGTTCAGTCCTCTCACTTCTTCTACGAACTGCTCATACTGGCCCGCCTTGAACATTTTCCCGCTGAAATAGGTGACTGCGTGCTCGGCCAGCCCTTGCAGCTCCTGCCACGCTGCTGTCGAGCCAGCTGATCCATACTTAAAGACGCGCACAAATGGATCCAATTGCTGTGTCTGTTGGCGACGCAGCATGGAAAATCCTTGCCGATAGAGGGTGTCGATGCGCGCCTCCAGAGAAGCCCGGTCAGTGCGCGACTGCAGGATCTTTCCCAACTGGAAGACAATGATGGAGTCCGCTTTGGGTCCATTCACCCCGCGCACCGCCTCCAGTCCAACTTGCAGTTGTGCTCGCTGTTCGGCTCGATTGCCTTCTGGAGTCAACTGGTTCTTGTGCAGCCGCAGCACAAGATCCCACCAGTTGTTCTGCTCAGAGGCGGCCAGTTGCCCCAGGAGATTGGCATACGGCATCATGTGCGGACGAGTGGCGGCGTTGCGATTACCCATGTTTGAGCTGTCGTACGCTTCTCGCTGCAGCTGCAATCTCCGCCGAGTCTGAATAACAGTGGCATAAAGATAGAGATCCACATCCACCTGGCTGATGGAGTCGTGCCCGCAGTAGTTTAGGCTCTGCTTCACATCGCGCCGGAAAGCATCGTAAAAGAGCACGCGTGGCGCCTCTCCGAGATTGTCGGGTTCTGTGCCCAGCGCTAGGTAGACATGTTGCGACAAGGACAAAGGTGGCAGCAACAGTGCCTGCTGCTCAAAGGTCTCGATCTCCGCCAGATTGGGCCACTCGAAAACGGGCAAGTGCAGACGTGGGTGGCGCACTAGATGCGAGGACTGATCCCTTAGCTTGTGCTCGGCGTGGGTGAAGAGCTGTTGGTAGAGCTGCCGGCGCCAGTCCTTGTCCGAACAATGCTGGTGAGCGCAGGACAGCAGCTCCTCGGAGTCTGCAAACAATCCGGGAAGAGGCTGGGATTGGTTATCATTGAAGTTGTTGTTCTCCTTCTGGCTGTCATTGTCCGTTCGCGTCCGTTCCAGGCATCCCAGTAAAGTGCGTCCCAGTTGCGAGCATCGGAAGGAGCCCTGCTGCCGCCACAGCTTCAAAAGCTGCTTCTGCTCCGCATCGCAATGCTTCATCCAGTGGTGCGACTCTTCAAGTGGTTGCAACTGGTAGCCAAGGAGTAAAAGCGGCAGTGCCGAACGCAGCGTGCTTTTCCACTTATTCTTGTTTCCGAGCAGCTCCCGTTTAAAAATCAGCCCCACCGCGTGGAGTAACAGCTGGCCGGTATAGTGTTCGGCGCAGGACTGATGCAGTTCCCGCTGCGTGGCATCGCCCGATCGCTCTACAACATTGCTGAACTTGTGCAGGTATTGATCGAGCCGAAACAGCTGGTTGCTGCTGTCCGCCAGGCCACTGCCCGTCTCCAAGCTGAGCTGCATGAGGCGATCAAGGGCGAGCAGCGCCAGCTCCCAGAAGCGCCAGTTCTTCTTCACATCCTTGGCCACTTCCATTTTCGTGAGCAGCAGCCAGACCGTATCGTACCATTCGCTTGATTGACTTGTGCAGCAATTGCTCTCCAGTTCAGCTTTGAAGGCATAGTTAAAGGCCTGATCAAATTTCTTTTTCTCCACATAGCTTCGCAGCAGGCGCACACGAACATTCACATCCTGGGGTCGTGCCTGCAGCTCCTTGTGCATCAGCAACTCCAGGGTGTTTTCCGCCCCACTGCTATCTGCTGTCCCGTTGCTCTCCTGGAGATTAACCCGCATTCGCAGGGCGAAGATTAATTCGGTGTCGCCCAAATCCTCGCCGGCAGCCAAATCCAGCCAGTACTTGGCGCGTTCCGCGTTGAAGAGGCTCTTCTCGTTCATCAGCAGTTCACAGGCATCCTTGATTACATCCGACTGTCGTGGACTTAGCTGGATGCTGCGCTGTAAGTGCATCAAGGCTTTTGCAGTTCGGGAGTCTTCTGCTGCCTGTAGCAAAGGGCAATCAGCTTGTGGGCCGCCGCATCGTCCTTGACCCTAAGATAGCTGTTCAGATACTCGGCGGCCTTCGGATACTCCTGGATTCTGACGTAGAGACGGGCTACCGCCATGCCCTTGATGTCGCGCTTGAAACAAAGATTTAAACAATTAATCAACAGTGAGCCTCCTGCAATTATAATTGATTTTCTCGGTGTTATTAGAACACAGATAAGACTTTAAAATAAAAAAAATTTCTTTGACTTATTCTAAACAGTCTTAAAAATTTGAACAAAAATTGCACCTGTTTATAGATAAACCCAATCTCCTATAACTATTTTATATTTTTATTACTAACAAAAAAATATAGAAGCATTATGGTGTATAATATATGTAATATATGCAACTGTCCCACATATAAAGTATCCACTGTAGATGTAAATTGAAATAAGCGGCTGTTCGCCTTCCACATAACCTCACATTTCTATTTTGATTTACCCAGAGCACAACAAAACCTTGGGGCTGAGAGAAAATGTATTTATTGGGCAAATATACGAAATGCAGACGTCGGAAGAAAAGCGCGCAATTTCCTTTTCGTTTGCAAATACTTCAACCAAAGTGACGCCGACTCACACACAGACACTCACGCACGGGCGCCGCACGCACACAAAGGCGCGCTTTCCAATGGCGGCGCCGTCGATTTCGCAACTGATTTTTCCTTTTCGGAAATTCCGATGCACGTTGAGGGATCTATTTACCTCATTTCCCGGCGGCAGTTTTCCCAGCAACTTGTGAACTTGCTCGTCCACTTCTTTCCGCGTGGTGAACATTTCTTTGCTGTTTAAAAACGATTTTTTTTTCGCAATGAACTCGACCTAGCTAAAATGTGCTTCGCGCTCGATTCTTCTTCACTCGACATCCGATCGACGCATATATTTCGAAAGGTAACGTTCCACTGCTGGAAAATTAACGTTCTCCGGCTTGGTAATCCTAAATGTAACACGCCGCTCTACTTTGCGGTGCAGATTCAACCGTATATATCGCTAAATCTGTGCAAAAACTTTGGAAGCGAAGGCGGCCAACAAAAAATGCAACACCGGGACTGTCTGTTGGTATTAGAGATGGGTAAAGACTTGCAATAATATCGATACATTTATTTTGGTATTTTATTTTGCAAATTCTGAACATCAGGAAAAATACAATTTTTAAATTTTTTAATAAATACATAACGAGTTTTTTTTATTCTTATTGTGTTACAAGCTTTAATTCATTTGCACCTTCCAAAAGAGTAGTTTCCTATCAGAGACCGCGCTGATGTACGGCAATCGCTGGTGCCAAGCCATTCCACCGAAGGTTTTCAGGGATGCCTCAAGTAATGGAACCGTGGACTTGGCTGCAAACACCTTAAGAGTAAGGCCAATGATCATGGCAATGACCATCTCTGAGCTCCCCGGTGCAAATCGAACGACTCGGCCGCAGTCCTCATGGACCTGCTTGACATCGGCGGGCACAAAGGGTCTGTTCAAATCCCAGGTGATCACATCTCCGCCGGCCAAAGAGGTGATAAATAGCTTGTTGCTTTGGGCCCAATCTGCGGACATGAGGGGAAATTTGGGAGACTCCACGGAGATGACCGTCTGCTTGCTTCTCACGTTGTACAGATGGATGATGCCTGCAATGAGATTCCTTAGTGATGACGAATGATTATGATTAGGAGCAAAGACGAAATCCCACCTCTTTTCTCTGCTACCAGCACCTTGTGGGGATCATCAGGGTGACTTTTGATGGACATCCCGGCGGATGACAGGCCGAAAGTTATTACGTTTTCCCCAGCTCCTGTTATGGTCCAAAATCGGCAGGTAAAGTCATCGCTTACCGAGGCCAAGAGCTCGCCCTCGCAAACCCAGGAAACGTCGTTCACATAGTCTCCATGACCACGGAGCAACTGAACCGTATTGAACTGGCCCAGATCAGTTCGCATTATACTCAGAAGGTTGCCCTGGGCAGCACATAACATTACATTGTTAGGCGTGCAGTTTAGTGAAGTGTCCGGAGAAAACGCCAAGGCACTGACGCTCCGGTGATCTTTATCGCCGATATCCAAGTCCTGCAGATGATTGTAACCGAACTCGCCGCTCTCCTCCTACGGTAGACGGGTGAATTAAGGCACTTTTATTCAAAACTTTAAAGATCAATTGACTTGCCGGCAATCCCACGAGTATCAAACTCAAGCTTTTTTTGAGTGCCACTGCAATAAGATTGTACGCAAAGTCATTTGTACAGATTTCATAACAGTAGATGGCTTCGCTAAGTTGGATAGTGTGATCGGGTTCTGTTCCTGGTCGCATTTTTCTGTTTCTTTTGTTTCTGTTTTATTTCGGAATGAATGCGAAAAAGTGCCGGCGCCAAAAAATGTTTATTTCAGTATGACCGCACAGAAGTATCGTTTATTTTTAGACTGAAGTTTTTTTTTTACATTTTATTTTAATCTGTAAAAAAAAATAAGTTTTCAATTAATCATTAAGTTTTATTGCGAATAAACAAAATGATAATTAAATATATTTTAACAGATTTTATTTGTTAAATTGAATTATACCAAGGCCAGGGCTGAAAAGATCCATCAGCAGAGTTGCCACCGACCAGCTGTTTGACCTTTTTTAGGGCATTCTCGGCTAAGTTAAGTTGGCTGCGATTTACCCCACTTCCTTTTCCGTGTTAGCTGTGAAAGAAAAAACATGCCGGTGGGTGCTAAATTGCCTTAAAATGGATTTTAAACACATAAAACCCGACCGAATGTCGAGTAAAAGCGGGTGGGAATCGCCGCCGTAGTGTATAGTGTACATGGAGCTAGTGTTGGCCTTCAGAAACGGTCTGAAATGGTCCTAAAACAAATGTCTGGCCCGCTCCCATGAGTGTGTGTGGTTGATTGGCGGCCACGCATGGCGTGCGCCTGTGAAATTGCAAACAGTTGTGAAATGAATTTATAAACTTGATGGCAATTGTATCAAGTTGAAGGGATTCCTTTTTAATGCTGGAGAAATTCGCGGAAGGGTTTGCACATAACCTAGAAGACGCATTGGCAAATTTGTGTTGTTGCCTGGAGTCTGTGTTCTGTAGTTGTTGATACACCGGGAAAAAATGTGATTAGATGGCCTCTTTATATATCCTTACAAAACAAAACGGATAACACCGATTTCTTTTTAATATTTTTTGTTATCAATATGTGGCGGTTTGTTCTGATCTTAAAGATCGAAGCTAATTATTCGTACATTACTTTTTAAAGATTTAATAAAGTGTCGTTCTGTTATGTTTTGGTGACTATCTTCCTTCCGGGTTTTTCGCCGCCAAGTACTATCTAAATGCTTTACAGACATATTAAAAATTATAAAATATTTAATGATCTGCGTACTAATTGCCCAATTTCCAGCTAGCAAAAGATCTTCTGCACCCTCTGCCCGCTGAGGAGAAGCGCAAGCACAAGCTGAAGCGCCTGGTCCAGCACCCCAACTCGTACTTCATGGACGTGAAGTGCCCCGGCTGCTACAGGATCACCACCGTCTTCAGCCACGCCCAGGGCGTCGTTGTCTGCGCTGGATGCGCAACCATTCTGTGCCAGCCAACTGGAGGACGCGCCAAGCTGACAGAAGGTAAAGTCAAACTATCAATAACGCTGTGTTCCTCCCAATTAACGAAATAATGTTATCTTTCTTGCAGGCTGCTCCTTCCGCAGGAAGCCACAGTAAAATGGGACTTGCGATGAACCACAAATTATTAATTTTTTAATAAAACCTATAAAACGTAAAGAAACCACTGAACCCATCCGAACGAAAGCTTGTAATTCAATTGCGGTCCTTGGTTCATTGTGCTTTGTGAATTAAAGAATTAACGATCTTGTGGTTGGCTACGTGAAAAAACAGCTCTTGTCGTATTTGTTTGTAGAATGTGGATAATTGCTAGAAGAATATAAAGCAACTTAATCTGTTCGATTTCCCAGTTCAATGTAACCCATATGGAAACTGTTGCTATCGAGAAATTGTACGTTAGGGTTAATGGACCCTTCTGTGCCGCAAAAAACTTCAGGAATTTTTCACTAGTTATGCTTAGATCTAACAATTAATGGAATTCAAGATAATAAATAATGTTTCATAGGCGTTAAAATGAAGATTTTGAACGCATTTCATAATTGTCGTCCGCTGGATTGGTCGTTTTGCTTCAAGTATTTAAAGAACTTTAAATAGTTGCACTCGCATATTCCTTTTTCGCGCCAAATCCTTGTTATGCTCAACTCTAGATATATAAATAAACGGGTGCTATCACATTAATCTGTTAAAAATTGAAATCCGCGCTATAAAAAAAGTGTCATATATATTGGGTAATGCTTTCCAACACTTGGTAATCAGTTTTCGAACCACACAATGTAGAATATACGTAGGCTTGGGTATGCGCTAACCAAAGTTACTCGATGGAGTTGCCAGACCGTTTGTCCATCCAGCAATCTTAGATTTTGACCAATGGTAAAAGGTGGAAAAACCAGCTTCCCTAAAGCTTATAAGCAAAATCACCTAAAAATTGACTGAACTGCCCCCACCCCTTCAATTAAACTCCAGACAGCGTGGCGTCGCGCGTTTTTTTGAACTAAAAAAATTTGCAGCAGACAGAGTGACTTCAGTGCTTGTGATTTTGTAAGATGTTCAGCGCTAACTCAATGGATTTTTCGAGCAACGATGAACGGCAGCTGAATAACAACTTAAGGGAGATGCAGCAGAAGTTGTCGCACCTGCTGGACTCCAACGAAAATCTGGCCGAGACGGCTTCTTCCTCGGTCTCCGAGGACTGGAGCCTCCAAAAGGAGCCGCCATGTGTTCTGACCGAAGTACAACGAAATTTGGCTGTTCTCAAATTGGACGACAACGCGCCACGCTTCGAGTTCCACGGCTTGGGATGCGTGCAACAGTTTACGAAGCGCATTTGCAAGTCGGGATGGTTTGGTGCTCCTCCTAAGAAACACTTGGTTTGTGGCCAAAAACAGGAGCAACTGCAGCGGGAGAACATATGGAACAAGCGCGAGGTCGAAAAAGAAATTAGTGAGCATGACATCTCCGTCGAAAAGCTGCGTTCGGTTGGTCTGCACGGCAACTGGTGAGTGGTATTCTAAAAACGAAAGCCTCCATATAAGGTATGTTGTAAAATTTTCATTTTTAAACCACAGCCTGGAGCACAATGGCGTGTTGCGTCTGATGGATCTGTTCAGGTCCATTCACGATCACCTTATCGCCGATTTGAGCTTTTCGCGCCAAAACTCAATGCCCTCGGACTACCAGTTCGAAATGCCTGTTAAGCACCCGATGCCCAAGAGCCTGAATATTCGCTACCAACTGCAGGTGATGTGCACCAAAGTAGAGCGATTCCTGGGCCAACAGCGTCGCTGCCTGGAGACGAATAGCACGTTCGACTACGAGAAGTACACCGAGTGCGACAAGCTGATCAAGGGCTCTACATCCTATCTGCATTCCTTCACCCAATTCATGAGCTTGGAAATGCGCCACCGAGGCGGGGTGTTTGTGAACGAAACATGCAAGTGTAAGTGCCATGGCTTATTAGACCATCCAGTTATATTCTAAGATACATACTCCCTTAATAGCCAATGCCCAGCGCTTGGAGAATTTGCTGCTGGGCCTGCGCGAGTGGCTCAAGGCCTGCCACCTCAGCGTGCACGTCTTCAACTGGGCAATGGACCTGGAGCACCGCTACTCGGCTGCCATGACCGAAAACCACCGGTTGCTGAACGAGCGGGCCATTCTCTTGGCCGCTGCGGAGAAGAAGGCTTCGAAGCCACGTAAATTCAGCCCAGAAGAGATGCGCATAGCCGAGGCCTACCAACTGGTAGACTTGGTCGTCTGTGTTGCCGAGCAGGAAGAGTTCCTCAACGCTCTGCTCGCCAACCCGGACACCTACTTCCCCCCAGAAGTTGTGGCCATTTGCGGACCCCGCAAGTTCCCCGGTTTAGACTACAGTGAGGATCTGGACTCGACGGAGGAGTCCTGGGAGGCAGAGGAGTCCGAGAGTGGAGAGGAGTTGGCGTCATCGCCACCACGACGCTACGGACGCGAATTTCTGCGCTTCAGAAGCTAAACCGACAAAACACTTGTTAAAATTTTCAACGGAACAACAAATATGTTTTTTAGAAGAGGAGTTTGTAAAAAAAATAATTTACAAATTACAAGCTTCAATATCATTTGTACAATCTTGCCAAAAATGTTTTTCAAGGGAAATTTGAAGTACAAAACCTTTTTGTACAATTCAAAGAGCCAAGATCAAAACGAAACTGTATTGGTGATAATATTTTAACATTTATTTGTCTAGCCAAAAATGAAGCTATTATACATTACACAATATTTTATATGTAAACTTTTGAAATAATCTTACAATGCCTGAATTTATATTGCAACTATGTACATTTAATTTGTATGAGGAACTTACCAGTGAATTGTTTGCTTTGCGTTTGTGTTTATAAAGTCAAATAAATATTCACATATCAGTTTTAACTAAACAAAATCGGAAAGTCTTTGTACTAAGGGGCTTAGGCAAGGAAGAGCTGCTCCAGCGGCAGTTTGCCGAAGATCCTGTCCAGCACTGCCTTGGCTATCAGAGCGAAGGCCTCCCCGATGCCCGGCTTCAGTTCGGTGAAGATGTCCTGCCAGTTCTCGTTGATGAGCACGTGCATGTTCTCACTCAGGTCCTTCTGGCCGTTGAAGAGGTTCTCCAGGTGGTAGGTGACATGGGCGGGATCAATGTCGACCTTAATGTCAACCACCTCGGCGAAAGTTTGGTGATCGCCCTTCGACACTCGCCGGAATTTGATCAGAGCTCGCACTTTGGTTTTCACTGTGGGATTTATGTTATATATGCTATTAAGATTAAGTTGCATTATGAAGCGAAATAGAAGGCGATACTTACTCAATTTGATCTCGGCGTTGCCCTTGCCTGTAATTGGCAGAATGAGGACTCTGCCATCAACGGAGTAGGGTCCTTTGACTACAATCTCGGGCACACTCATGACCAGTTCAATGGGATGGCCGAGGTCGCTCTTGAATCCGCTGTTAAAATATACAATATATGGAACAATATAAAATATAATAATATCATATGTATAATATATGTATATATATGCAATCAATAATCTTACCTCACTCGCTTCGCAACCGCCTGCTGGAGACCCAAGAGGTCCACTTCGTGGAAGCTGAGGTCAATGTTGACCGGACTGTGGGGGTTGCGGGCAATCTTGAACTTCTTGATGTGCAGCGGATCCAGGGGGATCAGGCCCAGCTGCTTGATGCCGCTCTGGGCATAGTTCCTCAGCACATAGTTCACCCCGTTCACCAGGCACTGCTCGTCCGTAATGGCGCACTTCTCGATTCCCGAGGCTGCGGTTGAGGGGTTTAAGGCGGATATATGATAAGGAAAAGGAGGCCCAACTCACGTAAATCGGAGGCGTGTCCAGGAACCGAAATGAGCGCACAGCCGAAAAGCAGGACGAGGGCGGGAATTAGCTCCATATTTGACGTCGGCGAACACAATTGAATACTGATCCATTAGTCTCGGATGAGACCACTTATATAGTCCATTTCGTCAATTGAACATTCCGAGTGCGGGCTAAGTGTATCATGTTTTTGTTGCCGTAAACCGCTTTTGCGTCTCCGCCTGACAAAATTTGACTTTAGACCGTCACCACGCTCCCCCCTGAGTCAGTTAAATGGATGATAAACCAAACCGGCTGTTAAAGCCGGCGAATTTACTTTACGATTCCCTTTAATGAACCCCCAATTTGAACTTAAACCCGTTGAGTTCCAGTCGCTCTGGCAAGCCATCGACCCCGCGAATTGAAACCCATCTCTCCTAATCACGTTTTGCTTGCACTTCGCCCGGTATATTTATGCAAATTGAATTGGCCTTCCCAAAATCGGACATTTATTCCTGAGCGCTATTGACACATTAAAATTGTTTCTAATTAATGGCTAAGAGGCGCCAATACAGCTTGTTATCAGAAAGTTCGACTTGGAAAGTCAAGAACCCTTTAACGTAACCACTTTTTTAGGCGAAAATATAGATGCTCCAGATAACACATACTTTCAGGCGGCCTTGATCACTTGTCTAGATCAAACCCATAAATAACTACAACATTTTAATTAGTTAACACGTGTTTTAATTCTATTACATTCAACCACAATACTCTGCTATTTGAATATGATTTATCTCCAGACAAGATCGCTTTATGCTGTATAAAATATGCACACTTTGTTGCCACTCGATTTCGTTCTATTAACAGAAGACTCCGCTTAGATTGTTTGATAGTAGTTTAGTGCTTTCCTACTTAATGTAATTGGACTTAGGACCCTCATTAAACCTTATGGTAATTGCTAGCGTTAGAACTTATATCTGTCAGTACACAAACGACCTGAGCTGGAGTTCGAGAGGAATATCAACACAGGGGATGTACCCGTTAAGAGGCGTACTACTCCCCGGCAAAAAACTTGGCGTACGGCAGCTTGGAGAAGACGCCCTTCACGACTCCCAGATAAAGTTCGCTGAAAGCCCGGTCGATCGCCGAAGCCGTCTCTTTGTAAATGGCCTCCGAGTTCTCGTTCAGAAAGACGTTCATGTTGTCGCCCAGTGCCTTGTCTCCGTTGAAGAGGTTCGTGAAGTGGTAGTGGTTGGACTCCGGCTTCATTGTGAACTTCAAATCGGTGACATCCAAGTAGGTCTCCCCGTTCTTCTCCAGCGGCTTGCCCCAAAAGCTGACGATAACTTTGATGTTAGCTGGGAAGGATTTCGGATGAACAAAGTCATTGGTTTTCAGTGGAAACATTAATTATTATCTTACCCATTGTCATGTTACTTATGCCAGTTCCACTAATTGGTAATATGAGTACCTTACCCTGAATGGTATAAGGACCAATGAGAGAAATAGTTTTTGTGACAAGTCTCACTTCGTGCTTCGTGGTGAGATCTTTGCCAAATCCCCTTATAAGGAATCAAATTAGTTATAAATATTTTTTGTGAAATAGTTATTGAGGTACTTACTTTACTTTTACGACCCTTTGATCCTTGATGCCATAAAGCAAGTTATCGGTGAAAGTAAGACTTATGCCCACGGCACTGCTGCTTTCTCCCTGACTGATAATCATCTTGTCCACTTTGAGGGGATCCAAGGATTTTAGATTCAAGCCGGGTTCCTCCTCCGAAGATCTCTGGCTGAACAGAGTGTTACAAAGTTTTATGATGCACTCGCCATCTCCGTATTTGCAGGGTTTCGGATCATCGGCTGTTTAAAAAAGAAAGGTCCCTTCGATATTGAGAATCCCAAATGGAATATCTCAGGTTAATCCAATCTTACGAAAAATCGCTTGCACCGACACAAAAAGGCAAAAGGCGACTGCCAACGCGATTCTGAACATCTTTACTGGTCTATAACTGAAAGTAACTGATTGTGAAAGGGTATTTTCTCTACTATTTATAGTAGCCCACTAAGTGCTCCTCAAATAGAGTCTAATAGCGAACTTTGATTTTGCTTTTATCTATAGCGCAAACTGTCTGCTGTCAATTTGAGATCTCACCTCTAAATCGTCATATATAATATAGAAAGAAAAGCTGATACAATTTGATGATTGTGTATATTATGTAAAATAAAGTTAGTCACATTTTTAGTTGTGATCTCAATTGATCCAACAATTTTCCCCAACACGAATCAATGAACTTCGGCAGAGAGTGAAAATTTTTAAAAATTGGTAAGCTTTTCAGGTCTGAATACTATAATATTTCAAGCAGTGTGGAGCAAAGTCTTCCAGAGCAAAAATGATTTTAGTAATAGCTGTCGTTACATTGTCTCGCAAAAGTGGTCCGCAAATACAAGCCGTTGCTGTAGGAAATCTTTTCACAGAACTGACTCAGCTAATAAGTGTATCAGACAGATTACTCCTACCCAATTAAAACCCTGTGATTGCGAGGGTAACGAAGGTGGTAGCAACTACTCCGATACAAAAATTAAGTTCGGCGTGTGCAACTTTTTACAAAAGGGCCGGTTCCAAATATAGCCGAAATAAGTTGCAAAAACCACAGAGTCATCGTGACCAGAATCAGAATCAGAATCAGAGTCGGAGAAAAAGGTGGAGCACCAGAACAGGTCCTAAACTTCAGTTAACTTAATGGCCCAACGCCCCGAATTAAAGCCCAGCCTCCGGAGAACAAAAGCGAGCTGTTCCACTCGATTTCGATGCAGTTGATTGACTCGTGGAAGATTTTCCCTGACCCAAGGCCAACTGGGTGTCCGATTTGCAGGGATGGGATTGCAGGTTTACCGTTGGATACTCTTGAAATTGGTAAGGTGAACCGAGATGAAATCGAGAGGGAATCAGGTTTGCTACGAGGGGAGATGGATTTACTTATGGTCATAATATGTCATAAAATCAGTTTTAAATTATAACGATTGATAGGTCTTTGTTATTATTTTCTAACAATTTCGTAAGCCTTACAGTTTGCTATTATTTTCAAACAAGTTCTTTGCCAAGTTCGTATTTTAAGCTTCCAAAATATAAACTACTCTGTGACGTAAATTTAAATTGGTTAAATAAAAACTATCTAATTTAAAACCCATTAAGCGACTTCTTTTGAAGACCCAAAAAGTGGTTTTTCAAAGGCTGCATTGGCTTCTTCCTGTATAAACAAAGTGTTAATAAGAAAAGTTTTAAGTATTTCCATTAAATATTTTGAAAATGTAGGAGACTATAATGTGCTACAATGCCGGCTGCGTTAGTGAGTCCAACGACAATGTATTTATCATGCAAATCGCAATCAAACGTTCAATCACGTGAGTTGCCTGCCGATTTCTGGCCAAAAAAAAAACTGTGTGCGCCAGTTGTGCGGAAATGCCGAGATCTACGCTTGATTTAACAATAGAATCACAACCAGTTTTCGTATTATGTTTGTTTATTCTACAGTTTAAAGCTTAGCTTAGCAGATACGATGATATGTCAATGGCCGGAATGCAACGTCCGAGGTGCGTGAAATGCTGGTGAGGAAATACTCGTACACTTAGCCTAATGCTGGGCGACTAGTGCTCAGTTCTCCAGGAAAAGGTCCTCGTAGGCGAACCGCTTGAACAGCTGCGTCAGGATGCTCTTCATGATCTCCGCGATGGCCAGGTGGATGGAGGGATGCAGCTCGTTCCACACCTCTGTCCAGTTGTCGTTGAGGAACTGGTTCAGGTTGGTTCCCAGCGCCTGGTCTCCGTTGAAGAGGTTCGCCAGCTTGATGTTCATCCTGGTGGATCGCAAATACTTAAAGAAGAAGTTCTTCGAAGGATGGTATTCCACTTACTTCTGAGGTTCCACGAGCACCTTGAGCTTGTCCACACTCAGGAAGGTGCGTCCATCACGCTGCTGGGTGCCCGGCTTGAACTTCACCGAGAACTTGGGATTGTGCAGGACGATCTCGGCATCGCCGTCGCCGCGGATGGGCAGGATCAGGATGCGTCCGTCGGCCACGTACTTGCCCTTCATTGTGATCTTGGGGAACGATCCGTACATCTCGAACTTGCTGGTGGCGGGATCTGGGCCAAAGCCACTGAAAGGATTTCCAAAAGGATAAGTTTTCATTCACAACAGATGGTTAACACGGATATGAATCGTTTGAAATCCTTTTAAATATTTTTAAAATTCTTTTCTTAATTAAAATTAAATTGTTTATTCACTGTTTACTTACACAGCCCTATCGAACTTTACTCCCGACAGACCCTCCACATTCACATCCCTGAAGTTGAGCTTGAGGTTCAGCGATCCCGAGCGTCCGTCGGAGATGTCGAAGCGCTTGATCAGGAAGGGTTCCACCTGGGGAAATCCCACGGCAGGATAGCCGGTCCTGGCGTGTTGCTTGATCAGCGTGTGGGAAACGCTGATGATGCAGCTGGTGTCGCCGTGGTGACAGCGGGGAATCTCGGGCGCTGCAAGGATAATTCGCGCAGGTCATTAGCACACCACGAGAGGGCACATCCTGCTCGAAGGACTCACGGAAGTTGGAGGCACCGCTGGCCAGACAGAAGAACAGGGCCACGGAGCCCAGTTGGAGCAACATCATGATGAGAATCGAACTGATTATGGGGGATATAGGAAGGCACTACGAAATTCACCCGTCCGATAATTTGGCGAACGCACGACCAGGTTCAATGGCAAACTGTAAATTGGCTCTGGACAGAACCAACGGCGGCATTTATAAAATTTCTGATCGGCCAGAACGAGGGAGCCAAGTGGCCGACAACCAGTACACTTCATAGTTTATTCATTCCTGACCTGTCTTGGCCGTTGTTTTTGTTGCTGCCCGCCTGATTGGTGGCTATTTTTATTTATTCGTATATTTCTTACGTTTTGTGGCTCGGCTTCTCCTCATCATGATCGTCGCAGCCACCCCTAGACAGAAATCGCAGCAACAATATTATTAATTAATATTATTAGCATGTGCCCGGTTTCGCGAGAACAGCAACAAATAACAATAAACAATAACAATGGCAGCAGACAAAAGCCAGCGAAAAATCAAAAGTGATTCTATAATTTTAATGCTCGGCCAGTCAGCAAGTTTTCGGCCGTCTCCCTTTCCTACAATGCATTATAATTTCGACTATTTCGGCTTTTTGTACTTTTTATTGACTCCATCTCTGTCAAATAGAATCTACGCTTTATTCGCAATTATAATGAAGTGCAAATACTAATTCGTACCTACAGGCGGTGGTATAATATGTATATTAACCATCTCAAGTTTGCTTTGAGATCACCACCTGGGACTTAGAACTTTTGGGGATTTCCTAATTGTGTTTGACTTACTATATGCTAAATGGTTGTGCAATTTGGAAGAGAATTCCAATAAAGTATTTAACAGATATACATAGGTCAAGGTTGGGACAGTTAAAAATGAACCTCTGACTTCAACAATCGAAATAATTGAAATTAATGTACTGAAGTAAACTTCACCAGAGTTAATCCTTATAATTTGTTAGAAATTTAAGCTACAGTTTTAAAGTATAGAAAACCTCTGGAATTTCCGGACCCAACATCTCAGTTTCGAACATAAAGCAATTAAACAACATCGGACATAACAGACGACATCAAACAGGTTCCAACGGCACTCATAATGAATTCACCGGTTAAAAGTTGCCACGAGATGGCTTCACTTTCAAACTATTTTGACAGGCGGCGTTTGGAACGGGCCAAGTGAATTTAATTTGCCAAATTCTAGTTAAAGGCTTCTGGCGTTCGTCATCGGCAATTAGCATATTCGAAGTGATTGCTTTATATACTATAGTATGCGATTGGCATGGAACCGGCATTTTGTTTATTTACCCATCCAATTGGCGCCAGGTGAGTCCACATATTTTGCTTTGGGCGATTTTGATTTGTTTGCTTAGCCAATTCCTAGACGCTGTCGTAGACATCGGGATTACAACGTTTTTGGAGGCGCCAAGAAATGATAAGAAAAATAAAATATGCTGTTCTATGAATTAATTTGCATCTTAGTATCTGTTATGTTTGACTCATCTGACGTAAACATGAATCAGCCAATTAACCAAATATTTGTAAGTTTTGTAAATAATAAACAACTAGTCGATCTATTTTGCATAGCTATGGAAAGCTTGTGAATGACTGTTACTTTTTAAATATTGAGGAATATTTAATGAATTTGGGAAACTTTCTGGTATTCTGGTTTAAATGGACTTTGTTTGTTCTGGTTCTAAATGCAAATTTCCTGCACTGTTTTTGTTTTTAAAAACTATATTAGCATAGGGCTTTCTAGAAGATTGTCGAAACGAGTTCTTGAATTTCTAAAAACGCACTATGAGTTTCTTAGTATCAAACAAATCCAGCTAATGGAAGATTTATGATATCATTGCTCGGAACAGTAAATTTAATAAACATAACTCTTTTGTTGTATGCAATAACTACTTACGTTTTGCAAATAATTGTTCCTTAAGTGACCTTACTTGAATTAATAACCAATTTTAGGTTGGATTTTAATGAGAGAAACTTTAAACTATGATAATCGGAAAGCTGATAACATGATATTTAAAATCTAACCGCTTTAACTGGTTCCCGAATCACAAGTTCTCACTGGAACTAATTCCAATTTGTGCCTAGGTGTGGTATAATTCAGAGATCTGCCTACGGGCACATTGCCAACCACATCCACATCAGTCTCAAAGTTGAATTTAAAAACTCACGAAATTATTCGATTCCTGGTTGAAATAAGAAACTACCTAAGTCTGGAGCCAAGTCAGGTGAAGCAACATGCATGCGAAGCAGGTACTAGTCTGTTTGGCCAGTGTCCTGGTCCTGGGAAGCCTGCAAGTAATAGCGGCATCGGAAACTGAAAACAAAACAGGTGAATTCGTGGCCACCAAGGAATGGCAGGTGATTGCGGAAGGTAACGGCTAACTGGGTGCACCTTATCGATGACGTGTTACAAATGTTGGAATTCTTTACTTCAGGACAAGCTATTCCAAAAGGTCTTCATGTGCGCATTAATCTGCAAACCGGACTGAAGGAGGCCAAACTTCTGGACGAGAATGAACGTGGCACGGCGCTACAAAGTCAACCGGAAGATCAAAAGGATCAGGATGAAAATGAACCCCTGGCCTTAGACTTTAAACCAGATATAATTGAGGAGTCTATTCGACGAGTGAAGGAAAAAAAGAAGAGCTACGCGGAATTGCGAAAGGCCTACAAGGAATTCCAGAAGAACTTTCGCACAGACGGAGAACTGATCATCCAGTTGATTGATCAGTACCGGAATTTCAGCAAAACACCGCTGGAATCAGAGATGCGCTCTAAGCTTGATTGTTTAGAGAACTTGGAGTATCTGCTGCATCAGATAGACAATGCCCTGATGTTTATTGATAATGGAGGATTGGATGACGTGCTATTGCCCATTGTGGTGAACGATACCAATATCTCCTTGAGGGTTTCTGCCATGCGCGTTTTGGGCTCGTTGGCGAGCAACAATCCCAAGGCTCAGATCAAGGTGTTCGAAAAGAACTTTGGATCGCATTTGGCTCAGATTCTGACAAGCTCTGGAAATGCTGGTGAGATCTCCGCCGCGTTGCACGCTTTCGGGGCGCTTCTTCGGAAGTTTCCGCTTGCTCAGCAGCGAGTGCTCTCTACGTCTGGTACCCAGGCTCTGATCAAGGTGTTGCGTAGTCCAGAAGTGGAGCTGCGGAGCAAAGCCAAGGCTGTAACCCTCATAAGTGACCTAGTCCTGGAAAAACGATCTGTACTGGAGGCAAGTAAGGATGCGCCTGAAGCCGCCTCCACGATGGCTCAATATGTGCTTCTGGAGTTCGAGCCCTGGCTGCAATCACAGGGCTACTGCCCAGCATTGGACAGTGTCCTTGCCAAGGACTTCTTGCATCTCTTAGAGCAACCAGAGGTGGTGGAACAGTTTGCCACTGCCTTGGATACCACCCAGGATCTCTGCATTGCATCCTGGTCGCAAAGCTCGAGTCTCAGGCATGCCCTGTTAACCATTCGTAATCGATATGCCAACAGCAAGGATGAATACCGATTGGAGGTGTCCCAAGTCCTGTCCAAACTGTGCGAGAGATTGTTTAACAAGCCCAAACACACCGAACTGTAATCCTAGCTAATATTATTTAAAAAAGTCTTAATTTAAGCTGAGTGTGAATGTAATTCATGGCCAAACAATAGATCAGAAATATTCAGGTTAAGTCAATATATTATAATAACTAAGTTGCCAAGTACTTGTGATGCGAAAATAATGCTCCCCCTGGGGAAAGTGTATACTTTGTCATTAGTTTAAGTACGCACTTTACCTTTCTGCTGCAAGTTAGAGGATTCTATAAGAACACTTAATTTATTTGTTTTTGAGACTGGAGAATAATTAAGCCAACACTAAACTAGGATTTTCGGCAATAAAACCTTAACAAACAAAAACCTTAAATTATTTAGCTTTATTTTAAACAAATTCTGATAGATAATTTTAATATAACTGTCGTTTTATTTGTAAATAATTTTCAAAGCTTGTTAATACTTTTCCTTAACTACTTTTTTTCACAGGCAAGAGCACCACCTTAGATTGCCAGAAAATCGTTGGAGATTTGCTAAATCAAAAAGAAGAACTATTTATTATTTTTAAGGCATAAAACCATTTACACTTTTAAAGTTAAATAATTTTTTCGGACATTCCTTGTATAGTCCCATTTTGACACAACTATTTACATGACTTGTTAATTTTTAAAAATAAAACTACGACTGCTATCAGAAAAAGAAACACACTTTCAATGTAGAAATCGCATTAGGAATTTCTACCCCCTGAAAACTGTAGACCCATTTAAAGCCCGATAAGGCGGGCATAATCGACCAGGCCATAAAGTAAGTCAAAAGAGTCGGAAGGAAAGCAAAAACCAAGCATGGAAAGCATGTCCCAAAAAACTCCTCAAAGTTTGTGGGTAAAGGAAGCCAAAGGAACAAAGAAAGCCAGGCACGAAACTGTACAGGAAGAGAAAGGTATTCTGGAGCGGGAGAGTGCAATTATGTGTCGGCTACGTCCAGCGCGGGAATTACAGCAATTAACGGCAGTCACATGCAAATGCAATGTCACCGGAGCTTAGTCACGAAGGAGCCAGACGGATAGAACGGAAGGGCGGCGGGCTAGAAGGGAGTCAACGGTAAGCCGGCTAGGACGCCGCCTTGGTTCCCATGACGACTCCGCGCAATGTAAACAGAGAGAGGCCCCAAAGAGAGCGCTCCACAGAGAGAGTGCAAAAGGGTTGTAAAGCCGGCTCAGTGGAGCGCAACAAAGGCACAAGTGAAATAACGAGTGGAAGGAGAGCGAGTGCCAGAGAGGCACTACCTCCTGGTCTGGAATCCACTCATCAATTTCCAGCTGGGGCGCGTGCGCAGTGGCAGCAAGCTATTTTTGTTGTTGTTGTCATGGCACTGCCACCGCCGCTTTCCGTTTCTTCTTGCTTCTTTCCAGCCGAAACGCTTGACGAGTGATGTGGAAACATTTTCAACACAAGTAAAAGCAAGCGTCCAGAGAGGCTTCTTCCACCGTTTACCCACAGCAGAGGTTGAAACTCCAGGAACTCCCGAAAAGTAATAAACCTATATTACAAATTTAAGAATATCGCAGGAAGGCCCCTTGCTTGATTTAAGAGAGAGGATTCCTTTTTAACATTCTAAAGGTTTAAAATGTACATTTACAACGTACAGTTTTCAAATTCTAAAGATACATTTCATGGCCTTTGTTGTTGATCTATAAAAAAGAATTTTAAGGAAACTCAAGTAGCACTATTTCTTTGGCGATGGCTGTGGTCATGTGTGCATGCATGTTGATAGTGAGCACAAGTCCGACGCACACCGGCTTTACAGGCTGTTGCTGCTTTTATTGCTGTCGGTTGTTAGGGGGCACGGCTTTGGCAACATTACGGAAAATCAGTTTGTGTTTGGATCGCGATGCGAGGAGCTCGTTCGGCGCTTCGGAAAGGTACTAACTAAAGCGTTTCGGCCAACTTTGTTCTTTGTGCATTGCCAACACAATCATAGTAATGAAATAGGGCGAAGAATTACCTAGTGCACCTGAAAGCAAACCCTTAAAAGGATAAAGTGCGTGTTTGTAAATCATAAATACTGGCAAACCAAAACAACAAATAATAATAACGGATTGAGTGGAATTTAAAAACCATGAGTCATGTGGAAAAGGTTTTGCAGTTAAGAAAGTTTCTGGAAGGGATTTAAGAAATTCTTGAGCTCGGTTTTTAAAATTCTTGTTAGCATTTAACTTGTGTTAAGACCGAAGGAGCTTAAAAGCAAACCTTAAAATTGCCTTCTTCAATATTTTTATACATTTTTTCCGAATTATCTTACTTTTCCTTTCGTCTAGTTTTTAACATCTTTTAATTTTGCCCGGAATCAATAAATTGTCCCCGGATTAACTTACCGTTTGGCATAAATCAGTTACAATTTTTTGTGAATCTGTAAGCGATGTGTAAAAAAACCCAGGGGAAAACAAGTTCGCAGTCCGTCGCCCAAGCGAATATTGGAAAATGTAACCGTTTTTACACAGGTGAATGACTTTTTTGTGCGCTTCCGCGGGCTTCCGGTCAAAAAAGCGTTTTCATTTTCGCCATCGGCCAACGGCCAACGGCCAGCGGCTGATTTGTATGCAAATGTTTGTCTGTCCCCCCAAACCTCCTCGATCAAACTATCAACCACCACCCCAAGTGCAACACGCCTCTCACTCCCCTTACTTTCCCCACCCACCTGCTGTGGTATGCCATAAATCCTCGCGAGGAGGAAGCTCCTTTGGGCCATGTAAACGGTGTTTGAAATTCTTCCAGTAGTACGAAAATACCGGAACCAAGGAAACAAAAACAAAAACATTACCACCGCTTTTACTAGCTGTTGTTTTACTCTTCCCAGTTGCGAAGGTATTGCATTTTGCTCTAAAATTGCGAATAGATAGTTATATGCCTTAAAGTGTTTAACCTTTAACCCACATTTCGCATGATCTCTCTTTATTAGTTTCCAATAAAGATTTCTCTAATGAGCTTAATCGAATAATACATTGAGTGAGTAGTTTACAGCTTATTGTGACATGTAGTTACATAGTTAGAAAGCTCGTTAAACATTAATAATAATAGAATTACATAGAAGCTTTTATTATTTACAAATCTTATTATTTAAAACTTAATCAGAAAGGGTACTCATAGGTTCGGTCGACAAAAGAATCATCCCTTCTTCGTTTGTATTATTCTTGGTGTTGCTGGTGGAATAAAATGCCGCCAATTCCGCTGGTGACAACAACTAAGGCAATGTGGCAACCGAACCGACATCCACCTCGAAACTTGCAACTTGGAGGTGACATGTGTGCGACATTTGCCCCACAACCAGAAGACAATGAAGAGAAGGAAGAATGTGCTAAAGATGAGGAGCAACTTTCAGTTGCTAGAAGGTTGGGCGGGGAGAAGTGCTAATGTTCCAGTTGCTTTGGTTTCTGTGCCAAAGTGTTTTGTCTATCTAATAATCTTGTAATAATCTAGAAGACTCTGGTGTTCCTCTTTCCCCTCTCCATTATCCATTTCAAATTGCCCTTTTGCCAATTACAGAGCAAAACAAAGGAAAAGTTGCACATAAATTCAATTTGAGAACGTTTATGGCACATCAAAGATATACGCAAATTTATTGCTAACGTGAAGAATTGCCTGCAATAACTCAACACAAATAACAAAATATATTCCGGATTGGCAAGGAAATTAAGAATTTAATATGGAATGTGCAAAAGAATTTCAAGTGAAGTGAACGATCTTAAACTGGAAATAACGATAATTTTATGTTTTGTGTGAAAGTGTTATGTCGTTCTAAGAAACTACGAAGGAACTATCAATTAAGTTGATTGCTGATCCTAAGATATTGCTCTTCAAAATGTGGATAAATCATCACTGGATATGTTACGTGCTCTTCGCTGTCTGTTACTTCAAAGATGGTGAGTACTTTAAATATATGAAATTTCATCTTTATACTCTTAAGACTTTTGCGGAAAGATACTTTCAGCCAAGCAAGGCATTAATTACAAGCTTCTGGCAATGGCAAAGTTATTGGTTCGGAATGTTGGTTAAGTAACTGTGGATTCAAGTGTCGTCTTTGATAATCGAAAACAAACAAAGTAATTAACCGCATGTAACCCTCGAAAAGTAAAAACTGAAAAATAGTGAAATTCCAGGCGAGACTCGATAAATTAAAGAGAAAAGTGAGCCAAGAAAACATACGGAGACGTCAACGTGGTTCTGGTCCAACGATTTATGACGGATAAAACTTTTTACGTGACTTACTTGGGGCTTTACCACTCCGCGAACCCTATCAAAATCCCCCCATGGGGCAGCTGTCAAATGGTTTGCCTTTTCTGGAATGGATCCGAACCGATTGTGGTCATGAAGTTGCTCCAGTTTCAAGTTCCATTTAGTGCGTTAATTTCGGTTCATTACGCTGTCATACTTGAGTGATATCGTTACTCCACTTGGGCAGAAGAACATATCACGGCGGTATCGTTAATGGCTCTTTTTGTCACAGTTCAAGTTCTTCCCTAACGGGTTCTGCCCAAATGGCTTGACCTGTGCCACAAAAATTGATTGCGAAATATTATACTTATGCCGATGCTTACGATGTTTAACCAGACAGAACTCGCATGGAGCGGAGCCACAAGTTGCAGGCCCGAATCGGAATCCGAATCCCAAAATATAAGCCCCTTGTGTCTATACCTTACCAAAGTCAGTGGCCCAGACCGAGGAGTTTGTCGTTTCGTTGCCGTTTTCATGAAAATCACCAAGCTGAACGGGCACTTTTTCTCTTTTATTTTTTTTTTTGTTTTCATGCTGTTGTTTTATCAAAAGAAACCAAAACAAACCGAATGAAAATTTGTTTTCTGAACTTTTTGATTGTTGAAACTTTTCTCCACCATATTCATATGCACATTCACGTTTTTGGGCAAATTTGTTCAGCCGCCAACTCACTTTCATTTGTCTTACACTCTCCGATTTTGCGAAAAAAAACAAAAGTAGAACTTATGTAACCTGGATTTTGGTTCGGGTTAGGTCTTTAATCTCCACTCCATTTGTGTAAACCTTCGCGGATTTACGCTTGAGGTATTTACGACTTATGGATGAGTTTTGGAATCCGATGACTCTAATTAGTTTTGGTGTTTAAATAAAGGGGATTGCATACATGCACTCGTAACTAATTAGTAGGATAGTTGGCTAATCTAAAATCTTTTTTTTTTTTTGGGATTCCAATGCGTCGTCCCGATTTCAAAACTTTCCATTTTCTCCGAAAATGAGTGCATGTAGTTATGTACGTGAGCTATCAGCACACATCTGAGAGATTTTGTAATAAATCCTCAGCAATTAGACTAATTTCCAAAACACTTTTAACTGTCGAAGAAAGTCCACGAGACCGAGATCTTCTTTGCCATGTGTTCATTGCCCAATGTCACAACAATTAACCCAAAACAGAGATCTTGAAAACAAGTAGAAGATTTCACTCCGCCATATATCATCTGTAGGCCGAATAGAGAAAATCCCGCCGGAGATGACTGGCGACCCCCAGTCAGGGTCAATGCAAACCGTTTGCAAGCCAACAACCGTTTACCAGAACGAAGTTGAAAAAAACAACAACAGAAATTAAACTGTTAGCACATAATTAGAACTCGTTCTTCAGGTGGCCAAGGGGTTGGAGGCGGAAACCGGAACATTTCAAGGGAAGTACATGTAAGAGTTTATAATTGCACTGTCCAAAAAAGGTGTTATGTCATGCTCCCATGGGAGTTAAGTACCTCATAAAGAGGGATCCCACGTATCATAAACTTATGTGGACTAAAAAGGTTTTTTTTTTTTTTTAAAGGGGTTCGAACATAACGATGATTAAATACGATACAATGGCTTAGATAATGAAACTATATCTCTTCTATGCTTATTCCTCGCTTAAAATGTTACCAATTTGTAAGCCAATTTGCATACAAGGAGGGCAAGTGTTTGCAACAATTTGCATGACCATACAAAGTTTACCCGTTGCACACTAACACAATTAGATATTAGAGCTTGTCCGGAAACGCAAATCAGCTGAGAATCACCGAAAGCTGAGACGGGAGATGTTCCATGTGGGCAGTCGCCAGGTTTACCCGTACCCACATGGCTCTATTTTGGACCCACGGTGGTTGGTCTTCGCCTTTGCAGCGCTGTGCAGCCGAAAATTGCAGCACTTGAAATGAAAGAAAACGGAAGCTTAGTAGAGCGTATCCGAGTCCGAGGTACGAGCAAACATGTCTGGCGATTCGGACAGCTGGCTCACTGGAACACAAACACTGGACCAACCGGCCAGCACTCTCTGTGGTGGCTTCCTCTGCCTGTCGCTGCAATTTGCTTTTAATTTGCAATTATCAGGACGGACCGAAAGTAGGCCTGAAAGGGAGAGAGTCCAATTACCAACCCGTGCAGCAAAAATAAATCGTTGTTTACAATCATTTTTAGGTCACAGATACCAAAAAGTTAAGAAGTTAAATGATTTGTAAGACTTAACACTTACTGTTATTATATCACTGCATTTCCATCTGTTATTTGTAGTAACTTTTGGAGCCATATTGGACTCACGTTGTTATCTTGAAGGCGGTGGTTCCGCAGAGAGTTTCCTGGCCACCGAGGATTTGGCGGTGGGTTCCATCATCGGCAAGCTAAGGATAAACGGAGATCCCAATGCCGAAACAGGAGACATCAACCTCTCGCTGAGAGAAAAGAATGCTCCAGTGGAAATTCATTCCGGGACAAAGGAGTTGGCTCTATCGGTGGAACTGGACAAGGAGGGAGTGAGAGGTCCGTCGTCTATTTATGTAAATGTCATCTGCATACGAAGGCATTCAACGGATCCGGTAAGGAATTTCACAAGTGTATAAAAACGATCTAAGAACATGCAAACTCACATCCGCTAAATTATTATATATATTATGAAAAAGCGAAAGTATTATGTCTTGGGGAAATAAATAGGTGAATATAGGACACGATAGTTTGTTCGGAAATTAGCCACCAATCTGTTTCTAAGAAAAATACCCTTACAACAAGAGGGTATATAAGAGCAAAGTTAGCATAATGGAATCAATAGCGAGCATGTCGAATTAAACCTGCAAAGGTGGTGGCTAAGCACTTGTCGATCAGGTTAACGCCGCAATTAATCAGAAGTTCTGGTCAGTGGCCCACATCGACCGCATTTCCTTAGAGTTCTTCCTGTCGACCACTTTCCAACCGCATTCCGCACCTGCGAATGGCCCTTCGTGCAAGGGGCAACCAATTAACCTATATAGAGGTAAGTTGCCACCTCCTCGGGGCCATACTTCTTCCAGGCAGTGCGTGTTCCCCGGGGACCAGCTAAGCCTGTTAAATTTCGGTAAACACGGTTCCTGGCATTGCGGCTATTCGAAGAACTCTATAAACAATTGAAAACTTTTGCCAGACAATGAACGCCCATTTCAATTTTAGAATCAGCGAAACACTGACTCCAACTTCGACAATCTCTGTAGCTGCAAGTCGAGAACTCATCGAAGGAGGAGCACCTGGCAGTCAACCCCTCGTCAGGCGCCTGTGGTTAGCCCCAGCCTGGTGGCCATAAATTAGCCATTAAGGCTTCCGCTTGCGGGTAGAAATCCAGGCATGGGGCTGATGGGTTCGGGGATGTCCTGGTTTGGGGGAAAGAGGTCCGCTAAACATGCAAATGTATGCAGGACATTCGACGGCGTTCTTGGGCTTTGAACTCCTGGGAGGTCAGTGACCAGCACATGGGCTAAAAAGTGAGGTGTTTGTCTTCAAGTGCAAACACTCGAAAAATTGGTTAGACTACACTTCCAAAAAAGGATAGCAAAATGGTAAAATGGTTAATGGTTAGGTAAAATAGAAAATTAAAAATATATTTTATGAGATATGACAAATAAATAATATTTTGCTGTCCATCTATATCTAGCGAACAAAGTTTTCACTTAAGTTTTTTAAAAGTTGTTGGATTCTTTTAAAACTGTAAGTTTATTTTTATGTGCTCACCTAATGTTCTATATTTTCTTTACCCCACAGAGCTTCGTCATTCCGGTGAATGTGCGAGTAACTGATGTGAACGACAATGCCCCTCAATGGATTGGCACTCCGTATACTTTGACCCTTTCGGAGGTGACGGTTCCAGGCACTAGGATTTTACAAGGCGCCCGTGCCGAGGATGCCGACCAGCCGGGTCCCTTCTCCACGGTGGAGTATCAGGTCCTGCCAGGACCCTACTCCGATTATGTGCAATTCCTCAATCCCCTTGAAGGCACATTAGTCTTAAAGAAAGCCCTCGACTACGAGCAGTTGCAGAACTTCACAGTAAAGCTGAGAGCACAAGATCAGGGGACTCCACCCCGCCACTCGGACACTTTGCTTCGTGTGGTCATCACGGATGCGGATGATCAGAATCCCAAGTTCCAACGGGAGTCCTACAGCGCAGAGATACCAGTGGATGGCAGGCCGGGTGAGCTGCGCATGCGTCCGGAGCCCCTGAAGGCGGTGGATCAGGATGAGGGAATCTGTGCGCCGATCCAGTACACGATAGTCCAATCGCACGACGCCAAGTACTTCCGCATACATCCGCACAACGGAGCTATCAGCTTGCTGACCCCCATTGGATATGCTGATGTGGCCAATGGCGCCACTTTGGTGGTGAAGGCCACGCAGATCGATAATCCCGATCGCTATGCTCTGACCACCGTCCAGTTGACGCGTCCTGGCAGCCACAGCGACCTGAGCACTCTGGCCTTTGTCCAGAAGAGATTCGTGATGCGCATCCGCGAGGACACGGCGGTGGGCAATCGGATTCTGGCTCTGCCCACCAACAAACCCGGCAAACATCTCAAGTACACCATTCCCGATCCGGTGAACTCGCAGTTCTTCAGCGTGGGTTCGCTGGGAGAACTTGTGCTGGCCAAGCCGCTGGACTACGAGAAGATGACCAAGCATGAGTTCCAGGTCTTGGCCACCGATGGAATGACCAACAGCACGGCGGAGCTCACATTGGACGTGATTGATGTGAATGACTGGGAGCCTCGGTTTCGGGAAACGCACTACGAGTTCATGGTTCCCAAGAGCGTGAGTATTTTAGAGTTTAAAATATATAAGTTTTAACTTAAGTCCCTATACTTCTATATTCCAGCAGTCTCTACAATCCCGTGCGGATTCCTTCGAGGGCGTGCTGATAGGCAAAGTGGAGGCAGCTGACGGGGATCGAAACGACAAGCTGGAACTCTCGCTGCGTGGCCAGCATGCCGGACTATTTGAAATCGACGCCACTGGGAACATCTACATGCGACCGGAGCAATTGCAGAGCCTCAACGAGTCCACGGTCCATCTGATAGCCATCGCCACGGATACGGGTGTCCCACCAAGGAGCACCTCGGTGCCAGTGAGCGTGACCATGGAGGGTCTGACCCTGGCCCAATCCGGCTGGAACAGCAACATGCTGGGCATGTTCGGCATGATCATGGGCCTCTTCCTGATGATCATAGTGGCGCTCAGCTGCTACATTGTACGCTCAAAGAAACAGGGCAAGAGTGCCTCCAGTGGCTTGGGTCTCGGCAGGAATCGGGTGCACAGCCAAGCACATAGTAGTGTCTCCTCCGCTAATCTGGTTACCCATGAAAAGCTGGCGGGGAATGGCAATGGCAATGGAGCCAGCGTGACGAGCGGCGGAGTCTCCGTGCTGCACATGAAGCACGGAGGCAATATCACCATGGCCAATCCGATGAACAATGGCCTGCATCATGTGGCCAGTGGAGCTAGTAGTAGCATGGCCCTGGGTAGCTCCGCTGCCTTGTTGGAACGGGAGCGGGAGAGAGAGCGGGATCGGGAGCGCCAGCGAGAAAGCTATGCGGCCACAGTGCGCAGTAAGTTGCCTTCATCTTAATCATACTCATGGATGCAAGTCAGCTAATCTGAGAAATTAAAAAAAAAAAATACGATTTGCATCCCTGTTCGTTCCCCAATCTTTCCGCCCCAGTCTCACCCGAAACATTCACTATTAAAAGTCTTCTTGCCAGGCATAGTTTCGCGCGCCTCCGCCAACGGTCAGCTTTTCGAGGAGGACGAGATCGAGCACGACTCCCTGCAGACGGAGAACAACAACCGGAAAGTGGCAGCCACGGGAACGGCCAGTGGCGGGGTCACCACCATCACCACCACCTCGGCAAACGCCGGATCCAATCTTCTATCCGCCACCGATGCCATGGGCTCCTCGGAGAACAACTTGACGGTCTACTTTTAGAGCCAGCTCCACCAGGAGAGCTTGTAAATATCGCTGCTAAGTCAGTTTAGGTTTAGGTTTAGGCCCCGCACACGTGTATGTACATTGAGTAGACCAAATATAGCATTGTAAACAGTCCCAGCACACACGATCTAGACTAAGTCCAAGCGATTTCCATTGTAAAGTTTTGCTTCCCAGATTTTAAGTGGATGCGTCCAATAAAGTTTTCGACTATTCAAGCGTGTTGGCCCCTTCCCTGCAAACAGTTTCGCTTACGAATCTCGTTGTTTATATTGTTAAAGCTTACAATCTACATCGATTCCGGTGATCTTCACAACTTTGGCATGGGCAAAACAAAAATAACTAGGAATACAAATGGTCGACTGACTAAGAAGATACGATTTTACATTTTGCAGGAATAAAAAATTAATTGAATCAAATAGAATATGTCTCGCTGGGGGAATGAATTCAGTTGGCAAAGACCAATACTACCCCGTCTGCTAAGGATAAAATGCTGCTTTTATGGCATGACTCCACACTCCTTCAATCTGGGCATGCCTTTACCTGCCATTGCGTTTCGTCTTTCGCTTGAGCAGGTTGAAGTCTCCATACTGAATGTGATTGTCGGTCAGGAATGGCACATAGAAGGCACGTAACACCTTGTGCGACTTCTCCGGAATGAGGAAGGGCAGGCTCTTCATCACCGACCACTCTTTGGATCGCTTTGAGTAGTTCGGCTCCAGAGCCGTGTACTTGCCCTCATCAAAGTCGACGAGGAAATCGCATCGGTCGTAGTCAAAGTACATGTACTCGTTTTCCTGGTTGAGATCGTTGAAATACGGATGCACCACTTGGGTGGCGTTTCTTCCCTTTTCATAGTAGGCCGGCAACATGCCGCGAAACTCTGATTTCAAGAAACGCAGTCGGAAGTTTTTGGCGGGAAAAAAGAAGCTTCCCGGATAGCGATGCCAGTCCTTGCCAATGCACACGTTGTATATCAAGTCCGGGTTGTATTGCGGCGTCGCCTTGAACTGGTTCAATTCCAGCATCAAATCCATGGGTGCGTGGTAGTTCCTGTACAGGGCAAACACTCGGGAGAGTCCAAGCAAAGTGCTGGTCACCATTACCAGGATGGCAATAAACATGCTGTGGTCCAGATAATGAACTCCCGACTTGATCTTGAAAACCAGTGACTTGATGCGGAAGAAGATGCGCTGATACACATCCACGGTGATGGCTCCGCAAAGAGAGATAAGGGGGTAAATTGGAAACAGGAAGCGCTCCTCCTTATGCGGTTGGGCAAAGAAAACCAGAAGCCACAGGTAAAGGGGAGCAAGCGAGATATAGTGGGGAAAATTCAGCGTCGACTTCGATTTGGCGGGAACAATAAGATAGTCCATGACCAGCATGATGGGTAGTTGCAGAGCCAATAGCTACGAAGAAATGAAAGTATTAAGAAAGTTCCCACAAGGTAAAAGCTTTTCACTCACCCAAATAATGTTAAAGTTGAGGAAACCATTGATAATGTAGTAGCTCAGTGGCTCGGTGCCAAAGATGTTTGGTCCATGGCTGGTGAACACATTGTACCACACAATATTCAGAGGAGCAAATGTCAGTTTGCCAAAGTAGCTCGTATCTATGGCAATCATGGGAATGGCAATGGTGGCTCCCGATATCAGAGTCCACTGAATAAAAGTCTTCCAATCCCGCTGCCTGAGGAGCATCTCCAGCACCAACGGAATGCCGATAAGCGCAGCAAACGGCCAACCGAGTAAAGCGGATATTGCCGTGAGGAATATGGCGAAACAATAGTTTTGCTGCCACCAGGCGGCCAAGGCAGCACATCCAAAGTACATAGAAAAGGAGGATGGAAGTAGAGCCGTGCTGGACACAAACATGCCCACACTAAACAGCTGGAATATCAGCCAGAGACGACCGATGTGTATTCCAAATTCCTGGCAAATGGACCTGAAACGGGAATCAGTTTATACAAAGTTCTGGCTACGATAAGTTGCATCTCTCAGTCTTACTTGTACATGTAACGCTCCATCACGGCACAGGCGAATCCCAACATGCATCGCACCATGTAGAAGATTAGAATTGGACTTGGGTTGAACATCTTTTGGTAAAAGTAGCCGGGCACGCCTTGAAGGAGTAGATAAGTGTAGGATCGGAGTCCAAACTGCGGGCTGTACTCCCACGTCTGCAGTCCGTGGCCGTTGATGATGTAGTGCAGCGGTTCCCAGTAGTTAAAGGTCTCATCGCAGTCGGCTATGTACGCCCAAATGGCGCTGCACAATCGGGCACTAACAAAAGTCTTAAAGGCGGTTTGCACACTCGGCATTATGGGATTTGGTGTGCCCTTTTCCTGATTGGCATTGGCGGGTTGCTTTCTGTGTGTGTAAAGTAATTCCTAATTAGATGAAATCAGGTTTAATAGACTCCTACTAACCGTTTCTTGGTATCCTTGTCCTTCTTGTTGCCGGCCGGTGCGCCGTCCTTGTTTTTATTGTTGCCATTTAGGCCCAGTCTCTTGGGCGGCTTCTTCGACGTAATCTGGTTGTCTGCCTTGTTGGCTATATAGCGAGCCCGCGCAGCCGGAGGCGCCATGGTCCGGACTTTTTGGTAAATTGCCGGATACGTATTCAGAACCCAAAAGTGTTGTATTTGTTTTTCTTGCAGCTGAAGATTAGATGGAAGTGTTATCGATAGTATCGCCGGTACAGCTTTCCTTTTCAGTGGAAGTTTAACAGGGGTATTCTTTCCAAGAGTACGGTGACATTTTCACTGCGACATGGACTTATCGAAATAAATAATAGATATATTTTTTTAAGGAGAGTTTTTGAATTATCATATTTTTGCGTTTTATTGGCAACTTCAAAAAATTTTTTGGCCCAATTTTTTTTGTATTTTTATGAAACAACTCCTTGCCAAATTTCCAAAACATGGGTTTGTTGAAGAAAACTCAAATTATTTAAGGTTTTAATCAATATTTAATTTTAAAAACAAAAATATAAAATATACAAAGATAATAAGAAAAAACTGATTAAGCTGAGTTTCGAATCGGCAAGTAATGAACGATAACAATGCACACTGAAATTATAAATAATTAAAAACATATTATTAATAAGTAGCATTTCTTTCTTACCAATAAGAGTACATGTAAACATGGCGAATGTTGTATTGCAATAAGGTTGCAGCATAACTCCCATTAAGTTGGTTGCTGCAATGATTCCTAGTCTTCCAAGAGACATACAAAAGCTTACCGCCTTGGACCTAAAATATAAAATAAATATAAATCTACCCGCGACCCACCAGTGGGTCGCGACCCACACTTTGGGAAATACTGATTTAGAGTATTTATAATTGTATTGAAATTTACCTCAGGTGGGTTGGCACAAGATCAACAATCGCTCCTATCATAATTGAAATGGAAAGTCCTGGTAAGAGAATGTAAAGGCAGAAGAGTACAAGGACTCCTGTGGGATTTTCCATAAAGTGAAGTAAGACGCCACTAAAAGCGGCAGCTCCTAGAGCAGCCAAAAGGACATTCTTTCTACCCAAGGGGTTAAGGATTAGTCCTTGAATAGAGAATCCAATCAGAAATGCAAGTCCAACAATCAGGTTATCAATATAGGTTTTGCTAGAAATGGGATCAGCACAGTCCTTAAAAATTAAAAACGTAAATATTATATGTATTCATAATATATTTATATTATTTAGAACTTACCAAATTTTCCGTTACATTTGGCTTTTCTACGGGTACGCTTAATATTTCGCATACTGTAGAAGAGTTATTTCCTGCACCTGACGATCGGTTTACAATTTCCGGAAACCAAAGCTGCATGCCATTTGAACTATCGAAAATAAAAAATTTTAGTTCCTCCATTAAATTGAATGATAAAAACTTACCTAAAAAACATGCCGAATAAAGCCAAGTTACAAAGGATGAAATTAAATCCATGGGGCTTGTGAAAAGAGGAACCGTTGCCTTGGCAATTTTGGATAGAATGCCGCATCCTTGGCTTTCGCCCAACAAATTCTCACCAGCTGGATCTTCTGACTTCAGAGTAAACTCGTCACAGTTTAGGACTTGCTGTATTGGCTTTCCCCTGTTAAATTTGCTGATCCATGCGACGGCTTCTACGGCATCCTTGTTTTTATTTTGTGATAGCAAAAGCTTCGGGCTCTCAGGATAGTATAATAATATTAGCCCTCCAATAAATCCTGGTAAGAGACTAACCAGCAAAATTAACCGCCAAGGCCGAAAAACGAAGTCGCCTACAGTGATTGCCCAGTTTGACGAAAGCACCAGCCAAGCAGTTGCTATTATGTTTGAGAGATAGTAAGATTTGAATAAATAATTCTGTTCTCATCTACTAATAGTCATGCATACCTGGAACATATATTGCCGTAACACTAACAAACATTGTGGAATAATTAATTGCCACAGCTCGATGTCTTGGTATATTGAATTCACTTAGATATGCATAAAGGGCGGCTGAAACTGCACCGACGCTATATAGATTGCAAATAGGGAAATAGATAGTTATAAATAATTGATAGATTGGTTCTGTTTGCTCTTACCTAATTCCAACCAAAAGGTTAATGATGTTAAAGAGCCAAACGCTTGTCACGAACATTAGAACAAACTGCAGGGCGTTGCTGGCGAAATTACCATAAAGTAAAACTTTGCGGCGCCCTATATCATCGCTGATGTATCCCCATATATAGGTCGATAAAAATATGCCTGTACATGGGATAAAATTCCATTGTGTGAGCCGAGGTAAATCCCCACTTAGACCCCGACTCACCTGTAACACTAGCCGCCATCATCACGCCTTTTTCGGCCTGTGTGGTTTCGAATTCGCAGTGAGAGGCGATCACAATAATACTCATGGCTTGTTGGGCTGCAACGGACGTGATTGTCAACAGTCCGCTGACGAGCAGGAGTATCCACTGCGTTTTGCCATAGCCTGGGTATCGGGTAATTGCCATGATTAAGAACTCGAGATTGGCGGGCCAGATAATTTGAATAATTTACCGATCTTCTCCAATATCATGTCGTAGTCCCACACATTGGGACCGAGGGTATTGCTCTCCAGCGGACTGTGCATCTTGACATACCTTCGATACTTGGCGACTGGTCACTCGGCTGCTGCAGCACCTGCTTTTAAGCATTGTATTCTAATAAACCCCTGTAGAACAGTGAGCAACATGTGAACTGCAAACCAGTTTTGAGATTAAGCATCTGCGATTTGTTTCAATTTAAACATTTCGCTGAGAGGTCTTGAGCACATCAATGAATTCGATCGTATATGCAAACTTGTTGAGAGAGAGCTCAAAAATGCTTTGTTTATGTTTTAGGTACTGCGGGGGTAGCTTTTCCATCTGGGTATCTGACTTAAACAGATTTAATTTGAATCATTTGTTCTTTAAATACTGTAGCGTAAATAAGGTATGTAAAAAGTTACTGAATAGTTCGAAAAGAAATCTAATTGTCTTTTGGTTAAGTTATTTTTTCAGAATACCAAAGTTCTGCATTAGTTTTTATTACAATGTTGGCTTTTTGTTTTGAGCCGGTTTTTTGTGGGAGTGCCAGTCTTTTTTTTGTTCTTCTCAGAGCAGGGTAATAAAAAAAAACTGCTCCATATAAATAAGCCCAAAGAGTTGTTGCAATAAAAGTTCTAAATTTAATTAAAGTTTTGGGAGTGAAAAAAGTTTGACCAACTTATTTCCTAGTTAACTTAGACCATTTCAGCGCTTTCATTTCTTAAAAAATAAATATCTTTATTAAATTTTTGTACATAAATTAGATAAAACTACTTAAATGCTAATGGCAACCTTCATATGGGTAACAGTAGCGTCAAGCTCGCACAAACTATGAAGAGAGAGGGAGAACAGTTTTGTATTGTCTTTAAAACATTTATAAGCATAACTACTCACCCAGAACAAATCCAGAAAACACTCCGAAGGTGAGAGAGCAATAATAGTCCAGTAACACTCCGATAATATTACTCCCGAAAACGCTGCCTGTTCTGCCCAACATGAGGCAAATGCAGACCGCCTTTCCTCGAAGATGAGTGGGCACAAGATCGACGACTGCACCACTCAGAATCGACACACAGAGTCCTGGCAGTACCAGGTATAAACAGAAGCAAACCACAATCACCACTTCGTCCTTGATAAAGATAAGTGCAACTGCACAAGCTCCGGCCAATGAAAGGCCAATAAAAATGGAGGCCTTGCGACCAATTGTATTGATGACCAATCCCATTAGAATATAGCCCACAGTTAGGGCAGATCCGTAGGTTATTGTGTCTATGTAGCTCTTGGTATTGATATGGTCGTCGCAAATCTGTAAAAATTATTTTGATAAGTATAGCATACTTATGCGCTGCACCAAGACTTTATGTTAAGTTTATTTATTGTTTAAACTTACTTTATTGGTTGTATTGGCTTGCATCTGATCAATCGAAGCATCAATAACTTGGCAGACTGTCATGGAATCCTCAGCAGTGTTTGAGCCCAACCGATTTTGAATTTCTGGATACCAAAGACCCATTCCCGAAGAACTGTAAAAATATTTTATTTAAATTACTAAAACTCTTAAAATACTTGTTCCTGACCACTCACCTGAAAAATAGACCACACATAATAGTACAGCTGATCAAAAAGTTTATCAGATGAGGTCTCTTCAGAAGTGGCTTAGTTTCCTTCCACATTTTCTTAATGGTGGTAAACCTAAAGTAAATAATTTAGTTTATCTGAATATGTAGACAGCAATAAACAAAAAACTTACGCAGACTTAGATATAAGCAATATATTTTCTCCTTCTCCATCTAAGTTCGGTTCCGTTTTCAGCTTATGAACTTTAAACTCATGCAAGTGTTTGCCGGAATTTGTTATTGCAATCCAGTCAACAGCCGCAAAAGCCTCCTCAGTTTTATGCAAGGACATCAGGATCTTTGGACTCTCAGGCAGAGACCACAACAATAAAGTTCCAATAACTCCAGGCAGCAAATAGCAAATTGTCAGCAATCGCCAAGGGCGAAATGAAAAGTCATCCGTGATGCCCACACTCCAATTCATTGAAAGTACCAGCCAGGCAGTAGCTATAATGGGTACTTTTTGGATTAAATGTTCTTGAGTAGACCATTTGAGGCAGTAATTACCAGGTACATAAATCGTTGAAATTCCCACGAAAAGACTAGCATAATTAATGGCGATGGGACGATGGCGAGGAGTGAAGAATTCCCCAAGATACGCATACGTTGTTGAGGAAGCTCCCGCAATGCTGTTTAAGTATAGAACAGTTGTTATCAGTTCAGTTTAGTTTTGATAGGGTTCAGAACAAATTTACACTCGTTACATAATATAATGAAATAGTTTTTCTCTTATCAGTTCATAAACCTGGTGTATAATTAAGTTCTAAATCACGTTGCCCCCCTGTAGTTGAGTAGTAGAAAGTACTTACAAAAATCCAACTCCGAAACGGAGGAAAACGTATGGCCAGTAACTCGGAATGACAGTGGAGCACAAGGATAACACATTCCCGGCGATCGTCGTATATATCAATACTGGCCTCCGACCGATAGTGTCGCTTAGATAGCCCAAAAAGTAGGAAGAGCAGAATATGCCTGCAATAAAGTTAAGGCTCGCGTGAAATATACAACAGTGAAAACGTGAAAGATAAAGTTCACTACACTAATTTATATAATACGAAACGCAATTACTGCTTACTCACCGATAAAACTGGCGGCACTCATTATGGCTTTATCCATGGAGCTCATTTCGAAGTCGCACTGGGACACGATAGTGATGTATGACATGCCCATTGTCTCGTTTATAACCATCATAATTAGAAGTCCTGCCGCAAAAAGGACTATCCACTGCACTCGACCGAATCCTTGGATAAATGAATTAAAACACTGTTAATTAAGGTATTCCAGTATATCCAGGATAAAAAGGACTACCGATTAATTCAAGCACTTCCTCGTATTCGTGCCCAGCATTGGGATCTCTAGCCGATTTTGGCTTAGACTCAACATCCTGTTGGCCTGATTCCGCACTCATTTTGATCACTTGAAAGCACTTTTAAGATTTTTAACATTCCCGAACCTGCGACAAACTTGAACTGAAGAAGACACCCACTTGATGTGCGTATAAAAGCAGTGGCAGAATTTGATTTGAGTGATAGAGGACGCCCCTAGAGGTTGGGTTATCAGACAGAACCATAAAGATAATTGAGGGTCTAGATGATATTCTGTTTATTTATCAAATGTGTATCACTCATTCACTGCGACGGTGAATCTTAAAAAAAGAAGATCGCTCCCCTCGCCCACCGGAACTGTCTCGTTTATTCCGTTTTTTCAATTCATTAGAGCAAATAATGCAAAGGTTGGCTTCATTCGCGACCAGGTGCTGCCATAAATTCGCTTGTAACGACACTGATTAACAAATTTTGTGTCTCTTTGGACTTAATTGCTATTATTTTTAGAATTTTGGGAACATATTCAACTAAACTTGACTAGAAGTATTTGCAGATAGTAAAATAACATGCCTTGTACGAAATAGCTACTATCTCGAGTCTGAGGTAACAAAAGAAAAAGAAATTCACATAAATACTTTCTGGCAAAAACAAATATAATTTAAGGCACTTTTAAATCATTAATGTTTTCACATCCCAAGGTAAACACTTATTTTGTTGACGAGTGAAACTTATGGGGCAATAGTTGTTGATTAACGCAATTAACTATAAGATTACTTACAGAAGCAACAGTTCTTTCACAAAAAATATTATGTTTATTTGTTTACCCTCTAATGTTTATGGTAATTAAAAGTGTGAAAACGGAATGCCACCTGGGGCTTAACCGCATAAATCCCGGACCCTCATGTCGACATAGGTGTTTACTCCTGGGGAAGTTTTTTACGAGAATGCACCTTGAAGCGACCCTATTGACATCTACACTAAGTTGTTGAGTTTCATTGCATATATTGAAATCGAGAAAAACATTTACTTTCTTTTACTTGTTAATTTTTAAATACAATTTACCATTCTTCCGTTACCAAAATATAAATGTCATTATTTTTATTTGAAAAATATCGATAGCAAAACATATCGAGCCTTAGGTAGACCCTTTCTTCTTAAACGAATGATGAAGTCAGTTAATAATAAAAGGATTTTAAAATTACTAATTAAAAGATTTTAAAATTATTAAACTAAAAACAGGTTCCCTCTACTTTAGCGAGCGTATACTGTAAAACATCGATATGCTCTAGTGGAAATCCATTTATCGATATTCTGTTGACACTAGAGCTGGAAAAACATCGATGTTCACCTACATCGATGTTTCGATGTTTTTCAGAAAAAAACATCGATGTATCGCGATACATCGAACTTTTTTTGCGTGTACTTAAAAAATTTTTTTTTACTAATATCAAATATTAAAATAATATATTTAATATAAATATATATTAAAATAATATATTTATTTAATTTAAATAAATAAGTAAAATGTGAAAAAGTTGTTTTTTATAAAAAATTACTCTTTGGTTGAGATCCATAGTTTTCATTAATATTTTTTCAAATTTCAAAACGAAGCTTAAACACTATTTAATATTAAAAATTAAACTTAAAACTAGTTTTTCATTAACCGCAAAACTTAAAATAAAATAACAATTCAATTAAAACAAAAATTCAAAAACAACTTAAAGTTCTACTCAAAACAAAAACGAAAAAAAATTAAAATTATTTTTTATTTAATTGATAAAAATTTTTGATGCGCTTACCCAATTTGTTTACCAGCCGAGTAGTGATGAGTAAAGAGGAAACATCGAACATCGATGTTTGAAAACTTCGATGTATCCGAGCTTTGGAAAACATCGATGTATCGATACATCGTCGATGTTTTCTCCAGCTCTAGTTGACACGTCTAGTTTAGTTTATTTACAATTTGACCAAATAATTGAGCTGCAATTTATGGCTGATTTTCAAGAACAGTTGCGACAATATCGCCTTCAGAAGAGGAGAAAGGAAACAGTAGACAATTTTAAGGACAAGTTGCGGAGGTTCTGGATGTTGGGCACAGGGGCTAACAAAGATACAACAATCCAGGTACAACAGGTATGAACAAAAAATTAAACATATTTTTTGTCCATTTAATGTTTGTTATTTGTCTAAGGAACCAACCAAAGCGGAAGTTATCTCGGAAAACTCTCAGGATGAAGCTGCGACGTCCAGTGAAAATGAGTTGTTACCAGAGGAGAGCCCCTCCAGATCCACAGATCATCACCATAGGGAAAACAACGTTCTGAAATACACCTTGTGGTTTGTCTACCTTATGTTCTGGATAACTCTCTATGTGATAGCCATTAAACTGGGTTTCGGATTGGTGTTCCTCATGTTTTCCGCACTTTTCGGCATCTATTTCAATACCAGAACCGATCCCAAAAAGCGGAACGAGATGAGCGCCTACAGTGTTTTCAACAAAAACTGTGAAAGCATCGATGGAACTTTGAAGGCCGAGCAATTCGAAAGAGAAATTCGATATGGATCGGGAAGTGTACGATAGAAATATTTTAAAAGATCTATCAGTACCTGTAATATAGACAATATAGCAGATGTAATGACTGTCTTAGACACTAATCTATAAACTATAAATGGATCTGAATTTGTTGTAGAAAGCATTTTAAATTATTTAGATTCTGTCAATAAAATCGCTCTTATAAATATAACCACATAAATGCATAGATATTTCTAAGGTCTGTATTTTTTATTGGTAAAGTACAAATTCATTAATTTTGTTCAAACGGTTTTCACAAAAAAACAAATGTCTTCAATTTTGTATGTCAATTATTGGTTATCTTAAATAAGTGCAGACAATTGTTAAGATTAGGTCCTATTTACCAGCTAATCTTACAATCTGCGATTTATCTAGCAAGTAGTTATATACACTATAAGTTATTGGTACACATTTCCACGCGTGCATTTCATTAAATTTAGTAAGGCTGTTGAAATAAGTTCTAGAGTAATAGGCCTTAGTGCGTAGATTTGTATGGCTTAGGATAGGTAAACAAACATCATAACGATTGCGTATCAGTATCCATCTATTTATCCGTGCATCCTTTAGTGAACGTTCAGTGCTCATTTGATCAATTCCAAGATCTCTTCATTTTACCAACTACTGCTATGAGTATTGTTATGTACAAACTAAGTAAGGGTTTATTCTATAACTAGATAGGGTCCTGTAACGTTGTTCGCCTGGCGGGCGAGGGAAAGCTATAAGGTCCTGGGTTTCCGGCCACGAAGTCACCATTCTCACATGTGGAACTCCTGGTCCTGGGACAGCAGGAGCTCCGCGGCATGGGAACTGAACTCCGCGTGTTAGCACTTCGGCAGGAAGGACTTTCTGGAGGGCAGCAGGCACAGGATGCTCAGGGCCATGACCATGTGCCAAATGGAGTGGACGATGTGGTAGTTCTGCTTGGTCTGCAGGAAGGCGTAGCACACCAGGCCGGCGATCACGAGGGTGAGTCCGAATGGCAGCCACACCGAGAGGTACCTCCTCGACGGGAAGAGCTTCCGGGACTTGGAGCACCGCAATCCCCAGCTGGTCGAGATCAGGCAGATCCCCGTGAGAGCCGGGGCCAGGAACACCCACAGACTCTGCTTGTTCAGCTCCGTTCCAAAGGCCAGCAGGATGGCGCCGAACATGTGGAGCAGCGATACAAACTCGGGACGGACGTGGGCCATGGCCACCAGGGTCACCCAGATGCTCAGCAGGCCGCAGTAGAAGTCGCAGAACTGCAGCACCCCGATCTTCACCAGGCAGAAGCTGTACTCATCCTCGCCGGCATCGCAGGCGTGGTAGAAAATCGAGAAGAACATGGCGAAGAAGTAGATGACGCCCTCGGTGAAATAGCGCCTCTTCACCGCCATGTAGATGCTCGGGAAGAAGAGCAGGTTGCTCAGCGTGAGCAGCAGAGTGGCCAGCAGGATGGACATGTTGGTGGGCACCTGCGAGTCCTCCGTGCAGTCCCATCCCCGGTATCCCTTCGAGCAAACGCACGTCGAGAAGACGAATCCTCCGGACATGTAGTGATAGCACCTGCCGAAGCGTCCACACCTGCCCGCCACACAGGGACTGGAGGACACCGAGAACACCACCGAGGTGTTGCAGTTCTCCACCGCCAGGTGCTGCTCCATCGACGCCTTGTGGTGCTCCACAAAGAGCCGCGTCATCTCCTGGGGATTGCTGCTGCACTGGTCTTCCAGGAGGCACTCTTTCACCTTCAGCGTCTCGCTTTCGTTCATCGATGCTAGGCAATCCGGAGACTTAATGCAGGCCAAGTAGCGTGGGACTGATTCTGCGCAGCTGCAACGGGATCGCATATCCTGGAGGGTGTCCTGGTGCTTGCTGATAAACTCCTTAACGCTGTCTAGGATTGACACGCGAGCGGTTCCAGATCCATGGCAGAAGAGACCCATTGTCACGTACCTAGATTCATATTTAAGTTAATTATCAATTACTTATTGTTATTTACTTATTGTTATTATTATTTGTAAGATGTATTATATTTGAGATATTCTTTTTCTTAGGTTTATCCTAATACTACATATACTCACCATCTTCCACTTTCTGGAAAGGGAACGTGCACCAATCCCATGCTCTCCGTGTGATTTACAATAATGGAGGCCTGTTTCAACCGCTGTCCATAGCGACACTTGTCCGGATACTCGGGTTCACCTGGTTCACCCAGCTGCGTGCAGACCACAATCTGCATGCTCTGGTTACTGGCTGCAGTAGTGGCGGGCACCACCTCATCCTTGGGATCCCCGATCAGCCTCTCGGCCAGGATGCCACCCAAATCCGGCGGCTGAGTGGGCAGACTCATCCTCAAACTCGCGCGATGGGCCTCCTTCATGGAAATGGCAAAGGTAAGAGTGCCTCCAATGTCCGACACCTCACCCAGATCGAAGGCGAACCCCGAGTGGATCTTGGCCGTAAGATTGAGGGTCTCGGGCACCGTGCCATTAACATCCGGCCGGAGATCGTAGTCGAACATGAAGAACTCACGGTAGGTTTGCCGCAGCAGCGAGTAAAAGTTCATTTGGCGGAACTTTGTTGGCTCCCAGGGATTGGGAGCGGAACTATTAGAGCCATTTTCCACACTCTTTGGTTTTTCCAACAGCTCTGCCGGCTCTTCCGTAATGTAATCAATTTGCAGGGCATATGGCAAGCTATAATTCACACTGCTCTCCAAAGGTATTTCCGATTCATCCGCCCCGTTGACAAAGGTCAAGAGGGCGTAGTGCCACGTGTTTGGCTGCACGCCGAATGGAATTGATATTTCCGCGGTCTGGTTTGGCCGGATGATGGTGCCGTGACTGTGGTAGTGATCCGTACCGCTCAGTGGGTAACCATTGGCCCGCACATGGAAGCCAACCGAGGGACAATCGTCGCAAACCTGGTCGAACATTATGCGGGCCAAAGCGTCGCCGATATCGTCTGGCACATAGAATCTGTAAATGATTTCATTGTTTGCGGTCCGCGTGCTGTTGTGGTTTTCCGTGATGTTTTGAAATCGAGCAGCTCTGCTGGGTTTGTCCCCCTGTCCCGAAAACCCTTTGGATTCCTTTAAAGCCGCATGTTTTTGTTTCTGCTGCTTGGGCGGAACGGAGCGAAGGGGTCTGGATGTGTTGAGTCCCTCCTTGGCACTGGTTTCATTGGCTCCATTCAGGTCGGGGAGGACAAGGCTCGTCAGATTGTCCTGATGCTCCTGACCGCTGTTTATGATAACCGGACGGAAGCGGGACACGGACATTTCGGCCGACAACAGGGTGTCGCACGATGCACTGAGTCCTGCAACCAAAATTTTATTCATAAATATGCACAAAGCAAAAACCAAAGGGAATCACTGATTTTGCATATTCAAAAGGCTTTTATCTGCGGTCTAGCAACAGTCAAATATTGCAAATATTTAAAGAATAGCTAAAACATTACAAACATTTTTGTTTGATTTTTTGTTGTAAGCTTAGTGTTGAATAAATATTTGCATATTTTCAATAGAACCCATAGTTTACACCATGATAAAGTATTATATTTTATTTTTATATCTCTTTACCTTGTTGTTCAATGCGGTCATTATTGGGATCCGACCAACTCACAAAAGCCACTGCGAACCAATTGCCAATGTGAGGTCCTTCAATGGTAATATGCTGTTGCTGTTCATTAGATAAAAACTGCAGGTCATAAACTTTATATCTGAAAAATACACAATTTAATTAGGTTACTACTGTTTTTATACTATTTATTAGTTACCTCTGATCTGCGGTAAAGAAGTTCTTTGGAAAGGTTATGTTTTCTGGACTTATCACTGGGTAACTGCTCGCCTTCAGATGCAATGTCACATCCTTAGGCTTACACTTCCGTTCTGCCGAGGAATAAAATTTGTTATATTAATTTTAATTATATACTGATTTTAAATACTAACGAAAGGCACTTTTGGGATCCTCGAAGGCTTTGAAGGTGAAGTAAGCCGTTCGAGAATCGGGTGGAACATCGAAATGCAGGATGGACACATCTTTGTAGGATGTGTATTTGAGCAGCGAGTTTGACGGCAGTCGGACCACCAGTTCCTGATCCTCTGGCAACTTGAGTTCCTCGATCGGGACGTACTTCGTGTACTCATCCGAGGGATTTTGCAATACTGGAACACTCGAGTCCGCGAAGAGTCGCTGGTCGATTAGAAGCAACACAAACACCACTAAAGGACTGCAATTGGGACGATGTGTCAGTATCTGAATCATCGTCACACTAGTTATCCTCTCAGTCCCGAGTAACTCGCTTTAGATCTAGTACAAGTATATCCTGGAAATAAATAACGAGGATATGTTCAATTAGAACGTACAAGTTACCTTATCATAACAAAAGTAAATTGGTTGTCAATTTACAATGGCACACATTTGCCTTGTGTCTGACTTAAAGGCCATCCTGTTTAAACTTTCGAGCGAGTAATTTGTTTTTATTTCGCGTGCCATTTGAATGGGCGAACGGGGAGCAAGCTGGCTCAACTAGAATTTGCCTTGTGTAGGGGCCATGGTTTTGAGACCATGGAAAAACAGACAGGCACCGCGCACATGGTAGAATGCCCGGCCTACGGATGAGCATAAATGCACACATATTCCCACACCCGAAACTTTTGCCACTTTTTGGCACAAGTGCAGACATAAAGGCTTTTTGTATGCCGGCGCAAGTAAATTGCACCGTTGCAAAAATGCCGAATTCCGACCCATTTATGTGGCGCGACCAAAACCAATGTGGAGTCGCTGCTCTGCTCTGCAAGTTGTCCGGCAAAAACCAAAATAAAAACTTTTTCACTCGATGCGGTGACGCTGGGCCTGAACTGTGCATTGTTGGCTAACACCTACTATAAATTATGGCAGTCTTGTAGCCCCGAAAACACTCAGGAGCTATCTCGACCAGACGGCAGACTATATTCGTTGGGGTTGAGAGGGGGTTTACTTCTGATTTACCAGAATTGGTATTCAAACGCACAACATATTGGTCGAATTTGGGTAGCAGATGCTTTGTGTTCTATTTTTTCAATCGAGTTCCAATCACAGCACCTATTTATTCACGTTTATTTACTTTCTGTGCACTTAAGAATCACAAAACGCTTCTAAATAATTTGTTCCCCATATGTATTGTTTCTGAGAAACGTGAACGTATAATATAAATGAGTTCGAGAGATCTTTTAATTAGCAAACGTATGAAACGGGATGGGACTCACTGGGTTTTCTGTTAGACTGGCGCGAACCAACTGACGCTTTGTGCTTCAATTTTTGTTTGTAGAATTCGTGTTTGACCTAAGGTCTTATCAGTGCCATTTAGTTCCAATGATTACGCCGCTTATCGAATCATTGAACAACTTGTATGTGGCATGGGCTTATCAGTAAGCTTGTGAGCTCATTCACTGGGACATTGCTTCCGAATAAATAATAATGTTGTTTAAATACGCGCTTCACACGCGATTATGCTTTTCAACAATACTACTTTAAACTTTTTGCTAAAAAACAAGCTACATGAACTTTTCACTGAAAGTGAATCATTCCTACCAGAATCATTTCATAATTTACCACAAATGCATTTCAATCGTGGGGGCGTAGCTTCGATATATCTCAATAATGATAAAATCTTGACGTATGGCTCCTTGGATGGGCATTAAACTGTGCAAATAAATAACAGAATAACGACTGACCGAGTTATGACATCCAACTTGGCCGGTCAGCAATAGACTGAAAGCATTTGCTCAGCTTACCTGGATTGGTTGTTTATGTTTCTCGCAGAATGCAGGTTTCGATTTGGCCAAGACGAATGAATGGGACTTGAGAGCGGTTTTATACTTTTTCGGCTAACGCTGGTCCGCGGGGAAAATCCGCGTGACGCACTCGAGTTTACGATGCATTTGGGTAAATAAATAAGTATGCTGGCACTTAGGTAAATAAGCTGTCGCGAAAAGCTTTGTTCACTTGTTTTGGAACTTCCTCGGCGTCGTCATTGGCGACGCTGCTACTGCAATCGACCGCTAATATTGGATAGTCGTAAAACAGATGGCTGCTTTGATTAACAAATGGCCCTGGGCATAAAGCAGCATTGTCTTCGGGAAAATAGGGGAAAATCCAAAGCGTAAGCGTCATGAGCTTCACGCAAATGCTTACAAAGTAAAACGTTTGACTATGTTTTAGTGTACTAGTTTAGGTTTATCAGAGGAGCTTCGTAAACATATCAATTAAAAAGTTTTTAAGCTTTATAAGTCAGGTTTTATTGTTTGGTTGTTTAATTCTTATTTTAAAGAAATTCGTACTTAAGTTTTAGTCTTTAATAAAATAATTCAATAACAACAAAACAAGAAAAATCCTTATCACGCACTTCACATTGAATTCGCTACTTATTCTAATCAAAATGCGTTTATGTTGCTTATTTGTTTAAAAGTTCAGAATTAACTGGCTTCTGCTACTGATAACTCAATTACTTTTAATCCCACAATCCACAAATATAATTCTTTGGAGCGGGAGAGAGAGAGAGGAACCGAAAAATACGATCCACAAGAGAGCAAGTTCAAGTTCGTTTCTTGGGGCTGCTAAACAAGTTTTTCGTTTTGAGGAGAGCGAATATTTCGATGGATCGTTGGGGAGAAGTCTTTGGATCGGGCTGAACGTGATATAGCTTCAGTTTTCAGTCCGCCGAGAGCTTAAACGGATCGGTCTATAGAGTCCCGCTTTGGGATCGCCCCAAACGCAACCCGTGAAAGTTTATGGATACCAGTTTCAGTGGCTTTGTGTACAATCTATATATGTGAAATTCAGCGCAAAATCCCACCCTAATATAAATGTAATAATGGCTTGAAATTAAAACCAAATTTAAATAATGTGCAAAGCTATGAGTCACTCTTACCGAAAAGAGATGCGTGTGAATTTTAACATTAGCATAATGGAGTGGCCTCTTTCAAAGCGATATTTATATAATTCATTTACGGCCGTGTGTTTCCTGGTCTTTTTATATTGTGCAAACGCAAACTCGCCTCAAGCTGGAGTTTTCTTTAGTTTCAAAGTCTCCTTACAAATTATTTAAATACACAAAAGACGGCAATTCCCATTCCCCCTCTCTTTCACCCCAATCTATCCGACTTTTCCCGTGCGATCTTAAACTATGTGAGAGTGTACACATACAACTGCGGTCAAAACAATAAGAGAGGGGCTATTATAAATCGTAATTGCTTCACAAGCAAACTCCTTTCGTTTTTAAGATGTGATTACCAATAAATGAACTTTCAATACAATATTCCCTTTCAATTCAAATTATATAAATAATTCCTATTGGAAGTAAACGTATTTTATGCTTCGGTTTCAAACAAAATTTATTAAGTACTTATAAATTAGAAAAAGTGATTTTTCCCCCTACTGCCTCTATTTTTGTGACCATAGCTGTTCACATATTGGGGCTGTGCTCGGCTGCCCAGTTTGTTTTGCTATTGCGCCATGCACCCGATGCCGTATACGTCAAAAAGAGAAATCGCCGACCCGCTTCATGACGCGCAGCGTTTTAAGTTATATTTTCTTTTAGTTGCGCGTGATATGTGCCCTTCACTCAAATATAATATTTTGAACAATCATATCCTGGTTCGTTGCAGCCAGTTGCAAGTGTCATGTTGCTCCCAATATTTCCGGGACAAGGAGAATGACAGTGGAGCGCCTGCCAGTCCGCCTGCTCTAAGTTAATTTAATAAAACACATTCCTACGATGGCATCTACAGGATGTGGACAGCGCAAACACCCACGCGTGTGCTGCTTTAATTCATTTTATTTTATTTCATTTTATTTTACCACTGTGTGCCGCCATTTTTAATTAAAATTTCATCACCTTGTCTCAGTCCTCGGACATCTGGCAGCCTGCCGTTTAGGCAGTTGATTGCGCAATGGTTTATCACCATCACAACCACGAAAGTCGGATAATACACTGCGGAAAACAATTAATTTCCTGGCGGAGGAGGAGCCTGCTGTTAACCATCTTTGTGGTCACGGCAACGGTGGCTTCGCTTATTTCACAAGAAGGTAAGATTGAGTGATTCATTTCATTTGTTGAATGTGAAAATGAGTATATTTTAGGCACCTAAACTAAGTAATAATTGTAAATAAATATCTGTAAGATCTACTTACATGTTAGATAAAAATATAATAAAGCCCTTAAGATTGACTATCTTAATTGCCTCTTAAAAGGTTAGCCAGCAGATTGCATGGCGTGAATATGAGGGTAGCAGGTCAATAGTCTCCGCCTATCTCGATGACAAAACACGTTAATGACCACAAACCGATGCGTAATTGGTACCCAAAACAATGCGAATCGCTCTTGAAGTCCCACAATGCTCCAATTGTCCCCGTGGGCGAGAAAAACAAAGTGTTTGAGCTCCAGTCGATTCAGCCTTGACCGTGAATGCTTAACCAGCTTGGTAGATGCCATTTCGACGAAGGCGTTTAATTCCCGGCGTTTGAACTCTTAACTCGACTAATGGCCAGGAAATAGATTGAAATCTGCAGTGTTTTTATTGCCAAACTCATAACTAATTTGATTGAATTCGCTTTCAATTAAATGTTAGCCGTGGGACAATTGGGTAAAACGTATATTTCACAGCAGCAATCGCACAAAAGTAATCACTTTTGTACAAATTTTAATCAACGTTTATAACTATTTTTGTAGAAAGCTTTATAGTAAGCAAATATTAAAGTGGATGCAAACAATATGTGGGAATATTTCGCAAATATTTGTCTCCTGCTCACGCATTCCTGAACGCTTTAAACGTAAATAATTTATTACGCTCCTTATTAATAACGCTGTCGGGCTGAAATTCTCGCACATGTCTCATCAGCATATTGTGCAATATTTAAGCGAAACGGAACACTTCTTCGAGCGGCGTAATATATCGCAGTCGCTCGTATCTGGATGGGCTTACACGCGGACCAACTTAAATCCGCCGAGAGCGTGTTGCCAAAGCTGAGACCTGTTTTGGCCACGCAATCCGCAGAGCCAAGCATTCTGCTCACTTAAGCCGCGCTCTTGGCCAAAAAGACTCTCCTTTGGCCGTACAGCATATACGAGTATATGTATGTATGTGCACACATCACGTATACGTATACGTATACGTATTCGTTACATGCGAACACATTCGTATCTGAAGGTCGAGCGCCAGCAGAAGAGATAGCAGATACAAGATACAAGTGCAAACAGCAGACGGCAAACAGCGACCGGTTATCACGTCACGTCGCTTAGGTCCATTGAATGATGCTTATGGCTGAGTTATGAAGCGCCAAGAAGCCAACCAAACCGAATACGCCAATAATTCACGGACATTCTCGGTGGACAATGAACCGATTGATATTCGTTAGAGAAACGGCTTTTCTCGGATGTTGCAATCTGGCCCCCAACCAAAAAAAATGTCTCTTTTGTGTGCCTTTGGCACTCGTTCAACGTTGGCCAAAGTCGCTCCCAAGTGGGAGACATCCGGGTCAATAGCTGGCACTCGGCACAAACGAATGAACTTGGCTGCCAACTGTTGTTGGCCCATAGAAATGCCCGCAGAGTTAGTTGCCATAACCAATTAATCGCTCTGTCGTCATTGGTTTCGTCGGATTTAATAAGTACTTGCTGTGGGATTGCAAAACGAGTTGATCTCGTTGCACACACACTTGCTTTTATTTTGAGTGATATCACGTTTTTGTTTCGGACTTTCCAGCAGAAAAACCAAACAGTGAAATAAATAACAAAAATATCAAGGGAAAAACTGATGCAGGAAAGAACTGAAAACCCAATACTTTACAAAGATTCAATTAAAAAATAGTATCTATATTGGATATACAGCAGGTTTTTACTTATCTGAAAAGATTTTATTTTGTATTGTAAACAAATTGGGTTGCATCGAAATAAAATCTTTAAAAAACCGGTGCTTCAGCTTCTGAGAATCTCCCTTGCTTACAATAACCAGTTGTTAATGAACTTGCTATAAAACTGCATTTCGAGCATTTATCTGTAATTTATGAATATGTATGCACTTGCAGTCGAGGCCCACGATCAAAATGCACCTCCGATTCTATATGTTCGCGAGCGCAACTGGAGAATCTCGGAGACCGAGCAAGTCGGTCAGATAATAGACAGAGTGCGGGCGGAGGATCCGGATGGCGATGATCTGATATTCGGAATAGAACCCCGGTTCAGTCTGCCACCTGGAGGTGGAAATGGAGCTAGTCCGCCCGAGAAAATCCCCTTTAAAATCGATCGGGAAACGGGAGTGGTCACCCTCAATGAAAGCTTGGTGGGAAGGGTAAGTAAATAATAGATATTCATGTTCCACTTTTGTAAGCCCTGAATGTTTCCCTTTTTCCAGGCCGGTCAGAACTTCCTCATCTATATAACAGTGACCGATGGACTCTATACTGCCAAAAACGAGGTCTTCATCAATATCTTGGGCGCGCGGGAGAACAGCTCTGGTTATCGACCGCAGACTTCAATTTCGAACGTGGTGCACAATATTTCGCAGTTCCTGCCGAGCTTCGACCAGCTGCCCGGTGTTCAATCCATCCGTAACGGACTGCCAAATAGTCGGCCGGGCGGGGGATTCCCACCGGTGCCGCCGAACAATATATTTGGGCCACCGCCGTTCGGTAATTTCTACCCCCCGGTACCGCCGCCAAATATTCCTGGCCAAAAAGCGGAGGCGAGTGGCGAGCAGCCGGATGGCGATGATGAGGTGACAGCCACCGCAACGAGCTCCACCACGCCGAAAAGTCGCACCAAACTGACGCCGATAGCTGGCAATAATTCGACGAGGGTCGAACATGCCCCAGCGGAAACAACGACACCGAGTGGCAGCCACAACAACAGCAACAAAAACAACAACGATGAAACCATCACAGTTTTCTCACTCAAGAGCGGAACAATTCCGATTGTGGTCACCGTTGGCGGCTTCTTCGCGGCGATTGCCGTGCTCCTGGCCTACTTGTGCCGCAGGAGGCTGTGTGCCATCAGCAGGACCCTCAAGAAGTCCAAGGAGAAGGAGGAGCTGGCCAAGAAGTCCAACCAGAGCCAGCTGAGCAGCACTCTCACCGACGACAGCCGCAACTCGATGGTCATGCAGCAGTGGCAGGGACCCGTCGCCTTCGCCAATCGCTATGTTCCCTGGGAACGGGACCAGCAGATGGCCATTGTGAGTACTCCTTTTCGGAGGAAACACTTTGCTTATGAATCCCCAGGTGGTCTTTGGGGGAAATAGGGGTTCAAACTACCAGAGATTTTATTACGGAAAATAAATTTAAGGGTGGTTCAGAGCCCGGTTTTCTATTTCAATCAATTTGAGTGCCAGTAAATGTTATATTACAAACCAAATTGGCGAGTAAACAAGTTAAAAGTTTGATTGTAGTAAAGTTTTGACTCAGGGCAATTAGTTTTTAAAGCAACTTAAATAAGGTTATCAAATTCATTTATGAAAGTAAGTTTTTTTTAGTTTATGCAGACTTTAAAAAATCCTTCAAAGTTGCTTACTTTGTCTGTAATATTTTCCCATAAATATATTTTGTGGTATACAAATATTCATTAACATCCTATATATATCTTCTACCCAAGGAAACAGAAGTATTTTCTATTACTTAGCCAAACTTGAACCCAATGCAATTGAAAATAAAAACGAGTGATTGAAATCACGAGGGTCGTTAGTTCGCAAGGCAATCCTAATCGAGCTTTTATACCACTCGAGCCATTCCGAAGGTCCTTTGGAAGTGATTGCATTAAATTAGAGAGCGCTGCACAAAAGCTCATGCAAATATCGATCGATTTTCCCCTCGGGGAGCGATTGCATCTCAGAGCCCGGAGTCCCTAATCGACAGCAACTCGGGCAGAGATTTCAACCTCAGTTGGCTCGCTCGCTCAACGCCTCCGCAGAGCTCTGAGGTCCTGACGTCCTGGAGTCCTGTCCTCCGTCCCCCGTCCTCTGTCCTCAGTTCTTAGCCCCCCCTTAGTCCTGTCACCCTCAGTGGCCACAGAGGCAGTGTAATTGACAGGAAAAAGTGGCTCAGTGCAGCTGCACGAGGGCTTAGAGCCTGCCTGCCGGGAATGTCCTTCCTTTCACTCGATTCCCATTTATTGACATCGGATGCCAAACTTCAGCTGAATCCCGCGTCGCCAACAAAGCCAATTGGCGAGTGGAAATTTTGAATTCTCTGCCGCTGACAGGCGGGTTTATTTTGAATTCAAAATTGAACTTCATGTGCTGACAATGAATTTATGTAGTGAATAAAATAGGGAATTTATTTGGAGTGGAAATGAGCAACAAAAGCTGTTGATATTTAATTTAAATAATTTAAATAATAATTTAAATTCACAAAAGGAATTCATTCAAGAAGAAATAATTTAAATCAAACTAATAAGAAGGGAAAGCTTTAGATTTACAAAGATTATTTGACAGGTGAATCTGTCTATCCAGCATTATCCCAGATTTTGATATAATGCCAATCAGAGAGGTATCTAAACTAATCAGAGCTCTTTTATCTTGTATTTGTGAAACCCCATCCGACACAAACATCAAAATCGACTGCATTTCCGGTCACTTCGACGTGAAAACTCGTTCCCGGGCGCCCAACAAACAATGCTGTCGCTCAAAGGCAACTTCCCAGTTATCAACAGGTGTCACAAGTGGCGGCGAAGTGCCCGCAGGAGCCGTGAGTCCTGGGACAGGTGAGCCGGGATCGAACTTGGGTCCTGGCGGCCTGGCAGGTGGAGCAGGAAGTTCCGGCCCGGCAGAAAATGGTTTTCCTAAGGAGGCCAACTGCGACCGCTGGGAATTCCCCAGGTACCGATTGAAGTTCTTCAACATTTTGGGCGAAGGAGCCTTCGGACAAGTTTGGCGATGCGAGGCCACCAACATAAATGGTAAGTTTTGTGGGGGAAAGAAACTATTTCTGCTAAGATTAATTAAGATTCTACATAGAAAATGTCATTGAATTGCCATAACTCATTTCCTTTGGGACAGATTAGAACCAAGCATGAATGATAGTCAATCGATTTTCACGAAAGATAAATGATTAAGTGATTAATAAAATAAGGAACCATTTCTTATTTCATTACCTGATTTTGTTAGTTATGTAAAGTAAAACATATTTTTCATTATGAATAGTTTTCGGAGTGAAATGAATGCATAGACTGCGAATCCATTCCTCCCATAATTCCTCCCGAAGTAATTTAATCAATTTTGCTATGAAGTTGAAAGGAATTTAAATCGAAGCAGATTGTGCATTCAATCAGCGGAGTTCCACAGGAGCCACTGACTACTGAATACTGGCTCCTGGCTATTGGATCATGCAATCCGGCAGTTGTTGCCCCATATTCAAGTGCTCAGGTGGTGCAAAATGGTGCATGTTGCAGGTATCCAGGTATCCAGGTATCCATCCACTCGATACGTACGATACACCACATTCCAGTGCGCCATACTGAGCCCTTTTTTATGAGCACGTACAGCGGACACACAAAACGAGAGGCAAGTGATTTTTGGATTTATGTAAAGGCAAAATAAAAAAAGGTAAAAAAAAATTTTAAGTTAAACCGTTTTATGTAAATCATGTACTAAATGTACTAAAAGCCTAAAAATAATATAAAATAGATACAGACGTGGGAATTATAAACATATGCTTAGACTAGACTAAAATAAAACCGTGGGGCAAACAAACATTTTAATCAACGATTGTACACAATTGACTTGCCCCACGGTTTTATTTTAGTCTAGTCTAAGCATATGTTTATAATTCCCACGTCTGTATCTATTTTATATTATTTTTTAGGCTTTTAGTACATTTAGTACATGATTTACATAAAACGGTTTAACTTAAAATTTTTTTTTACCTTTTTTATTTTCTAGCTTTTAGTTTTTATTTCGCATTTTTATTTATATTTTTTTTTACCATTTTGTTCCTACGAGTAATAGTCATTTAAACGGTCGACGCCCCCAGAGGTCCAATAATAAGTACATTTATCTTAAACATTGCAATGTATGGTTAACATAAAAAAAATTAAAAATTAAAAAGTTTTTTTTAACAAATTTGATTAAGTTTTTATTAGTTTTTAATTCGCATTCTGTTTAATTCATTTAGTGCTTCATTATTGCATGGTTTCTTGCCCGTTAGTTTGTTGCAGTCCAACTTCGCTATACGTAGTCCCTGCAAAGATCTTACTCTACTAAGAGCCACGTAAGCTTGACCTTCTTCAAACAGTTTCGCACCTAAGTATACGACTGCGTGATCCACAGTGCTGCCCTGCATTTTATGTATTGTAGAAGCCCATGATAGTATTAAAGGCAACATTCTTCTCTCAGCCGTCCCGTAATTGTACTTAGCTGGAAACTGTATGGCTTTCGGGTGTATAAGATGTACTCCGTCTTTTTCGAAATCAATTCGGACGGAAGGTACATCTGTTGCATACATCTGAGTTCGACGAAATTGAGGCCAAACGATTTCGTTGATGTAGCCTATAGCGCCATTTACTAATCCCTCCGAAACGTCAAAATTGGACCGTAGCATGACTTTTGCCCCCACAAATATTTCCAGTTCTGCTGGTAAACCTCCAGTTTTGTTTCTATCAACTTCACTTTCTTTAGCTCGTTTTGCTTTATAAAAAATAAATATTATTTTAACATATTGTAATTCTAAACCATCCTCAAACCCCCTGGAATACACACAAAAAATTTCATCAAAATCGGTCCAGGCGTTGTTGAGTTATGCGCTTACCAACACATTTCGCGATTCATTTATATATATAAGATTTAGCTTACCCCGTTTGTTGTCAGATTGATCTGAATTAATCTGATGTGTTTGACAGTGACAATGATACCCATGTTGATGGGATTGATAAAACCTAAGTTATCCGCCATTTTGCAGAGGCCGCCATATTGAATTTTAATTTTATATAGTACATTGTATTATACTTGTTGAGACCTTTCATTTGATACCCATATTGATGGGATTGATAGAACCTACGTTATCCGCCATTTTGCGGCCGCCATCTTGGATTTACAATGTTATTGACATTACTATATTGTATTGTCATCGGAACTGAAGGTGTGTACCAAATTTCAGATCAATCTGACAACAGGAAGGTACTTAAATTTCATTATCTAATTTTGACCCTAGGGTGACCTAAATAAAACAGTTTAAAAATAGCCCCAGTACTCATGCGAGCATGTTTTTAAATTGAAAACTATGAATAGGGAAAGGGTTACGAGCAGCTAAGCTTTAAACCTGAAAAGGTACAAAATTCCCCAGTAATTTGCTTTACCATTACTTATATGAGTTTATATCATTATTTACAGGCACTGAAGGAATTACAACTGTGGCTGTGAAGACCCTCAAGGAAAGCGCCACCGAAGTGGATCGAAAGGACCTGTTATCCGAACTGGAGGTAAGCGGAACTCGCAAGCGTGCAACACTTGTGAATTAGCATTTACAATTCTTTAAGTCATCCGTAAAGGGTATGCAAAACACCGACAAAATCGTTACATCGAAAGTTGGCCAAGTGAGGACTTGCCGAGCGCAATTTCCCGGCTGCCTTTTCCTCTGTCACTTTTCATTCAATTGGTCGTCCCGCCTTCGTCCCCGCTTTCCCGCTTCTCCTGACTGACTCGCTAACTCGACGACTGAAGGCTGGGAAATGCGAACTGGGAACTGAGAACTGGGAACTTGGTAACTGGGTACTTGCTACTTGGGCGGGCTGCTGGGAAAATCTTGCGAGTTGGTTTTTCTGGTTAGATGAAAAAGTTTTGTAAATTGAAAATTAACGATGCTGAAAAGTTTTGAAAGAATTTCCTTTCCACTCCTTGTGACGGTTCTCCCCCCGCCGGCAGCGTTTTCCCCTTCAGCTTGGATTTAATGTTTGCCTTTTTAATGAAAACGCAAAGGACTCTACTTATGTGTCTCTCCAGGAAGTTTCGAAATGTTTGAGTGTGTTTTAGGTTGTTGGCAATTGCAGCGGCATTTAGGAAAACTCAGGTAATACTTTCTAACAATGTCCACCTGATTTCTTGACCACTCGTCGAGTCAAGACTGTAAACGCCTCCGCCATCAGGAATTGTCCAAAAGTCCTTCAGCGGAGAGTTTTCTAATTTAAAGTTTGCTCTCGCTACTTTACTTTTACCTTCCCTTTCCCTTCTTTCCCCAGCTTTCCTTTAGTTTATTGTATTTGTTGTTTGCCAATTAGCTTTGTTTTGTGCACTTCGAGCTTCAAAGGACACCGTAATCGCATTGAATGGAAAGTTACTCACTGAATTAAATTTAAAGTTCGAGGAAGCGACTGCCAGCTATTCGAAATGCAATTTGTTCACACATCGGGGCGATATAGGTTAAATGCCAATTCCAATATTGTCGTACCTCGTGGCATATTTATGTTCGCCAAAAATACTGCGACAAAATTATTAATTTATGGCCTTGTAAGCATCCCGGTGGCAGACGTGCATGCTTAATGAGCTGAATCTCAGCGAGATTACATACTACCGTACTATGTATGCGAACTCCGAAAATCCAGCGACTTTAAACAGTGCGAGGTAAACATATATTTCACGGTTCAGCGGCTGGTTGTGTAAATCAAACTGCAAACTGCACAATTGTCGGTAATCAGTGGGCTAAAAATATTTTCACTTCATGGAGAATCAATAAACACGACTGTAGTGGTGCTGTTGATGGTGGTGCTGGTGGGCCTTTGTTGCCGGATTCCGCATTTATGGTACTTTAATGGCAGCAACACTTCCAGCCATTTGCATTTGCATTCGCACTCAGTGGAGCGGCAATCAAAGGAGTGTTGTCATGACAATCGAAGTGACAACGTATTTATTCGGCACAAGGACAACCACCACGCCACTCCACAGATCCTTCCCCAAAGTAATCCCGCCGATGATGATGGTGACACAAGAGCTGCGGCCATTTGCCGTATCGATTAGCATTTACATACGAGTGCCACACACCTCGGATGGCATTGCTGCATTCCGCTCTCACTTATTACCTATGTTTTTGGCTAATGAGTCCAGCATTTGAGGAGCGTTTATTCAAGGCATTCGCCCACACAACCAGCACTCATGGCTCATGGGGGAACTCCTTTGACAGCAGTTGCGGGCTGTAAACACGACGAGTCCTGCAAAAAACACACGACAATAACCACCCGCCTCGCAGGATTCTATTTCCGAACCGCGCGCTCCGACGCCTTGAAACAAACTGATTCCTGTTGCTGTTCTGCCTGTTCTGCCACCGAAAAGTATGAAAAAAACACGACACACACTGACTACTACACTGACTACCACTGACTACACTGACAACACTAACAAGCCGCAGCATCCTCTCGCCTGGAGGGCAAACCACACTACGGTGTATGGTGCATGGGTATGGTTTCTCTCGCGGAAGCCCCCAACTCTCGACCTGCGCAGTGGCTCTTTCGGAGTTCGAGACCTATTCAGTGGCAGTCTGGCCCGACCTTGCCCCCCTGCTATCTGAGCCAGGATCTCTTTTCTTTTGGCCTGACTCTGACTCTGACTCTGAATCCTCTGCCGCTGAAAAGGAAAAGGAATCTCTGAACCCGAATCGGAATCTGATTCTGATTCTGTTTCTGTTTCTGAATCGGAGGCGCCACTCTAGGGTTGCCGTGTGGGTCGCGTCCTTCATCATTAAAGTCGCATTTGCTTTGGCTGCAGACTGGGCGGCAAACACATACACTACCATACACACACATACAGTAGCACACACTAGTACACCGGCATCGCTGTGCGGCGGCAGTATATCATGTTCTGCGGATTACCCCAGAAACGAGAATAATTGCACTTTAATTTTAGAACAATGAAAAATTATGAATGGCCCTCGGCTCGTTTTCAGACCCATTCCTCAGTTGGCTCCGCACTTTTCTGCTTTCAGTTTCCAGTTTTCAGTTTTCAGTTTTCCCATTGTGAAGGCGTTCGAGACCTGGAAAATTACCGTTCTCTGTGTTGCTTTTCGGGCAGCCCGAAAAGTTTTGGCTTAAATTAGGGGGAAGGCTTTGCAAAGTTATTAACTAAAATGAATTGCGGCCACTGGTGGCAATCAGTTGGGCCAATAAATTACAAGCGAGTAGCCTTGGATTACAATTCTCATTAAGAAAAGGTTGTTTTCCTTGGGTTATTAGGATAATCTCGCTTGTAAATATAGGATTCTGACATTTATTAACCAAATTATTTATTGTTTCCAAAGGTAATGAAGACCCTGGAGCCACACATCAATGTTGTTCAACTGTTGGGCTGCTGCACCGATAAAGATCCCACTTTTGTGATTCTCGAATACGTAAATCGAGGAAAACTGCAAACGTATTTACGCAGCTCCCGCGCTGAAAGGTAGGCAACGTTTTTTAAACCTTAATATATCAGATTGAATTTAAAATAAATCTCCCTTGTTGCAGACACTATGGAAATACCCATGGAAAGTCAAATGTTCTGACATCCTGCGATTTAACTTCCTTCATGTATCAAGTTGCCAAGGGAATGGACTACCTAACAGCAAAAGGGGTAAGTTAATTTAAAAACTTATATAGAATCATTATTTTATTTATTTATTTTTACCAGATTATTCATCGGGACTTGGCTGCTCGAAACATTCTTATAACCGATGATCACACATGCAAAGTAGCGGACTTTGGCTTCGCAAGAGATGTTATTACATCAAAGATTTATGAAAGGAAAAGCGAGGGCAAGCTGCCAATAAGGTATAATTGATTTGTAAACCAAAAAAAGAAATAAACTTAAATGAAATCCTATTTGTTTATAGGTGGATGGCAACAGAGTCACTGTACGACAATATATTCTCCGTTAAGTCGGATATCTGGAGCTTTGGCATTCTGATGTGGGAAATAGTAACTCTGGGATCAACGCCATATCCTGGAATATCTGCCGCAGATGTTATGCGGAAGGTTTGTAACCTTTTGAGATTTTATTTAATAAATCGAATATTATTTTTTAATTTTGTTAATAGGTGAGGGATGGTTATCGCTTGGAGAAGCCCGAGCACTGTCGTCGGGAGCTGTACAACATAATGTATTACTGCTGGTCACACGATCCCCAGGAGCGTCCTCTTTTCGCAGAAATAATCCAGATGCTCGACAAACTGCTGCACACGGAAATGGATTACATCGAACTGGAACGGTTTCCCGATCACAACTATTACAATATCGTTAGTCTTAGTGGTGAGAAGTTGTAGGGACTCCCTTTTTGCACTGAACCTGAACCCCAAGAGCTTTATTACCTCCAGAAGACAAAGGAATATCCAATTCCAGTCTTGGCTCAGTAAGATAGTATTCTTACTTGAATTTACATAGTTGCGAACTGTTCACAGGATACATTCCCATATAAAGAAAGGGTTATACTGCCATTGTAATAGTTTATCTTACAGAAACAAATTGGCTCTAAAAACACTCCGCTTTTATAAAAGGAAAGAATTCAATAGCAATTGTAACTCCTCTTAAATTGTAAGATAATTGAGCCTGCATGTATGTTTGTGTTCACGTTTTATTTATTTGATTTGTATTATGTATTTTAATTTATCAACCGTGTATAGAGTTATAAATATAAATTATATTATTGTTAAACAGAAAATAAAATATATATACTTTTATGTACCTAAAAAGCAGTTTTTTCTTCCATTTAATTTATTAGAAAGGTTTTGGTAAACTTTATTTCCATGTTTGACTTTCATTTTTGCAAAATTTTAAAATACTCGAACAACTTTTCCTGGTGCACTTTAATACTCAAACATAACTCAAACTTAACTGAAAATCTCTGGCCATAGTTATTTACGTTGACTGTGATAGAAGCCTGTGACAAACTTATTGCCGTGGCAAAGTTTGCAGCTTGGCAAACAGAGTACGTGCATAAATGATGCCAATGGCGTCAAAAGCTGGCGATGCTGATACCTAAAAGTCCTTCTACGTGATCTGCCTTCTAAATTCAGCAATCTCCTTTTAAATATATTGATTCCTACACACTGCGGTATAGAAACAGTTTTTTGTTTAGAAAAAAATGATATTTTTAAGGACTCTTACTGAATGGGTTACAAAACTTCCACTTTTAATCTTTAATTATTTGTGAAAGTAAAGCGCAACAAGTGGACATTTAACCCAGATTATAGGAATCACTCGGCTTGGCCGTAAATCGGGGTTTATGGGCTCTTAACAATTTGCTCGCTAACTACGTAAATGGGGATCAGCAACAAGTATTGTTGAATGGGATTTTATTTATTACCCACTAAGAACAGCAACAGACTAATTATGTGTTCAAATGAACACGGCTTTTATATTCCCTCGGGATTTGTGGTACAACACGGCGCATGAGTGCTCTCTTCTGGAGCACGTGTTTATGTTGTCGAGACCATACATAAGCTATTCCGAACCATATGTCTGCTGATTATAGAAATATTTGTTGTCATGCCACAAGAGAGTGCCAACAATCGGAGGAGAGCACGAAAATAATAGTCAGCTGTTTTATATAATGGTAAGATGTAATGTAATATATATCAAATTAATGTTACAAAATTATAGAAGAATATTTTATGAAAATATAAAAACTACTTTTTAACAGGTACCATTGAACTGAATATAATTTAAGGCTAAATATTTATTAATAACAAACTCTTCTTACCATTTCTCTCTTAAGAAAAGCTTTTCCTGTTGAGAGGACATGCGCAAATGAAAAGCTTAAATTATGAAGACTCCGAATTCCCAAATTTCAAACCACAATTTTTAAAGCAAAAAACTGTTTTGATTCGATTTCATATTTTAAAGTCTTGGTTACTTTATTTATTATTTTCATTTTGAAAAAAATACTAAAGTTATGTTATTTTAATAAATATATTAAAAATAGTATTTCGATATTGTAAGAACTAAATCGCTCTGGCATTATAAACTACTTTAGCCTAAAGATAAGTTCAATGCCAGCATATGAACCCCTATTGCACAGCCCTCTGAATATTATCTCAAGATATATTCAGGATTTATATGTAGTCATCATCGTCTGAGCTGTGCAACTTGGTTTCCTCGTGCTCCCGCTCCCACTCGTTCATCTTGGCCTGCATAATGAGGTCCTGGAAGGATCCGTACTCCGAATTCTGACGGTCCTTGGCGGTGAGACCTACATCACCCTCGTCGTCGTAGAAATTGTCTGATTCGTAGTCGGTATCCCTTGGCAGATCCAGATCAGGATACTCATGCTCCTCTGTGTTCCTTGGGATGCCGTGCTTCAGATAGAATGAGTTCAGCAGGCTTTCGATCTTCCAGGATGGCATATCCGAAACCATTTTCACGGCGATCTTGCGACGAGGCCTCTTTAAAGTTTTATTGGGCCTATCAGCCAATTCGAAGTTGAGGGAGGTCTTCAGCATTTGCTTGGAAGCCGTGAGTTTCTTCAGAATGGATCGGTAGAGTCCCAAAAATTGATCAGGACGTTTCTTGGCCTGCGGCAGAGCTTTCGGGTTCTCCAGGATAAAGCGATTGAGCAGCTCCTTGGTGCCTTCTTGATCCTTTTGCGATTTTAGTAGTTCAACTGAAGAGGAAAGACATCAAAAGTTAATAAGTAATTCAACAAGGGGTTTGCTGTTATAGGTAACCCACCTTTTTCTTGGCTTAGTCCGAGGGTGTTCTTGAAGACTCCCCAGTCGTCCTTTGGCGCCGCTTTGGCAGGACTCTTCTCCGCTTGGTTCTTGATGTACAAAGCCAGGCAGCTTTGCTGGATGCTCAGCAGCAGAACGATGACTTTTCCCAACTGCATGTTGAATCTTTCCACAGGACGATGTGCTTCGTTCGGTGTATAAAGCGAGTGTGATGTCCTGTGAGTTGCCGAGCGGACTTATATATCCTCCCCGCTCCGACAATCCGCGTTAATTGACATAACCGCACATCAGCGTTGCGTGTCCGATGGCCGATGGCGATGATAATCAGACAAAGGCTGCAGAGGCAGGCGCTTGACACTCGAGACATCCGGGGCGCCTGCGCAAGGAGTCAGGACGAAAACAGGATAGGAGAAGAGGACGAAGACAGGACGACATGTGCTTGATTGAACGCCGCGCAGCGATGCTCTTTGTTTTTCGGCGGAACACTTAGCGCGAGCCGCGGCAATTAAACGGCAAACTGAGCACACAAAAATTAGTGCTTACGCATCTTGCCTCAGACGTCCTGAAAACGTTAGCCAGGTAGCCAGAGTCCTTTCCACAGGACTTCGAGTGGTGGGACGACAGGCGACGAATGTGGGAATCAAAGTGCGTAATTGAGTCGCTTAAAAGCGCCAAATGGTTTCATGAATGTAGCGATCGGCAGGTAGACGCTCGCCTTTCAAATGCGAAAGGAAGTACAAATAAATCCTAGCGCCAGCCATAAACGGATCAACTGCGCCGATCTCAATCCGCTGGTCTCCGCTGCCCGCTCGACAAGTTTTTCGCTAATTATTCCTGAATGCGGGTTTTATTGATGCAATATAAATAATGCAAATGCAATTTGCGGTGCCCTGCAGACAAGGGGTGGTCCCTTAAAAAATGCTCAACCACTGCCAGCTGTGGAGGATCGATCGACCTCTAATGTCAGTCGACGGTTAATTATGTAATATTAATAAAATAAATAAATCGTACTCATAGTGATGGCTTGCAAAAAGTCGGCAGCCGTTGGTTGTGATGGTTCTATCCAGTTTATAAAAGATATAGAAACACTTTTTTAACAAATTCCGCAAATAGTAAATTCTAATTCTGGTGTATAAATAAAAAAAAGATTTTTTAAACTAATAATTAACGGTAATTTCTGAATTGTAAAAATGTCTCGACAGATATGCAATTATGGAGCATAACTTCTAATACATAAAACAAAATGGAAAAATTAGAAACAGAAAAATAAGTATTTTTTTATTTTTTCATTATTGGCTTTTCAAAACTTTGATAGTCACACATTTTTAAAGGCAAACAAACCTATTGCTGCACCAATTATCAAATGAGTTGAAATCCATTATCATTAGCTTCATGAGAATCCGAATGCTTATCTTTGTAATGCATGATAGATTTTTTTTATAAAATTACTGCTTAAAATATTAAACTTGAATTGGAATATTCCAAAAACATATTTTATTTTACGAGTTAAATTTTTATAATTTTAAATGTATTTTACTTACTAAATTTACATCGCATGTTCTTGATAATTTTCTACGTGTAGAGAAGTAACTAACATTAAAGCAGTGTCAAATTACCAATGAAGCAGGTCAAGTAGTTTAAGTTGGTGTTGAAGCAGTATATAAGCAGTTTAACTTAGGTTTAGTAATGACACGAACCAGCAAAGAAAATTTAAAAAAAATGCAGTTATCAAAAACCGTTTTGTATTAATATCTCTAATCTGAAATTTAAAATTATCCGTGTTTTGTGTTTAATAACATTTTCACCAACCAATTACACCAACAACCTTTTGATTTCTGTCACATCTGCTCATGTTGAAACATATATTTTGAATAAACACCGTAGTTATAGAAACGTAGTTTTTGTTTATTATTGTAAATAGCCGGAAAACCGGGTAACGCCGCCAAAATGCCGAAAGTACTGTTTCAGAAGTACAAGAAGGTGGTCAGCAACATCGACCCGACCCGCCATTCGGCAAAGTTCAAGGAAATCGATGAAATGCGGCGCTCGCAAGCCGAAGAATCGGAGTACTTGGCTGAAATGGAGATGGAGAACGAGGAGGAGATGGAAGGCCATAAGACCAGTGAACTGAGTCTGTCCGAGGGAGAACCGGCGCTGAATATCGGAAAGATCGATGTTTCGTTTCCGGAGACAATCGAGGAGTTCGAAAACAGTCCGCAGTGCTATCCGCCATCTTATTACACTTTGTCGCCCAAAGAGCGATTGCTTTTGCTTTATGCCGAGAATTTCCGCAAGCAATTGGTTCTTTCCCACCCAAAAAGACGAGCGATGGTCCTGGCTTTGCCCAACGAATGTAGAGTGCAGGTACGCCACTCGATGTCTTCATTGTTACCCGTAGATGGTTTGACAAATTGTTCTTTCAGAAATTTGTTTGCACCACCATCAGGCCAACGGCGTTTATCTACACGCAGCTCATATCGAGTGTTGAGGAAATTGCTAAGTTTGTCGCCGACTTCATTCAATACGAGCCACTTGAAGATCCAATAAACTTGGTAAGAGATTGATTTCTTTTATGCCAAGATAAAAAAACCTTCGGATCCAAGATCCGAACTTTTGACCAAAATGTGGGTGCTCTCTTTGCATTTTTGTTTATAACTTTGTCAAACCTACCGTCTGACCTACCGCTAGTGGTGGCCTCATCTAACGATCCCTGTCATTCAGCGGCTAATTCTAAGAAAATAATTTTTCAATTTTTTTTTCGACAATTGTCTTAAAAAAAAACTATTTTAGGCTAAAATGTCAATCTTTGGTACATTTCTCAACGAGCTCAGAGTGATTTGACATTCTATATTCCAATTACTGTTTTTTTAGAGGAAGAGTAAGGAATATGATTTTTTGGGCAAAATACTATATACATTTAGTACTCCCTTGTTTTGGTTATAACTTGGCCAAAATTGAACCTACAGCTGAAACACGCACTGTTTTAGTCAACTTATAACCTCATCTGACGACTTCTGCCACTTTCCGGCTGATGTGAAAAATAAATTTTTTGTCTTATTTCAATTTTTTGTAAGGGGTACCATCACATTCTTTTTTCAAAAATAGAACAAAAATTTTTTTCTTAACTTGAACGCAAATCTATTTTGAATTCGAATACGAGCTTAACGAGGTATGCCATTCTATTATCTGACCATTATTTTCAATGTTATAGACAAAATACTTTTTTTTTACAGGAAAAATAAGGAACTGGATACGCATTTAGTATTCCTTGTTTTGGTACCATTTTACCATAACATTTATTTTTTTAAATCGAAAAAAATAATTTTCTAGGCTTAGGTGCCAATCGATTTCAAATTCGAGTACGAGTTGAACGACGTCTGACATTTCATATTCTGACCATTATTTTTCATATTTGAAACCAAAAACCTATTTTTATGAAGAAGATTGCCGCTTGTATTTTGTTCTCCTCTTTTCTTCTTAAAACATAATATTATCTTCCACACATCCTGATTAATATTTGCAGCCGAAATTTCTTTGGATTCCCCTGAAAATTTTCCGCAATAAAGAACAAAAACGTCGACGATTCTAAGAGTTTCATAAAAATTATCTAATTATTTTTATTGAACATGTATTTAAAATTACATTTAAATTTGTAAATGTCTTTATTTAAATATCGCATTAATTCCGAATTAAGAAAATTCTTTTGAGCACATTCCATAGTTATCGATATACGAAATTTAAAAACGTTTGATATCAAATGCATGTTACTTACTCGCGCCAACACACCTCGCAGTTCGAAAAGGTTGTTTCGTAACAAAAAATAAAGGCTATAACATTTTTATCTAGAATGCATTTCGGGTGAGATGTGTGGTGGCGACACAAAACCAATTGCTCCTTTCCGTTTCAAATGAGTTAAGTAATAGCTATAGAATAGGGATTCTCGATATATACACTTTGACCGTACGATTAGTTAATACAATACAATGGAATTGAAAGAGACCGAAAGGTATGCTCGATAGGATTCACAGCTAGGAGATAAATTCAGTGTGGATTTGTCCGGATATCCGGTTGTCCAGTTGTCCAGTTATCCGGTTGTCCGGTTGTATTGGTTATCCGGGTTGTCTAGCTGCTGGAGCTCAGTTCGTCGAACTGCTGGTACTCGCCAGTGATTTGGCAGTCGTCCGGATCGTCGTCGAGGTCGCAATGTACAAATTCGTAGGGGGGAAGAACAGGGAGCTGAGCAGAGTGGCCGACGATCGGTAGACGGCCGGCGCGTATGTGTGTGGCCCCTGGCAGGATCCTCCTCCTCCTCCGTCGGAACATCCTGCTGCGATGAGGGATTCCCCAGATTCTCCTCCAGATTCTCCTGACTCTCCAGATTCCCCGGCTGATCCGTTTCTGTATCCGTGGCTGGCTCCGTGGGCGCCAACTTTGGCTTTTCCTATTTGCGACGGCGACTCTTGCCCCGCCCACTGCCCTCCTCCTCGGCATTGTCCTCCGCATTCTCCGGATCCGTTGTCGGGATCTTCGGGCAGGACTTCTCCATCGGCGGCGTCTCGTTGCCCGACTTGATGGCGGCCAGCAGGAAGCGGAGTTGCATCAGCTGCACCGCCGTCACGCGGGGATTGCTGCAGTTTTCCAGCCACTGCAGGAACTTCTCGCCATGCCGGATGGCCTCGATGTCCTCGTCGGCGGTGCAGTCCAGATACTTGGCCTTCTCCTCCTCGTCCGTCTTGTTCGAGTTGTTGTTGTTGTTGTTATTGCTGGCACTCACGTCGTTGTTGTTGGTGTGGGGATTGGAGGTGTCCTGGAAGCTGCCCTCGGATTCGGAGCCCGTTTCCGGTTGCATTCCTCCCATCTTGAAGAGCATGTTGTCCAGGATGTTCTTGCATTCACTGCTTGCCTTTGGGGTTTCTGCTCCCTTGACCTTGGTTCTCGGCTCGGGACTTCTGCTGCCGCGGGGGAACGCTCAACGGGACTCTGGGAGGGGGTCATCACCTTGCCGGCGGCAGAGAGATCCTCCGGCTTGCCTGATCCTTCTCTTTCCCCCTCTCCCTCTCCCTCGCCATCGAGATCGGGTTCCGTGGCCTCGTCGTTCTCGGGATTCTGTTCGTTGGAGGAGAGACTTCGCACCGACGGGGTTTCAGTCTCCTTGGTGAGATGCGAGTACAGGATGTTCGAGGGATCGCTTAGAGATGCTCCACCCGCACCACCTCCTCCTACCCCTCCTCCTCCTCCCTCAATATTTGCAGCTGCCACCTGCTGTTGCATGGAGTTCGCTTGCAGGGCAGCTAGAGTAGCAGCATTGGGATTCAAGGTGTGCAAACTGGCACCAAATGCCTTACACCAGTTGTACCACGCCGCGTTCTTCTCATCCAAACTTCCGGAGGGCGTGGAGGAGGGGGTGAGGGGGGCGGAGGGAATGGGCGGGGTCTGGGCATGCTGACTCATGTGCTGCGGCGTGGAGGATCGGATCGGCGGACTGGTCACGCCCATGGGAATCGTGGGCGGATACAGGGGATTCAGACCCAACATGGTTTGCTGCGACTTCAGCCAGTAGAGCAGCGGATCCTCTGCCAGATTGGAGAGGGTCATGGGGCCACCCAGCTGGGAGGGAGCGATCGAGGGACTCGGACTCTTGATCTCGCCGCCCTTCGCCTCGTTCTTGATGCTCAGATTAAGGCTGCCCGCCTGACCACCCTGTTCGCCCGGCTTCTGTTTGGCCCAGTTCTTCACGGACAGTCCCTGCGATCCCCGGTCGCCACTGTCGCTCCGCGGACTCTGGATCTGCAGAGGCGTCTGGCCACCCGGCTTCTGGTTCCTCAGACTCACAGCGCCGCCCGGCGGGAAGCTGCTCAGACCCGACATGGCCGCCAGGCCGGGATTCAGCTGGGCCAGCAGGTTGAGGTTGGTGGTCAGCTCGCTGAAGCTGATCGCCAGCGGGGATTGCGAGATGCCCGTGAGACCCGACAGGTGGGTCAGACTGGAGAGCGGACTGATGGCGTTCAGGGAGGGATCTGCCGCGGCGGCCTGTCTGTTGATGTCCGCCCCAAAGACCTTGGCCTTCACCCCGCCATTGAAGGCGGCATAATCCACGGGCATGCCATTGTATCCCAGTTCAGCGAGGTTCTTGTTTGTACTGTAGTCCAAGCCATTCAGCGGCGATCGCTTGAAGGCCAGCTCGTCGAACTTGAGTTTGTTGGAGAAGTTCAGGGGCAGGGCGGCCTCCAAGCGCTGTCGCTTCTCCGGGGGACCCAGCATCCCGCCCGATCCTCCAGTGCCAACACCTCCTCCTCCTCCATCCAGTTTATCTGCCAGGGAGTCGGCGCACAGGCTGTCCCCGCTGGACTGGCGGGACATGAAGCGCAGCTTGTCCTCGTTCTTGCACCAGCCGCGCAGCGTGGACTCCGGCACCCCGATATCCCTTGCGACGGAGGCCTTTGACTCCCCATCGTGGATCCGCTGGATGGCGTGGATCTTGTCGCGGGGCGTCAGGCTCCGCAGCGGCCGCTTGCCCTTGGTGCCCATGCGGATGTTCATGTGGGGGTAGCTGGAAATATCCAACTTGAGGCCGTTGTCGAACAGCTTGGCGTCTGAAAGAAAGAAAAGGGGAGAGAAGAAGGGGGAGAGGTTCTTAATTAATTACCGTGACACACTGGGCATATCGCATACTGCATATCGAGTATCGCACGGCGGACCGGTGCGTTTCCATTCGCCAGCGCAGAAGCACATAGCGGTATATATGTGCTCGGCCGAGTGGCGAATGCGCGTCCATGTACTTTCGACAGGGGGTGGAAGGGGGGTGGAAAGGGGGCCACGTTCATTTCAGGGGTGGTGGGTGCTCGTTCGCACGGGGCTCCAATAAAATCGCCGCGCGCTTTAAAGTTTTACAGACAAGTCGCGGTGTAAATAAACCGCACAACCAGGCGTATGCGCTATATTGCGTATACGTGTAGGTGGACCACTGTTACTGTATACATTCATATATATCTACATATTTATATATATATAGATATGTACTCGCACAGGATGACAAAATCTCTCTCGACGCTCTGCAGGCAAATGAGCTGCGTCACGCCCCTAGCCTCTTTTTCGCTCGGCGCACGAAGGATGCCAAATTTGCCAAAGGACACTCTATCTATGTGTTGGTGTTAGTATGACTGGCTATGTGTGTGTGTGTATACGGGGAGACAATGGAATATGCTAATTGGTGCGTTGCCTTCGCGCCGCGACGCGCCTGCTCGAAAATGCAGCGCGCAACGCGAGCTACGAATAAGCAAGAAGCAAGAAGAGGCAACAGGAAGAACAAGAAGAACAAGAACAAGCCATTCGTCGTCGCCCGGCCCGAATGCCGAAAGCTGAAAGCCGAGTGCGAGTCCGCAAATTTATAACTTGTTTACCTGTTTCGGGCCACTTGGCTTGCTTTCGCTGCAGCGCAGCACAGAACATCCCCCAACTGGCGAGGAATGGCCGTGGATCCATGCCAATGCCAAAATCGAAGGCATCGCAAGCACGCCTGTTGCGCCTTCCCAGACTTTCCGCTGCTCCTTTTCGCCAGCTCTAAAGTGTGGCAGCAGCAAAAGTGGCAGCAGCAGCAGCAAAAGTGGCAGCAGCAGCAGCAGCAGGTGCAGCAGCGTCTTTTGGGCCAGCATCTTGCTGGGATGGCCGGGCCAAAAGGAGCCAACTCAGGCCTGAAACCTGAGCGAGCCACAATATGCTCCGCCTCCATCTCTCCACGAAAAGCGGGGCATGCAAAAGAGCTCGCCCCATGGTGCAATTTTAAAATGAAAAACACGTTTTGCGCATGACTGACACATGATTTCTTTCCTTCCCTGCGTATATATGTAAACCACTCGCATATACAAGGGGGTGTATGTGTGTGTGTGAATTCGCAGAGAGAATTAGTGGAGGAAGAGCACTGCGAGAGAGTTAAGAGAGCCGAGAGGCAAACTGGTGGAGTCTTTCGTTTGGCCATCCATCGCAATGCTGTTTACAAAACCTTCATCGCATCTTGGCCGACTTCGCAGCCACTTGGAATGGAGTTTACACGTTGCCAGTGGATTAAATGGGTTCCCCTGAATCACTCGACTTATCTGCTTGAGTAAGGTGCCTAAACACACACGATCATGATTTACAATAGACAGTTGGCAAAGCGCCAAAAAGCTAAGAACTACATCAATGCACCAAATGATCTATTTTCCTGAAATCATTTACTAAGGGTTTAAAACACTCTAGTATTGCTATATTCTGTTTCAGCTTGTGTAATTATTTATCTGGTTGTCACTTAAGTTGCTTCGGATGTTTTAAAGATATTTTTGAAAACTGCAAGATTTTTTGTAATTTTACAAAGCCTTCAATTAAGTTCAGGATTGTTAATGGGAAAGATTTGACAATTTAATTAACAAATGAAGGCGACTTTCTACCTTTGTCTGCATTTTATTTCACTACAATATGTGTATCAAAATAATCATTTGATTTGTCCTATAACTGCATTAAGTGCATTGTCCAAGCTATAATGCTTATAACCTTAAGCCTTTCACTAATATAAAACTACTGTTTAAATATCTATTTAATTAACCCATAAACAAGTAAATGTTGGAAATGCAAAGCATATTAGCCCAATTACGATGCGCTCATGTGTAATAGAATGATTAGCTCCATTCATGGGGCCTACGAATATTTACGCATCTGACACCTGGCTGGACAAGCGGTTTAATGCATACTTATCCCGGGGGTTTCCCCACTCGAAAGCAGCCCATTACCGCCCACTGACACGCTGGGATGCTGCTCATAACCAATAGAGCAGCAAATAACTGTGTCGACGGTGGTGCATGTGATGCCCACCTAAGCACCACCCACCCACCGACCGAACAGGACTCACAGGATATACAGGTCCTGCCTGCCGACCTGCACCCAAACACATATCGAATAAAACTTTTACAGCTGTATAAAAATTACAAGGTCCTTGGCCATTCAGCAATCGGATGGGGCAGAAGGAAAAGAATTTTTACTTTCGCTTTCGACCAAAGTCCGTCCGTCCGTCTGTCCGTTCGTCCTTGTCCTGGCCGGCTCGCCATTAAACTTTTCACGAACCGAACTGGGACAGTGAGAAGTGTGTAAAAAATCTAGTAACAACAGAAAAAGATGAAAGAAATAAATATAAAAGAATTACACCAAGTTTGTCAGTGTGTGTGTGTGTTTGTGGTGGTGGGGGGTTTCTGTCTGTGTCTGGTGTTGCTGCTGTGCACACATCTACACACACACTAACACACACCTAGCAGTTCCAGGACATATGTATGCCGGAATGGCCATACTCGTCTGTATATCTGTAATGGCCAACCGTCTGGCCATTTGACTTGGTTTGTGTGTGTGAGTGTGTTTTTGCCACTCTGTATGTGTGTGTGTGTGAGTGTGTGGGCTAAGAGCTTCTGATTTTCCTATATACAATTATAATTTTATTGTATTTACTATTTTTTCGTTCCTTTGGCTTCGTATTGAACTCGCTCACAGACACACAGGGGCAATGCATGTGGCAAGGACACCGATGAGGGTCCAGGGGGGGCGGGGCAGGAAAGTCTGGCGAATGGAGGTCAACGACTGAAACTAGTACTAATATGTGCAAGCGTTTGATAGCTCCATTCGTTTGTGCTAATGCAAAAAGAAATAAAACACAAAAAGAGGCAACAAATAAAAATAAGAATTCCGTAGATAAAAGAAAAAGTTGCTTTGGTCTGAACCCAATTGTGTCTGTTTGTGTGTGTGTGTGTCTGTTGGTGTGACTGTCTGGGACGATTCTCACACCGTTTATAGTTATGTGTGTGTGTGTGTAAACACACATGTGTCTGCTGTAATTTTGGACCTGTTGGAACCAATGATCTATGTGGCTTTAAGCACTATTGCACCTTTTTATTGTGTGTTTGTTTATGATTAGCTCGATTAATGTGCTTCTGAGTTATGGGAGGTAAGCGAATGCGAGTATTACCGTTTGGCTATTCGTTATGTGGATGGGAGATAGCATCAAATCGACTTAAAGCATAATCTGCGATTGCGCTTACTTATATCATTTGTTACGGACTTGTTGAAAGCCTGCTCTGCTAAATACTCGGACTTAATTTATTTTTGTCCGCTTAGAGCCTCTTGTTTTGATATTCAAAGTGGTTTATCCCATTACAAGTTTAATGTTTATAGAAAAGTGAATTTTGAGTTGTTACGCTTAAGTATATATATAACCTATAACTTCTTTCAGATAGGTCATCTTCTATGTTTTTAAAGTTATCTGTGATATGCTTCTTAAATCTTATCGTTTATTGACTAAGTTTAAACAATTTACGGAATTTACGGATAAAATATCTTTCGAATGGTAAACTTTAGTGTATTAATATACAATACTGCAATTAGTAATGCTTCAAAGGTGATTTAATTTATATGATATTTTGATATGATATGATATTAATTAATATTACCTATGAAAGTTAAGTAGTTAAAATATTTAACCTAAGGACCTTAACCCCTACAAAAAAAGATGCTTTTATAATTTCAGACAGACAAAAATTTCATATTTCACTGCATACATTCAGGCGATTGTTAAGGACATGGTGATATTTATTGAATTACGCTCTTAAAGTTTAAAACAGAATTGTGCTTCACGACTAAACTGTTAATAGTTTTTTAAGTTAGGATGTAAGCTGAATTGTTTAATCCAGGAAATAACGTGCAAAAACTAGAGAACTCCTATCCCACTATTAATTAAATGAATGTATTGCATATCTCAGGGGGCTTCTTTGGTTTGAGTTTTCCCGTATATCAACAATCTGTTTATGATAATGATAAAATGATTTTTTGATCATGAACGTAAAAAAGTAACTTATTTGATCATTATAGACTAAATTGTTCTAAGAAAATTTGTATTTACTTAATCTTTTTAATTTTTAAGAAACCAAATTTGACGCAAATTGATTATATATTCTTAGCATGAAATAATTTTTTATTAAACACATTATTCTGTACCTTAATACATTTTTTTATTAAAAAAAAAGGAAAAATGTTCAAGATGGTAAGTTGTAATAAAACGAAACACTTTATATTTCTTTTTCGAAGATTATATCCTCAGCTTTACTAATTTCGATTTATCTAGAACATAAAAACTTTCTTATTAAAAAAAAACTTTAGTGATTGCTATTTTTGACTTGAAGGCATTCGATAAATAGAGCGCCCTTTTTGTAAACACACATAGAATCGCCAATTAATTCTTGAGACATGTAAACACTAATTAAAACCATTACATGAAAGACATGGGCACAGGAACGCGTTTATAACTGTTTCATTCACTAATCAAGACAGATACTAACCTTTTAAGTAAACTTCCGGGAAAAATATGATCTGGGCCTTCCAGTGAAGGCGGGAGAAGTTCGGTTTTAGCCAAATGAGCTCTGATAACACAGCTATTTAGTATTGTTTTTGGTCGACCAGCGATATTAAAAACACTTAATAATTTTCACATTGATTTCAGTTAATGTTATTGTTCATATTTTGGTTGTAAGTTCTCGTTCAAAACACAATCGAACACTTTCTTGCGATGCGATTATTTGCCGCTGTGGCGTGCGAATTTTAGCGGCAGGCGGAAGGACATGCGGTGCGGTGCGACCTCTCTCTCGCGCTCGTCGAAGGATATTGCGATATTGTGCGGCTGGAACGCAGCGTCGCTGTGACGTCGATGTGCGAACCTGAGCGGCTAGCGTGCGGCGACAAACTACCGCGGCGGACTTGGGTGAATTTTGATTTTAGCGCGGCGAATTTCCGCACGGCGACGACTTCGGCGGCGGCGACGTCACGGGAAATTTAAAGTCGCACGTCCACGAAATGCGGCGTTTCGTTCTCACTCACACACTGGCACACACACTCACGTCCACTGGCGATTTTGTACGGTGGTGGTTGTGTGCGCTGGTCAGTCCGTCTTCGTAGTTGTAGTTGTCGTTTTATGTTTCTTTTACGTGGCCGTAGGTGTGCGTGATTCGCTCTCTCTCCCTCTCTCTCGCTGTCTTTCTCTCGGCTCGACTCGCGCTCTCTCTTTCACTCCTACTCTCTGTTGCGAAATTCGCGGCCTTTTTCGGTGACAGCCAAATGTACAATGATTAATAACGGCCAAGACGGCGGCGAAGAAGTCCTCTCGCTTTGGCTTCCCCGTTCGCATTGCTTTTCGGCCTCTTCGCAATTTCGCATTTTGGCATTTTGGCCGGCCCAACCACAGGCCAGTGTCCACTCACACGCACACACACCCAAGCACTCACTCACACGTACAGGGATACAGGACACTGGACACGCGTATGTAGTTGTGTGCAACGAAGACGACGCAATACTCGTGCTAGGCTTTTTGCGATTGAGAGACGCACATCCTTTTCGGCCTCCTTTCTTGCGCCCACGTGTGTGTGTGTGCACGGAGAGAAAAACAGTACTAAGAAGTCAGTTTATAAACGAACGAACGCTTCTAAAGGAATCAAAGTTTAGCAAGAGTACATATTCTTTTTAAAAATTCGTTTTGATATTTTATACACATTTAATACAACAAATTTAAAGAACGCTAAAAAAATATCGATTAACAACGCATTGTAAATAAGGTTTTGCATAAAATTTAACATTTATGTAGATTTTAAATTACTTTTAAGATTTCTAGATTTTTTTCAGTGTAGCAGTTTGTCGTAACCTCAGGAGGCATTTGCTTGCGTTTAGCTAAACTATATTCTCCTTCCCTAAATGCCAGAGAACTAGCAAAATAAGGATCTACGAGGAGTACGTGAAAACCTAGATGAAATCCTTGTCTAATTTTCGCAGCAGGGGAGTCCGATTTTATCGCCACTGATAATTCTGTTAGTTTTCCCGCTGTCATGTGCTGCAGTTGTTGCTGTTTTTATTGTGGCCAGTTTTTCTCGCTTTGTTTTGATACATGCCTTCATCACAGATTATGTGGCCTCGCCTCTCTTTCGCGCCCATTTGCAGAGAGTCCTGCGAGCCAAAGAGCCGCATCCTTAAGAGCGAAAGAGAGAGCGTGGACAGCTGAGCAGCTTTCGTGTTCGGCTTTTTGCCGCCCGAATGGAACTTTGAGGGCGGGAGGGGGAGAATCCAAGGGGAGACGCCCCCTTTGAGCCCCCCTTTTCAAAAACAAGGCGAATCCATTCCCCAGAGCGGCTTTCTTCTCTCTTTTCTTCGCTCTTTTCGCTGGAGCGTGACCAAAGATCGCTGGAAGAACCGGAATTCTCGAACGGGCTCTCGATCGGAAGAGTAAACATTATAGTTAAAGATATAGTGGTGGTTTTTAATCGACTTCTTCGCTTCATGCAAATTTCTGTGGTTTGCAAACGTCAGTTGGCAAGATAATTAAGCGCAAATCGTCAACTGCAGTGAAAATATGCAAATTAAGTAATTGAGAATATATCGAACAACCATTAAATTTAAATTACCTTTTGCACAACCGATTCATTTAACTTCATTGGGTATTTATTATTTAATGGGTATGCCAAATTTTTTATATAAATTAAATGCAAATTAATTGTAGTTGAGAATTCTACATAAAGATTTCACGAAAGAAAACTGAATAAGAAGATGTTTGATTGGAACCCCAAATTTTCAAAGAACAGCTGTCACTTGAATATTGTTTAAAAGTTAGCTTATCAAATTAGCAATTAAAATTCAGAGTTATTATAGCTCATATCAAGAGGTGTCTTCATCTGCAATCAATATGCCAGTTATCATATACAGCCAAGACGTGAAATGAATTCTGAGTGGCGTTCAGTGGACAAATGGGAGAGTTTAAAATCCTGCCAAGTATTTGCACCATCGTGGGATATCCCGGAGATTACGATCTTATATAATGTGTACACGCATAGGCATTTGAGGTCGTAGACTTTGTAGTTGCTATGCAAAACATTTGCGCAGGGCACACACACCAGCGAGCACTATACACATCCTTATTGTATAGTATCTGGCCAAAAGGAGGCGGCCACTGACCATAATAACAACAACGGCAACGAAAAAGACAGCAGCAGTGTCGCCAGAGCTGCTGCCTTTCGGGAAATCGCTAAGAAAGGTTTTTGAATCCATGTCCGAAACGCACACTAACACACACACACACACATAGAGTGGAAGGCCCAGAAATACATATAAGTAGAGGCGTATACACAACAAGGAGCAACAATAACGCAGGACTACGGAATACGGACTACAGATGGCCGGCATGGGGCCGCATTGGCAAGAAACATATCCTTGCCACTAAAAAGCCAAGCAGCCTGCCCGGGTCGCTTCATTTCGTCACAAACACACATGCAAACCGGACACACACATACACACGGACGTACACACTGAAGCAATTTGGCAACACGCTACCCACACAGACGCACATTCTTCTTAGCATCCGCAGGCACATCAGCATCTTTAGCGTAAATTTTGCTGCTGCGAAAATTTAGAGTTGTTGCTTTATGCCAATGTGCGTGCTGGTGTGTGTGTGTCAGTGTGTGTTTTTGGGTATATATACTTCAGATTTTCATCGGCCAACCTAAAACCCCCCGCCCCACTCATTTCTTCCTCCTTCGTATTTTGCGGAACCCAACCCGTCCAACCCAACGATTGTCCATTGTCCATTGTGTCCACCAAGGCAACATTTTCCATTTTCGTTCGTCCTCTCTTTGGCCGCCGGACTTTCTCTCATATCTGCAGCTCCTTGCCAGCCGCCTTCGTCCGCCCATTCACCCAACCACCCGTCCACCCACTTGCCACCCCCTCAGATGGTCAGAACCCCCTTTTTCTGCGAGTGTGTGCGATTGTGTGTGTGTGTGTGCGGGTGTGTGCGAGAAGCCTTAATGTCGCTGCTTGTGTGTGTACAATTACGAATTCGTCGTCCTCGACTAAACTCAATTCACTTTCTCCCCGACTCTGGCCAGCCCGCGTCGTTGTCACCGTCGTCCTGCGATGTCCTTTCACCCCTCCTGTATTTTCGTTCCCCCTCACCCCTCCTCGGCCGCCACTCAACCCCTCATGTCACACCTCTGGATGGCGAAGGAAATTTTCGCGTGAATTGAAAGATGAAGGCGCTTTGGGCTGGACGCTGGTCACCCCCGATTGTTGGTTATATGTACACGCAAGGGTCCTTGTTTATGCCAACGTCCCTGTCTGTGTGTGTGTGAGTGCGCTGGTGCGTGTGTGTGTGTGCGTACATATGCTAGAAGACGTGTGCGCTTGATTTTCAGCACCCACCTAACCAACCGCCCATCGGAGCAGGGAATCTGCATCCTATCCTCGCACATTGTCTTTGTATAACTGTTCCTAAAACAAAATTTTCATTTTGCCTTCGAAAAGATAAATGTGTGTACACGAGCAAGAGTTTTCCATGTGGTTCTCGGCTCGTGTTGGTGTGCGTGTACTCTCGGATCTGCTCCGAATATATCCCTAGATGCGTACTTGTTTGCACCTTGCCTTCGAGTCGATTTGGCGTTTCCCTCTATCAATCAACTCATCGATCATTTATTTTGATTTCGATCAGTTTCAGTTTGCGTTCTTGTTTTTAATTCGATATCAGATTGAATCGAAATTGACATTGATGGTTACCTAAGATAAGAAAAATTGATTTCACCTGGATTCGACAAAAGAATTAAAAGCCAAAATTCCTTTTTTACTAAAGGGTTCGCTTTTGTCACATAATAACCTGAAATATAATTAAAAAGATAGTACTCTCGATCTAAGATGCATAAAACACTTTTCTATTTGAAACATAATTCTGAAAAAAAATATATTATAATTCAAAAAGTTAATATATTTTAAACATACAAGTTTTTTAATTTCTTTGATATTGACGTTAATGTTGAGTGATTTTTCCTGACATTCAAATATAGCCACTTTTCCTAGCATTAATCAAATTTCCAAGCTGCATTCCCAATGCGAGACTATTTTACTTGAATAGAATCCCTGGATGAGTTTCCCTTACAATCCACCTGATTTCACCTGATTGCAGATGTGTTTCCGATGGTCGGGCAGGGCATCATCGCTTTGGAGACGGCCTAATCCGTTGTCCGCAATCCTGCTGACCTGGGCGGTCCTGCAAGATTCAGGATGCGTACTTGCAGTCGCAGTCTGCAGTTCTTTGGCCCGCTTCTACCTAACACAGCCCAACCGGCCACAGCGCCCTTTCTCCTTAGCCATTATCTGCAGTTTTGTCTAAGCTAAGGCGATTTGAGCAGACAAAACCGCAGCTCTCGCAAGTTGTTTGGACCCAGTTCGTCCTTTCGTCCTGCCCACCCATCCCTCTCCCCTCTCCCTTCTTTCCTTTCCTTCCCTTTCCCTCCGATTCCATTCCATATCCTTGGACTGCGTCGAGGCATCCTATTTTGTGCGATGGCTGTGCTCCTATGTTCCTATGATTTGCATATTCGAGCTCGTAGCTCCTTTGTTTTAATGCGCCTCCACCCCGTTCGTCCTGGCTCCTTTGTCAGCAGCATTTACCTGCGAGTGTGTGCGTGTGTGTGTGTATCGGTGTGCGAGTGTGTGTGACACTGGTCTTTGGCCAGGATGTCGCGCAAGAAGAAGGCAAGCGGCCAGGCTGGAATTTGTCCTTCCAATCTAAGCCAAATGCAGGCCGCTCGCCGATGGTCTCCTTAGTCGCCTTCGCCTCCGACTTTTCCAGCAAGCAGGGAAATTGAAACAATTGAAGAGGTAGCCATGGTCGGAGCAGCAAGGCAGCTTGCCAGTCGGACTGCCTGGACAGCCAGGACATGCTGGACAGCCAGGACATGCTGGACAGCCAGGACAACCAGACGCAGCATTTTCGACCATCAACTACTGGCCACTTACGGACTCGCCTCCACCGCATCACATCGGCAAATGTCCTGCTGCGAGAGCGAAAGAGAGAGAGAGAGAGAATAGAATCCCTCGGCGAGTGCGAGCGAGATGTCCTTTTTGGCCAGAGCTCCAGAGCTCTAGCGACGGCAGACGAATCCTTTTCAAAATTAAACTATATGCAGCAAGTGGAAGAGCAAGGCAAGAAATGCACACACACACACAAACACACACACGCATACACACACATATTAGCGAGTATATCGAAGCATCCTAGGTTGAGTTTTCGTATCCTGGTCCGAGAATCAGTCGAGTGCGAGCCACATGCAAATAACGCAGACACATGCACTTTTTCTCGTATCCTTGGTCCGTCCGCATCCGCATCTTATGTATTCGGCAGAGCTTTGTTAAGATATTCTTTGCACCTAAGATGGACGACGTTAGATACGAGATACGGGCGGCAGCAGCAGCTAGCTA